GCCTCTGCATTCGTATCGCATCTTCCATCGGGGTTAGTCCCAGTACATCTACTCTGATATATTACTATGGCCTCGGTTACTACATCCACTCCTGTGAAGAGCCACCATGGGCTCTTCTCCTCCAAGACTGCTGGAGGTCGTATACCTCTGAGTCCTTCGCCTAACCCTCGCGCAAGCGGTCATTCATCACCCTTCACTCCTCCTCGCCAGTCTGATGGTGGCCGCAGTCAAGCCAAGTCAGTATACGGGGGAAACCTCTCTGCTCACTTTGCCAAATCAATCTCGAAAGCTGCCCGCACCACTCATCACAACTCTCCCAAGACGAACAAGTCGAACATCGCCAGCACCCGCACCCGCAAGTCACCCAAGCACTTGGAGCTAGGTGTCTCGGACTGGACTTTGACCGGCACAAGCGCGACAACAGCGAACACTCCGTCCAAGGAGCATGCTCGCCGGGAAATTACTACTCGTGCTCGTGCCAGCAAAACTACTGTGCGTATTCCTCACAACGCTGGTGACCGTTTTATTCCCAACCGGATCGCAAGCGAGGGTCTAGCCACTAGCGGGGCAGCGAAGCCAGAGGAAAAGCAACGCCCCAAGAGTGGTGGAGTTGAAGGATCATCGGTCCTTGCCTCAGCAGCCAGCGCTTTTGACATTGGTGCTCGTGGATCCGATGATGACCTTACTGCTGCTTTGGAAAACTTGGGTCTGGATGACAATGAACCTTCCACCTACACTCGTCCAGCTCCTGATGCCGTGGCCTACAAATCATCCTTGGCTGAAGCTTGTGGAGTGAACATGAACACTCGCATTCTTGCCTTTAAGCCACCCCCTCCCGAGTCATCGAAGCCTATTGATCTTCGTGCTCAATACAACCGCCCCCTCCGCCCCGCCAAATCCACAGCTGCTCAGTTCCGTCGCCGTGTTCAAACTGCACCCGAACGGGTCTTGGATGCCCCGGGTCTTTTGGATGACTACTATCTTAATCTGCTCGACTGGAGCTCTGGCAACCAGGTCGCCATCGGTCTCGAGCGGAACGTTTATGTGTGGTCTGCTGAGTCTGGCTCTGTTAACTGCCTGTTGGAGACCTCCCCCGACACATACGTAAGCAGTGTGAAGTGGAGTGGTGATGGTGCCTACGTTGGTGTTGGCTTGGGAACCGGTGAGGTTCAGATTTGGGATGTTGAAGAAGGTTCCAAGCTTCGCAGCATGTATGGCCACGACTCACGGGTCGGTGTCATGGGCTGGAATAAGCACACTCTATCCACTGGGGCCCGCAGTGGCCTAGTCTACAATCACGATGTTCGTATCGCGGAGCACAAGATTGCCGAGCTGGTCTCCCACACCTCTGAAGTCTGCGGTCTCGAATGGCGCTCTGATGGCGCTCAGCTCGCCACTGGTGGAAACGATAATCTCGTCAACATTTGGGATGCTCGCTCCCTGAGTGCTCCCAAGTTCACCAAGACCAACCACCGTGCCGCTGTGAAAGCTCTGAGCTGGTGTCCTTGGCAATCCAACCTCCTTGCCACTGGCGGGGGTTCCTACGACCGTCACATTCACTTCTGGAACACCACCACCGGTGCCCGTACCAACAGCATTGACACTGGCTCCCAAGTCACTTCTCTGCGTTGGAGCAACCACTACCGTGAGATTGTCAGCTCTAGCGGCTTCCCCGACAATTCCCTCAGCATTTGGAGTTACCCAACTTTGGTCCGCAACGTCGAGATCCCTGCTCACGAGACTCGTGTCCTTCACAGTGCTATCAGCCCTGATGGACAAATGCTGGCCACCACTGCTGCCGACGAAAGCTTGAAGTTCTGGAAGATCTTTGAGCGCAAGGCTGGTAGCAGTGCCTCTTCCGCTCGTGAGGGTGGTGTTGGCAGCAAAGCTCAGATGACAAAGTCTATGACCATCCGCTAGATGCTTTTGCACATTCTCCTTTCTGTCTTTTCTTCTCGTTCGGGATACCCTGGTTCATGGTCATATTGAAAGCATTGATAGGCTGGGACATAAATTTCGGTGTAATGGTTCATCGGTTCTTGTTTTCTTTTCGGTGATGAATTTGGCGTTCTGGTGGTTGTTCTCTCTGTATTTACTTTTCCGTAAGCTGGCTGTACAAATTGTCCTAAATGCCATTCTTACGGCTGTATCAATTCATTTTACTCGTCTAACCTCTCTTTCATCTGTATCTTTGCCGCTCTCGGTTTATTCCTTAAGTTTCTACTCCGTACTTCGAAGTGGGTTGACCGATGACTAAGCCTCCGGGATACAGTGGGATTTCGATCGCAAAGCCGTGACTTTCACCTTCGCCAACCCATCGGGAAACTCACCGTCTCATTTTCCCTCTGACATTTGCACTTGCTTGGACTTTCAAAGCATTTCTTCTCTTTTCTATTTGTGTGAAACCTACACGTTCACAAATTGCTTGATATTGCGTCATTTGTGGTGATCGAGAGCATTTCGGCAACTTGATAGTTGCGACGGAGCACTTTACTAGTCAAGCTATCATCACCCCGTACACTTCAATCGCCGTATTGCCTGCTCTCTGTTCCTTTCACATAATCATTCACCAGCTCATCAAGGTGTTCTTGCTCAGCAATCATGTCCAACCAGCAAGTGGTAAGTCCCAAATTTCTCTAACTCTTTACTCTCTTCCCCGGCAACCCTGTCTATCCTGAGCCGTCGCTCGCACGGAGTCTTTGGTCTTCGTTTACCACCGCCTTCTCCTGAATTATCTTGAGATCTTTTAAAGTTTCTTTGGTCCGAGCTGAGAGCTGACAAGCATGGCTTCATAGGGTGCGGTATTCGAGAAGGTCATCCAGGAGGTCTGTGATGCCTCCCAGGTCGACTTCGAGGAAAGTGGTGTTGATCAACAGACTCTGCATGATCTGCGTGAGGTTAGTACCATATTCCTATCTATATGCTTGTGTGTTGCCAAAGTTGGTGGAGGATCTCGCCCCAAAGCGGGGATGAAGGTGGTGCGGGAGGTGCTTATGGGGGAACACGGGGCTTATGAGTCTTCCCTTTATATGTGCCGCTGTTACCCGCTTAGGCGCTTTTAGACCGCCAAGATTCGGTGATTATGCAACTTTGGACTAATTCTTATATCTACAGACCTGGCAACATAAGCTTTCCTCTGTGAATGTCGCTCATTTCCCCTGGGATCCCACTCCTCAGCCTCCTCAGCAGCATTCTGTTCCCCTTCCCGCAGTTACTGTTCCCTCCAATGCCCCCCGACAACCTCCTCCCCAGCCACAATATGTTCCCCCGCCTTCAATGCCTCAAGCTGCGCCTTCGCACGCCATGCCCATGGGTGGGCCTCGCATCAAGACCGAGCCAGGATCTAATGGCCAACCCGGAATGCCACACATGACTAGCCCCATGCCCCCGCATGGTCTCAATCCTCAGTCGGCTCGCGACCGTGCTGCAAATGCGCTTCACCAGAAATACGGGGCCGCAGCCGCTAACTCCGTCCACCAAATGCAAGCCCAGGCCCAAGGTGGACAAGGATATCCACAGATGCACGCCAATGCCCACGGGCAAATGCCACCAATCAAACAAGAACAGAACTACCCACACATGGGTCCTGGACAAACCGATGGTGGAGGTGATGACCCAATTGCGGACTGGAAGGCAGAGGTAGCACGCCGCAGAGCAGCTGCCGAGAGTGGCGAAGGTGACCGACTTCTACGCGAGCACCTCAAGCAGCGCATGTCTCAGTATGAGGGTGGAGGTCTCCTTCGTCCTTTGGAAGAGCATGAGTCCTCTTCCAAGGTCGCTCGCCGTGTGGCTCTCACCGCACCCCTCGGCCAAAAAACTACCGAGTCAACCTCATCTGCCCCTCGCGTCACTGGCCAGTTCGATGGCGGAGAAGACGACGTCAAAGAGGAAGACGAAGACGCCATCAATTCGGACCTGGATGATCCAGATGACCTTGTTGCAGATGATCATGACGCAGATGAGTCGGAGGGCCAGGTCATGCTTTGCACATACGACAAGGTTCAGCGGGTGAAGAACAAGTGGAAGTGCACCTTGAAGGATGGCATCCTGACCACTGGTGGCAAAGAGTAAGTTATCACATCCTGCCACGCTATGCTTATACTAACCCAACTAGATATGTCTTCCACAAGGGCCAAGGTGAATTCGAGTGGTAGTCTAAACGACGCCATTACTCCTTTTCTTCCCAATCCATCTTCCGGTTTCCATTGACGACATCTCTTTCCTCGTTCTGTAACATTTTTTTCTGCTCATCATGTGCTCTCTCTCCCATGACACAAACGAAAACCAATCCCTACGTCTTTTCAGTCACGCTCTCGAAACGGTTTGTACAAGCGAAATATTTCTCATGATTCTCACTCCCCAAATATCGACATGGTCAGCAACGGGTCTTTACTATGCTTTTTCTTTGATTTTGAGCTTTCAGTGGCTCACGGCGCTTACAAGTGAGGATGGGATTCTGCTTTTTTTTCTCTTTTGCTTTTCCTTGCTCCCTGCCATACCTTCAAGGTTGGTTTTGTACTAGACTGAAAGACCGAGATCTTGCTAGTTGCAAAATAAGCATCAATGAAAATATGATTCTGAACAACCTGTGGACTTCCACTAGACTTAGTATTACACCAATCATCTGTTTTCGGCTTGAACAGTATGCCATTAATTGGGATAGTAGGTGCTAAAAAGCCGATTGGTCTACCATGTCCAAAATCCGGATCTACAATAACAAAAATCATCAAAATTTAAACCAAGAAAATGAATGAATAGCAAGACAGGGGGTAAAAAAGAAGATAAATGACAATGGCAAAAAGAGCCAAATCGTATCAAAAAAAAGGTCCATATCTACAATGATCCGACGCCAAGAAACCGCACTTTTAAGATTTCCAGATCCCAGATCCAGTACCTGTCCAATCCTTATGTAGGATGAGACGCAGGGAGGAAAAGCGAACACCGACTGGGTGTGAAAGAGGGGAGAAGAGTAACCGCTCCCAGAACCCTGTACCTCGGATATGATTCCAGTCAAACATGGCCAAATCCCGTTTTCGCCAACTGTTTTTGTGGTGGTTCCAGATACTCAGGGCTTTACGGAACTTGCGGGCGAGCGACTGTCGTTGTTGGAAGGGGCATATGAGGAGACACTGAACGCAGTGAATGGGGGTGCGAACGCGGGACAAGGCACAAAAAGCTAGTCCTTGCTAGCACGCAGTAAAACAGAGGAATAACAGGACGGGAAGAGGTTTCGAGGAATATCCGATTCCCCTAGTTTGTCTCCCATGGTAGACGCGAATGCCGTATGGTGAAGCAAAAACATGATGAACAGAGAAAGAGAAAGCAGGCAAGTGCGAACAGTTTCTTCTAGACAGCTCTTTGCTGAGGGTATTGATCTTGGTCTTGATCGCTCAGGAATTGCTCTATTACCAGGCCAAGTAAATGGAATCTGGAAACGGTGAGGGATATCAAGTGGGGAGGTAAAACGACCATGCCAGTAGGATCTACCAGACAGCAGAACGAAAAGCAAAAAAGGGTGCCACAAAACCCAGCCGATAAGTAAACCAGGGAGAACAATTTTCGAAGAGAGAAAAAGAAAAGCAATAACTCCAAAGTCACCGGACCCAATTCAAATCATGACATCGTGTGTGAAGGAGAGTGCTCTCACCTCCGAAGGCCGTCGAGATCATTCGCGTCAATTAGCTGGAATTATGTATGGACATAATGACATATCTGTTCACGGGTTCACATAAGGCCTTCTTCGCCAATTCCGGGGAGGCCAGCTCCAGCAACATTGATGTTCTGCCCTTGCATGACTCCACCGCCGAGGGCGAGGTTGCGACCTCCGAGCTGGAAGTCCGGGTTGCAAGGTGGCGAGTGCGATTTATGGTATTTGAGTCCGTTCAGGTTCTTGTATCGCTTGCCGCACACCTCGCAGCGGTAGGGCTTTTCCTTCTCCATGCCAAGCGTGCCGGGGTATGGGGCTGACGTCTCCGGGTTGACGATTGAGAACGTGCCGTCAGCGTTGTCATGAAGTTGTTGGTTGTTGTGGCCATGCTGGAAAGAAAGGAGAGAGTTAGAAAATTAAGACGGATGGGTGGAGTATCAAGTCGAAACTTACAGCTTTGTGGTATTTCAGTCCGTTTTGGTTCTTGTATGCCTTCTCGCAGCCAATGACGGGGCAGCGGAACGGCTTGGGCTCTTCGTTGGGAAGAATAACGGTGGTGTCGGGGACACCAGCCAGCAACTGTTGTTCGCGGATCCGTCGTGCAATATCGCTATTCGGGCCATATTGAGCTCCACTGAGCTTAAAGTGGGCGTTGGGCGAGCCCATGCCCCCACTGGGGCTAAACAGCCGCTTGGCCGGCTCGTCAATACAGAGATCGACCATGTCATTATTGTTCCCGTTGAATCGGCCAAACTGATTCTGATTTTGGCCCATGGTGTTATTCTGCATACTGAGATCGCCAAATCCACCCATCATACTTTCATCGATTTCGGCCGGGGTCCCTGGACCAGATGAATCGGGCGTATTTCGAAATTGCGAATTTTGGAGTGGGTTGGCCATCAAAGTTGGAGTGTTGACGGAAGAGACGGTTGGATTGTTCTGCAATGAAAGAGGTCGTCCAGATCCGATCGGTGTACCAGGTTGCGAGGGTGTGCTGAATCCTTGGTGGCTTGGAAGCATACCCAGATTTAATTGCTGCTGGTTGGAGTTACCATACCCGCCCTGTCCACCGTCATGCAGCTGAGAAGAGAACATCTGCGAGCCTGATCCATCTCCGTCTCCCAGGGCATCGTCCAACTCCATGTCGTCTATTGTGTCTAGATCTGCGTGATGCAATGGCGATGGATTCTGGCCCAATTTGCGCTGCATGTCCAGGGTCCGGTCGGGCTGCAAGCCACGCCCTTGGCTGCCATGCTGTTGGTTCTGTTGCTGTGCGATTGCGGCAGCCGCCAAGGCAGCTCGATTTTCACCCTGGCTCGGCCGGTGGCCTTGATTGGGTGACTTGGTCGCATGGGCTTCTTCGTAGTGTTGTAATAGGTCATGGAGGGTCGGTAACGTCACACCGCAGCACGAAAAGTCTCGCATAAAATTCGCTTCCAGCTTCGGGAGATACGATGAGGAATGGAAAGATGGTGACTGGAAGGTAAATGGTGAGGTGCCAGTCATTATGATACTGCGGAAATTTTTCCTTGGTCAGCTCTCGATGCAGTGCGACAATAGCAACACACGGTGGGCGGTTTCCCTCCCCCCACGGCTTCTAGGTCCGAACAGGCCACTCACTCATCACGTATCCAACTACCGACGGATACACCACCCCAGCTCATACCACCCACCAAGCTTCCTGCGAGCGACTCACGGCGACCTTTGTCACGGTGAGATCCCGACATGGAGATAGGTTTCGTCCCGTTCCCCCATTGTGCTGTGGCTGCGCCGATCGAATCCTTACGAGGTGGTGGGGCTTTGAATACGCCGAGTCCTCCTCCGGAAAGGTGGGAAAAGCTCCCTGTCCGCTCGCCGTTGCCCGCTCTTTGCAGCGCCGAGGTCAGGTTAGACGCCTGCTGACCCGGGGGCGACACCGAGGTCGTCTGCCGAGTGGAAATATCAATGGGCGTAGAGCCAGTCATGGTGACGAACTGCTAGTATCAATCCTTGGTCAAAAATAATGAGAATTTCAAGTCGAGGTAAGACGAATCGATATCCTAGTTCCCTGTCTGGTCTTGCGCGATGTCACGCCAAAACCCGAGGGGCTTATGAATGACAGGGTTTCTTCGAGTCCGGCGTTGAAGCGCGAAGCTCACACAGATAAAATCCGAAAAGAATAAAGAATGCGACTTGGAGACAATCAGTGCCCCTCGATGAGTGGACTTTTGAGTGGATGGGCGGTTTTTGGGCGGGTTCACACGCAGGAGTCCACCCTCGGATGATGTCCCGCTTTGGCAGAAAGTTGTCGAGTCACTTGAAGGAGTGCAGCTTCCCGTGTGTTTTTTTTTAATACTCTGAAGACTAGGGGGTCAGGGATCAGAATAAGGAGAGTAGTACAATCGAATAGTGATAAGTCGAGAAACAGCAGGGGCAAGGGCTCATGAAGACGGGGTATGAGATGGCAAGACTTCCGGGTTGGGACAAGCGCTGTTACGGTATTTACCCACGTGACCGTTTAGCGGATCTTGGCCCCGAGCCCTTGAAATGGATTTCGATAGTATAGCATTGTTTGTAGATCTCCGACTATCACTGGATCGAGGCCTAAAAGCGTAGACATATACTGAAGTATAACAGCCAGTCAAGAATGTTTACTACTACACACCGCTTGCAGGATGCGAACGTCATGATCGGTAATGTACTGAACCTGAAACGGCTAGTGTACTGTATCTTATGACTAATTTGGTTGAATTGACCGGCCCCGGGGCTCCAGGGCTATAGGGAAATCGCCGACATCCCGAATCGATGATGATATTTTTGGGGGATAATATCTCCTGATGCTCTGAACAAGTAGGATAACTGGATCATGTTGACCGCAATGGGTTCTACCAATTCTCCCAGAATGTCACCATGTCTCGAGATCTTCGTGAGTGAAGCAGCCAACATGCCCTGCCAATGTCGAGCTTTTCTCCCCTGTGACTAGCAGATTTTCGCTTTCTAGTCACTTCCATTGGGAAGGTCAATAGATCTGAATATCAAGAGAGGCGCTCCGTAAACTCAGATACCCTGTAAAATCCGGGGTCATCTGCAAGGGGGGGATCTCAGATAAGAGATCTGAGCGGCTATGCCTTTTATGTTGTAACACTTCATGGTACCTCTTTAGATTATATATATCTATATATATGTGTGTATATCTATATGTGTATATATATTGCACTAATCAAGTCTTTTATCTAATGATAAAGATGTATTCTATGGTCGATCTCCCAAATCCCAGGAAACTTGACCACAGTGGCAAGTCTCAGAACACGTCTTGGCTTTGGCGCTAGAAACGCGGCAGAAGCAATTGGGCCGAACTTCCATCTCTCTAGCGTCGAGTACACCGCCTTTCTCAAATTTGGGAACAGTAACAATACCTATGTTGTATAATGACTAGTTATCTTATTTTACTCGAAGGTAATATGCAAAATAATCTATTATTTGCAGACCCGCGTATTCCGAGCATGAAACCTCCGAGGCTCGGAGTCCGTCATGTCCGTTCGAACATGAAACTACGCCATTTCTTAGTGTAAGCTACAAGACAGCGTTCTATCGGGATTATTTCGGGTTCTGTCCCATCAGTAACAACAATGTCGCCACCATAATCATCGTCCGAGATCATACCATCTTTCAATGACTTCAGAGGCCCATCGCCCCATCAACCTGTATTATCGTTATAGAACTAATTATGTTGTACATGTGCCTCCGACGGATTAAGTAATCAACAGTAAATTAACTAACTAACTAACTAACTAGTTATTCTTTCTAACACAGTATATGCGTCTCGCAATGGTACAATTACAAGTGTAACAACTTCGTCTCGGTTTATCACCCATTGCGCAAGCGAAGGTGGGTGTCTAACCAGTATCGAGGCTCGTTCCCGGTATTCAGTTCTCATTCGATAACCCTGAGAGTCATCATAGGCTGAAACCAACCCGTGTCAGGGATCATAAAACCCCCCACACCACTTTTATTAAGTCACGATGACAACGTCGTAAGTGTATGTAGTTCCTAGATCTGCAGTCAGATTCAGGCTGATATATCCAATTTCTTTCAATGTCAACCGCGCCCTGCCTCGCTTGGTAGGAATCGCGGGGTCGCCCGCTTGGTAGTAGCTCAGAATAGCATGTTTCGTGCCAAGATGCGCGCGAGATAAATGACAGTAGACATTGGGACCTACGACATAAGATATATATGTCTGACATCAATTTATAATATCTTGTTGTAGTTGATGTGATTTACATAAAGACATAGATGGGTCCTTTATATCCTGTCGATACCACGACCATACTGCGTTGAATACTTCAATATATATAATTTTGATGATTCTGCCCTACAACATAGGCCCTAGCTACTATCATCAGAGCTTTAAGCGTATAAGCGGTCCTTCAGATTGATACTCACATTAAACACTGCACATTATCCAAGAAACTATCCAAGATACCCCAAGGCATGCACCCATGTGGCATTCTCACTGGACTATCTCGACAATGCAGTTTTGTGCACGCAAAATGATTCGCTCTTTGATTAAGATTCGACTTGTGATATACAATATAAGTTGATACAGTCCGGTCTTTCGGGGATGCTATATTGTAAGTAGTTGGAGGGGTTATTCATGGATGGGAGCACGTCGGAGTAGATGAAAGACATCCCCCGGCATTTATTTCTGGTCCTTGCTTTCGGCTCCTCTGTGAACCGCATTGTCATACTGGTTCCAGCAAATCTGCCACAAACGGGACCTGATGTGACTATTTCTTTTGCAAATGGACGCCTGGAACTAGACTACAAATTATATTATCAAATTCCTTCTGTTGAGTGGTAGTTCTTGTATCGGGGATGTAGTGTAAATTACTGTGATCGGGGCGTTATTTCTGGGGCATCCAGAAAACGGAAGTCTTGCGCTTCGCGATGCGACGGACAAGCATGCTTTGAGACAAGTTTTTCTGCTACACCGGATGTTGGGACTAGTGGCATGTGCGATTGATATCTCTCGTAGGGACATTATGTTCATGTGGGAGTATGGCTTGGACACCGCCCCTGTCTTCGCTCTTCGGGTATGGTCTGCGGAAGTTTATCTAGGTGAGAATGCGCCATAATCGACGCTTGAGTATTTGGGTGGATGTCAAACTTCCAATGAGGATATTGCAGTTAGCATGGAATTAAAGGTCAAATCATGCTTATGCTTGGTGCCATGAGCCAGCTATCTGAGTACTTGGCCAGAAAAGACTCGTGAGCAGGGTCTTGTTACTGCAGTGTGACAGGACAGAGATGGCAGACTTTCTGACGCCAATGGTCTGTTTGAATCGAGGTAGAGCTCGTAGAATAGGTGATGACAAGGGGAGGAAATCGCGAAGTCAAAGATTATACATAGAAAAGTCGCTTTCACAAAATATGCATCCTACCGCTTTCTATCTGCCATCCAAGTATCTGTAAATCCGAGTAGAGGGATAAAACATGTCCAAACAAGGCATCTGAATAGAATATCCGAGAAAATCACCGAAAAGACCACTAGAGATACATCACAAGGCCGCATAAGCGGCCAACTATTCTTGCTGCTCTTAATTTAGTAATTTTATGACCAGTAAATAGATAGGAAAAAGATACACAATGTCCTCGGACTATATCTTGAGACACCGAAGGCGGAACACACTCATTGCCCCTTTCTCAAAAATCAGCGACCTGGAACCATATGTAGTATGAACGGACAATATTTTCCCAAGTCAAATTAGGACACCTCCTAAGCATATTCAAAACGAACCACGTAAAGTCTGGTCGAAGTTCATGGACGAAGCCATATTAAGAAAGGGGGGGAGGGGGCTACTAAGAGCAAAGCACATAGTGTCACAGATCTACAACATACTCCGTATTACATACAGAGCCAGTGGGATTAGCAATCGGCCGGTGAGAACCTTAGTGCTAGCCTAAGTCTTAAGTATTCACTCCGTACTCCGCACTCCGTATTCCGCACTCCGTATTCCGTACTCCGTACGGAGTAGATAGGTAATACCTAGTTCTGGTCTCGGAATCCGAAAACCGACTCGGCTAATTATCCTGTTTACAAGTCCACCTCGTATAAAATATGTCATGTGGCTCCTCTAATTGAACACGGGCAATTTAAAGTAAGCCGGAGCTATCGAGTAGGCTAAAAATGGCACTATAAAGGGACCCTCTTCACCGGAGAAACGTGTGGGGAAGAGTAAATGATAAGCCGAGGGGTAAAAGGGGGAATGGGGACTCTTCACCGGGGGAAAACACAAAAAGAACATCCCTGCAATTATCTTGTTTTCTACGCCAATCTAATGCATGAAAGCAATCAACGTGCAAGGAGAGAATTAAAACAAAAAAAATAATGATTGCAGACTGATAAGCTGTCGCAGTAAGATTGGCAACAGGGAGGCTTGGCAAGGTTGGCAATGCCCCAAAAATAGGTGCTAGTTGGTGTATGCAACATTCGCAGGCGTACGGAGTACAATGGACACTGTTGCCTAGGCCGTGGAACATGGTCCGCGATAAATGTCCATCCCTGTCCTCCCGGCCAAGGCGGGAGTATCAGATTACACAAGGCTTGGCGGAAAATCATCATCTTGGCAGCACTTGGCAAGCATTTAGGGACCCCTCCTCGCGTCCGGCGGGATGGAGATCCCTCTACCCCGTCCAACCTTTGTAGTTCGGTCAGGCGGGCTGCATAATAGGCAAACTTCAGTGGCAAAAATGGAGTGCAAGAGAATCACGCGGACGGGTTGAAGAGTTCATTGATTGCTAGCCTGCCGAATGGGGCAATACGTGTGCTTCCCAGAAGCAAAAGAGGTAGTAGTAATGTAGACAAATTTTGAATGGAAAACATAGTAATTTGAAAGCGCCAAAAAAAAAAAAAAACACCCCTATTGATTTTCCTGTCCTTCCCCATGATGAGGTGACGCAAACTTCCAGATTGGAGTCGCTCCATTGATTTGATGATTGCGAAAGAAAGCAAAATGATTTGTGATGAGCTCAATAATGCATCAGTTACTGTGATGGTGATATGTCGTGAGATATGAATGAGAAAAGAAGACCAAAGCGACCAGGCGGGTCGGTGATAGAGCGCCTAGTGCTGTTTTTTTCCATGACCAAGGTAGAGGAAGCCACTAGGAAGGGTGGCCGTAAGATCGCTGAGGGATGCGGAAGAGTTGGTAGAAAGAGAGCTATTGGTGCGGGCACGGCTGACAGGAGCCAGCACAGGACTCTCCTCAATTGAGCTGGACTCAGTCTGGGACTCTTCTTCCCAGACGCGGGGATCCGGGCCAGATTCAAGAGGAGATAAGACAAGGAACTTGTTGGCAGGATTGTAAGGGCCAGACTCAGTGGCAGAGAGGACCAGGAAACGGTGGGTGGGAGTATAAGTGTACATTCTGAGATTAAAAAAGAAAAATCTTCTTGGGCTTTGTATGTGGAAGAAGGAACTCGGTTAAAGACGGGATCTGAGTGTGGAATATAGAGCTGTAGATGGAAGAGTTTGGATGAAAGTGAGAATTTTTTGGGAGTTTCGACCTCACTTATATAGCCCAGACCGAGATAAGCCAAGAGGAACCTTGGAGAATGAGGGGCATGCTGTATCAATGATGGGTCCGAATCATGCCGATCCAGCGCATTCAGCACATCATCTCTGGGCCGGGGGGTAGTGGATGCGCGGTCATGCAGACAAGCCACTCCCCGCGATTATCGCCCATTAAACCCATAAAGGAGAACCCCAAAACATGCTAGATAGCTTCACATGTCTTGGCCGAAAAAAGGGGGAAGATTAAAGCCAAGAATTCACTATCGACCAGCTATCACACCCTTTCTTTTTCTGAATGCTTCGACTTTGCCTCTCTTGGCTCCGGCATGGTCGCACCAGAGTCTGGGCATCTGGGGCTGACAGTCATTCCCAGCAGCCATGGCAAATATGTTGACTTGGCGAATTAAGCCCTGTGTCATTGCACAATATGCTTTGCCTAGAGAAACCCGTTGCCAGCCGAAACTCAAGGACCTCGGAAGATCATCAACTAGGATGAGGGCCCAAGATCGAAAACTCATGGCTTTCACAGGCTCCCGTATGTATCCACACCTATGCAGTATGTGTGTTAATAATGGTTTCGGGTGGGAAAGATTTGCACATTCCGAGTTGTTTCGTCCATAGTTCTCTTTCACCAATCAATTCGGCCGCTGCATGGCCGCTAGGACCACCGGTTATGCTGGGGTATTCGATCTCCCCGGCCTTTCTCTCAGAGCACCCGATAGCGCACAATTCGCTGAGGGGGGAAAAAAGACACGAAAATGACATCATATTTTAATTTTTCCCCAGAATCGAGAATCGATATCTGATTACAGTAAACCCCCTTTATAACGAATCAATTGAGACAGGGCCAAATATTCGTTAAATCCAGGTTTTCGTTAAATCCAGGTCCCCATATATATATCTGGTCTATATACAAATTTATACTCCAAAATAGCTTCTGATATCCCTCTGCTTTTGCTCCCCTATTCTCCTGACCTCCAGTACCCTTTCATGTTTATGAAGAGCATTAATTAGATAGGTTTCACCCTGATCCTGCTGCTCTTCATATAAACATAGGGTTTTCAAAGCCTGAATAGCTTCACTATACAGAATCCGCGCCTTTTGATCCTCAATTTCATCCTCATTAACCTCCGGAAGGAACTCATTGAGTACAACGTCATCAATGGTAGCTAAATCGTCCTCAACAAGTTTATCCACTGGGTTCAAGAAGTTCTCAATATCCATTGGGTTTGGAATCCAAGCCTGTATCACACGTATATCAGAAGATATATTATTAATGAGCGATTGAATCTCTATTTGAGGTATACTAGTAGTATTACTACTACTAGTATCTAGGCTATTAAGTGATATTGAAAGGCCTTTTTGATAACAGTTCTTAATTGTAAGAGCTGATATATCAAGATCCCAGGCTTGGATACCCTATTGGATAGCCTGAAGAATATTTATTGATACTATAGGATTGTGACCACGATCGTACTCAGTCACAATGAACCTTACCTATTGGCGCTTCCAGTATACCTTCCACGTACGAATAATACCCTGATCAAGCGGCTGAAAACGACTTATAGAATTTGCTGGGAGCTAGATAATTAGGGTATTCCGAAGGGGTTAATTGCTAGTATTAATAGCCTTCATAGTAGATTCGTGTGCTAAGAAGTTATCTATAAGAAGCACTACCTTGCGATTTAGCATTTGATTATCAAACCACCGAAGCTATTCCTCAAAAATCTCTCCAGTTATCCAGGCTTTGTGATTCCACTTCCACTGTATATTCAAATTATCTATATTAACACAAGAGGAAGTAAAGGCACAGGGCTTCTTTACCGTTCCAATAAACCAAGGTTTTAGCTTCTCAGATCCATCAGTATTATAGCAAAAGAGTGCTGAGATCCTTGCTTTTTCCTTCTTTTTTCTAGGTAAAGATCGGGTAGCAAGGCTTCGATCAGGAACCCGCTTCCAATAAAGGCTAGTCTCATCACAATTAAATATATCCCGAGGGCTATATAATTGAAGAGCCTGCCGAATTGGGATTATAGCTTTAGTAGCAGACTCTGGAGTGCTTCCATCCTCCCCAAAGTGTAACCGGTTTCGTATAGATTCACGGTGCTGGAATCTAGTAAGCCAGCCATTACTGAATGAAGGTATAGGAATACCTTCATACATTGGTAGCTAGCCCCAGAAGAAGCGTGCCTTCTCACGTATAACCTCTTGGGTTATAGGGATATGATTCTCAGCGAGCTTTACCCAATGGATAAGCGCTTTTTCGAGCTCCGGCCACTTAGCGATTCGGGTCCGCTTAGCACTAAGTTGATGCTTCGAAAGCTCGTCGTCAAGGTGACAATATCGGGAGGAAAGGATCTCAGAGATTGTTGAGGGTGATAGACAATGATTGTAGGTTTGTTGGAACCACTGAGCAAGCTGTTTATTGGATAACAGGGTATTGTTTCGACGGTACTCTCGGAGAGCGATCTTTTCGGAGGTAGGGATAGCGCGGCGAGGCATTTTGATTGGTTAAAAGGTGAGTATGTAATACCTGGATATAGCGAATTTAGTATGGTAGGATTGATGAAGGAACGAAATTCGCAGTAAAGGGGTAAATTCGTTATTAGTATGGTGGATTAATTGAAGCACCGATTTCCGATCGTAATAACCAGGTATTCGTAATAAAGGGGTTCGTTATAAAGGGGGTTTACTGTAACCGAAAACCGTCTTCGGGTAATTGTCACTCCAGGACGTCCACGCGTAACATGTGAGAATTTGTTTTCAACTGATCTGGGTTCGAAACAAATTTCAAAGTAGAGTTAAGATTCAAATTAAAATTATTTTGTTTCCAAGGTTCGAGTTCATTTAACCTTCAAATTGAACCTTGGGAGCACGTGGATCACGTGGTACAACCCTCATGCAGTAAAATTCAAAACAATGTCGGTTTGTATTTTTCATTGGCTTTTAGCATTTCTTTTTTTTTTCTTTCTTTTCCTTCTCTGCAATATCTACGGGGTAAAACAAATCAACAGCGGCAAAACGGTTGCTCAGCAATTGGTCTCGACCTGTCGATTGCGTCGCTGTGCCTTGCCGCCCCTAGCCCGGCGCGTCAGTACTCGCTCGGAGTTAATATCCCGGTGGACCGGCGGCTCAGCAAGGGGAGAGCCTCAGTCGAACCCATATCAACGTTACTGTGCCATGGCTGAGGAACTTGGTGCTTGTCACCAGTCATTAGCGCTCTAGAATCAATTGATAGGCCATCATTGATTTCTTTCCATCCTTGGCCCTGCTGCACGATCGCGCTAGATCAGAAAATGAACGCCTCTTGGCTAATATCACACTCGGCCAAAGCCGATATTATACTACACCGTGTTTGAATTTTCTTGGCTTCGGAATTGGTCTTATCCTTTACTCGCTTGACCTCAAAAACTTATTAAAAATGCCTTGTCATCATGCAGTCTTTCGCATTTTAATCGCGCAGAATTTGCGATTATCACCAACTGCGCCATAGAAATGAGCCTTATTCGCCTACATCCACAAGTCGGGGCCCGTTGCAAAACAGTCAATGAAGTCACCTCCTACCGTGTCGAGAATGATTTGTGGTGGATTTTGGCTTGGGGGACAGCCTCCTGTGAATTCGCTTGATTCCCGATACTACTTTCAGCGGTCTGCCTATCTAGTCTTACAGCACAATACCATGGAGGTCTGGAGCCAAGGCTCTTTGTGTCCTATACAGGGGTCTTAACGCACGTACATCTCGGAACTACGTTGGATATCCCGAGACCCGAATTTCAAGAAGAGTCATCACAATCCCATCGGCCTCATTCAATGAGTCGTATCTCCTGCGCCGCTAGTGAAGACTATGAGAAAGCTGTGGCAGGTGCCTTCTCTAAAGTATGAGCCACACATTTAGGGTTAGGTATCAGGATCATAGAGGTTTGTCAGATGGGGCAAAGCATGTTCCTGATCCACGCTTCGGCCGCAGCGTTGGCCCTATGGGGTACCATCCAGAGAGGGGTCAATGTTGGCGCTCAGAGGATGAGCCCTAACACTGGCTACGGCGCTTTTAGAGTGATGTCAAGTGCCTCCTGCAGCCTGTGGGATTTGGAAACTGCATCGGTAGTCACGCTTAGGGCTTCGGTCGCCTTCGGGCAACCCCTGCTGCTCGCGAACCCCATATCAATAATTGAATCCTCCTGGAGGCACACCACACTCTAACGGCCCACCTACCACGGACTCTGCTTTCTGTTGGTGAAAGCATATGCCCTGGATATGGCGCATGTGAATACCATTTTATGTCCTCCATCACCTTCTCTTTGACTGCGCAACAAGTGATCACCGAGTTACTGCCTGCATATGGCGCATCTGGATGGGTGAGTTACAGCGCTTGTGAAGGGACGGAAGGACTGAACCGTTCCTACGAATGTCGGTGATGGGTTCTTGCTTTTTTTTCTATTGGGTTGCGCAGTCACTTCACTTCTCTTGAGGTAGTCATCGAATACTATAAAGCCAGACATGGACCCCCTTCCTGCTTCTCACCATATCGATCAACATCTAGTCTTTGAGATCTTCGAACTCAGTGATCTTCAATTCGCCGTACTTGTTTCTGAATCCTCTGCAACTTGACCTCTTCACTCAAACTTCAATATGTGTAGCGTCTACATCTTTGAATACGCCTGCGGTTGCAAGCAGCAAGAACAGGGTGTGGTGCCCTGCGCCCATCAAGGCACTCCTAAGTGTCTAGGTGTCCACGAGAAAAGTCGTCAACGACTTGACGTTAATTGCACTCGTCACGGTGGCTAAATTGGTTCCGGGTGTGAGTTATATCTTTTATATTGAGGCAGCCGTTGCTCTCATAGGGTTTGGCTAACAAGACACTATAGGCACCCAATGCCTCGGAGGCTGGAGAACGATCCATCGCTTTGTCCCATGGTCATCCAGTGAATGGGTCACCCGCCCTGTTTGTGTCTGCTTCAAGATAGAAGAAGATGCCCTTGTATCACATCTGCTATTTGGTGACAATCTTATTTGTTGCCTCGCGTCGGTCATTTTGGAATTTGGGTGGACACTTTTCTGTATCTGGCATTTCGGGCTGTCGTTTTGACTTTTCTTTTTGCATTCTTCCTGTCACTATTCGCCGGTGGTTCTCTGTATTGGCCTGTCTATCTACGCGTGCTCGGATCTTCCTCTCCTTAGACAATACTGTCCCGTGGACAGAGACCACAGAACTTGGCATTTTTTTTAATACGAACTGAATGATATTATTCTGGTTTTATGAGATTTTTATATTGCCATTTGCTACTCGTGCTTGAGTTCTATAGCCTTCTGCATACGGATTCCGTTATTCAACAGTGATGCCAGGCCTGCATTGTGTAGGCAATAGCCTCATAGTCTGTGATAGCCTACTAACCACACGGTTGTCCGTGAGACCACTGTCTCTTGCGCTCTACCCAGGGGTGGCCTAAGACGTGTGCTTCCGTTGGCGGCTCTCGCGGGTTCGAATTATCTCAACGCCACAGCAGGATGTCCACGTGTTATATCACAGCAATCGTTGTCCGAGTCTATATTCGATTGATCTGCCAAGAGGATCTTCGGTATGCCGTATTTTCACGAACACAACACAACCAATGATATGGCATATCTCTGTCGTTGGTGGCAAGAAGATTTGTTGGACTATATGACCAATAATAATGGATACTTGAGATGCTCTTGCGAGATTGTGGTAACAGGGAGAAGTGCGTGCAAGATGGGGCCCAACGACTGGGGATGGCGCATGTTCCACCATGTTTCTCTGTTTCTAGTAAAGTAGACTGGACAAAAAAGCTCCAAACAATCTAACACGCTCTGCATCGAGGAATTGACGAGCAACTCCCTTCAATACGGTATGTTTACCTTTTAAAGCATTGTAGGACCTAGTAAATCCACATGAATGAGAAGTCTGCTATGGTGATACGGCGAGGATGTGACGTTACTGTCGGCAAGGCCGAATGTATGTAAATTCCCTATTGGCGAGAATGGGCTCTGGCCACGTTGTGCATACGCGAGTCATGCATTTTAGCATTCTGGCTTTCTGCGGTGTCGATCGGACGCTAGATCGTAGGAACGAACACCCTCGGGAACCTGTCACATCGGAGTTACAAGGGTATGGGCGCCTGGAAATCGGTTCCATCCTCTCATCGTATGACACAAAGTCAAATGAAGTCCAGTCCGCAAAAAAAGGGAAGTTTGTGGACAACGCTCTCGGACTGTCCAAGATCTGGAGGACTTTCCCGGGCAAAACTCGGTCAGTACAATGTCGAGAACGCCGGTAACATTAGACGCGGCTTGGATACCCAAGCTACAAGGTAGGTGATAGGCTGCACAGACACCTGGGTTGCACTAGTCCCGCATATGATATATATCAGCTGATTTTCGGTGTTGAGAATCGACCAATATCCAAAACCCTGGGTTTGTTGGTTTATTAATAGTTCTCGGTTTTCCTAGCCTACGCCATATATCTTCCGCATTCTACTTCCTTGATCAATGAGTAGATACATACCTATAGGACTGTTATCACACCTCCAAGGCAAGTCTATACCATATGGCTCTGGATAGAGGAAGATTCCGAAGGATTCCATCCGAAGTTGGAAGAATCCCCAGGAGTTTGCCCCACGGCACGTCAAAGCTCCTTGCGTGGCCAAGTGGCTTTTTTTTCTCTTTGTTTCTGGCGCCGTAGTTGGCCATATCCAGTACAACATAGAATACAAGGGGTTATCCCGGTATATACCGTGTGCCCCCCAGGCTGCCTCTCAATGTCATCATCTTGTACGAAGTACTGTACAAACTCATACCTATGCCAGCACAGGATGGCCGAGAAACCCAATTGAATGATCATTCTTACGCTTCTAAATTCTGAGTTATATGCTTGCAAAAGTGCACTGTACGCTAGTTTTGAGAGAATCATTGGATGTGCACGAGTATCTCGTCTATGCCAGAGAAAGTAGCTCTCACGTGTCGCTTACAACCTTGCAAGGTTATGAAATTAATCGCGGGACAATCCTGCTTTTACAGCATACGGTGGAACTGAAGCGTTGGAAGTCTTATATGTACCCTAAAGGGCGCTATGAAGTCCCTGATAGTTCGGAGGCCTGTGCCACTTAGGCTCAAGTCGCTCGTTTTGGACCTAGACGGGGGATTAAAATAATCTGAAAATAGTACGTTTTTTTTCTTCACACATTACTCCCTCAATCGTCGAGTCAGGGAAATATCTAGGTCGACCGCAGGGACAATACCCGCTTCCGCTGGAAAGTATGGCTCAAAGCTACTGAGACTATCGGCTGATTGTCCAGCTCAACAACAAGAGTTCTGCGACGCTGTGTGTGGGCATCTACAGTCAGAGGATACGTCACGGTTGTTCTCCCTTCTGATCGACTTATAGGTGTATCACCGGCGGGCTGCTAATCAACTATGAGTAGGCATGAAGCATCAAGGGCAGTGCGTCATTGATGATCCCTTCAATAGTATAATGGCGGAATTATGCAAATCTCCTCTTACACGAGACGAACTCAAGGTCAGTGATGGGATAGAGTTCATCTCTCATAAGAAAATTCAAGTTACTGAGGCGGAAACAGACCAGTCCTCCAGCATACGCAATCTCCGACCCGATCAGCTCTGATTCCATCAGTTTATTGCAGACAACTACACCATCCTCACGGCGGGTGAATATAAGCCCCATGAGCTTTCGGCGGAAACTCTTCATTTGCTTCGACCAATGAAACAATGGGAATATGGGAAGAAGTGATACATTCAAACAAAATACCTACCGAATTGGGCGAAAAGGTCAGACACAATGCTGAGCAACTTTTCTACTCTACTGTCGCTCAGAGATACCATGTGACGATTCAGAATGGAATCTTCCTATGTGATGAACGGAATTGCGGGTGTTTTTCTCTGCGTTCCATATGATAAGCCTAATAGTTTGTACTACTTTTTTCTGTGATACTGATAGAGCAATTGGACCAAATTTTCAATGCCCAAGCACCTCAATCCCCTGTGTACTATCCTTCTGCCTGGTGGCATTCCGATCCCCTGTGCACGATCAGACTTGGAGAAACGAGGCAGAGCAGAAGATCCATCTTTGGAACACCGGCTTCGACCATAGTCATTCTAAGTCAGGAAATAATTGCAGCAACTTCTTCAATCCGATGATGGTAGTTTCGATTCTGAGAAGATGGGCCGGGAGTCCCATTTAGACTATCAACCACCGTCGCCTATATTTTCTATATCTGTATGCCTTACGAAAGATTTTATACATGCCGTCTTTGGTGATACCGTATACGGTCGTTGGAAGGGAATAACTACAGGACTTCGGAAGGAAGCCTTTCACGAACCAAAGATCCACCATATTCATCGGAAAGCCCAAGGATCTGCTGTGCGTGTTTTCCTCGGTACAATCAACTTGACACTGATCTACTTTCATGGGGTGGAAAACATTTCTCATATGCTAATCATGGCTCATGGGCTAGGGAGGTGAGACCATAGTCAATACGGAAGTGATCTCGGTGCTCCGTCGGGAATTCCAATCGTTGAAAAAAGAAATTCGAGAGCTAAGAGCTATTCAATTTACCAGGATCTTCGGCGTGCAGATGTCCTTGGGAACCCTGAGCTCAACCGAGCCTTGATCACTGACTTTCATCTAACTTGGATCCCCATCAAAATCCCGAGCGAAGAACAGATCAAAATAGATAGGGTCACTGAATAGGAACAGTCCACGGTTGCTATGAAAGGTATTATATAGGAATTAGCACATAGTGCATAACGAAACATTTTATCATTACATGGATGCGCCAACTGGTCAACATCATTTATATCACGTGGTGATACCGTCACTCCGCTCCTCAGCTTCCGATTTCTCCCACATCAAGAGCGCTATAGTGGTGCATATGTAATGTCAATTGAAGTCGACTGGGCAGCTGCCACCTCCGGCCCGGACGGGGAAGCCCTGGCAGAGCGAATCCGGTCGTTCGTACACGACAAGTTTCAAGAGATCACCCTACCGCGCTTTATTCGATCGGTCCAGGTCCACTCCTTCGATTTCGGGACCATCGCCCCGGATCTCGAGATAAAAGACCTCTGCGAACCGTTCGCGGATTTTTACGAGGAAGATGACGATGATGCCGACACCTCCGTCGCCTCAGAGGAGCTCATGTCCGAGCTCCACGAATCCCCATACGAAGATGACATGACCTTCAACCCAACCGCGCATAGCCTTCATAATTTCAGTCATCATCCATACCCCGGCGAAGGCTTCCAGCCATCTGCGCTTCGATCCCCACTAGGTGATCACCTCAACCCACATTTCCTGCCTCGCGCCAGTACACCCGGTATTCCTGGCGGTACGTCAACACTCGGATACCACATGCGGTCGTTGGGCGGTCTATCAGGCACTCAGACACCACTTGCCGCCGTAGCAGGTGGCACTTCATTTGCAAGTGGATGGTCGGATTCAGGTATGGGCGCTGGACCTAGGTCCCGAGCAGCCCGCCCTGCTGGCGCACATCACCTGGCAGAGGCAGACCTAGATACCACTCATTCCGCGTCCCGACCCTCAACCGCCAACACGCTTCCCTCCCATCCCTCCCTTGGCCACACCGGTAGCAGCGGGTCAAATCCGCATAATAGTGACCCCATCGACGCGCCACAGCCTTCGATAGAGATACCAGACGACCCCGCCGGAGATCAATCTTTCCCCATCCCGCCGCGCATGCGCGAGCGCCGTCCTGAGGACTTCCAGGTGCTGTGCCATGCTAAATATGCTGGCGACGTGCGCATGTCCCTGACCGCAGAGATCTTGCTTGATTACCCGATGCCCAGCTTTGTGGGTCTGCCGTTAAAGTTGAACGTTACAGGCATCACGTTTGATGGAGTTGCCGTTGTCGCGTATATCCGCAAGCGAGTGCATTTCTGTTTCCTTTCTGCAGAGGATGCAGATGCACTGCTTGGATCTGAGCAGTCCCAGGGTAGCCAAAATCCTAGTAATGATGGTCGGCCTCGGTCTGGGAGCGATCAGAAGGAGAAGGATCTGAAGCGACAGGGTGGGTTGTTACAGGAGATTCGGGTGGATAGTGAGATTGGTCGCAAGGAAGATGGGAAGCAGGTATTGAAGAATGTTGGGAAGGTTGAGCGGTTTGTGCTCGCGCAGGTTCGAAGGATCTTTGAGGAGGAGCTCGTATATCCTAGCTTTTGGACATTCCTGGTTTGACTTGTCGACCTGTTGTTGTCCAGCCGTGATCAGCCGATCCATATACTATGTACATTTACGAATAACTTATGATCTCTAGACGTGACGATTATTTTGGTCTGGTCCTTAGCTCTTAATGAACTCTAACGCGCTTGCGGCGACCAAGTCTCACAGTAGTGCACCAGATACCAACAAGACTATTAAATATCAAAGGGTGAAATCGTATTGGATATGAAAAGTGCTATAGAATCAGCACTATGGATCCTACCGAAAAATCTTAAGAGATATCAGCTAGTACATGGAAATCAATGCAGCGTGAGAGAACTCGTAGCAGCTGCAAATCTCACTTGTGGTAGTTATGCACAGTACTTGATCCAGAATGTGTCGATTGATTTTGTTGCCGAGAGGGTTGTAACAAGGGAGAAGGCTTTGGTTCGAAGTAAACATAAAGATGTGCGAGAGATAGTCTGCCAAAGCTTGGGCTTCGACAGTCTGAATCCAGCAGAATCGAACAATGCAACCCTTTTACAGGTCTTTCTTCTCGTTCTTGTCGCCCTTTTCGTTGGAAATCTGGTCACCCAGACTGTGGTACTCGCGGGTCAAACCCTCGCACTGCTTCTTGAGAGTCTCGATATCCCGGTCCTTGGTCTCGATGAGCTCCTTAAGACGACCGATCTCGCCGACTGAACCAGCCTCCGCGATACGGGCAGAATCCTTTCCGCCGGCCTTTTTGTCACCCTCGAGGAGACGAACGCGGTCCTCAAGGCGGAGAGTCTCGAGAATCATGGTGTAGGTGCGGTTGAGGATCAGGGAGAGGAACAGAGTGAATCCACAGAGATACATGTTGCGCTGCGAGTAGAACTTGCGGGCCTGTACCTCCATGCGGTCGGTGCCGAGGTGGGCGGCTCTATTGATGACAGTGGTTAGACATTTTGCTGGAATACCCGAGGATTGCCTACTTACCCCATGCCGGGGCCGTCCTTGGTGAAGGCGGAAAGTTCCTGCTGCACACGGTACACACGGTTCACGGAGTCGAGGAACAAAATGAGGATGAAAATAAATGTAATCTGGGGGCGAGTTTAGCTGTGCGACTGAAGATTTCAGATTTCTTAGGTGGCAATCTACCTTTAGTCCATATTGCAGCTTCGCGATGATCGGGCTCTCCGAGATGAACGCAAACAGCTTGCGTTTGATGGTGTGAGGGAGAGGTATGACGAGGGCCAAGAATACAGCCATCTCGAACACCAAAAGGAGGAACACCTATCAAATAGAGCTGCGTCAGTATACAGGGGCAGGAACTGGAGACATAACGTTGGCAGCTTGGGTTGGGTGGACAGTTTCAGGCTGCAGGCTGCAGCGATTCTGGGGCAGCACCACAACGCGCAACGGGGAAGGGATTTGGCGAACTTACAAGGGAGTAATAGAGAGTCATTTTGTCGTATATTATCAATCCAGCGACTGTTCGAAATTCCTAATCAAAAGGGGCGGGGTGTCGAGAGCCTTCACAAAGATCGCTTAGGGGGGGCAATGTAAACAAATGCGAGAAACAGGAATTCTGTAGTGAACAAGCACGGATACAGAAGGATTAAAGCAAGAGAAAATCCGATCAAATAGTGGAGGCAATTGAAGGGGAGATCAAGAGACGAGGTGGTCTTATAGAAGTTTTTCAAGTTCGGAGGAAGACGTCATGGCTTCGGGGGATCTGCACGTGATGCTGTCATCAACCCTAATTAGGACAGGATCGATTGACTTGTCGTTCCTGAGACATTTGGATGTTTACCTCACAGATGGCGCGTTACTTGAATTGGAATGCTTGAATTCCCCCAATATGATTCATCCAATTGCTATGTAACACTGAAATCCCTTATATGTATTTATCACAAGATCTACATCTACGGAGTCACTAATGTTAGATCTCAAGATTAGAGATCATCATTCCATTGTCATTTCACCATAGTTCCCAAGTCTGTCGGACAAATCGACACACCAATTATATACTCCGGACTCCGTACAGATACATCGTGTTCGATGAGTCACCGGGAAAGGATACCCCTCGAGTGGGGAAGTTTCGGCTATTGGGGTAGCAATATATATATATATATAGCTATGCAACATCCACAAGTCTTGATCCTGACACTCCCCATTGACTGTTCTTATATCTCCTCTCAAAACTATGGCCCACGATAATCTGAGCACCGAAGAGATTGAAAGAGCATCCCAGCTTCTAAGTGCGCAAGACAAAGCTGTCGCTCTCTTCGAGGAGATCGAACGTGATTTGATCCGACCAGGAATCACCGAAAAGACTTTAAATGCAGAAATTTACCAACTAGGACTCGATCGCTATGGTATCAAAACCCACTGGCACAAACGAGTCATCCGCAGTGGACCAAACACTTTGAGTCCGTTCAACGATAACCCTCCGGATCGCGTCATCCAGCCTGATGATATCCTAGTTGTTGACCTGGGGCCGGTCTTTGAAGCTTGGGAAGCCGACTTCGGGCGCACTTTTGTCCTAGGAAATGATCCACATAAATTGAAGCTGCGGGATGCCCTTGAGCCGATCTGGAATACAGTCAAGGCAAAATATCGCGAGAACCCAGATATGTCGGGCGACGAGCTATACAACATCTCCTGTCAGGTTGCGAAACAGGAGGGCTTCGATTTCGGTGCAGATATTGCGGGCCATCTCGTCGGGTCGTTCCCTCATGAACGTATTCCGCGGGATAAAATCTCACTTTATATCACCGAGGGCAATAATGACTCAATGGGCCTGTCGGGTCGTGATGGGTTCAAGCGTCATTGGATTCTGGAGATTCATCTTCATGATCGCGCACGCGGATTTGGTGGTTTCTACGAGCAACTCTTGACGGTCGATTAGGCTTTCATGGTTTTATGCAAGTCACACCAGCGTGAGCTCACTGATTACCGCGGTGAACGATGGACGGGGGCGACATATAATGTTGGTGCAACAATGCTCATCGAGAGCCCCTTTTAACGCATAAATAATTGCCCAAAGAATTCAGCGCCTTGCTAAAATGTCGGGGCAATGCATTCGTAATGATTCTATGTACAATTCTAGGACATGTGATATTTAGATAGAGGCCTTGTTTCAACCCTCAGCCTCGTAGGAGTTCGACTTGTGCTTGGGCTCGAACTTGAAGGTGTCGGGAGCAGGACCCAGGAACATTTCGCTATGAAAATGATGGATGGTTAGTCAATCAATTCAGAAAAAGGTCAGTGAAAGCAAACTTACGTGATCTTGATCCAGTCTTTGTAGTTGCCACTGCCCATTAGCGTCTCCAACTCATTCCGGCCGCGCCAAGCAGGGGGTCTGTCTTGGATGTTCGGAGGAAGGTATTCCAGCAGTCCGATTGGAACATAGCGATAGGTAAAGCTCAGCCATTCGAGCAAGAAGCGACGAGTCGTTCCAACGCCATGCTCGTCGGAGCCCCAGGCCATGAGACCGTACTTGACGAACTTCTCAATATAGCTCAGACGCTCAGTCGCAGACTTGTCCAAATATTGGCCGGTCTGGATTTCCTCAAAGATCCAGGGCTTGATCAAAGCTCCACGAGCCACCATCACAGAGTCCACACCAGCATTTTTGACGTGGTCGTCGTAGTCAGTATGCGAGTAGCAGTCGCCGTTTCCGATGAAATAAGTCTTGCCACCATTGGGCATGTGGCGCGCATCCGGCTCACGGATAGTGTCGGTAAGCGCATCCTGTTTCTTGTTAAGACGCTTGATGAGAGCCGCACAGTCTGAAATGTATCCCCAGTCTGCCTGTCGGGTGTAGCGCTGTTGTCTACTACGTCCATGGAGAGTAATGGCTGCAGCACCTGGGGGCCCGAGGTCTAAAACACTAGACTCGTATCCACCGAGGACCATACGCTCGACCAGCTTTTGGGCGGTAGGCTGGTTGTCCTTGGTTCCCATGCGAATCTTGACGGTAATTGGAATCTCCTGCGAGACAGTATTCATGCCGCGAATCATCTTCTCCAATTTGGAATGATGGTCAAGGAGAGCTGAGCCAGCTCCATCACGGAATACAAGTTCAATAGGGCAGCCGCAGTTCAAGTCAATGACGCGCAAGTTGGGTGTAAACTTTGACAACACCTCAGTGGCCTTAAGAGCTTGCCAAGGCTTATTAGCAGCAATTTGGGCGCCGAACCTGGAGTCTTTGGAATTATCGTAGCCCTGAACAATATTATCGCCCGGGATAACGGTTGGTGGTGCCATTTCCGAGTCGTGCGCCTTCACTAGGGCCCATTCGGACCTTGAGCCTTGGATCAAAGGCATACTCATAGCCATCTCTGAGTATGTGAATTGCGCGCCCAGATCCCCACAGAGTCTTCGGAATGGCATGTTGCCTTGGGTCGTGAGAGGAGCCAACACGGGTGTCTCCGGTCCGAAATAAATGCGACGCTTCTCTGATGGCATGAAGGGAGGCTCAAGGAACTGAGCACGGTTCTCCTGTACGTCGATCTTCGCTTGTTCGTCCGGTTCAACAAGCTCACCCTTGTCACGGATGGTGGATCGCTGGTGGATCGCCTTCTCCAATTCTGCAGACACTTCTGTGGCCCATTTGGTGTAGGAATCGGCCCGAGGGGTATCCTCCCGCCTTCTCATAAGCGCGATTTTATCTTCGTTCGAGATGATGTTGACAATTCCGTCGGGCGTTGCGTTGGCCACACGATGCTGAACCTTCTTCATACGTTCTGTGTCCTCCAGCAAAATCAATTCTTTCTTGCCGTCTTCGGTTTCTCTCTCGGTTGAGTGTGAGCCAACCATGCGACATTTCCAGCCGGAATAACATTTGCCTAGGGTTTCGTAGGCGGGGCACATCTTCAGCGTTGTAAGATCCTCGCGCTTATGATCTTTCAGATAAACACGCAAATCGTGCTCAAATCGACATTTCTCGCCAAATTGGCACTCTTCGGCGGAGAACTCGTTGGCAAACATTCTCGTGCTGCAGAGGCCCTTCGCATCTTTGGATGTACCATAACTGCGATTGGTGTTTTGGCCCTTCTTTTTCTTCTTTCCTTTGTCCTTCTTACCACCATCACGCTCATCGCGGGGAGCGGCCTCGGCGGCATCATCGGGACTAGTCTCATCTGCAGGGCGGGGCTTTGGTGTGATTTCGATGCGGTACCTGAGTAGCAAAAATTAGCAGTTTGCGATCCCTAAGGGGGAAGTCGGACATACTCTGCTTTGATCGGTGCCATTCCTCTATCGCGCATATCTACCTTTGCCGGTTGAGAGGGTTCATCCAATCGTGCCTTCTTGGATGGAGGCTCGTCCACGCCCGCGGCGCCAGAATCATTTGTGGCATCGCGCTTCGGAATCTCCATGTTCGGCACAGCAACGTTGGCCTGCAAAGCCTCGACCTTTGGAGTTTCGGGTTCTATCATATTTCGGTGGGAAGAGCGAGCTGTTCACTTAACTTCGCAATTGCTGTCAGTGAGGAACGTTCGGTCAAAATTTCGCATCCAGGCAATAAGTTTGCAATGTTTGAATTCGCTACAATTGGCTCGGTATGTTTGCGGGCCCTTTTCCTATAACAGGCAAGCGCAAACCCAAATCCCGCAGCCCCATTTATGTCGGAGTATACGAACCGGCATACCGGAGATTTAGTTTATCCATTTTGATCAGTATTTTTGAATTAGTAATCCGCCGCCCATATAAATTGCTAGGAAGGCGGATACTGCAATACAGAGATTTTAACACCATTGATTGGACCCCTACATTTCAGGATACCATTGTATTTGACAATTTATCATTGCCTCAGGCATAACAGCTTTGTAGGAGCATACAGACCGGCATACCGGAGGATCAATTAATCCTGCTGTTCAGTAATTTTAGATTAGTAATCCTCAGCCCATTAGGTGACTACAACATAGGTAGTTACCTAGGTAGGTATAATTTGCTAGGAAAGCGGATGCTGCAATACAGAGATTTCAACATCATGATTGGACACATACATTTCACAATACCACTTGAATTGACAAACATGTACAACACAAGATAGCCAGGCATCTCATCACGAAACCACAACTCCTCATGCAAATTTGGATTGAGCCCGATCAGAGGATAATATGAATACATGCAGTTGTATCAGATAGACCTCCCCGTCAGAAAGTCCATGGTGAGTTGTAGCTTAGTTTCCGAAGGACTAATTACTCTATCGGATTGAAACTAGAATATGAGGGCCTATTGCGAAGGTACATAGCGGCCGAAGCCTAGATGCGGGCTAAACTCCGGCGTGTTTGGCGCTTGGCACGATTATTGATTGGACCCCTGCGTTTTATGATATGGTCAACGCCTAACCCCGTGTTTTTGGCCTTTCTCTCCGTAATGACTCACCTCCTTATAGTAGGTAGCTACCACCTTCGGCTTAGTCCGTCTGAACTACTTTGCAATGACATGAGGGCCTGAGCTAGTGAACAAAGATGTTGAAATATAAAAAGCTGCTAGCCTGCGTACTTGCTGGATTAAAGTGTATTCTACTCCTCTTCACGTGATTTTATATTCCGGGAGGCGTCAAGTATGCCAGATATCGAAGCAAGATTGACATATCTCCAATGGCAACCCAGCTACGCTGATACTCGCCCCTATCAAATTGGGCAATTTGCTAGGCGAAGAATACCGGGGAAAAAACGTGAGAAGACGACCAATTTAGTATTCTGTGCGGCAGAACAAACGGAGACTATAAGGGATATCAGGGCTTTGGCGGAGGAGCCCCCGTTTAATCTTGACACTAATGGTTTCGCTTATAAAAGATGCCACGCTCCGGCTCTTACGAAGCCGTATGATTATTCGGACCAAGAAAAGATTAAGAGTATCTTTTTGCCGGAATGCGAGGCTATTTTGAAAAAGGAGATTGAGGCAGCCGATGAGATTCTGATTTTCGACTGGAAAGTAGGTAACGTGAATCTACTTTTGCCCACAGCCACTGACCTATATTTCAATGTTGATAGATCAGGAAGCGAAAAAGCGCAAAGGAGCGAAGACGGAGGAATCCGAATTTGCAGGGTTTTGCCCGGCAGGTTCATATTGGTGAGTTACAGATTTTTTTCCGTCAAGATGACCGAGTCTATCGGATCAAAGTCGATGAATGCTGACAATATTCAAGACACGCTTCTCACTCGGGATGAGGTTGGAACTCCCATGATGGAGCGTATTCGGAATCATCTCCCCGAGGAATCTCAACACCTTCTTTCTAGACGAGTCCAAATAATTAAGTGAGTTCCAGGATCCAGAAGAGTCTATCTCCCCCCTCTCTCTACCCTCCAAATGCCTTGGGCAGCAGACAGCCAATTGACTACTTGGCCCTAATTGATACGAATAGTCTTTGGCGACCAATAAGTGGACCGATTGAAGATCACCCTATTGCTATGTGTGATGGTCGAGCCTTGGACCTGGGTAACCTAATCGAAACAGATATGATACTTGGTGATTATACTGGTACTCTTCTCTATCCACAGTACAAGCCGAATGATAGATATCAATGGTATTATATGAGTGGACAGGATGTTGAAGACGTGCTTCTGTTTAAAAGCTTTGATACAAAGGAGGGCAGTGTCAAATGTAAGTGGTCGGCCATTCGTGTTATCAGCTTATACCCCTATTTTAAGCCCTTCCAAATTACGAACTGGAGAAGCCATACAGAGTACACTGGTCTAATAAAAATATACTGCAGATGCTCCTCACACGTCATTTACCCCCTTGAATTTCTCGGGAAAACCGTCTCCAAGGATTAGCGTCGAGGTCAGAGCTTTGGTATTCTCACACCACGAGTGAGGGAATCTAGGATACAGGCCTCTCAGTTGTCTAGGTATTTGTATGAGCTAAAATTGTATCTTAGCTACACATTGATTAGATTAAGATTTGATCCGCAACCTTACCTACCTACTTTTCGTTAAGTTACGTATAATTGAGATACTGTACATGATCGTTGTTGAAGTCCCGTTATTCTGACAGCAGGATCGTGGTCACGGTGCTTACCATTAGCGTTCTGTCGAACAAACGCGGCGGTGATCTAAAGGAGATTAGCGTGTTATGATCATTTTCCCGGAGTCAACTTCGAAGAGTGTGTAGGGAAAACTGATTTCAAGAAGTACTGTAATGCTTCGCCTCGCGTGAGATAAGTCTCCGGTGTATCCGATTTAACCAAAAATTCGGATAGACCTGAAGTGGGAAGTAGTCATGTTGGTATATGCCAGCAAAGCGAAGCCAATTCCCAAGGCGGGAAGCATTAAAATTGCCACTAGATAGTATGGTATTGCTACAACATAGCTGCTCGGGGACGATTCAGGGGCGTAATGCAAATTAGACTACATCGCCAGATCTTGCCTACTCTCAACTTGAGGATCTATGGAGTCATATTGACTAGTAGTTAGTCACACCTGCAGTGATCTAGAATGACTACTGTTAAAGCCCTAAGCCCAAAATGGCATTCTTAATGAGTCATGAAATGCTGTATGCCACGACAATTGACCGTAGGTAACTATGTTGTACCTATGATGTAGACAATGCAAAGCCAGCGGAACTATATCCTAATACAGATTAGGGTAGGTGGGGCCTGGTGAGATAAAGAGAGATTGAAGGTAATGGAGCATCGTAGTAAGGGGGTAAATTCGTTATTGCTATGGTGGAAAAGAAGCAGCGGCATCCGAGCGTAAAACGCAGGTATTCGCTATATCCAAATTATACGAACCCATTTTGCCGTATCTTTAAAATTATAAACATAATCAGGTAAGTTCCCAAAGGCCATCAGTGGTCCTGAAGGGAGTCAAGTACAGCCAAAAACATATGGACTGGCGGTGGATCGAACACCGGACTTCTCGCATGCAAAGCGAGCACTCTACCACTGAGTTACGAGCCCAATTGTATATATCTATTTATAGACTTTAGGAATGAAGGCTATGAAAAAATGAAGTTGGATTGAAAATTATTGCGATGATTTGAAGAGTTAGTGTTGGCTGAAAATAGGCCCCGACAAACAGAGAAGTCTAAAGACATGATGCACAAAAATAATAACTATCCTTTGTGCTTTTTTAGATATTGTTGGAGTGGTCGTGGAAGAAGTACCCAGCTGCAAGTTGAATTGGTATGACATAAATCAGATACGACAAAGATACTAGATTATGGTGGCAACTTCTGCTCCGTACCCATCGATGACCCACAGACTGCAAACCATGGAATTCAGCCGATCTACCTACCTATACACACTTATCATTAGCGAAGCACACATCTGTGAGGGTTGACTCGACTACTTGGCCTCCGTGGGGTGAAATGAGACATGTGTTCTATATGACACCTATGTCAAAATATGTGCATACTCGCACACCACGGCTACAGCATCAGAACTTGTGGATGTATTGCATCAGACGTTAACTACTAGCTCTCCGTCAAATCCTTGTGCCTGAGAAAAGTAATAACCGCGCTGATTACTGATGATCATCTTCTCGGTACCCTCCTCAATGTAACTGGCGTTGAAGTGAGTGTGCCCAAATGCCCATAATTGTACTTGCGGACTCTTCCAAATGTCCTGACTTGAGAGATCGCTGGCAAAGCCCGACGACAGCGAGCTATTTACATGCCTCGGATCAACTGCCCGCCCGTCCTGAGTAACTGGGCTATGATGCGTAAAAACCACGATCTTACGATGAGGCTCAGAGGCAGCGATGTGAGAGACCTGTCTATTTAACCACTCCAGGTCTGCTTCGTGAGCAGCAGTGTGATCGTCAACTGTCCAGTCCTTGATGTGGTAAAAGTCATTGAGACTATAGCTGACGTGTTCCTTATGAGCCTCGCTCACTCGCGAGAACAGTGTGCAACCCAGAACTGTCACGTCTGGCGAGAGATCGTAGCGAGTCTGATCCAAGAAGACGAAAGAACCGAGAGTTTCCGGATGTCCATCTTGTTCTGTAGTTGAACGCCGACGATCGACAGACGCCGAGAATTGATGGAGGGCCTGCTTTGTTTCCTCCCAAGTCGAGTGGTAGGGCTCATGATTTCCTAACAGGAAGAAAACAATTTGAAATTGACGCAACTGTGTCTCAATGAATGTAATGAAGCCTGCGTCCTTGGCAACTCCAATGTCACCCAGAAGGGCAAGATATGGCGCTTTGGGGGAGACTTTAAACAGATCATACGCAGAGGGATTTTCCAGGTGTAAATCTGATAATATTTGGAACGTAGACATCTGGACAAGCACAACGAATGAGGCAAGATTTGCTTTTGAATTTCGTCTATGGATGGATACCTAGGTAGATGGATGCTCGGGACAACAATGGTCAATCATATGCGATTACAAGTGCCCCACCAGGTGTGGCTAGGGTATGATGTGGCTGTGTTCATATAGTGTGGCGTAACACAGCCTCCTTCTGTCGAGTGGACGGGTCATCCCTCAGTTATCTAAGCGCTCGGGCATAGTTTCATAAAAAGCCCCTCCTTTACGAAGTCTGAAAATAGATTCCTCTCCTCCTAATCTTGAAGATTCCATTATCTCTTGTCCTTTGAAGTGTTTCCGAGCCTCGTTCACCCAGTTTAGTACCGGCTATTGTTCCACCTGTGGACGACGTCATAACCGTGTTATCAGCACCTTAATTTGCGGGCAGTTCCCCAATTGTGACAACAACCAGCATGGCGAGCGCAGCACACGACCCGCGACTGCTATACAGCGTCAATAATATTCGTGCTTTCCATATTCAAGATGGCGAGGAGCAAGAACTCACGCCGTCTGGTCCTCAAACCCTGTCATTGTTAATGGTCCCCACCAATACCTCCACTGCTGGTCCTGGGACAGATTGGCCTGAAGATTCACCGGAAGAGGATTTCTATCTTCATTTATATCTCCCACCTGAGCTCGATATTGCGATACCGGCGACCACACAAATTTTCCACCAACCTCCTGACAGCTATCTGATTCCCCGCTGGGACATGGGTCCCGAGGCTGGTGCTTTCATTCGTATCCAGTTCCCTAGCATTGGCACAGGCCCCAGAAACGTATCCCAGGATGATATCGATACCTTTGAATCCATCCTTGCTCAGTGCACTGCATTCCTCGAGCGCACTCCGCACCCGAAGGGGCAGGATCATGCTGCTTATAACCCGGCCGAGTACGCACCCGGCGAGGGTTATGTTGGAACTCCAGATACAAAGAAGGCAGATGCACATGGAAGAATTGTACTTGTGGATGAAGAAAATGGCAGTGTCGTTGGAGAGCTGGGAGATGGCTACAATGTAGTTGAGGATGCCGACGTCAAGCCTGGTTCTAAGAGTAAGTTTGTTGAATTACGAGCACTTTCCATCAGCAACCGACTAATATATCGCAAACAGGACCGGTGGGAATTGAACTTCCTGCAGAAGGCGGAGGCAACCAAGTCAATGTCAGTAATGTCTCCGAGGAATACCTGGCGATGGCCCGACACCCAGCGTATAAGAACTCGACCCTCGTTCAGAGTTCAGCTACAGCATCTCGTCTTATCGTGACTGGATCAACATATCTCGCAAGTGCGATTGCGAGTGGCGCGGAGAATTTCCAAAAAAGGACGCAGCCAAATGTCAAGCCTGTGAAGTTCTCAGACGCTACTCACACGCGCATCCGCAAGGTCGGTACTCTCTCTCATGGAGCAGCAGATCTTTCTGCCCGCACAGTCGGACAGGTCGGACGGGTTGCACAGAACCTAGGTGCGTCATTGGCACGCAAACAGGAATCCGGCAAGAAAGGCTTCGACAAACGCAACCCACCACCAGAATACAAACCTGGTGTGTTGAACAAATCAATGATCGCATTCTCAACCCTGGCCGATGGTATTGAGCAGAGCGCCCGGAACATGCTCTTCTCCGGAGCCAACGCCGCCAGCTCCATGATCGACCACCGCTACGGTAACGAGGCCGGCACCGTTGCAACCAACCTGACCGGCGGCATCAAGAACGTTGGATTGGTTTACATCGATGCCACAGGTGTCAGTCGTCGTGCGCTTCTAAAATCGGTTGCCAAGGGTATGGTTGTTGGAAGAATGCGCGACGGCCAACAGGTTGTCGTCGGTGGTGGTGACGGCGGTCAAGTTTCAGCAGAAGCCGCGCAGGCTGCTTCGGGCCCTTCTGGCTTGAGCGCCAGAGATCCCGTTGTGCGTCGTGCATCGCCTAACCCCACACCGCCTCCTGCATATGGTGCGTCAGGAACAATGTCCCTCGACGGGACGACCAAGTCAGGGGGCAAGCGGTAAAAATTTGGGGGCTGGCGCCCACGGTCATTACAGTGCTATGGGGAACGAGATCTCGTATAGGGGAGATGTTTAGGTTATATCGTTTTTGATGATCTCGGTACGGCGGCATGATTTCCCATTTTTCCAAGCTCTTCCGGCTTTGTCTATGTCAGATTTTTTTTTTTTTTCTCGATATGTAGATAGTCGAGTTTGTATATCCATGATAAAGTTCCGATCACATGCTATGCAGAAATCTCACACCCATTGGGTCTTTGAGGAACCCTTGGACAGATTTTTGGTTCTGGCTAGGAGTACTCTGTACAGCAGACCGTCTTTGTTAGCGTCAATCAACAGGCAAAACTTGAGGAGGTGAGGGTGGTTGGGAGGGTAAGCAACGGCGATGAGAAGCCATTGGACAGGGCTCCTCATATGCGGTTGCCGCTGGACGATCAATTGGGTCATAGTATAGATTGTTGAGGCGAAAACTGCCAACGCATCGCTTCGACAGTTGTCCATGGCCCACCTTGTCCAATGGTGGAATGCCATTTTCAGAGACTGGTTTGGTGAAGTAGAAAAGCTCTACAATATTGTACATATAATGATACGGAGTAGATGTATTGTCCAGGGAAATGTAGCGAGTAAGGTTTGGCGGACTATTCGGGAAGCGCATTACTCATACATATAAAATATATAATACATACCTATACATATAATACATACAGCATACACTATACATTGCAGATTGGTAAATGAAATTAAACAAGATTTGCTTAGATCGAAATTCAACCATGGGTAGCTACTGGTGACCATGGTTGGAGCTGTGGTTCCAGGGTTCGTGCGGGTAAATCGTTTTTGGTTCTAGCCCCTAAGTAGCCATATATACATTTAGTTTCCTCCGTACGGAGTAGTCCGTACAGAGTAGGTATCATACTCTTCTTCCAAACAATCGGTACGGAGTCCTGAGATAGGGAGTTGTCATTCTTACCGAAACTCGAAATCCAATACAAATTTCAAATCTCAAGGAAAAAAAAAAACCAGATCTGAGCTGTGATGGTTAATAATGATCATCCCAAGGTGTCCACTTGAGCATTCGAAACAACCCCCTATTTTATTTTTTCTTTTCTTGAAACCCTCTGACACTTTCTTTGGCGCCTATTTATTATTCGTGTCAAATCCATCTCCCTTTATTCTTGAGAGGACTCGAGCCCTTTTATTTTAGTACTGCAAGGGATCGATATATGGTCAATATCGAATCCACTCTACGGAGTACAGTATACGCGCACAACGGTGTCTTTGTCGCCATGGATCATACCAGTGATATAAGATGAAGATGGAAAGATAAATAATATCATATCCACAGAGTATATACTGTAGGAAGAACTCCGTACTTCGTGCTGCTACAGCTCTTGATATGTAATTAAATAGAATTTCCATGTATCCAAGCGGTCATATCCCAAAGACCCCAAGACCCGCCTCCCCCAGACTAACACTCGTATCTCACCTCCTCTTTTCCTTCTTCACCTTCTCATCCTTGAACCCTTTAGGCTTTTCTTTTTCTGCTTTTGGTCTCTTTCATTCTGTTCTTTGGGGGAATATCTTCTTCCCCCTTTTTCCCATCCCGGTGTTTCCCGTCTTTTTCCTCCCCTCGCGCCCCCTGTCCGCCCCTCCTATCTTCGACAATGTTCAACTGTTGTCGCAATTGATTCAGAGTTCTGTTGATCGGGTTCGCAATCGCGTCTCAGACACTTGCTACTGCGTTTGCGTGATCTCTTGGACAACGTGCGACCCTAAACCCCAAATCGTGGGTCTGGACAGAGGGGGACTCTGAAGTACTGCAGTGCAGGTATCTTGAGCTTTGCTTTCGTTTTTCGAGGAACTAGTGGTTTTTCGACGCGTCTTTACCTTTCAAAAAGGTTGCGACCTGGTGTCCTCGGTGTTATTGAACCTTCATCCAAAGGTTTTTTGCGCGATTGGTCGTAAGCTAGTTCCCCCCCCATTCCTCCGATCGATCTCCTGCTGTCAGTTGCCCAACCCCCCATTCCTGGGTAAATAGGCACATTTTTTTTGGCGATTATCGATAAGATTTTGAGGAAAGATCGAAGCTAACCGATATCTCAATGCCTATAGATTGCGCTTTAAATCGTCATCTGGCAAGTGCGACCGGTCGCCCCCGACTTTTTGCCAAACAATTCCCCCGGGAGGACACTGTGCTCCCTCGCGCTAATTGTACCAATCGCAATTGATAACCCAAACCTTGTCAGTGCCTGCAAAAGCTCCCTCGGACAAGTCACACAGCAAGTCTTGAAAGGCTTTGCGCATCTCCTAGAGGTATGATATCGACCGCGATACAAATTGCCCCCCAGCGCGTACCCGTTCCCTCCGCTAAACATTGCATCATTGCTCTTGTTGAACAGCTTGCTAATTTTAATAAGCCGTTTCTGAGGCTGGTCCCGAACAGCTTTTTTCGGCTATGAGCACTTCTCGTCAGCAGGCCGTGCCACTTCCCGCTCATGCCCCGATATCGACCAGCACATCATCAGCCACCCAGAAGAATGCGCGCACCGCCTTTCCCGACATGTTAGGTACACCGCCAATTCCTCCCCCGAGGACCTCATCTACCCACCACAGTCGCCGTAGTCCAAATGGAGCCCCTACCGAAAAAACAAGTGGTTCCCGACAAGGCAAGAGCAAGTCTGATCGAAAAGAAAGCCGCGATCGCACCCGTGAGGACCGAAATGGTAGGCCACGGAGGCACCAGCCCGAGGAGACACCTCGGGAGGCACAACCATCAAGCACGGCTCTAGTCACAAACCCCACTGAGTCGCAAATGGATAGTGCTTCTGGCCAGGGAGATTTTGTCAAAGAACAAAGCGCCGAGTTCAATTCTGCGCCGACCAGCGACCATGCTATAGACCCAGAGAGAGAACAGGTACGACAGGCCGGCACAGAAAATGCGTCTTCATCTGGTTTCAGTGCAGCTGGCGCCGACGGTGCGGAGGAGGCTCGTGGGCCTCGAAGTCGGCACGATTACAATAATGGAAACGTGATCAAACGCAAGGAAACTACGTTTGGCTCGTACATTCTCGGGCAAACCCTCGGGGAGGGTGAGTTTGGAAAGGTCAAGCTGGGGTGGAAGCGCGACGGTAGTATCCAGGTGGCAATTAAGCTCATCCGAAGAGACACATTGGGGACCAACCCAAGCCGACTCCCCAAAATTTACCGTGAAATCGCCATTCTACGGGAGCTGGCGCACCCCAACATTGTGCGCCTTCACGAAATGGTGGAAACCGACCGTCACATTGGTATTATCATGGAATACGCCTCAGGAGGTGAACTATTTGATTATATCTTAAATAATCGGTATCTCAAGGACAATTCTGCACGCCGACTGTTTGCTCAGCTGGTTTCCGGAGTTGGTTATCTTCACAAGAAGGGTATTGTGCACCGTGATCTCAAACTGGAGAACTTGCTACTTGATCGGAATCGCAACATCATCATTACTGACTTCGGATTCGCCAACACTTTCGACCCAGTGGATCCCCTGGACGAGGAAACCGAGTACAACTTGACCAACAAAGAATATGTGAAACGGAAGCGACTGGACAGAATTGGTCCAAATGGGCTAAGGCGAGGCGATCTTATGCAGACCAGCTGCGGCAGTCCCTGCTATGCAGCCCCTGAGCTTGTCGTGAGCGATTCTTTGTACACAGGCCGGAAGGTGGATGTGTGGAGCTGTGGTGTAATTTTGGTATGTTTTCCCTACCGCCATGACAATCGGACTTTGAACTTACTTGTTTGTGAATTTCAGTATGCCATGTTGGCGGGATACCTACCCTTCGACGACGACCCAGCGAACCCGGATGGCGATAACATCAACCTTCTTTACAAATATATTGTCACGACTCCTCTCACATTCCCGGAATATGTCACACCACACGCACGCGATTTATTGAGACGGATACTAGTTCCTGATCCCAGGAAACGTGCAGACCTGTTCGAGGTTGCCCGTCACAGCTGGCTCAGCGAGTTCTCGAACATTGTGTCTCACATCACAAGCAGCACAACAAATGTTGTGGATATTGCGAACACAACCATCCCCTCTGGTAAGGACTTATCTTTTGCATGTGTTCAAGCTTCAAGTTACTCACATATCTCTACAGAAAGCCAAAAGGAAGCACCGCCTCTTGTCCGCAGTGCCTCAGTGCGTGAACCACCGAAGGCACATCAGAACAGTGCTCCCGCTGTTGGTGGTTTGAATCATCATGCTGGGGATGTTTCCCAAGATCCTCCGTCCGAAAAGTCCAGGACTCCTCGCGATGCTAAGCGGAGGACGGTACAAGTCGAATATGTTGCTCCTCAATCACAAACGACCCGAGGAGAACCCCTGGTGGAATCATCTGCATCACGCAGCCGAGGCCCGGCTCCATCTGAGGCTCAAATCGCGGCTTCTGTGCAGCAGCCGACAGAGCCTACGCACCAGCCTACAGATGCACCGGTACTCAACCTTAACAAGCCACTTCCCAGTCACTTACCGCGCTCGACCTCGGACAACGCAGCACTTACTGGGTCCCAGGCGATAGCGATGTCTCAAGGGCCTCGGCCAGCTACTGGTGGATCTATGAACTCCTTTGGAAATACGGGTCGTTTGCCTTCTCGCGGATCCTATGGACAGCCGGTGGCCCCTACTGTTACCGCAACCAACACAGAAGGCCGCCTGGCACAGCCTAAGAGCAGGCAATTCGCTCTTGCACAGGATCCTGCACCGGTATCGAGCACCTCAATTGGTCGCCCAAGCACCCAGAACCAACAGCTGCCTTCAACCTTCAACACGACACCTCGACAAGAGCCGCCAAAGGGCCATAAGCGATCCAATACTGTTTCCAGCCTAGGCGAGAAACTTTTCGGTCGCTCCGGTTCAATATTGGGTGGCCGTTCGCAGTCTAACGCTACTCGTACAAAGCAGGACAAGCGTTACCCACCTGTCAGCATGAAGGAGCCGCTACCGAGAGAAAACTCTAGAATGTCTGTCGACTCCCGCCGCTCTATGCAGTACCCCCATAATCGCAAGGCAAGCGAGTCTGGGGTGGAAACCCGTCCGCGTAGATTCTCATTACTCCCACAATCCTTCTCGTTCCGGGGTTTCTCCAATACCCGGGCTCAGACCCCGGAAGAAACCTCGCAGATCCCTCGCCCCGTCGACCCCCGTGCCCCGCAACGCCCTGCTACGGGTCCTGCAGGTCCGGCGCAGGGTCGTTCTCGCGCGACAAGCTATGGTACCCAAGATGCCATGGGAATAGTCGACGAGGGCCCTGGCGAGGATGTTCACACCCAAACCGAGCCACTCAGCTACGAGGCCCAGATTGATCGACAGTTTGCAGATCTGGGGTCTCAATTTGATAATCAGAGCGGTTCATTTGGAGTTCCCTCAGCTGAGCAAGTCTACCAAAACTCCGCAGACCACCCTGGCCAGTACAATCACTCGTCTAAGCCAAACTACTACGATGATTACAATGGTCCATACGATAGCGTGCCTAGGCAGTCGATGCAGGTTGGTCGATCCGGACGTGGGCCGGGAGTTTTGCAGAAAAATCACCGCAAATTCGCCGACGCTTACGAATATGAGCGCGATGGGTCTCACCATTCCGGTAGCTCTGGGGCAGCACGTAAAGTCATGGACTTTTTCCGAAGACGTGCCAAATCCCGTGCCGGGGACGACCGTTGATTCGCCATTTGATACATAAAAAGCAATATTCCATCTCAAACCGGAGCAATGAGATTGGATTGACCAAGCACTCATGCAGTTTGAGCTTTGATCTTAGAAGCAGTTTCAACCTATCATTCTGATGCTTCTTTTGAGTTGCTTGAAAGAGCAGCGAGGTTGTTTGGATAGCCCGTGATACCCTGCTTTTTTCCCCTTCTTGTGCATGGATTCCTCTTCATCCGTCGGGTGTTTGATTAATTATCTAGCATTTCTTTTATTTCCTTTGTCTTGACTACATTTTCCTTGCTTCCTAATGTTGTGCTTTTCTCTCTGTTTCCCCGTTTTTTACCCCCATCTGTGATTTGCATTCCCTTCTCCTGTTACTATTATCTCTGGCTGTAAAGTGAGACCTTATTCGTGTTCTTCAGAGCATTTCACTATCCTCTTGAACCTTTATTTGCTTTCCATTGTCCCCTGTTAGCTTTTGTTTATTCCTTTAAGGGAAGCTCTGTCAACGATAATTCAATTGTGACACTATTTACATTCTTCTGTGCATCATTTTCTTCTTCGCCTGCGTCTATGTATCTTAATGCGTGGCCTTTTCCTTTAAGATGGGATCTCTCTGGCTAGTTGTTCTGACCTCGTTCTTGTTCTGTTGCTTGTGCTTGGTCTATTATCTGAGACCAGTAAGGTGGTCAGCACATTTATGATACTTGGCTTGAAGTAGCAATAATATGTCATTGTCAGGCGAGGGACTATATCTCAGTTGAAGTTTGGACTCAACATGTACTCTTATGCGATTGACATCGCGATATCCCTGGTTATACATTAAAAAAGTCGCTTCCTTGGTGTAAAACGAGGACATTAGAAGAATGGCGAGAAGACTACCAAAAAGACACCCAAGGCCGCATAAGTGATCGTCTATTATTGTAAAATATGAAGTCGCTCTTATCCGAGAGTAGTCTGTAGTTTCAAATGCTTGACCTTTACCAGGTCAGCCTCTCGATTCAAGCTCTCGACTTCAGCTGCGGCAAAAGGAATGCCCTCTGCCAATCGCTTCTCCTCAGTCATCATCTCGAGTTCTCCAGGAAAGTAGATTCGATCCACCCCGGCCATCTTCTCTGAATCAATAACCCGCTGATACAGATAATCCATCCTCCCCTTGAACTCCTCGATAGTCATAAACAAATCCGGCTTAATAGCCACCAAAAAATGCCCCACATTAGCTGGCTTTGACGGATCATATGGGTTGGTGACATGCCCGGCAAAAGCAGACCCAGAAAGCACACCGGAGAAAACATCCATCATAATAGACAGCGCAGAGCCCTTCGGTCCACCCATAGGCAGCATCACACCTTGCAAGGCCTCGGCCGGATCATCCGTCCGCGCCCCGTCTTTATCAAGCGCCCAATCCGTCGGAATCTTCTCTCCGCGCCGAAGCGCCTTATAGATCTTCCCGCGAGCCGCAATGGAAGGCGCCATATCCAAGATAAACGGCCTTCCCTCTCCAGCAGGCGCTCCACACGCAATCGGCGACACACCCATCAACTTCTCCTTGCCACCCCAGACCGGCAGCGCAGGGGAGCTATTTGTAAAAACAAGGGACATCATATCAGCCTCCAGCGCCTGCTGCACCAACCACGCAGACATGCCGAAGTGATTTGAGTGCTTGACGGAGACCATCCCGATGCCGAAGGTCTGAGCCATCGAAATAGCGAGACTCATTCCTTCGTGTGCAGCCACAAAACCGAACCCATTGTGCGCGTCGACTTGTGCGACGGCTGGCGTTACTTGGTGGATTGTTGGGACTGCGGTTGGGTCAAGGGCATTTTGTCGGATCCGTTCCATGTAGGAGGGAATCCGGTTACTGCCGTGTGTATCTACGCCCCGCAGATCGGCAGACACGAGACATTTGGAGACTATTTCGGCGTGTGCCGGTGATGTGTTGTTTGCGATGAGGATTTCCCTGACGAAGTTTTGGAGATCTGTGGAGTTGATGTTGCGCATTTCTTGGGATTGGTTGGGTTGGTCTGCCATATTGGAGTTGGGTGTTTTATTTTGGGGATATTCTAGCAGATTTGGGGTTGTGGTTTGTGATAACTGTTTTGTTGAGGTTCTTTTATAGACGGATGTGTTGCGAAAGACGGGGCGGGGCCGCACATATGGAGCGAGTACGGAGTATACGGAGTATGTGTGTAGTTCCATTTCGGAGTGTTCCGATTACATTGAGTTGATCTATCGTTTGACATGTAGATTAATTTTCTGAGTACCTAGATATAGATCATTTACTGTTATCAGATTGGCGGATCTGTATCGGTTCAGTGCAGTATGCCGAAAGCCGAGCACCGAGCGACATTTTGAGCTGATATCCTCATGGCTATCGCTTTCTGCGAAATATACTATGCTGCCCTGGCAATGACAGATTTGTTGATATGTCGCTTCCACAATTCGATCATATCGTGCGAGGCAAATTGCTTGACACAAGGACTAACCTAACCGGAATGGCCAATGTATTTGTCGAACTCGTGGTCGCCGGCTATGAGACTTTCAACTTCAGTGATTTTGCATTTCTCAAAATGAACCAATTGGCAAGAAAGTCACGCTTGCCCTCAGCACACGCAAGGATTATTGGAATCTTGCACCGGTAGTGCAACGGGTACTTGACCTTGACAGTGCCACGACAGGAGTAAAGGTTGACGAGTGTGTTGCTCAATCTTTTGTCAAGGGAGGAGTCAGTCTTGAAACAATCAAGGACTTTGTGCTCTTCATTGTGCTGAAAAAAAGACAATACGGGCCGTAGCTGTGAGTGATCGAGTTGTAGATTCGCGTACTCCGTATATGGATCATACCTCTCTGAATAGAAAAATGTTCGTTGTTCTGCCCAGACTTGAATGGCGTATGACATCATATTCGGCTGTGGGCGGCAATTGCCGTGTATTCGGCAAACACCCCTTGAAACCTTTGCCGTTGGAATATCAAAATCGTCAACTATGCAACGCAGGGCGCGTGCAGTGTGCACCAGATGCCACAGTCGTAAGGTATGATCAATATTATGACTGTCTTATATAAAGACTAATAGCGATGAAGATCCGTTGTGACCTAGAAGGTCGACCAAGTGGCGCTTGCAGCCGTTGCGAGCATGGAGGCCACATGTGTCAGTAAGACTATATCATACCGTAGGTTCCTAGAAGCCTATACACTGACATCTTAGGCCTCATATTGGACCCCGGAAGCAAAGAAAAGCCCTCCGCTCTTCACTTCATTCATCAGATACAAGTCTCCTGTCGCCAAGTGGAGCAGTCCCAGCGACACAGGAAAATAGAGTACAGGAAGCCACACCCTCTCACTCGAGTCCTCTTGGTCATCGGGATATAACCTGTTGGGGGCCTGGAGACTCCATTGGTTCACAACAGCCGAATTCCATCGATGGAAGTCAGCTCGTTCTAGAAGCTTGTCGCCTTCCGCCTCCCGTCGTCGCCCAAGCCCTTACGGATTTCTATTTCCGTGAACTTTTCTACTTCGTCCCAGTTTTAGATCGCGGTCAATCTGAGATACAAGCCTCTACGTTGCTGCAGCAGTGCCTGTATTTTGCGGGAAGTACCATGCGTCAAACAGCAGGCCCAGCCGAGTGGACCACATTTGCCATTTATGGCCGGGTTAAAACATTACTCTTTTTGCACCACGATCCAGCTCCACTGAATATGCTCAGCGCACTCTGCATTCTCAGCACTTGGCTTCCATATTCCCCGGACGCGGTAGTGCTAGATAACCCGTGGCAATGGACTGGTATGGCGATCCGACTTGCGATCCAGTTACATTTGCATGAAAAAGAGGCATATAGCCGATTGGAGCATCCGGAGAGAGCACGCAGAATGTGGTGGTATCTCTTTATCAACGATACTATGCAGACGGCCTGCTGTGGGCGCCCTGGAATGTTCCCCTTGAAAACGTCTGTACCACTGCCAGTTCCCAGTGACTTCAAAGATCCTGATCTCGGATCAAGCGTTTTTTGTCAGTTGGCATATCTCTGTACAGGCCTTAGGCAGGTTCTGGATCTGGCTCGAGTTGATAAAACCTCCTCAGAGGAAGTGAATTCACTTCTAGAGACACTGGGACTGCAGAGACAAGTGTGGCCTCCCGAGATGCAACTGTTCAACACAGGGTCTAGACAACCATATAGCCGCCCTGTTGTTGAACTCCACATATTTTACCTGGTGACTGTTATCTTGACGTGCTTCCTTGGCCGCCAGCACAACCCGTCGTCATTCAAATACGCCTCAATGACTGCTTCATCCTGTATTTCTCGGCTATATGAGGAGATTCTCTACCACGAGGATGTTCGATACTTGCTACCAATCCATTCTTGGGCTAACCTTATCGCTGGAATCCCACGAGCTTTTAGCGACAGCGAGACATTGAACCCAAATCGAGACGAGGAGCTCAGAATCAGCAAACAGGTGCTGGAAACTATGAGTGAGAAGCATACCTCGGCTGCTTTTGTACTCGACAAAATCAAGAGTCTGAATAATATGCGCACAGATGCCTTTCCCGCTCAAGCTGATAATACGTGGGGTGCTCTTCCGGTTCCTGGGCAAATGCAGCTGGCTCAGCTCTTCCCATTTCCCTCGAACTTTTGCCCTATGCTCAATCTTCTAAGAACAGCGGAGGCTAGCGAAAATCAACCGCCGGACGCGCTTCTTACTTTGCCTACAGATAGCAATGATTGGCCGATTGACTGGTCTTTCTTCTTATTTGACGGTCCCATGAGCTTCTGACATCTCAAGAAAATACGATGCTGGGGAGCAAAGAGAGGAGAAGGTTGTTTGGACTCAGAAACAAACTAGACCCAGAAACAAATGGAAGCCTTCTTGAGAGGAAGTCCATGAAGACTCTTCAAGACTACCGCGAAGGAGATTGCTGAGTGGTTGGAGAAAGTAGGTTACAGACTATGAAGCTCAATGCTACTGTATGAAACCAGTGGGCCATGACATCTGTTTGAATTGTACAATGACTTGAATATTTGATTCAATAATCCCATACGTATGAGTGCACATCCAAAACAAGTCCACATAGCTATGAGCTTCTGAGACCAGCCACCTCGTCCACTCATCTTCCATCGCGATAACGTCCTGAGACATGAAGTCTTGTTGTACCTATCCACTTCGCTTGATAAGATCCATGTGAGGATATGCAGTGGACGAAAATGGGAACAGTCACTCTAGACATTCACTCGCATCCTGCAGGATACCATTACGAGATAGCCCAATAACGTCTCTTTAAAAGATATTGATCTGTTGAAGCTTCGTCCTCGTTTTCCAGCGGCTCGATTTTAGTCAGGACCATTGTAGCCCCGCCGTATTTGCCTCGCATATCTCGCATGATGGAGCGTAAGATGTCGATCTCATCTTTGCGGGATCTCGTTTTCGCCTCCGACTGTGGTTGGTATACCTGTGGGAGCGATGCGATCATATAAAGAAAGCCATGTGTAAGTAGCAAATAACACGTTTGCTCTCTGTAAGGAATCTTTTCATAGAGCTTAGCCATACAAAATACCGCGACAAGTGACCGCATGGTCGAATTAAAATACGGCCAATCAATTCCCCCGACGGATGAACTCGATCTTTGGAGTCTCGGCAAAGTTGGCGGTTAAACATCAGTTTGCCGAGTTTCGGCTATCTAGTATAGGTTCATTTATTTTAGTACTTTCTTGTCGAACTGTGAACATATTTTCTCCAACAGTTATTCTTGCACACTTATTATCACGTACAATCATATCATGGCATCCAATTTCAACACCGGTGGAGGTGTCCAGTTGACATTTCTCACAACGGGAACGGTGCGCATTAGACCCTCAATGCGCTCCCAACCAGTGAGCAAGTTTGCGATCTTTCGACGTCTCCGATCACTCTTTGACAGGACATGGACCGAGCCTTTGCCAGTTGGGGTATTCTTAATTCGTCACCCTGAAGGTCTCTTCCTCATGGACACAGGGCAATCTCCATGCTGCAACGACGCCGGATATTTCCCACGACTCGCTCTATTCAATGGCATCCTCAGTGAATTTACCATTGAACGGCAAGATGGAGTCCTGGAACAACTTCACAAGCTCGGAATCAAGGCAACAGACCTGAAAGCCGTGATTCTGAGTCATCTTCACAATGACCACGCCGGTGGATTAGAGGATTTGGTTGCAGAAGCACCGGATCTACCAATCTATGTCAGCCGTGAGCACTGGAATGCTTTTGGGGAGCATCCTCTCTTTGCAAGCATGGAAGGAGCAACACCAAATCACTGGCCAAAGGAGTTCTCACCAAAGATAGTGGACCTACAGGACAGACCACTTGGACCTTGGAAACAGTCATATCCTGTGACGGAAGATGGCAAAATCGTCATCGTCGATACATCGGGACATGTTCCCGGACATATCAGTCTGGTGATTTATGGAGAAGGAGAAGATGGGCAGGATCAAGTTACATACTTCCTCCCTGGAGATTCAACATATGGCCTGGACCTCTTGGACAAGGAACAGCCCGATGGGATCAACGATGACCCTATGCGTGCTTACCAAACTTTGAAGACTATCAAGCAATTTGCCAAGGAGACTGATGTTGTTGTCCTGCCTAGCCATGACATCAACACGCCTCGCTTGCTTGCTGATCGAGTAGTCTACCGGCCTCGCGAGAAAGAGTGATTTTGTTCCGATGCTATTGATCAGGTCGTGTCTTTCAAGAGACAAAAGCTATGTACTATGATGTATGTAAAGAGGGTGGTATTTTTGTTCTTGAGTTTTCATCACACATGACAGCCTTAATAAATGATATTTGACTCATAGTTCTCTATTTGTGTAGATTATCATGATATGCGATACACATCCTTAGTAGACCCACGATTTCTAGATCATTGATCTCCCTGTAGATGAGTGTTGTGGCTGTATTGTGTCGAAATCAAGGTAGCTGGTTCCGCTTCTGCGACAGTCCATACAGGGCAAATTGTTGCCGCTTGAATTTCCATGAAACTATCAGATTATTAGTAAAGGCAAAGCCACCAATAATCCCGACCAACAGAATCCCGATCAAAGGTCCGAGGATCGCAAATACTGTAAATCCATACGAAGCATCCTGGAATGGTGGATTGAAGGCTAAACGATCGGTCGCCAGTCCGACCTGCATCGCCGTCAATACCAGGGCAACGTAGACGGTCGCGGCGGTCAGCGGAGTAAGATAGTCGTAAAACAGCTCACCATATGTTTGGTAAGTAAACTGATAGCCGCTTAAGACGCTAGCATAGCGAATTGCATAAATTTTGTTCAATCGCGACAGTCTCAGCTCTCCAAACAAATACCGCGAGTTGATGTTCGCGGGGCTGGTCGCATCGTTCCTCAATAACTGCTGATTGAGCTTGAGCCACATCTCCCAGGTGATAGTATCTGGCAACAGATGGTAATTTTGTGCAATTAGGAAATCACTTTCAAACTGCACAAGAGCCATGTATGAAGATAGCAGACCGAGAGCGCATTTGTTTAGGTCTCGCGAACACGCTTGCTCTTGGATCACCAGGTTGCCTGGCGTGGAGTCACAACAGCGTCCCTTACAAACAAGATGTGACTCCCAAAATTGAGGATCAAAGAGATACCGTGGGAGTGGCTTCAGATGGATACGTTGAGGGTGCTCCCAGACCATATGCATGTCAATTCTCTCGTCCACGACAATTTCACGCGAGATTGCAAGCTGATAATTCAGGGGTTTGGGCGGCATCGGTTGGCCAGCTAGCCACAGGTATTGGTTGATGTGGTTCAGTTTATTGACCATCAAATCCTTTTTCAAGAATATTTGGATCTCTGCCATGGGGTTGATGCGTTTATGATCCACTCGGACAGAAGCTGGAAGGACATGAACGAGATCTGGCAGACTGTCAATAAATACATTTTTGCCGAATGGCAGTTGAGATGCCATCAAGAAAGCGAGTATGTCTGCGAGGTTGAAATATTGCAAGATGAAGAACAATGGGGCTGTGTGGCCTTGGCATTAGGTAGTCTTCAGGTGACTTGGCCTATAAATACTCCATATGCGGTGGACTGTGAAATATCTTCTCACCTTCGTCCCTCTTGATCATGGCTCCCCTACAGATCATTGTCACGGGTAAATCATCCATAACCCATGTCCCAGAACGTGGCACTCTGAGCTTCTCGGTGAAGGGAACCGGCCCCGAGCAAGAAAAAGTCGCCAAAGAAGTGGCAACATCATCTATCAACCTACAAAATTGGATCAAATCAACCTTCGACTCCTTGGCCAATGATTCCGAGTCCCCTCTGGTAAATTTCTCATCTACAAGTATCAGAACCTGGACCAAGTCAACAGATAGACATGACCAGCCCGTGTCAAACCCACACCATGCCAGTATATCCTTCAAAGCCGTCTTCCGTGACTTCGCCAAGTTGAATCACGCGATCGAAGAATTGCTGGTCTATCCCAAGGTCGAGATCGACGGTCTGAATTGGACTCTCACTGACGAAACTGGGAGACGATTGGCTTCGGATGCGCGCAAATTGGCTCTGCGCGATGCGATTCAGCAAGCTGAAGACTATTCCGAAGTGATTGGACGCGAAGTTGCAGTGGCGGAAATCGCCGACAATGGGGGAAGTCCCTACAGAGCTCAAAGACACATGATGGCTGCTAGTTATGGTAACCAGCCTGGGGAGGACTCTCTGCCGCTGGACCTGACGCCTCAGGATATTGATGTCGAAAGTAATGTCAGTGTCACTTTTCGAGCTGAATGAGATATGAGATGTTTGACTTGAGCATGTCCTCCATAGCTAGCCAACCATAGGCATTGAATCGAATTGATTGATGAGAATCTCTGGAATATGTAATGTATCCGAATCCTTATATTTCAATCTTCTTTCCTCCTCAGTTAGCATTAAAGACCTCCCACATGAGAGTGTCGAAGTCCGGGGCTCCGCCAAAGTCCATAAAGCCCCCGGGCATGGAATCATGCAGCCAACTCATAGAATCAACGGTTGAATCGTAATCATCCATAAAGGAGTTCGGCGGCAAGTTTTCAACGCCACAGTCAGCATGAAGTGCAGAAGGCAGCTCCAGTCCCTCGTTGGCAGTCTGCAGCCTCTGTGCCCTTGCTGTGCTGGAAGTTGCTTGATTTTTGCCTGGCCTGGTCGAGCTTGAAGGAGCTTCTAAGCTTCGCATCCGGATCAGTCTCTGAACAGTTACACCGGATAACTCGTGGATGGAATCCCTTGCGCGCTTAGCTTCGACCCAGTATTCCCCAATACTGCTTAGTATATTCAAACTGATACTCGTGTCAGCAACGACCTCATCAATCTGAACCTCGGATGCGATATGGGGCAGTCTCCACAAGCAATGTAGCATTATCAGCGTGCTCAAAAAGACGGAGTGAACGATTAGTCGGCTGTATAAGAGAGCTTCCTGCCTGTAAAGCTCTCCAAACCCGCGGAGGAGGTCTACAGCATGCTGAAAGCATCGCGCAAGCATCTCTTCCGATGGTTCGGGAATTCCGGGACTAGGTCTAAGCACCAAGATCATCATTTCGTGATACTTGGTTTCGCATATCTTCATGATAGCATCGCTTTCGCCTCCACTGGGGATATCTGCAAGCCATGTCTGAAGGCGTTCGATCATCTTTTTCTGCCACAAGAGGATGTCGGGTACCGGTGGGTAGGCATACTGGGGAGGGTCTCTGCAGATGCTGTGCATAACATACTTAATCTCAGAGTTGATGCGGGCGAGCTTGAAGAGATGAATAGAGAATGTCATGTGAGAGGTTGTACGATTTCTCGAGGTCTCGTCACAAATTGAGTCAAGAAGATCGTCATCAGAGACATCAGAAGGGAGCTGAAGGTGCTATTAGCCAAGCTCTATTAGAAAAACATGCCGCATAGAAGCACTTACCCGAAGCTCGCACGCCTCATCTCTCACCCCGATCGGCCGACCCATCATCGTGCCCAATGTACGATCAAAGCTGTATACAACCCAGAAGATGCGAGTGCGCATTTCCTGCTCCAAGAGCGAGATGGGGAATGTCGATGATGCTCGAACATCACGCTGAAGACCCAAGTCAATCAGTGAGCCCAAGCATTGGTAGTTCAGGCTCCAGACATTGATATCGCAAGACGGATTATGAATTCCATATACCATTAGCAAGAGCAAACTCTGGAGTCCTTCCAAAGACCCGTCGGCACAAGCACGTTCGAAGTACCGGGTAGCTGCTGTATAATAGCCCTCGGCCGGAAGCGGAATTCTAAACCGTCTGGAGAGATCTGAGGCTACTATTGCAAGCACCATGAAGACGTGAAATGCATCGGCTGAATTAGGAGATGCTTCATCACGATAAATTCTCCTAAGCTTTGTCATATGGGAAGGTTGGTGTAGAAACGGATATATGAGGTGGACTGAAGCAAAGTACTTCGAGGTAAGCTCCTCCGCATCTTCTTTGCGGCTTGGGAGCGGTGCTGGGCTGTTGAAAAATTCGGACGAAAGCGACATTGGCTTGTTCGCATTGCTATGGTCTCCCAATGGCCCTGTTCGTCGGCCAGCGCTTGAAAATATGAGGTTTGCTAGGAAATATCCGCTTGAAGGACCAATGTATCTCGGCTCTCCCGAAGAAAGAGAGACGAGGCCAATTTCATGGGCCGGTCTTGGAGGTGCTCGAGACGCTTGCGCGTTCACCGGCCCAGAATGCTCATGGTGAGGTGTTATTGACCGGTAGATTGGGTCGCCCTGTGGGATAGTAGACTCGATTTGAGTGCTTTCCCCCGTAGCTTCGAGTTGTGAGCTATCCGATAGATGTACTTGCGGGCCATCCTCTAGTCGGACCGTTGGATCTCGATCCTTTACTAAGGACTCTAACCACTGCACTCGCTTTTGTAGATTTGCAATGTACCTAATTAGCTGTTAGTATCGGAAATGGTAGAGAATTGGGGGAAGAAGTTCCATGTGACTCGAATACACATACGTTCGATTAACCTCTTGTTTGCCATCGTTTACACAGGCTACATTGGCCTTTCTGCACGATGTGCAGCGGGGGGAGATCTCCATCACAGCGGATTTTCCGCCGCTGGCATCTCCGACAGGCGGCGCGGTTCCGAGATCGTCGAGGAGAGTCCATTACAGGCCTGACAGGGTCCCTTGTTCAGCGCTCACCTTGCTGGTTCATTAATACAAGGAGCCCAGAGCGGACAGTGTCTTTCAGAATGAACCTTCTCAGTATGTCAAGGGAAGAAGAGCAAAATTAACGGGATTTGGGTGAAGGCGGGAAACTTCCGCCAAGCAACGGATGACATCCGTCACCTTCTTTAAAAGAGAACTACACCGGTTTATAACGTCCATTTTATTTTATTTCTTACAATTAATATTCAACATGGTTCTTGTTCACATTGGTATGGCTCATTCCCGGGGAAAAAGTGCTTAATTGACCAATACTAGTTCTGTTCAAATTCCGCGCGGACATCGGAGACGAAATAAAGCAGGAGTTCCTTTCCCAAATCAAGACACTCAAATCTTTGCCCTGTGTTAAAAGCCAAAGGCTTGTTGTTGGAGGTCCCTCGATCACAAGCCCAATTGAGAAGAGCAAAGGATTTCACTTCGCTCTAATGAGCTACCACGAGGATCAAGCAGCATTGGCTGAGTATCAAGCTAGTAGTGAGCACGCAAGGTAAGCAAACACCCTTAAAAGCTCAATCCCCTAGTAACTAGTGACTAATGACAATTCTTGCTAATTAGGGTCACCGGCACATACTTTATTCCTTATAAGGAGGATCTGATTCGGTTTGACTTTGAGACTAATCAAGTCGACGAGGCACTGCTTGGGTTTTGATATATCCGATGCCGATGTCAACTATAGAAGGGAAGTCATGCAGAATCTAATTTCTACCGGATATGGTGCAGAGCAATAGATTTGTACAAAGTACAAAGTACCGCGTGGAGAAAAGCGATGTTTCATCAAAGGGGCGTCAAAGGAATTGTAGCCGAACGCGTTGTATCACACCCGAGCCTCCCAACGAGAAGGGGTTATTGAACTTAACGCTCATGCTTGCTTTTGTTTCTTTCGTTTCTTTTTTTTTTCTTTGCTCGGTGAGCGGCTCAAATAATGAATATCTTGTCTGAAAATTGCCGTGGACATAATAATAAGAAAATGAATAAAAAAATTGATATTTATTGATATTTATTGATGCTGTGCCTCTATCATATTCCTACAAAGTCGATGTCTCTTAAATCCCGAGATGTTTGTTCACCTCTGCAATCATGTCTTCTCCATATGCAACTCTCGTGAAGACGTGCTGATCAGGACGAACTAGAATACCTCCACCGTGGGCCAATTCATCAGCAAACCAACCCTGTCTGACGATTTCAAAGTCCACTCCAAGAGACCAGGTATTAAGAGGTACTCCAATTACCTTACAGTGCTTCTGTAAAAGGGTAACCTGAGGAGTTTGCTGCTCCTGCCCCAAAATCAAGGTCCAAGAGTCAGGGCCACAGAGATCCAGGGTACTCCACTGACAAGCCCGAACCTGATCTGCATCAAACTCTTTGATATATGACACATCAACCGGCTCTCTAGGCAGTGCAGAGCGTTTGACTGCTTCTGTCTCCTGGGAGAGCCGATCACGGAAGCGGATCCAAGCATGAGGCAAGCGCGCCCCGGGCACAAATTTGGGAGAATAATAGGAAGCATGGGGAGGTGGCTTGGTAGCCCCATACACATATCCAATATGTAGCTCCAGCTGTGAAAGTTGGTGTGTTAGAAAGACCGGTCTCTATTGGGAAAGCGGCAATTCACGACGAGACCACTTACATTATCAAAATGCTCCCTTTGTCCTTCAATGCCTGCCTCAACCCGTTTGCGTTGGATTGGATCCACCAATGCTGCCATCATGTTCATTCGCGCTTGTGCAACATCTTCAACACCGGCGGTCTTGAGACTCTGCAACAATGCAAATATCTCCTTGCCATTCTTAACACTCTGCTTGGAATATGAATCAGCAACACCTCGTCGTTCGGCAGTGTACGTCGAAAGTATAGATGGCGTTGCCACCCCCCGGTGAACCAAGGCAATTTTATAGGCCAAGTTGTGAACATCCGCAAGACCACAATTCAAGCCTAGTCCACCAGTTGGGGGAATGAGTGGGCAGCATCCCCGGCCCTAAAAGAAAGGAATTGTCAGCGAGGAATCCATACAGTCAATACGCGAATACAAAAACCCACAGAAAAATGTTCCTCTCCTGAAACGTGAAAGCGACCTGGCGGCGGAAAACCCAAGGACGATAGCTCAGGATATCAAATGGAACATCATCTTTACCGATAGCACCGCGGATCTTCGCCCTGCACATATCTTCTGTCCACGACTCCACCGGGTGCTCTTCAACGTCCACCTGGCTGATGTGTACCTGGATACCATCGAGATCATAGCCAATAATAAAACCCGCAGCTATAGGGTCCATTATCCAGTACAGCATACCGACGCGGTCTCCAACGACGGGTCGTAGATTGGCATTGAAATGAATGGTCATCATTGTCTGATCCGAGTCTTCGCTCTCAGACTCAATACCCAGGAGCTCACGGACTTTGCTTCTACGACCATCACAAGCTATGAGGTGACGGGACTTTGTTTGATGGAGTTGTCCAGTTGACCGTTCCTCAATTGTTGATACGACTTCATTTTCAGTCTGATCCTCGGTCAGCCATGTTGCCTCATTAATGACGAAAATGGGCCGTATACTTACTTGTTCCACGGCATGAATGCTGAATCCCTTAACCAAAGTGATGTTAGGATCCTTTGCAATAGAATTGGACAATTCTTGCTCGAGGACGGGTTGGGGTATATTGTGAATCATCTATTTGTTGCAATTGATCAGTACCATTGCCATGCTTCTCACTATAAAAGACAATACCTCTGGCGTGTCATCCAAGACCGCAGGATCCATGCGCTCATACGGGAGTTGGCCGATCGCTTCCTCGCAAAGATTGGTGAGAAAGTTGACCGAGGAGCTGTCATCTCGCGAAGTGCCTAGCTGACGCACACGCTTCTCTCCCAAGTCAAATTGACGCAGGATTTCCAAGGAGCGGGGATTGATCGCGTGAGCTTTGGGGGCAGCCAAACGCTCGGGATAACGCTCGATGATCAAAGATTGAACTACATCTCATGTCAACAAATTGTTCCCGTCGATGTCTCTACAAACATCTATACCTCCGAGTCGAGAGAGAAGGAGAGCCTGCAATAAACCAGTCGGACCTCCGCCCACAATGAGCACTGGCACCGAACTTGGTAAACTGCTAGAGCTAGTCTGGTGAGATGCAAAATCCTGGGACGGAGCCATCTTCGTCCAATCAAATTCGGTTTGGTTTCTTCCAGAAGGGCTTGGAGATTATTATGTTTTTCGTTTGAAATGCACGACTTAAGCTGGATACATGTATGGCGGGAGTAGCTGTAAGGCAAGTCCCGAAGTCGGCCAGAACATGCAATGCTTCATCACCAATCACAAAAGGGAAATATATGAGGGGCTTCCAGCTGCATCTATTCCTCCGTGGATTCAAAATTATGAAAATTCTGACTATTTCAGCTTGGAAGCCACATAATCCACTGGGATATAGTATAGCGTATTCGGGCGGGATGAAGAGGAGCTAACTAGTTTTTTTTTAACACGCACTAACCTCGTTATTACGACAGCCACATACATCCCTGCATAGCGCAATGCTAGTTGTCATATTGGACTTATGATTGGCCTTTGAAAATACGGAGATGCGGTGCATGACGCCAAAAAGAATGTATCAAAGCCGTTTTGGCTGGATTTAATGCCGAGTACTCTACTCCGTACTATCTACTCGATATTATTCCAGACTAATATGGAAAAGGTCACCATGCACTATATGTTGGGTATTAAAAAGAGTATTTCCGCCTCATTCGATGCAACGTAGTGTTCAAAGTGTTTCCTTTTCCCCCTGTTCACATTTCGTGGCACCCATTCTTATTCTTCTACTTCAATTTTTGGCCCCCCTGGGCACCTTCAATATGGCGGATAACTCACATCCCGAGCCCGAGAAGAAGGTCGAGTTCCATACCGCACCTGGAACTGAGATACTGTTCGATGGGAGCGACAATGGAAGCATGTCCGAGCGGCTTCACCAACTGAAGCATCGCGAAACAGGCGATGGTCGCATGTTATTGGTCCCGCAACCTTCGATTAACGATCCAAATGATCCTCTGAATTGGTCCACTACAAAGAAAAGCTTGACTTTCTTCAATGGCTGTTGGTTTGCATTTATGGGTGCTATTACAGGTCCTATCATGGCAGCTGGTATGTATTGATCTTTCATCATATTCGATTATAGAGAATCATTCTGACTAGTACAGGTATGATGCAACTGTCCGCAACCTTCGATAAGCCCCTCCAGGAGTTGACCTATGCGAATGGAGCTTGCCTGATCAATCAGGGTGTATGGAACTGTGTCTGGATGCCGTTTGCCGTCAAGTATGGCCGCCGTCCCATCTACCTCTTCTCGAACTTCCTCATGGCCATCGCCTGCATCTGGCTGGCCGTTGCATCCAACAAAACCTACACCGTCTTCCTGGTTGGGCGTGCTTTCCTGGGCGCTTTCCAGGCGCCCATTGAGTCGATCGTCCCATCAACTGTGACTGATATGTTTTTCTTACACAACCGCGGAGAGCTTATCGCCATATACGGCCTGTCTGTGTTAGGAGGCAATGAATTGGGACCTATGTTTTCTGGATTCATCGTGCAAGCACTCGGAATGGACTGGGCCTTTTGGATTGTGACCATGTTTGTTGGTGCCAGCCTGATCTCTATGTTCTTTTTCATGCCAGAGACCAAGTTCGACGGACCCCGTCCTGATCCCTTCCAGCCCCCCAGGATCGATGAGGATAAAACGCAAGTGCTAGTTCAGGAATCAAGTCCAATCCCCAAAAAGACCTTTGTGCAAGAACTCAAGTTCTGGAACAGCGGAGATCCAGATGTGAATCTTCTCCACGTGTTCCTACGGCCGTTCGTCCTTCTGGCTTATCCCACTGTCCTCTGGTCATGCTGTGTTTACGGCATGGCCCTTAGCTGGAATGTCATCCTCGGGGCATCGGTGGCACAGCTCTTCGCGCCTCCTCCATATACATTCAATTCCAATGGCCAGGGTCTATTCTTCCTGTCTCCCTTCATTGGATCTCTTTTCGGCGTCTTCTTCTCAGGCCCAGGAGGCGACTGGATTGCCAACTTCTTCACCAAGCGCAATAACGGCATTCGTGAGCCCGAGATGCGACTCCCAACCTGTCTACTGGCTGCATTTTTCACATTCTTTGGTGCACTTTGGTTTGGACTATCCTATGAGCACCAAATGCACTGGGCAATGCCTGTGGTGGGGGCCGGTATTCTGTCGGTAGGAAGTCAAATGGGAACTACGCTAGGAATGAACTACGCCCTGGATTGTCACAAAGAGGTAGAGAATTTTTCTTGTCACATTCGACACCACGTTTGCGGCACATTTGCTAATTGTTTCATTGTTTCATAGCTTTCCGTCGAGATTATGGTCACCATTGCTGCTTTGAAAAGTTGCATTGCGTGGATCTGGACGTGGGTTATCAACGACTATGTCACTTCCAATGGTGTTTTGAGTGTCTTTATGACCGTTGCGGCTATCAATGTCGTGGTCTACTTGGTCTATATTCCCTTCTATCTCAAGGGCAAAGATATTCGAATTTGGTTGCACCAGAAGGATTTCCTCCGGGCCGCTGGTATCATCTAGTTCACATGGGTGGAGCATTCTAGAGCCCAAGTGGATGTGCGAGATTATACCAAAATTTCCGTATTTAGATCTTTAATATATATTCTTTGTGCTCAGATCCCGGGTCTTTTTAGTTCCAGATTCCAAGGAATAAAATAATGCAAATTCTACACAAGCGATTGAAGTTTTGGCGAAATCAAGTAGAGTCAACCATAGTTTACGCACACAGCTTAGGGATCCGACGCCTCCAGATATTTTAATTTATCCTCCACTCGGTCCTCAGCTCGATATTGTGGCTTCTAATGAAATGGGTACAGGGTCTTTTCATTCCCGTCTGCGGCCTTGCCGATCCCGGCCTTTTCGCTGGGGAAAATATACACAGGCTCCGGAGTACAACGGCATAGTCTTCGGTTTTGTGTCTAGCGTCAAGGCTAAGCCTTAGCTGTGACTTCTTTGAAAAATTAGAACTACCAAGGTACCTCGGCACGTGTATAAAAGCGTCAGTTCAAGTGAAAAATGCGTCTATGCGCTCAAAAGGCCAATCATGAGTTGTGCCCATTATACCTCGATAGATTTACGATTTGTGAATCGATCGTCGCTTTCTTGTTTCAATGGATCCTGATACAGAACGGAGTAATATAATTTCATTTAGAAAGATCCACATCCTATATGCACCCTGTTCCTTGGCACTTGGGCTCTTATGCAACCTTTTTGCTCCGTACGGCGTGTACTCGAGCAATTCATACAGCTTTGTCTCGCTTGTGGTACCACTTAGGCCAGACTGATATGAGACAAAAATACAAGACCAATCCATTCACATTCCCATTGAATACACCTGCTCAAATCATCACACTACCGCAGACCTCAAGATATTCAAAAAAATTCCTACATGCTGGAAGCCAATCACCAGCGATACTCTTTTGCAGCTTACGTCTTAGCTAGAACAATTAATTTGGAGAAGCCGCTAGAGAATAATTACCCAAATGCCAGCTTTGTTATTTCATACCAGCGCTTTGTTATGGACTAATTAATATATTGTGAGCGGACAATACGAAGTAGACGCAGACCCCTTTAGCGTACTTCGTAATCCTTCCGAACTGCGAGGTGTCCTGGGCGCCTGATTTGGAATCCAATGGCAAGCGTCGATACAATGATTTAACCCCTGTCCATCCCGTAGGACATTGACGGGATCGTGGAGCGACTATTACCGGTTTCCGGGCGGCTGGTACAAGGTGCTGGTAATGTCAAACACATGCATGCAGTCCTGACTGGGCCATTTTGCACCTCCTCTTGCTTTTGCCCACTGTAAGACGTGCAGAGGCATTCCCTCTCTGAAGGCCCGAGATGGCCGGAAACAATTCTGCGGTCATCCTCGCAGTGTCTTGGACAGAAACATGCATTGGTATATTCCTTTTCAGTCTTCGGTTCTTGAGTAACTGGAAATTCGTGGGGCGGTTTAGATGGGACTTTGCTGTCGCTGGTTTGACAGTGGTGAGTGTTATGAAAAGTTTCGATTTTATGGCATATGCTAACAATGAGTGTGCTTCTCACAGGCAACAGAGACCACTGCCCAAGTGTTCCTGCAGTTTTCAATTGATGCTGGCATGGGCCATCACTTGGATGACCTGTCGGACTTGCAAATAGTTACAGCGCTGCACTGGTCATGGGTATTCCAGTTACTCGCAATAGCTGCCAGTATGCTGGGAAAGCTTGCGATTCTCGCCTTCCTTATCCAGATTCGTGGTCGTCACGAGAAGAAGCCTTGGTTCTTGATTATCCTGGGTACTCTTATTGGGGTAATTAACATTGCCGTACTCGGGACTATTCTGGGCCAATGCAAGCCAATGCACAAATTGTGGGATGATAGCGTGGAAGGAACATGCGATCCAGGGCGCAAAATGAATCAGAACTATTCGTTCTTCCAGGCTAGTGAGTCTGCACATTGCATCGACATATCCAAGAGTTAAGCCGCTGCTAAAAAAAACAATTCAGGCTTCAACGCATTCAGCGACGCCTTGCTGGCATCGTATCCTATTCATCTCTTTTGGAAGCTCCAAATGAAGCTGCGAATCAAGGTCGCATTGTCTGTCCTCATGGGATTGGGCTGGATGTAAGTACTCCGTACTTCGCCGAATATTTCAGCTTGGCTGGGCTAATCTTTCCCTCGAATGCAGAGCGGCAGTGTGTTCCGCTGTCAAGACATATGAGCTTAAGGCGTTGACCGAAACAACCGATATCACCTGTAAGTGACGATCCATTATTTCACCTTTCGGAGCAGGATGTTTTTGCTGAATATCAAAATTCCAACAGACGCTCAATCCTCCCTCCTCATCTGGGCCTCGACAGAAGCTTGGATCGTCATCATCGTTGGCTGCGTACCACCCATCCGACCCCTGATGGAAAAGGTGATGCAGCGACTGGGTTTCACCTCAAAGAAAACGTCGACTCCCTACGAGTACCGCAACTCGAGCGGGCGCGCAGCATATGGCACGAACAAGTCTAACTTGGCGAGTCATTCACATTTTCAGTCCAATGTATATGGGGGTAGAAAATCATTCGACGATGACTCCGGCTGGATGGAGCTCACCACATCTGGTGGCAAAAGTGGGAGTAAGGAGCATATTATCAATGGACAGAAGGATGTTATAGTCCGAACTGATATTGAGACTCGTTTCGAGGATGTGGAGGGTCAGGGTCCGTCGTCAGGGGGCAGTAATATCTCTGCCGAGGATCTAATCCGGGAACGGAGGGATATTCAAAAAGGGTGATATTCACCTCAGTAATGTTATAGATAAGTGAATAGATTCAAAATATGATGTTAGATATGTTCATACATGTTCCCTTCGTCCCTGTTGGACCTAGGTAAGAGACCTCGGGAGACATGTGGGGACTCCCCGCGGATTCCCCAACGCCGCCGGTAACCGAGGTTCACTCGTGATGACCCTTTTCCTTGCCTCTCTCCCTTCTCTTCTCTTCATCGCCTAGCTTATTTCCCACCTATTCACAATGGCTTCTATTATCCGCGCATTGCGACCTTTGTCGCGTACCCCCTCAGTCCGCTTGGCGGGCAAACGACTCGTCGGCCGGCCCGTACAGAGGTACCGTCTTATCCAGGACATGTTAAGAAACTCGTTTGCTAACAAATTCCTCTCCATTTTTAGCGCTTATGCATTCTCAACCACCCCCGCCGGCGGGAGGTTGACCTCTCCGAGTTGACTCCGACGCCGATCACCCTTTTGTCCGAGACCGAATCCCTGATGGCCGACTCCGTCTCTAAGTTCGCACTAGAGCAAATCGGCCCGAAGGTACGGGAAATGGACGAAGCCGAGACCATGGATGAGAAGGTCGTGGAGCATCTCTTTGAGCAGGGCTTGATGGGCATTGAGGTGCCAGAGGAGTTCGGCGGCGCAGGGATGAACTTCACTGCGGCGATCGTCGCGATCGAGGAGCTGGCACGCGTCGACCCCAGTGTCAGTGTGATGGTAGATGTTCACAACACCCTGGTCAACACGGCAATCCTGAAGTACGGTGATGCCCAAGCCCAGCGAACCTGGCTGCCCAAGCTGACTACCGGCACTGTTGGCTCATTCTGTCTCTCCGAGCCTGCCTCTGGTTCCGATGCCTTTGCCCTCCAGTGTAAGGCCGAGAAGACCGCCGATGGTTATAAGATCAATGGCTCTAAGATGTGGATCACCAACTCAATGGAGGCTGGTATCTTCATCGTATTTGCCAACATTGACCCCAGCAAGGGCTACAAGGGTATCACTGCTTTCATTGTTGAGAAGGATACCCCCGGCTTCTCAATTGCCAAGAAGGAGAAGAAGCTTGGAATTCGCGCTAGCAGCACTTGTGTGCTCAACTTTGACGACTGCGTCATCCCCAAGAGCAATCTCCTCGGTGAGGAGGGACAGGGATACAAGTACGCCATCAGCGTGTTGAACGAGGGCCGTATCGGTATCGCCGCTCAGATGACCGGACTGGCTCTTGGCGCATGGGAGAACGCTGCACGGTGAGTTTGTCTATACGATATACACGCGCATATGAGACCGATCAGCTGACCGCCACTAAAGATACGTTTGGAACGACCGTCGCCAATTCGGCGACCTCATCGGAAACTTCCAGGGCATGCAGCACCAGATTGCGCAGGCCTACACGGAGATTGCCGCTGCCCGCGCTCTCGTCTACAATGCCGCCCGTAAGAAGGAGGCCGGCCAGGACTTCGTCCAGGACGCCGCCATGGCCAAGCTGTACGCCTCCCAGGTCGCCGGCCGGGTGTCCAGCTCTGCTGTTGAGTGGATGGGTGGTATGGGCTTTGTCCGTGAGGGCATTGCTGAGAAGATGTTCCGTGATAGCAAGATTGGCGCTATCTACGAGGGTACCAGCAACATTCAGTTGCAGACAATTGCCAAGCTTCTCCAGAAGCAGTACACGAACTAAATGAGATGGGTAATGAATGCCCACCTAGATGGCTTGCTTTATAAATAGTTTGATTTTATGCACACTGCGGCGTATCATTTGTTTTTTTCTTCTTTCGGGTATGTATTCCTCGTTCCCTCTCGGGACAGACAGAATATGAAGAGCCATCATGGGTCATTTCTGTGACCACTTGAAATTCACTCCGCTGAGATGCATAAATGTCATAGTGTGTATATTGGAATAGTAAATGAGCAGCGAATATGATGGCGCCAGTCATGCCCATTTGCCCGGCCATATTTGTATATTCAAATCCCCCGAGTATCTTCCGGCGTGGAGTCCAAGCAGCTTGTCCTTGAGTGGTGAGTTTGCATGGTGTAGATATTCCGGAGGTGGGACCGAAGATTCTCCGACGTGTTGCGTGATTCAGAACGGCTGTTATCTCCTTCATTACGGTTGTGCAAAGGGAATTACCGATTCACGCTTTTCGCGAAGACTTCCGAGTCCGAGAAGAAGTATTGCGGTGAGGCCTATAGCATCAATCAGTGTGCATGCTCGTATCGAGATCCCTCCGTGAAAGTGAAACTCACATGCTGGAGTGGATCGACGGTTACATCTTCCGGCCCGAATGCGCAAGCCATTGTGTTTCCACCAGGTATACAGCGCCCTCAAATTGTACCGGTTGCCTGGCACATGCATTATTCATGATGAAGGTGCCCATGGATACTCGTATGTCGGATCCGCTTGTTGCGCTTGAGGCATTGGTTGCGAGTATGGGGATGTGGAGGCTTGGTAGATCGGGGTGGGCGTTGGCTGAGGAATCGGACTGGCACCCGACATGGAAACCGATCGGTTAGTGTAAGTAAATTGGGAGAAAGAAGATCCGGACTGTTGCTGGGGTGGGCCGATCTGTTGTCCTTGATGTATTTGACCATCTATGGGATATGGCTCCATACGATTAGGAAATTCTGGATTAGAGGTTGCGCCGAGCGACGTTGATCTTGTGGACAGGTATGGTTGCTGCCAATCATGCTGAGAAGATGCTCGACGCGGTGCTGACAGACCTGAGGGTCTTTGGGTGTGGGATGTTGCAGTGAAGTGTGGTGGTAATAATGCCCCTGCTGTTGGACTGCTGGGCAATGCACTATCCGAGGCTTGTTCCAAAGACCATCCACTTTGAAATGGAACCATCGGTTCGTTATTTGATGCAAATTCCGGTCGGCCAGTCAAAGAAGCAACTTGATGCTTCAACCGGATCACTTCATTCTCCAGAAAGGCATTGTGTTGCATGACTTCATCGAACCGCTCGTTTTGGGGCCGCATCTCGGCAATCTGTGACTGGAGCGTGGCGACCTGAGCTTCGAGTTGTTCTATATGCTCCTTGGTGCGTTGACGAATGGACCGCTGAGCCTCTCGATCGTTGGCACGCTTCCGCTCTAGTTGTTCCACTGACAGAGTCGAGACTTTTCTTGTCCCCGATCGAGACTCCCGTCTCTTCACAGACGGTTCATCCTGAGAGCCCATTGTTATTGGTGTGCTGGCAGTCCTCAGCTTCTCTCATTTGCACAGATCCTTTCAAGGGGAACCCCCCACTGGTGACCATGGACCTAGCACTGAACAGCAGAAGAGGAGCTATCATGAGGGGAAGGTGGTGGATTACTGATTTGCAAAGATCGCGTGTGGGTGGACTGTTTCCGAGCCGAGCAGGGATTAAGGGAGAACGTGACAGATCGTACGAATCAAGGGCTAGATTAGCTTGGAAGACTATACAGGGTAGAGAAAAATAGGGTGTTTTGGGAGGTATAGCCATGCTTTCAGGGGGTGATTGTGACTTCAACAATGGAGTGGCCTTGCTAGGACCACACCATTGTCAACTCCCCCAACATGGAAGTCGTATTTCTCCAGATCGATTAACAAACCAGGCAAATCTCCCGGTGATGCGGCGAAAGCGACCTTAACCCGACCCCTAAGCGCCAATAAGCGTGGAGAAATAGACGAACTGTGTGGATAACCACGGGCCATGGATATAGCGTTCTCTTTCCAGTCACTACGGTCTGCCGCCCCATAGGTCCGCTTTTTTTTCGAATGCCAAGATGAATGTGCTGCCACTTAGGGGTCTTCTGTCCTAAGCGCGCCGTAACTATGAGCATTTACTACGGAGTATACATGTCCTTTTCCTATTTTTGGATGTTGAGGGCTACAAGGGGAGTGTCCATCTAAGGGGCAACAAGAAAAGTGTCAAGATTTATTCCCTGCGCCATTGGGCATACACAACCCATCGGTCATGATCCGCGTTCTTGTGGAGATGCATCTACGGAGTAAAGGCGGACTAAAATTGGCCCCCATCTAAACGCCGATGGTTGCCGGGGATCAGGCTCCTCTCGGCATCCATAGGTATCATTTGGACAAGTGAGCATGTGGGGTGAGCAGAGCCATGTCATAGAAGATTATTTGTGGCATTTGAACTTCTTGACTTTACTATTATTAGAGCTTGATGTTTATGATCCCAGGGCACCTCAATGGGGGAATACTGTAGTGGCAAAGGGCCTATTATTTGGGCAGCGCGGTCTCCGCTCTGATGTCCGCTATGACGGTCTTGGAGGAAGCAGGATGATCTCCATGTTGTATACATTTTAATACCTCTAATGAATCTGTTGATCTCTCCTTTTTTTTTTATACTGGACATACAAATCCATCGAGGACAACCTGATGCTTCCGTGATGCTGTGACCTCATATTAAGCGTGACGTTACTGATGTCAGATGAATGTTGCACTTTTAAAAGGACACAGGCGACACGTCATTGCCCTTGACGCTGTACACCGTAATCGCCGTGCGCCATGTGGACGCCTGCAAGTGGGGAATCGGGCACGGTTATCTCGAACATGGTGGCCCTACGACAGAACCAAGAAGTTTAACCGGCACACTGCATGTGGACGTTCGCATTCTAGGCACGGTCCGTGGGCCCGGTCGATCATTACGGATGTTGATGCCGGGTTTCAAGTAAACCGTCGCTTACCGTAAATCCGAAAAATTACTTTGGATTTTATGAACCGTGGCCCTAAATGTGGTTCATTCAAATATGTAGGTATAGAAACATGTCGCAAATTGATTTGACGCAATTAGAACCGACTCGCGTCCACAACCGGTGGGAATCGGGACGATCATCATGCCGTATGAAAATGTTGTATTGTGGCTCTGGCGTCCTTAAGCGAAGTTGAGCTCGCTAAAAATATAATCGGATATTGTCTACGGAGTAAAACATAAGTACTCCGTACCATGTGTCGGGCTTCGCTCGATCGAAGTGATCGACTTTACCGGGCCTGTTATATCGATAGGATATCAACATAATTCGCAAGGTTTTCTCTCAAATATAAGTCCTGACTACACAACGATTACCCCTTGTTTCCGATCATTACACTGTATGTATCGCTGCGTCCTTTCATCAGAGATATATAATCACAACAGTCCTTGCGATCTAGTCACCTTAGTATCTGGAAAAACGGACATGAAAAAGATGCCCATCAAAGAAGAATGTCCACTAGCTAGCGAAACCATTCAACTAACATCGAAAAAGTATACCACTAACCCGAATCTCCGGCGTATTTTCACTTAGAAATAAGCTGGAGGCGAATTACCTGATACGGTTAGTCCCAACTTTCCTGGAACTGATCCACACGCACGTGACATCAAGCGAAGATAGTGGATCCTTGTCGACCAATCAGATACTGCTGACCGCACTTTGCGACAATCTTAAATGCTTGGCAACAAATCTCTGCTTTGTCAAATATAAACTTCCAAGGTTGGATTGATTCGCATCATTAAGCATCAGTCTGACTTTTGCTAAGAGAAAACGAAGAAGATTACACTCACTACAATTCTCCTCTTTGTCTTGCTTGATCCACATTAAAAGTCATTCACTCGCCACATCGAGTCGTTGAATTCTTATCAAAACAATTAACTGCAGTTTCCTTGATAGAAGTCTTGACCATCATGGAAGGTCTTCAGCTCAGCAATGATACTCAGCCGTATTCAACCATGGCTGGGAAACTTGACCCTAAGCTCCTCAAAGCCCTTGATGTGATGGGATTTACCAATATGACCCCTGTGCAGCAGCGTGTTTTGACCGAACTTCCAAATTGGCGCAGTGACTGCCTTGTCCAAGCCAAAACTGGAACTGGAAAAACCCTTGCTTTCTTGTTGCCTGCATTGCACTGCCTGCTCCAAGGTGATTCCGCGCCGCCCAAGGGCAAGGTCGGTATTCTGATTATTACTCCAACCAGAGAACTTGCACAGCAAATTGCAAAGTCATGTGATCAACTAACATCTCAACTTCCCACTCCGCTTGAGTGCCATGTTGCAGTTGGTGGAACGGCTCGAGCATCGGCTCATACGCGTTTTATGAAGGGGGCACCATCCATTCTTGTCGCCACTCCGGGACGTCTATGCGACTACCTATCTGAAACTCCCACCGCTAAGAAGCTGTCTAACATCAAAACTTTGGTTTTGGATGAAGCCGACACGATGCTTGAGAGTGGTTTCATTGCTGATGTGAAGCGGATCCTTCAACTCATTCCACAAAAGAGCACTGGGTGGCAAGGCATGTGCTTCTCGGCCACCGTCCCACCTAAAGTCAAGGATGTGGTCAATATTGTGTTGAGGAGAGACTACACAAGTATTTCCACCATTGATGAGAATGAATCACCAACGCATGAGAGAGTTCCTCAGTACTACGTGCTGATGCCGTCTGTGGCAGACACCTTCACTACCCTTGCCTCCCTGCTCAAGCTTGAGATCAAGAAAAGCTCAAAAATCATCGTCTTCGGCGTGACTGCCCACATGGTTGCTCTCCTCGCAGGAGTCTTCTGCAAGGGCATGATCCACTTGAAGGTGTTCGAGATTCACTCCAGACTCAACCAGGGCGCTCGCACAAGAACCACGAACCAGTTCAAGGAGGCCGAATCTGGAATCTTGTTCGCCTCAGATGTTATTGGTCGTGGTATGGATTTCCCCAACGTCGACTTGGTCATCCAGGTCGGTTTGCCATCAAACGGCGAGCAGTACGTTCACCGTGTCGGTCGTACCGCCCGTGCTGGTGCTGATGGTCGCGCTATCATTCTCCTCACGGAAGCAGAGTCGTTCTTCATGAAGCAAAATCGCCATTTGCCAATCAAGCCTCACCCCGATACCGAAGCGATCAATGCTGGTGCTCCTTCATGCTCCAAAGCTGTCTTACAGGCCATGTACACTATTGAGGAGGAGTCAAAGCAGCGTGCCTACTCGTCTTTCATTGGTTTCTTCGCTGGATCGGGTCTTCTGAGGCAACTTCGTCTTGACAAGGCTGGCCTTGTTCAACTCGCCAATGAAATGGCTGTCAAGGGTATGGGATGCCCGGAGCCTCCCCCAATGGACAAAAAGGTCATTGGCAAGATGGGTTTGAAGGGCGTTCCAGGTTTCAACTATGCAGACCCGAATGAGCTTTTCCGTAGCGGTTCCTCTAGACCTCGCAACTCTTCCCGGGGTGGCAAAAGTCGTGATGCACTCAGCCCCGGGGCTGGTCAAGGGGACCGAGGCGGTATTGAGAAGCGTGGAGGAGGCCGTGGAGGCCGCGGAGGCCGTGGAGCACGTCGTGGTGGACGTGGAAAGCCGAGATCATGATTCTTTTGCATATTGATATCAAGCACAGCGTGCTAAAATGCTTTTATTCATAGACACTAGAGACTTACGACCTGCTACACAAATTTCATTAATCGAAACCAAAGTTGGTTGCAAACAGTCGCCCACATCCTAAAGCTGTAAAGCCATAAAGCCAATTTCAGGGTTGGCTATGGTAGTCACCATTCATTTGAGTCATGTATGAGAGCAGCCACTTAAATATTACTCCACTAACTTCCGATGTAATTGACACAGTGTCATTATTGAGATCTTGACAGTTGTTGGGATTGAAGACCGTGGAACGGTCAGGTGATCACGCGTAAAGACAACATACAGAGCTTCAACCCTCCCCCATTCCACCACGTCATTCTTTAGATTTGATCTTTTCGGCGTGATCAGCTTTCTATATTGATAACTGCCCAATATGGATCCGAGCTACAAAGCTCGTAAAGAAGCCTTTGTGTCTAATCTTGCGGGAAGCACAATCCTCGAGATCAATACAGTCACACTTGTTGCTTCAGTGAGGAACCTCGAGACTTTTCCCTTGCGATTGAAACATTCTGACGTGTTATCACTCTAGGCATCTGTCCTCCTTTGGTCTGCGCTCCAGTCCCGCTTATCTTTCTTCACACCCTACGGTCCTGCGGCGCTCGCGACCGACTTCATTCTCAATGTACTAGCCATCTTATTCGCAACGACTGCATACTCCTCCGCACCGCTTCTCCTCAATATATTCCTCCTCTCGCCCGCGATCCTTCTATTCCTCACCCGAAACAGTCTGCGGACACCCCAGAAAGCCAAACCGCCCCGCAAATCCAAGGCCAAAAATGAGAGCCCCCAGGAGGAACAGCAGGCCTTGCCCATTCACCCCTTCTTAACCACGTACCGTGCAGCCATGATGATTGTTACCTGCATAGCTATTCTTGCCGTCGACTTCCGCGCGTTTCCACGTCGTTTCGCCAAGGTGGAGAACTGGGGAACATCTTTAATGGACTTGGGTGTAGGTTCTTTTGTATTCTCCGCTGGAGTGGTCTCTGCCCGCGCCGTTCTGAAGGGCCGCAACTCGAAATCCCCGAAATTAGCTTTACATAAGAGGTTAATTGGATCGGCGCGACACTCCATTCCTCTGCTTGTGCTTGGCCTCGTCCGACTGTGGAGTGTCAAGGGGTTGGACTATGCGGAACATGTGACGGAATATGGTGTGCACTGGAACTTTTTCTTCACGCTTGGGTTTTTGCCTCCTTTTGTGGAGCTATTCGACTCCTTAACCACACTGATCCCTTCCTATGAGGTGCTTGCGCTTGGAATTGCAGTGCTCTACCAAGTCGCTCTGGAGTCGACTGATCTCAAAGGTTACATCCTCGTGTCTCCTCGGGGGCCAGATCTGCTTTCCAAAAACCGCGAGGGGGTCTTTTCTTTCATTGGATATTTTGCGATCTTTCTCGCTGGACGGGGCGTCGGAGTCCGCATTATTCCCCGTGGTACCTCGGCCACGAAATCGCCTCAGAAGGCGCGGAGCTCTGTGCTGGTGCGCTTGATTCTGCAGACAATGTTCTGGTCAACCATGTTCTTCTTCAATTCCACCTACGCATTCGGCTATGGTGCCAACATTCCAGTGTCGCGCCGGCTGGCTAACATGCCATATGTGCTTTGGGTGGCAGCATTCAATAGTGCCCAGCTTTTCCTATTCTGTCTGACCGAGACTGTGTTCTTCCCTGCGGTTCACCGAGCGACTAGCAAGGAAAGTGAGGCAGAGCAAACGTCCTTCGCAACCAGTCGCATCCTGCATGCCTTTAACCGCGGAGGTCTTGCCTTGTTCCTGATCGCGAATTTACTTACTGGAGCGGTGAATTTGAGCATCCCAACATTGGATCTCAATACGCCGCAGGCCATGGGTATTTTAATCCTGTACGCGGCGGTGCTAACTGGCGCGGCTTTGTGGATGGACAAGTACAATATTAAGTTGAGCTTGTAGATATACTATCACATTTATAGATGTTGTATTTATCCGACATGAAACAATGCATATAAATAAACATGTTGATTTTGATATATATATATATACCTTGGACCGATGTCAAAGTTTTTACGGAGTAGGGAGTAAATTTGACGAGGAAAAGAAGCTATCAGTTTCATCCAGCTAGCCAGCAGAGAGAAAAGAATCAAATTGTGGAATATCCCAAGAACCTGAGGCACAACCGGTCTCAACAACTTAGCCGCGGCATCTGAGGTCGGAGCAACGTATGAGCCAGCTCCGAGTGTTGCAACCATTCTGCAACCAACAACATGCCCTCAAATGAACAATCTTTCTTGAATTATCCTCCAGCACATGAGGGCCCCAACGTGCCGTATAAGTATGAAGACCAGGTCCTACCGATTTTCCGCGGCACTCCCCTAGCTATCGGCGCTACATTGTAAGTTATAGGGGAATTTCATTGGGCGACAACATTCAGGGGTGCTAATTTTCCGCTCTTCACGTCAGAATTCATAATATTGGATTTATCCAAAGACATTTCTGGAGCAATGCTGGCTTCGGTGTCATTCGTGAAATTCCCCATCTGGGCCAGTACGCCGGCCGCTACGATCCAACGGTCATCCCGGTCGACAATACCAACCAGGCCGAGTCAGCAACGAAAGTCGCGTCTGCTATTGTGGAGCGCAGAAAGGGAGACCAGGGGTATTATACTTCAGCCGACTACCACGCGCTTTACTCATCGGGGGAGTTGACTCCGATAGCTGTCATCGAGACGCTATTGCCTCTAATCCGACGTGATACCCAGCCGCCCGGCAAACACTCAACAGCGTTTCTCGAATCCCAAGCCGAGTTGATTCGTGCAGCAGCGGAAGAATCTACGGAGCGATACAAGAGGGGCCAGTCATTGGGGCCACTCGATGGCGTGCCAGTCGCAGTGAAAGATGAGGTACATCTCACAGGGTATAAGCGCACGCTGGGCTCGAAGCTAGATTTCAAACACGGTACGGATGCGACTTCGTGGTGTGTGAAGCAATGGCTGGATGCCGGAGCTATAATCATCGGAAAAACTTCCATGCATGAGCTCGGACTGGGTGAGTTTCATTTAGCCATCATTGACTTGCAGTACCTAACACTCTTCAGACACAAACAACAACAATCCCAACTATGGAACACCTAGAAACCCCCATAATAAGGAGTATTATTGTGGCGGTTCCTCCGGCGGCTCTGGATACGCCGTCGGAGCGGGCCTTGTACCCATTGCGCTTGGCGCAGACGGGGGAGGCTCAATTCGTATCCCGTCATCATTCTGCGGTATCTGGGGCCTAAAGCCTTCGCATGGCCGTGTATCTGCCGCACCATCCCAAAGCCTCGCGCCCACTGTTGGCGTTATCGGGCCTATGGCTGCCAGTATCGATGACCTCGCCCTCGCCTATCGTATCATGGCCACTCCAGCGCCAGCTTCAGAAGACCCTATTTCTTCGCAATTCCCCTATCCCGCTCCCTTGGATCCTAAAACCGAGAGAACCAAGACGATTGGGATTGTCCGCGACTGGATTGACCGCGCCGAGGGCCCTGTACGAGCTGTGTTCGATCGCGCGCTCAACTACTACCGCGAGCAAGGCTACACTATTATCGATATTACAATCCCCTACTTGCCGGAAAGCCAACGTGCCCACGCCCTGACTATCATGGCGGAGATCGCATCTGGCGTTGACGCAAGCAAGATCCGGCAGCTCACAGCCCCGAACAAGGTACTTGTCTCTATGGGAATGTACCAGGTCACCGCACAGGACTTGCTCGCCTCCCAGCGGCTGCGCAATCTTCTTATGACACATCTGGCGCACCTCTTCAAGACCCACCCTGGGCTACTCATCGTCTCGCCCACAACGCCCATCCCTGGATGGCATATTGACGGCGGTCAGGCGGACTTGTCTCGTGGTTTGTCGGATACCAAATCTTCTGTGCGCAATATGGAATATGTTTGGCTTGCCAACTTTACTGGCTGTCCTGCCATCAGTTGTCCTGCTGGTTATACTCCCGATGGCGGTGTGCCTATTGGGGTGATGGCGATGAGCGAATGGGGTAGCGAGGAAGAGCTGATCGCCTTTGCTCGAGATGGAGAGCCAATCTTAGATTTGCCTACCAGTTCTTTGCTCGAGGGAAACGGAATGGCCTCAGCAAGTAAGGGCCTACGAACTCCTGCTGGTGATTGCTCTGCATGGGAAGATATCATCTCGCATGCCAAACAGAATGTGTTGAACTAAAAAGAAGGTTTAATAGTTTGGTTATGCGTGCTTTTTCTCGGCCATTTTTTGGTTTTTGGGTTTCTTTTCTTTTTCCTTTCTATATCCCCATGTATTCAGCTATACGTCACGAGTGAAGCCTTTTCTTTGTAGCCATCATCTCACAGTACACTCCAATCCAGCACTGCAATGATCACTGTGGCCAGCAGAGACAGTTTCTACCCTTTTCCCCAAGCAAGGTTGCGTGGCAGTATGTTTCTCTACTTCACGGCTTTGTTTTACAAGGTTGCCATAGTTTATATCTTCTAAGTTGATTTTCTCAAGGGGAATGAATGTATTTGGCTATTTTCGAGATGACTGCATACATATCAACAATTGAAAGATCTAGAACATCATGTATCAACTCCGTGGGGATTCGTCAATGACTTTCAAGTCCGTTTATACCCCTAAGTATATTCCTAAAGGAGCCATTTCCTCAGAGACCACCCTCTGTCAAGAATGACTATTATTATCTGGGAGGCTGACAGGCAACGAATCGGAAGATGATCCAAGAAGATCAATTTCTGCGATATGCTTCTATTGTAAGCCGTCAGCAAAGCCCTTGCTGCCGGAGTGCATCCGCCGTCGACATTTCATGGGACAAAAGCAAACATGCGTTATAGATATGCATCGTGGAATAATTTCTATCCAGTGTATAGTCTCCTACTCTAAGACCCGAATATCTGTCAAGTGATCAACATGCAACCCGAATAATTGGATCTCCCGACTACCCGGATGCAAAAGCGTGCTCGATGCAGGATTCCCCATTCCCTGCTTCCCTGCATAGAACTTGCATAACGTATTCACACAAATTCCTTCATCTTTCTCTTTCTCCGCTGGGTGTGTTTTTAGTTCAACAGGGAACCGGTCTAGACTCGTCGGGGTGAGCACTAGATTCCCAGTACTATTCTAAACATTGTTGCTTATATAGACCGTGATGTATGTGTCTGTTCAAAGTAGACCCCGTATGCTATGCTCGGTGCATATTGTCAGGTACTATCTGCATAACTTTGATCTCATATGAAATCAAATAATCACGACAGATATACATCCGATATACGTTGATACATATGATTTCAAAATTCAGCCCTGATCTTCATTTCCCCTTCTAGCGTCCCGATCGTACGGATCCATCGGCTATCACGACTAGCGTAGTGGATGGATCGCTAATGTGATATCATGCATATTACCTATCTTCTTATTGAGCCATTGTCCAATATTCTTGGCAGAAGAAAGAAATTCGTCTCTGTTAATTTCTTTGTGAAGACTTCCGTTTGGTGGGTTCGAAATCCTCGTGATTCGGATTGTCGCCCGATTTGAGATGCCCAACTATACACGTCAAATCTTTGAATTTTGAATGTCTAGGTTTAGGTAGTCACAATTTACTCCGTATTCCGTGCAATGGACTGGGTGCTCTCGAGTGTCTAGAGTGTCTAGGCTCTCCAGGCTGTCAAGTCTGTCAGTTTCTGATATAAAAGGGTCAATGTCACCCCCGAACCGAGACATACTTCTATACACTCCCATCAAAACAATCAAAATCAATCAAAATCAAAAATCAAAATCAATTCAAGATCACTTCAAGCCTCCAACATGCAGGCTGCTCGTCTATATTCCGCCAGACCCGCCTCAACCATCCCCTCGGTATTCGAGAGTGTCAAAGGCCACAAAGTCCCCATTTTCTTTTCACGCTACCCTGCCGGCATCAGTATTGTTGCCCGCGAAGTCGAATATGCTCTCCGACAGATCGACGAGCAAGCTTGCGAGGAAGGGACAAGGGAATGGCGCCAAGCAATTGTCCGACACGCCAACCCATACGGTAGCTACTTCACCATTTGCCACTGCACGGCCTTTCCCGAAAGATTAGTTCTGTTCTCCACCATGGCTGAGGTGCTGTGGATTCATGATGGTAAGGCACCAATCTGCCCAAACATGTCTGAGCTGCTCTGACAAACTATCCACAGACATGACAGAGGAGATGGACCATGCTTCGGTAAGAGCACTGAAAGTTGATATGCAGGGACCACCTTCTAACAGTTTATAGGCATGCCGAGAGCACGATGAAATGGCAAAAGTTCTTCGACTAGATATTGAGGAATCAATGTTCAAGTCCGGAAATCTGCGACAAAGGTCACTGGCAGCTGTGCTCCGCAAGGCAATCGACATTGATCCTAAGCAAGCTCCGACTATGATCCAGATGTTAAAAAAGTATCTGGCAACATTCGACAGCGTCGGTGGAGCTTTCACACGAATGGAGGACTATATGCCATATCGTATTGCCAACAGCGGCTACTGGTACGTTTGGAGCCTTTCTGAAGACACTTTGACGGCGAAAATCTGATGATCATCCAGGATGTCCTCTTACTTCGTTCGCTGGGGGATGGGTATGATGCTTAGCGATGAAGAATATGCTAGTATAGAGGCGCATGACACCGCAATGGGGAATGTCCTCGGTCTGACCAATGACTACTTCAGTTGGGATATGGAGAAAGACCAACAAGAGGATCGAATGAGAAACGGAGTGGCAGTTCTAATGAAGGAGCATAACACAACAGCAGAAGCGGCAAAAGTGATGCTTCTCGGTGTTATCGTTGAGCAAGAATCTCTCGCTGCCAAGCTCAAGGAGGAAAGATTGAAGAAACCCGCCTCAAAAGAGATTAGGCAATACTTTGAGGCTATTGAGCTTTATGTTGGTGGAAGCTGCTATTGGCACTCGACCGCGCCTAGGTACCAGGTACCTCACTGAATGAATTCAAAATAGATACAATGGAGTTGGGGGTAGTTAATCTTTAATAGAGGAATGGGAATACACTTGTCTTGCGTTTTTAAAATGATCATCTACGGCAGAATACAAACTGGTAGACATGAGCACGCGGCAAAGTCATGTAGACTCGGACTTGTAAAAGAAATGTCCATCTCCGGCTCTTCATCGGTTAGATCGAGATAAGTTGCACACGAATTCATAGTAAATGTAAAGATGCACAAAGAATGTAACCATTGGCTGATAAATGAATGCTGGCTAATATACATTGAATGATGAAAAGACGCTGCATCAACCCCAAAACAAAGAGCCTCCTGGTAATTTCGTATATTTCAGATCCATATTCCCTCAAGAGGATTCGGGATGAAGAATTCACAACCCAGGTGCGCTGCTTCGCCATGATGCTGGAGTTCCTTTAGAATCTGTTCTCCAGGATGAGGACCATCAGTTAGATTTTCCTTGATATGAATAATGTAGACTTTCAATCCCTCCAGAGGAAGTGGAGTAGTATGAATCCATGTCTGAGGGTCTGGATGTCCTAAAACCTCTTCAAAGTCCACTCTGGGTATCCGAGGTATATCAAATGACCCGCTTGGGTGCGATCGAGGCTCAATAAGCGACTCAGATATCTTGCCTGCATCGACACAGGAGCTTAGAGCCCGTTTGGTTTTTGGGCTCACTTGCTCGCTGCCGCTCTCGACGGGTCCTACGGTTTCACGCTTGCGCTTTTTCTCGCCCGTGCTCACATCCCGTATTTCCAGGACTCTGTTGGCTAAGACGCTGAGCTCGAAGACTAGATGTCGTGGACACATGTGGCCGTACAGATATGAATCGTCGGTGCTGTCGTTGTAGGAACATTCGATGAAGATCGCTCGTAGTTTGCCCGTGGCAATCTTTGGCGCAGCGGCTTCCCATACTCGTTTGTTATGAGTTCCCATAGAGACACAGTCGGGTTCGACGTCACCGAAGACAATGATCTCAGTGCCGGTATGATGGTCACGTAAAAAGAATGCGGAACTCTCAACCGTTGCCATCATGGGCTCTTTGGGGTTGGATGGAAGTATATGTGGCGAGCGAGCAGGGGAATAAAAGCTGGAAAAGGTTAAGAAAATTCACGCAGGGATCACAGACTCGGGAACTTACCTGCCATCGGTATGGTCCACTGAAATTGCCCTTGAAGGGATCATCAATTGATGATCCGAAAAGACGGTACTCCCAACTCGATGGTGCGTCCCAGTTTCTGGATGGTATCGCTGCTTGCACCGGCCATGGCTAACACTCAAGCATTTTGTTAACAGGCCATTGCAAGCCCTGACGTAGCCTCTACTATCTCCACGACCGAAGCGAGGGTTTCCACCTTCCACCAGGCGCTGATATGTAAGCAGACCGGCCCCCCATCCTCGTCGGACAGGTTAGGCCAGATAACATCGTTGAACATATGGTTTTTGAGAGCGGATAACACAGATGGTAAAGCAGCTACAGGCTTTGGTCCATTACCCGCTTCCAGAACTGGGGTATTAATGGCCAGCCCTGAGATATGATCTAGATGAGGGTGCGTGATGAGTACAGCACCAATGATTTCTCGAAATACATGAGCTGCATTTGCCTGTGGTGTTCTGCAGGGCAGCCCAAGCCCCTGAAAGGGCCCACTTGTCATCATCCCCTGATCATCTGTGCATTCGGGGATGTATCGTTCCAATAATCGAATGATGCCTGCAAGAAGGGTACCCGCATCAACGGCCACCACCGAATTTGGAGACCATTTCGTTGCCGTTGACCGGACAAGAATGCCCGTGACGCTATCTTCGCGGGGACCACCAGTCGGGCCCTGAGGGAGGTCAGCAATTTAGCAAAAAAAGTGACAGGGGTTCCATCTGCCAGAACCCGCCATCAGGTTTGAGAAAACAGGCGCCATATCTATCAAGCCTCGACACATGGCCATGCACGTGACGGGTTCTGCAACAGAGCAGGAATTCATCGGGTTCTAACTTACCAAGACAATGACTTGGAATGCTGCTTTCTCCGCCATTGTTTCACTTGTCTCGCCCACTATGGACATGTGAGACACGAATAGTAGCTAGATTTGACACAGCCCAACACCCAGTAAAGCTGCCCGAGCGCGTCTGATCCCCGACAGGAGACAGACCTTGGCGATAGGATGTTTCAGGCACAAATGGATTGGTGGTCAAACTGTGGGATATGAGAGACGGCAAACAAAGACAGGGGAGGAAAAAGTAAAGAAAGGAGGTCGCGTTACGATAGCGCCCACAAGGTTAGGATTCAGACTATTGAAAGATCGATGTCGACCGCTCTCTGGATATGCTCGGAATAGACCCCAAGCAGAGATCCCCGAGGAGAGACAACAGAAATCCGGAGGCTGGTCGGGAGTTTGCAGATGGAAGTTCGGGAGTTGCCCCTCGTATCACATCCAGGTGTGCCGATTGGATATTTCGATGTTCGGAGAGGTGGACCGGGGAAATCTAGTGGAGCGAGAGAATATCCGGGGGATCTGATATCAGATCCTCAGTGGAGCTATGTCTTGGGAAGTTGATGACGTTCACACTACGATCTTTACAGTCTATATGTTATGAAAGATGACAGGTTTTCTTTTTTGAATATTATACTAAGAACCTATTATTAGATTCTACCTAACTTCAAAAATCGGGATATACATCTTCAACAAGGGGGAGCCAAAAAGGGAGCGATCGTGTCCTGGTGAGTTCATTGACTCCAGGGTAAGAAATAATAGGCACACAAAGACTATTCCAATCCAGACAGAAAGCATTTCATCAAAACCAAGAAAGTGCCTTCGCCAATTGCTATAACGCCTTCCGTGAACCCGCTAAATAAAACAAAGAAATGATTAGAGACAAAGCCCCTCATGCGCCATGAGGCATGTTCAAAAGCAAAAGGGGAGGGAAAGATGTTGTATCAGGACTGATCGTTGGCCTCTGAATTATGTTCATTCAAGTCTCTCTCCACCACGGTTTGATAGCTTGGTAGGAATTGACCACCAGAATCAATAGAGTCATTTGAGGGGGAGTGGAGAGTCCCTGAAGCCCTAAAATTAGGCGGAAAGTCAAGAGAAGCATCACTGCCCCTACGACTGCCATCGGGACTGGAATACTCCGGGGGTGGCGCCTCTGGCTCCTGATTATGATGAACTACCACATCATTGCCTTCTGCATCGGCTAAAGCAAAACGGCTGGACCCCTCACCAGCATCTTCATGGGAAGGTATGTGGGTCAGCTGAGCGAGGGAGATGTCAGTTGGTGATCGAGAAGGACCTGGGCTGGGCGCTGGAGGAATCCTAACACTTGAACCAGAGGCCGCGTAGTGCGCATTTTGGTAAACGCGCTGAGAAATTTGAGCGGCACTTTCGCGGCCTGACTCAAGCAGAATGCTGCCTTGTTCGCTGCCATAGGGCGGGGGCGGGGCGAGGCTGCCAGTCATGGGAGCCAAGCCCCATTTTTTGACATTGCCTTCAATGAACACGAATCCCATTTGGCCAAAGTTCACGTGGATAGTGCAAGGCCCATTAGCACCGATGGTGGGGAAAAGGTTTTGTGAGCGATAATTGTGAGCCACGTCTTCCAATTTCTTGCCGTTGCGTGTGAAGAAAACGGTGCCAGATCGAGGACGGTAGCCTACGCCAACAACATCGCCTTGGAGAAGCGGAGGTCCGTATGGGGTTGGAGTAAACGGTTGGTTGAGTCGACGATGTCCCGTAGACTGGTAGGCAACAGAGGATTTGTGGAAGCCTAGCGGTTGTTAGCGGGGATCTGGTAGACGCACTTCCGTTGCGACACATACCTGGCATTCGAAATAGAGGATATGGTTTTGTAGTCACACCGATGCCGATCATGGTCGACTCAGGTTTATCGTATATTTTTGCCTCCCAGTAGTAGACATCGTTCTGCTTTGGGATTGGCAGATTGGTCTGTACACTACACTCCGAATCAAAGAACTCGATTTCCGTTCGCCCTTCCACAAAGCAGTTTGCAATTTCCAGCTCTGGCTGGAATTCCCATGCAGATACACCTTTCTCTTGGATCGCGAGGAATTGTGAAAGAGAGATATCGGTTTGCACGGACTCGGGAGGGTTACCCTGGACAAAAGCTGCAGATCATTAGTAAAACGATTGGAGCGAATCATAAGCATATCGATCTCTAATCTTACCTTTTGCGCGCAAGTATTCCGACCGCGCCAAGTCATCCATTGACTCTAGAGCCGCCTCTTCCTCCCGTAAAAACGCTTGCTCGTCATCATATTCACCGGGCCTGCCAATGCGATCGAGCATAATCCGCCCCGGGCGGGTATATTTGAAGAAAAAAAATATCGCTAAAACAATAAATGCGACAGCAGCCGAGCCAAACGCGGACAAGATCCCAATCAAGATGCCTTTGCCGGTCGACCCGGTCGAGTTGCCACTTGCCAATACAGGCTCGGGACGGAATTCCATAGACAAAGAGGAGATAACATTTTGTAGATTCGCTTGAATTTGTTGTTGCGAAAGTGATGGATTGCTTTGTATGGTTGTTGGTAATGGCACTGTTGAGACAAAGCCAATCGGTGACGTCGTCGGATTGCCTATCAGCGTTCTCAAGGTTGACGGCAGGCCTACGAGCGCATCGGGGCTCGAAGCCTCAGGACCCTGCATCGTTCATGTGGTAAGTGAAAGTATGAGAAAAGAAGTCGGGAGAATTCGAGAGAAGTTGAAATGTTGAGATGGGGGGGTGTTGTGCAAAGAGGAGGTGAGAGAGAGAGAGAGAGTAAGATAAGTGGGCGCGGATAAAAGCGCAGGTTATCTAAGACGTTTCCGGGCCTTTAGAAGCTAGAACCCTGTAATGATGCAAGGCAATGTTGGTTCCTGGATTTGACAATCCTACATTCTGCAGTCTTCTGCTGTCTTTGAAAATTTGATCTTATTTTACAATGTCGATTATAGGGAGAACGGTAGGGTATGTATCCAGGACTGGATATGTTGGTCATGTGACCTGTTTACATGCCCCTATACACTTAGCCCCCTTGACAGTTTCTCTCTAAATGCACTGAGATCTACCGAGTACAATTCTAACAATTCTAAACTCCTACTCTTCTCTTTTGTTCCCCTCCAGGCTATCTGATAGCTCCTTACATGAGATCCTTCTCATCCCCCTCATCCCCCCATCCCCCCCCATCCCCCCCATCCCCTCATTCTCATCCTTAACCCTTAGCTTTGACCACCCGCTCCCCTAAGTGGACAATCGACTGACTGCCCACAATATCCAACACTCCAACTTCCACACTTATCTCCTTTGACAGCCAATTGCGAATCTCAATAGCCACAAGGGAGTCAACACCATAATTGGAAGGGGCCGTGTCGCTATCGATCTCCGTGGCAGATATGGCCAGCAAGTTGGACAATTTCTCAATGATACCTTCAATCACAACCTGAAGTATTTTTTCTGGTTGGGCTTTGTCTAATGCCCCCTTGATTGATAATTTTGTAGCGATGGAATTGTTGCCCTCGCTTCCCTCAGAGCCACCGAGGCGCCAGAGATGGGTGAATAGGGGATAGGATAGGAAGCTAGGTTCTGGTAGGTTGTCTGCGAGGAACTGCTCACGAGTACAAAGTCCCACCACAGTCTGTGGACACACATCCACGTTTTGAGCATTGCAATGGTACTCTAAAAGTGCATGGAACTCGTCCTGTGAAACGCCTTGGTTCCCTAATGCGGCTCGGAGGGATGTAGTGAATAAATTATCCGTTCGTTCCGCAATCACGCCAATGTCCAGCATATGGCCTAGGTTGAGCGATGTTCCACTTAAGCCCTGGGATCGACGGTAGTGAGCTAGGGCGTCCTGGAACGTGTTACCAGCGTTGTAGTTGCCCTGGCCACGGTTCCCGACAACACCACTGCATGAAGACAAGAGGATGAAAAAGTCGAGATTCTTTGGAAGCACCTCGTGGAGGTTCCACGATCCCCGTGCCTTAGTCCTAACGCTCGCTTCAAAGAGGGTCGATGTCATCGTTTCAAACGTAGAATCCTGTCAAGAATCATCAGTAAAACGCAGACCACTTCAGGACATGAGAACTTACCAGCAATGTCATCGCACCTTGAATACAACCCCGGATAGGGGGCATTGTTTTCGTATGAGCTCTGATCGCTTGATCCAAGGCAACCGAGTCACCAACATCAACCCGGAGGACCTGCGCATCGCACCCAGCGTCAATCAATTCGTTGAGTAGGACCTGTGCATCAGCATTCGAGCCACCGGACCTTGAGAGGAATAGTAGGTGTTTTGCCCCACGAGACGCCATCCACCGTGCTGCACTCCGACCAAGACCACCAAGACCACCGCTGAGCAGATATGTAGCATTTTCTGGGAATCGATATGGTGGGGGGAGCGAGGGAAGAGCCTGGACAACGTCATCATCACTGATGGTCAATACCACCTTGCCGCTCTGTTTACCAGACTGGAGCTGACGGAACGCCATTTCCAACTGGGAGTACTTGAACGCTGTGAACGGAGACGTCGGCCGGAAGACCCCAAGTTGCCAAAGTTCCATTGCGCCTTGAAGGAGATTATTACCCCGAACGGGGTCATGTTGTATGATGGTGTCGAGGTCACAGGCAGCAAAGGTCACGCTGCGGAGGAAGGGTGCCATATCAAGACGTCCGTTCGTTACAAAGTCGCGTTTACCAATTTCGATGAAACGACCACATGGGGCCAGGCATTCAAAAGTTGCCCGAAGAGCTTCGCCTGCCAGCGAGTTCAAGACCACGTCCACCCCACGTTGATTGGTTTGCTGCATGACCATCTCCTTGAAAGCAAGGTCGCGGCTGTAAAAGATGTGCTCCTCACGTACGCCATATTCGAGCACAATCTTTTTCTTGGATTCAGAAGAAACGGTCGCGAAAACCCGAGCCCCGATGTGGTTGGCGAGCATCACAGCCGCCTGCCCTACGCCGCCTGCTGCCGCATGGATCAAAATGGACTCCCCTTTCTTCAAACGCGCAATCTCGACCAAGCAACAGAACACCGTGGCATAGACAATTGGGAACCCTGCAGCATGTTGAAAGCTCATTTCCTCTGGTATGGCGATAGCTGCATTTTCCACGGTACGAGCGATTGTTTGAAAAGTGCCAGTACAGACTGAGATTGCCGCTATACGCTGTCCGGGGCGCAGCCTCTTTACATTGGGGCCAACTCGCGTTACGATGCCGGACGCCTCGCCTCCAAACTTGGTCGTTGGCACTTCACCCATAGCGGACATAACATCAAGGAAGTTGAGGCCGGTTGCATGGACTTTGTATTCGACTTCGTCATTTTTCAGCGGACTCGCGTAGACACCGCAGTCCTTGAAATATAATCGATCCAAAAGACCTGGGCTGTCGATTGTCAAAGATAACACTCGATTGGGCGAATCGCCCAGACGCATACTTTCAGGAGTCATCGTAGCAAATTTGTTGGCCATGAAATGATCCAGAGACTTCTGTAAAACCAAGCGGTTGGTTTGGAGGGGGCCGACGACGGAAGCCCTGTACTCAGCGTTGCGCTTTTTGACACTGGACTTCAATTCTGATGCAAATTCATGTTGGTAAATCCTTTCGATACGTTGAATGGCTCCCTGAGCATTGTGCCCGTGGCAAATTTCCAATGTCACGAGGTTCTGTTCACGGAAGTCCTGCTCCCATCCCACAGTACGGATGAGACCGGTGATAAGAGCAGCATTTGGATCTTTCCGGTCGTCTCCTCGGACCCATAGGATGCTGCCACAGGTCTTGAGAAGATGTTGAAGATTGGCCATTAGATCGTCACTCATGCGAGAAAGAAGACACCCCTGTGTATCTATGATGATGCATATCTTTCCTCGCAGGTCTGCCTGATGTGTGACACTGAGGATATTGACGATAGTACATCTGCTCCCAGGAGAGGCCAGACTTTCGCTAAGTGTATCAGCAATCTCGCCGACTTCAGACGATGGTTGAGGAGGTGTGACAATCATCGGTGCCGCTTGTATCTCCGAGGATTGCTTAATATCCTCGCCTAGGCCTGGAACACCAGCAATCATCAAGGTGCGCTCCGAAATTGCTGGAGCCGTGGAATCGCCAATAGAAAGCTCAACTTCAGAGAACCCTGATACTTTGAGTTTCTCGGACCACCAAGCAGCAGACTGCAGGGGACCGGCTTTACGGCTTTCTTCCTTACTCAGCCACCATCCCGGATTTAAGCCGAAGACTAGTGGGTAGAGGAGAGTATCGATTTTGCAAATCTCGACCAGAATCAGCTTTCCGGACTTTTTCAGCAATGACTTGAGGTTTTGTAAGGCGTAAGTGGTGTCTGGAGCCGCATGGACTACATCCACAGCCAAAATGAGGTCAAATGAACTCTCCTTCAATTCTTGCTCCGAGAAGTCCTGCGCGATATTGAATTTGCGATACTCAATTGAGTTTGACCATGCACCAAAAGACTTCTGTGCCTTGGCAAAGAAGGCCGTCGAAATGTCCGTATAAGTGTACAGGCTAGTGGCTAGACCGGGGAGGAAGGCCTTAGTACTCGCACCATCACCGGCTCCAACCTCGAGAACCTTCAATTCTCCTGTCTGATGTCCATAGATGTCACCGTACGCGCGGAGTAACTCTTGTATGCGCTTGGACGATTGGTTTTCCGCATAGAAGCGATCCAACAGGCCATCCCGAGATAGAAGGTTGAAAAGATCAGTCTGGCCATTTATGATTGAGTCAAAATGGCTTGAAACACATGCAATCAGCTCCCCTTCCACGGAAGTAGAAGCGGCTTGTTGAATCAACATGTCTTGGTTTTGCGAAGAGTCTGGATTCATCTGCAGAAGGTGTTGTATCTCTTGAAGCCAGGTAAGGTACTTTTTGAGGTGAGACGGCAAAGAGGGGGAGCCAAGTGCCTTTATACTGGCTAGAGCTTTCTGAGCAAGCATTGCAACCGCATGATTTAAATCATTTGATAAATCCTTTGCATTCTGCTCACGCTCGCTAGCTCCATTGTTTACACAAGCCTGGCGGAGGTAGTCTATTGTCTCTTGCGGTTCCATCAAATTAACATCTGGCTTCCACACCAAAGTCCATGGCTGTTGGTAATGATGACCTTTGTATGCGGGTCGTTCTAAAAGCACTGTTTGATATTGCCAAATGCGGAATTCTGGCATTGTAGCGCCGGCACTCCATGCTGTCACGTCATGGTCAATCGAATTATGTGAAGCTCTCTTGGACGTGACATAGCAATTGATCTCTGCCCGAGGCTCGTTAGCAATATTTGGCGCCAACCAGAGCTCTTTGATTGACCGTGGCAACATGATCTCAGCAGAAGGTTTTTGGTTAATCAAATCGCCAATCGACACGAACGTCAGTTGTGTACAAGAGTCCATGGTCACTGGATGCATGATATGCGGCTCCATTGCCTCGTAAGGCATGCTAGTGCGAACGTCTGGAACGCGAACAATTCCAAATGCCTGGCCTGTTCCATTACCTCGAGAGGCACTAGAAAGGCCGTGCATGGTTGGGCCGAACACCAGGCCATTGGAGCCCAGATCTGCCCACATTTTCTCAACGTCAACGGGGACAGTGCATTCATCATTGGCTCTATCTCTAAGAGCATCGAAATTTTGCTTGATGGCAGCGGATAGGTCATTCTTGATAATTGGGTTGTTCTTCTTGCTGCCATATTCCACTGCCACTAAACCAGTACAATGGTCAATCCAACCCTCCGTTTTGGTTTGGTATGAAGAGATCTTGAATTCAAACCAGATAGATGAGCTACTGAAGGTTGACTCTGGTTTGCGACGGAGGGTGATCATGATTTCTACGCCTTCCGTTGTATCTGGAATTCGCAAGACAGCCTTGAAAACAACATCTCGTAAGCGGTACCCGCTGACAGTAGACTTGGGATCGGCCAGCGTCTTGACCGCTTCGATTGCCATGACCAGATAGCCGGTGCCTGGATAGATCAATTGGCCGGTGATCTCATGGTCCTTGACCCATGGAATTTCATGAACTCGAAGGAAGTTTCTCCACCGGGGCTCTTCTACATTCCAGTCTCGAACTGGCGCCCCGAGGAGGTCATGCCGAGGACGCTGGCGATAGAGGAGACTTTTGCTCAGTCGACCGAATGGATTATATTCACGAGTATGATTGAAGGTATACGGAGGAATATCAACCATCATTCGTCCACCGGAGTTTTGATTGACTTTGGAAAAGGCTACCGGATAGCCTTCACAGAATAGCTTAGCAGCAAGGTCAAGTGACTGGGTCATGGCTGAGGTGTTGCGTTGGATAGCCCAGTAGTATGAAACTCGGCCTGCGACGGGGTTATTCGCTCCCACAATTTCCTTTACTGCACTTTGCATCGCGGGATGAGGACCCAGCTCAACCAAATTTAGGATGTTGCTTTGCTCTCCGCCCACCACTGTGGTTTTTTGTTTGCCTTTCGAGGCGATGGTGTTGATAAGACTTTCAATGGCGGAAACGAACTGTACAGACGACATCATATTTCGCACCCAGTAGTCAGCATCCGCAAGAGAGGACGGATTGACAGGTCTTCCCGTGACTGAAGACACCATGACAGGCTCAGAATGAGGCCATGTTACATTGCCCACAGATATCTCGCCCATCAGCCGGCGATATTCGTCAGCGACTTGTTTGATGTGGGCAGAATGATATGCGACCTGGACCCTGAGCTGGCGTGCAAATACACCTTCGCTCCTAAGTCGCAAGGAGAGAAGGTCTATCATGTTCCCATCGCCCGCAACAGTGAGGTTTGTGGGGCTGTTGAAGCATGCAATAGACAATTCCCCGTGAAGTTCCCGATGTACTGCCTCCAAATGCGGCCGAAGTGCATCTTCGCCCATGCCGACGGCAAGCATACGGCCCCCTGAATCCACTAGTGTAGATGCGACAATACCACGGAAAAAAGCAACTTTCCAGGCCGATTCACGGTTTAGTCCTCCTACACAGTAGGCAGCGGCAATTTCCCCTGAAGAATGCCCGACCACTCTGTTTGGCCTAACGTTCCACTGCCGCAGGAGGTCAACCAGGCTGATCTGAATCACTGTCGAGACAACTTGGCTGAGGTCGGGTTGATTGATTTGAGATTTTTTAGTATCTCTCAGAAGTTCCTCTGTGAAAACTGGTCAGTGATTGGGTTGACCAGAAGCCTTTCGAAATCCTTACCCTTGATATCGTACGGATTACCTATGCTACGTAGATAGCGATTGGCATCATCGAAACTCTGACGGAAAACTGGAAACCTGAGCAGTTCCTTCCCCATTCCAGCCCACTGGGCCCCTTGCCCTGTAAAGATAAATCCTAGCATAGGGATCTTACTTGGTTTCATATGACGAACAAACTTGGGACCCTCAGCCAGTCGCTTCAGGAGTTCCGCTAGAGAGCTGGCGTTGGCAAAGGAACGCCATGAGAACTGTGTTCTTTTCTCGGTCAGAGTGTAAGCCAGGTCTGCAAGAAGCTGATCTTCATTCTCAATGCCCGAACGGTCTCGGAGCCAAGTGTGATATTGGTTGAAAATTCGGTTTAGACCATCCTCATCAGAGGATGACCATATGAAGGACCTTATTGGGAAAGGTTCTTCCTTGTCTTCCTTCATACTCGCTTGGAGCAGGCTATGCTCCTGGGATTGAGTCTGCTCCTGGGACCTGTTGTATAAATTCTCTTGCTGGTCAGGTAAATCACTCTCCTTTATAACCCCTTCCATGCAACAGTTTTGGTCGTTGGCTGCGACTTCAGAGGCAGGGCTGACAGTGCAATGAGTTCCCTCTAAGCTGTGAGACTGCAGATAATGATACGCATCCTCCATGATGACGTGGGCATTCGTTCCTCCGACACCGAATGAGCTGACAGAAGCCCGCCGTAAACCATGGCCTGGCCATGGGGTGACTACCTGAGGAAACTGCGTTTCTATCAGCTATAGCTCACTCCAACTAAATATCACGCGACCGCACTCCTCACCTGAAGATGCCATTCTTTGACCGGAATCTTTGGGTTCACTTTCTCAAAGTTAAGGTTCGGTGGAATTATACCTCGCTCAAGAACAAGAACTGTTTTAATCAGACCAGCCAGACCTGATGCTCCCTCTAAGTGGCCGATCACGGACTTGACAGCCCCTATGACCAAAGGAGGGAGATTCAAATCTTTCCGTGACTTCCAAACAGTCCCCATAGCGCGAGCCTCGATGGGATCACCGACTGGCGTCCCAGTACCATGAGCCTCAACATAACTAGTTTCCTCCAGCTTCAATCCCGACTTCGCATACACTTTACGTATAAGTTCCCCTTGGCGTTGGTAACTAGGGACCGACATCCCAGGGGTATGGCCATCCTGGTTTGACCCAGTTCCTCGAACGACTGCTCGGATGGTGTCCCCGTCTCGAATCGCATCCAGAATGGGTTTGAGGATCACTGTGCCGACACCCTCGCCTCGAGCATATCCATTGGCCCGATGGTCAAAGCTATGACAGATACTGTCAGAGCTTAGAAATCCCACATGGCTCATGCGGTACATCATGTCAGGGTCATCAAGCAGATTAACGCCACTGACAATGGCCTAAAGCACCAGGGATGGTATCAATATCAGAAGAAGAAAAAGGAAAACAAGCGCATAGATAAGGATACTTCACTGACAATCTTAGAGCTCCCTGATATAAGGTCCTGACAACCGAGATGGAAAGCGACCAAACTGCTAGAACACGCTGTATCAACTGTCATACTACTTCCTTTGAAATCGAAAAACCAGCTAATGCGGTTGGACAGAATAGAAGGAGCTGTTCCTAGGGGCAGATACTTCCATAGAGATTGCTCGTCGGCTCCCATGATCTGCTTGAAATCGTTGTTGGATGCACCGACAAAGACAGAGACGTCGTTTGAAGCAATATTTCCAAGGGTAAGCCCAGCTATCCAGGATGGCTAGTTAGCTTTCAACGGAATTTAGTCACCTGCGCATGATACTTAACATACCATTCTCAATTGCATGATACACATTTTCCATTAAAATACGGCCCTGGGGATCCATTGCCATGGCCCCGTTCTTGGTGATGCTGAAGAATGGCGCGTCGAAATTTCGATCATTTTCGGACAAAAAGTGGCCTCCCCGACAAGCCATCTACCAGAAATACCCATCAATGACTGATTCGTATATTATATTAGGGCTTTGGGTGGCTTACACTGCCCCCATGGTCTGGATCTGGATGATAGTGGGCATTGACATTCATCTTTTCAGGGGGGAAATCGGTTGACGTAGAACGCCCGGCAATCAGAGTGTCCCAAAAGCTCTCGACATCCTCTGCAGTCTGGGGAAAACGACAAGCCATTCCGATTACGGCAATGTCCTGTGTGCCAGTTTGTGCGTCCATAACGTGAGACATTGAATAGCTCTTTCGACGGTGTCAAGGCAGGAATCAATTGGCTTATATTCAAATAACGGTCAATGCTTAATTGAAGTAAGAGAGAGGTGCTGGATGGATCTTAAATATCTCATTTTGGTTCTGCGATCTGAGGTTTCAGAGTACCACCAAACATATGTTGTCTTCACCTTCAAAGACGTTCAATCCGTACTACGACTGATCATTGCGCGTCTGCTAGAGTTTATTATGACCTATTATATTCAGGATGCAAGAAACATTGGGCATGTGCTAGAGTAGATCATGATACAATATTGAGCCTATCCTAGAAAAGCTATGATGAATTCGACTGAGCATACGGGGAAACATGGAACCTGTGCTAGGATAGGCTATCATAAATTCGGTGTAGGATACGTCGGTGCATTAAACCTATGGCATAATAAGCCACCGCCCCTAACCTAGAATGGGTTTTGATGTTTTTGATTCAGGATAAACTGGAGGATAACCTGTTTCACGATAGACCTTTACGCTTAAGCTATACTGTGTTATGATGACTTCGGTGAAGGATCGGAGCGTGGCTTGTTCCATGACAGATCATTCCATCTATATTCCAGTAAGCGTAGATTACGATGAATGCGGTCCCGGATGCATATAAATTTCGAACTTGTGCCACATTAGCTCTTGACAGATATGGCCGACGACCGACAGAACACGGGATAATACAATCAAGCTGTGTGATACCAATTAGAAAAGAAAAGAAATTTCCCAATGGAGCACAATCGTCTCTTCAAATGTATCCGGATCCTTGCGAGTAATCTTTGTAGCAAAGTCAAACCCTCATCAAAAGTAAACAAGGTCTGACGAAAGTCGCATCACTTCTATATTAGGAGTTGCTTTAAAAGTTCCCATCATTATCTTGTCTGATCCTCTCTCGTAGAATGACGTATCAGTTTTGAATGTGCTGGTATAGGCAGATTTAACTGAAAGAGAAACTCTCTCATCTTCGGAAGATCGGTCCTGTGTTTTTCTTCCATGAACATAGAGCCGTCTTTGTGAAAAATGCGTTTTTTATGTCTTCATGGCGCTGGTTCCAACGCAGCAATTCTCGAGGCACAGCTGGCGGCCATATTGAAGGAGTTTGCTGAACACGAGTTTCATTTCTTGCAGGGAGAGGTTGAAGTTGAGCCAGAAAAAGGTTTGTTGGTCAAATAGGATATCTGCATTTAATGCTGATTACGTTTGCGTTCGGTACTATTAGGAGTGAAAGACTATTTCGCGGGGCCATACTTGTCGTATTTTGACCTTTGCACGCCGTCTCAGATACGTTCTGCCTTCCAGCTCCTGGACAAAGCTGTCGCCGAGGAGGGGTCATTTGACGGGGTTTTTGCATTTTCCCAAGGCTCAGCCTTAGCCGCGTCCTATATGCTCTACCATGCAAGACATAGCTCACCTTCCGAACAGCCATTTAGGTCTGCCGTGTTCTTCTCGGCCTCGCTCCCGTTTGATTCAGAGTCTCGACCGTTTTCTGTCGATGGCAGAGGTACTTGCTATTATCCGATGCCTGAAACTAGCGAGCCTTGCGCTGTCAATCTCTCTGCGACGATTCCGGAGCTTCTAGATCCTGTTTATATTCACAAATGGGATCAGACGACCCAGTTCTTGGAGAGATATGGCGCCGGTCATGCAATTTCCGTTCCCATAGAAGTCCCTACTGCACACATCTATGCTCTCAATGATAGCTACGGCTCTCATGCGGCCCAATTACAAGATTTCTGTGTTTCGTGGAACAGGGAGGTTCTTGTTCATGATGGTGGCCATGCCATCCCGTATCGTCCATCCACCACTGTGAAGATGGTGGAATGTATCCGCAAAGTGCTGGACTCTACAACAGCTTTCTGAATTCAATATCCGAAATTGAGGGGGAGAGATACAACATCTTATGGGGATGGAGTCAATCGCTTGCGAGACAAAAATCGCAAAGGACTTGGCACATTCATTGCAGGCTACTTTGAAGAACCGGAACATGTCATTCGTCCTTTTGCGTCAGTGGCCGAATACTACTTTGTATTTTCTGCTACGTTCACCTCAATTTGTTCGCCTTGAATATAACATGGCAATCGAGTACAACAAGCAAGCCCACCCAAAAAATCAGATATTGTATTTTGAACCTGGTATATCCCAGATTGTTGGCATTCAACCCCCCTCGATGATGTGACGATCATGTAGCTGCAGAGGGAGAGCATCTTTTTTTGGGCTGGCTTTCAAAGAAAAGTCGAGAGGTGGAGAGGGTTCGCCTGTTACACTGGTATAGATAGCAAGCAAATGAATCTGTATGAAAGATCAAGATTGGCAGGATCTGCGAGATCTGCACTTGATTTTATATGGCGGAGTAAGGATCGCAGTCTTCGCCCCCGGCCGTGAAACATGTGGAAGTAGCGTTCTATGCAACTTTCCAGATTTGTGTGATGAGATCTACATCGATGAAGACTGCAAATCCTTTTCGGATTCTCGTGTGCATTTGAAAAGCGTTTTGACTCCAGACCCACAAGTTATATAAATTACCCAGGCTTATCACGAAATTGCCATTCACATTGATTCTTCCACTCAAGTTCACCATGGGGCTCCAATCCAACTCACGGCGTCTGGCAAATGCCCTTACGACTAAGCGGTGGGAATCCATTGCCATTGCGTGCGGTAGCCTCTGCATCATATTCTTCGTGATTGCATTGGCAGGATCTGGCAATATTCCCCCTACTGCACCGTGGTGGGATGCTAGGCGTGTTGAGACCCATTACAGGCATCATATAAAGGGTGCACAGGCCGGTAGTATCTTCATCATGGTTGCCGGGGCTTTATACCTCGTCTATGCGGCAGCTCTGACCCGTCAGATTCGTAAAATCCCCGAAATCGACCCTATACTGTCCGACCTTCAACTTGCGAGCGCCGCAGCATCATTTAGTGCCTTTATGCTGGCTGCCATCGCCATGGGCCTATTGAACTTCCGCGATTACGGACCAGAGCTGACACAGCTCCTGAATGATATTCTGTACATGGCCATGTTTCTAGTGTGGCCAATCTTCTTAGTGCAGGGCTGGACGGTTGCATGGGCGATCTTCAGCGATAAGAGACCTAACCCTATACTTCCAAGAAGCATGGGCTTAATCAATATCGTTGCTCCAATTGTTTATTCCCTCGCCAGCGGGATCCACATGCATCACACAGGCCCTATGGCATGGAACGGTGGCATTGCCTTCTGGCCAGGCGTGGTTTTCTTCGGATTACAAGTCAATGTCGATCTTTGGTATATGTGGAAGAATATTCAAGATGATCGGCTTCTTTCCTAGGAATTAGTGTTTCTGCGTTTCTTTGTTGTGCAAGCATTGTGGGGGAAATCTTCTACCTCAATATTGCAGATTGGATACAATCAGGACTGGCCACTTGTATGGGTTGTGAAGCTCGATTATCACTGTGACGGAAGACCTGATATGAATGCTATTGAGATAATGAAGAAAATCACGGAGGATTACGTTAGGGAATATGATGAGCAGTGGCATGTGCCTATTTCTAGCGATCACTTGGTAATGCGCTACCTTTTCTTGAGCTATCTCAAAAACATCACGCCTATGACAATCATAGACATGGCATTGATACACTGTCATTGATACACCACTTCATCATTCCTGGCAAAAAGATCAATGATCTCCAACAGAAAGCAACTGTGCATCTTCAAAATCTGTCTTGCTGCGAGAGTTCAGCCAGAATCCGCTCAATAAAACTCTTAGTTGAACGAGATACAAGCCAATTAACGTAGACCAACCTACCTCGTTCCCTTATCGTATATCATTCCCAATTTGCGCTCCGTCTGGGCTAGAAGTGGTTTCATTCTTGCCTGATGAACCAATGATTAGTGTTTCACAAAGGCTGGTGCTGCTTTTCCAACGAGACAGCAAATAAGCTGCAGCATCAACTTTGACATCTCTAGAGGGCTGATATATTTGGCAATGCACGTTTTCCAAGGTTCATTTTTCCAACTCGAATACCTAACGTCGTATCACTTTCGCATTGAAACTGCTGTCTATGTATTTGAATATCGCGCCGCGATCGTATATGACAATTCATTGCCCTATATTTGCCGAGGGAGCATGAATACGCTTCAATGACCACGTTATCGATTCCTCTCCCAGCCACGGGTACTTTCCCTTCTGGTAGCGGATACGGGGCTCATGGAATTCCCTTATTGCGCGCGAAATCCTGCCTAGGCAGTTTCCTAGCATCTTCTTCTTGGGGTTATATCTACAAGTAGGCGGTAGGACAGAAAATAATGACATTGCAATTTTCATTAAGCGCAGTAGACTAGTAGGTGACAACAGATGATTAGGTTTATTGTATATACTGTGTCTAGTAAATGTAAGCGAGCTTCTGAGAGGTCATTTGTAGACTGTCGCTCACTTGGATTATCTACATCCTTTTCATTCACTGCCGATTTTAGTGGGACAGTATGTCCGCTTTGCTGGTAACTCTGTATATTGTGTTGTATTATTACATCTCAATAATTGAGCGCTTTCAAGAGCTCATCTCGTTAGTCAAACATCGGGGAAAGACTTCATATCGGCCCAAAATGAATCCCCACGTCAAGTCAACATGAAATTGAGGTGGCCGTTTCCTGTCAAAAATATGAAAAGTGCGAAGCATCTGAAAGAAGAAATATGAAAAAAAAAAAGCGAGGAAAAATTTAAGAATTGATGGCAAAACATTAGAGAGACATTATCTGTAAACCATGTCTCATCTCAGAGAAGTAGTTCTCTCAGCTCCAGGTTCAAATTCCTCAATCTATCCCTCCGTTCCTCGCGAGCATCCTGGATGACCAGTTCGAGTAGCAAGTCGCATACATAATCAAGAACCTCTCGCGAAGGCATCCGTATTAGATGAACTGGGATAAAAGGCGGCACGACCACGAAAACACGCAAGGGACAATGAAGGTCATGAGAATAGCGGCAAATTTTCAACTTCACCAGCCAAAGTCGCTCCCTACTTGTGATCACGGACATCATATAGACATAACACATACTGACGATGAGAATCAGAGCTGATGAATGTCGAATAGGAGGCCGGAAAGGATGAGAGGTCGACGTGAATGCCAGTTAAACGTCTCAAATGCAAGTAGAAGATTCTTTCGAGATGTTCGAACAAGAGGAGGATGTGAGCGAGTATTTAAATGCCACGACAGGGTACATAGTCTACAGTCTAGTACCTGCTTTTGCCAATTACCTGTCAAAGGCTCATTTCAACCTGACATCTCTGCAACGGCAAATCATGCATGACGCACAGCCCAAGTGACAATTCGTTCCGTCTCTCCCAAAAATGAGACAGCAATACCTTTCGTCAGTGCGTATATGTATAAGTCGCTCTCATCTTGATGGAGAGTTCAGTGGTCAACACGAGAATGGCCAAAACGGGATCAGACAGGGTGAGGCACATTTGAAAGTGATAATCGTGGCATGGCAGCTAACCAGACAGTTCCACGACAACCCCTGACTTCACACTCGAGACTCCAAGCACCTATCACCGGTACTAGCATCCAGAGTTTTGACCTGCACCACTATTCTTTCGACGGACCTAGCGAAGCTCCAGGAGACTACCAATTAACCACATCATTTCGTGGCAGGCGGAGACACAGCACCCGGGATGAAACGCGTTCCTACCGACCTACGCGACGGCACAGCTCCGATAACGAATCATCTGAGCAGGTATCACCTCCGCCCCAGTCACCTCAAACGCCAACAATACGGCCGCCGCTACGACAAAGAAGCCTAAGATGGCAACTCTCGGACGCCATTGCAATAGCATCCAGACGACCTACTGATGGTAGCTCTTCGCACTCTCCACCGCTCCCCTCTTCAGACATCTCCTGGGACGAATATATTTCGGATGACACCGTCAGCAATTATCGAAACATCGGGGCTCAATATCAAGCATGGATAGCCGGCCGAAACACAACAGCATGTCCAATCCGAAGATCAAGAGTCACCTGGGAAGATCTAGTCAACCACCCACTCCAAGACCAGAGTTTCGAGGTTTATCTAAATGATTTTAGGTCAACGCCCGAGGAAGCGGGCAGCATCCAATCCACTGGGCTCTCGACAGGAGACGATTGGCGTTATGTTTTTTTGAGGCGTTATGATGGTGACCAACAGGGCTGGAGTGTTTACCAGCACCATACCGGACTCGGGGCTATCTTCGTTGACAATATTACAAGAAGGACTGGGCCTTATTGGTCTCAAGTGGCTCAAGCACAGTACCAACTTGATAATCATATCGACACGCTCCGGCACGTTTACTTTCTCAACGTTCAGAATCTCTTCACCTGGCCATACGTGGAAATACATCTATACCCTCGTCATGGCTTACACTGGTTTGATGACCCTGAACCCCAGTGCTGGACATATGGTACTAGAGAGTATCAGGAACTTCTGGGTACGAAGCTGGGAAGGGGTGTCGCCCGTCTGGTTCTGGGGGCTTGGCCAAGACGCACGCACCGCATTGACGCCATTCATACATGGACTATTATGGGAAACCTACAAATGAGGTTCGATATCGAGCCAATTTGACTCACAACTTCTGGTACATGAAGGGAAGGGCCATGCTGGTCAAAAGTACAGCTAATCACAAAGGGGGAAGAAGCGCTAGCTTCTGCTGATGGTATTGACAAATCGTCCAGTTACGGCATCTATTGGCCATGTTATGAGATGGCGTCCAATGATCATTCATGTTTATTGCAACAGTTTCAAGTCTCCATATCATATGTTGTTTTGCAGCACATGTGAAACTATCTGTTGAGAATGTTCAATCTCGTAAACAAGAAATAACCTGTGGATTTGAACACGCATACGACCTCTGTGGTACAGCCGTGTAAGTTACCAGCCCACATTCTACAATTACATCTAAGCATCACTCTTTGTTATCATTTCTACCCCGGACGAAAGACGATATGGGGTCTGATAGGAGCATTCATGGTGGCCAGAAATGTTCACCGCGTCGGATCTCACGTTCCTGGTCCATCTCCGTCATGGAAACCAGCTGCTCGTGTGTTTGATGCGAATCCCAGTATAGTATTTTGGCTACCTAGAACAAATGTCCCTTACGCAATATCCAAGAGGCTCAATAGTTAATTCAAAACATGAAAGAGAATTAATCAGTTCTCTGTCGGCAGAAGCACGATGATTTAATGGGTACATCCGCCCACGCTAAATTAATCCTCAGTTGCGGCAACATGGCACGCGCCTCGTGCTTCCGGCCCATCTTAACCAAACATTCATGATACCCATGTGAAGCCCATACATTACCCGGATGTCTCAAAGCGCGAGGCAGAGATGTATCAATTCCAAGGTCCGCAGAATACACAGCTGCAGCCTCCTCAACTCGATCTTGTTCGAGTAACAACGCCCCCAGCGCGTGTCTCGTTGGCTGCATCCAGCCCCATGGCTCATCATACGGCAACGTATCATCTCGCTTAACAGCGTCCCGGAGATACGAAAACGCAGTGTTATATTCGCCACGGCGATACGCAATCTCACCATCGAGCATTGCCTCACCGACCCGAAGAATGTCGATGCAACGGTTATTGAAGATCGTCCGGGAAGCTGGGACAAGCTTCATTGCTCGCAGAAAATGCTCTCGCTGTTCTTCTGCTTCCACGACACGGCTGGTAGCAGCAAACGCAATGCCCTTTGCATAGTGCATCATTGCAGTGGTGACGCAGTAAAGTTCTGCATCTTTTGGAAGCTCTATAGTAATGATGTCCTCCCAGCGACCGAACCGCACAAGTCCATGCATTTGCATAGCGACAAATCCCTCCAGCCAGTCTGCCATCGGCGGAGACTCGATGCGCAGAAGAGGCTCGGTAATGATCCGCGCGAGCTCAGCTCCAGACTCAAGCGCGACCTTCGATCGGCCACCCAGCAGAGCAGCATACATCCGAAAGTGATAATCGTGTGCGCGGTACAGGTTATAGAAATGGCCCATGGGCTGGTTGGCGAGGAACTTTTCGTCTGCGCGAATTGCAGAGGTATTAGCCGCTACTGCACGTTTGTACTCCCCACACAAGACATCAATGTGGGAAGGCATATGCTCCAGATGACCGGCATCTGGTACAAGGCCGCGAAGGTACTCCGCTACCGGTAGGGCAATTTCAGGTGTGGGGGACATTTCCATCAGATGGATGTAGAGGTGCAAGATGCCGGGATGGTCGAGAGCCTCGTCGCGTTTCAAAACCCGATCCAGCGCTTTTTCTGCTTCGAATGTTTTGGCTCCTGGTGTGGCCTCGCCCGTCTTGATGTCCCACAGGCCCCATGGAGTCAAATTCATTAGCGCATCGCAGTATAGCGCGGTCACGTCGAGGTCATCCGGATAATCATTGTACACTAATGTCATTGCCTCTGCGTAGTTCTTGTCCCATTCCGTGCAGTCCTCTACGGGCTGTTCTTGGGGATATCGGTGCTGCAGTGCATTGATAAGAGCATTCTCCAAAGGCGTCGCAGCGTGAGCATGTTTCTTCGCCTCCAAAATGGCGCGATGGGCGCGAGTCGTGGTAGACGAAAGATCTTCCCCATCAAATAGTTGCCATGGCTTATTATAGTTGGGCCCCAGGGCAAGGGCAATGCCCCAGTATCCCATGGCGCATGTCGGGTCGAATTTGACGACCTTTTCGAAGCAACAGGCAGATTCTTCATGGTTGAAGGCGTAGGCCCAGATCAAGCCCCGGCTAAACCAAAGCTGGGCATTTTCGCTCGTCGTGGTCACACTGCGACGATATTCACCTAGGTTATAATAGTCCTCGGCGGGAGGTGGCTGGGCCATTTTTTTGATGGTGGGTTTGTGTATGTTGTAGGGGAGAGGAAGGAGGGGTATGATGACCCAACACGGCCCAACGCCGACTCTCATGTAACCATTTTGATTGCAATGGACACTGGGTTAAGCGCTTATAGTGAAACGAAGTATTAATCAGGGGTTATTTATACATTGTGACAGACCACAAAATTCTGCCTGAGGCACTTATATATGCCTATGAAACAAGGCCACAGGGCAGTAAGGCACCAACGGGCCCCACATGAGCAGATTTGAGGAAATCCACTTTTAATGTGCTCACTCGTGCTCGATCACTCTCACCTTGAGCACCTTGGGGGTGTTGTGGATGGTATTTAGACGGTCTGCCTTGTCTTTTGTCTTTTTTCTTCTTTGTCACATACAATCAATATAGTAATCTGTATATCAGCCCTCTTTCATCTCATCTCATTTCAACACCTTCACTCTTATAGATCATCATGTGTGGAGAAACCAACCGCCCAACATTTGGAGGCACCATTGCTGTCATATTCCCCCGAGACACACGTCCAAGGTCGAGTCTCTCGGAAGCATCATTATCCTCGTCACCAGAATCGGTATCCTCATTTGCATCATCATCATCATCATCAACTGGCTCATTGTCATCATACTCTCTTTTCTTTCGCGAAACAGATGCATTAGACCGTAAGACGAAAGCAATCTTTCGGACGGAAGATGGAGAGACATACACCGCACTCAGAAGATGCCGAAATGTGGATATACGCATTGAGTGAGTTTATCCTACCTCGCGACCTCGGGAGCTATTTGAACGGACAAAGGCTTACAGTCGATGTTAGAAAATATGGCGACCTCTCCGCTACGTCCCATCCCAATTCCCCGCTTCATCAGTTCTGCCTGAATATGGAAAATGACAAGAACACCAACACGACGAATCCAAGGGAGTTTGAATTCGAGCTGCCCGAGAGGCTGGACCTGGGCGTCTCGGAGAAGGGCGTCATTGGCCGACAAGTGACAGTTAGAGAGCAAGGGGGGCCAATTATTGGAACTGGAGTGGTGGGATACAATTAATGGGACGAGCGTCTATTGAGACCTATCTACGGACATACATCATAGACATAATTGCAACCATAAATCATCTTGCATGAGTCGAAAACACTAGACTTCCTAGTAGACTACCTGATCATTGAAACTAACTGAGACTGAGAACTGTGACTCAGTCAAGCCCTCACAGCTTCAGTAGGCTTTCCACGCCAGCAGTGTAGCGCTTCTCTGCTTCCGCCCAGTGGAGGATCTTCCAAATTCCTTCGACATAGCCAGCCTTGTTGTTCAGGTACTATCCACAGATTAGCAGACGAATACAAACAGTAACGAACAAAAGATAGAGATAAACTCACTTGGAGGTAGTAGGCATGTTCCCACATATCAACACCGAAGACAGGTACATCGGGTTCATTGACAGGGTCCTGATCCTTGGTTGTAACAATCTCAAGTCGTCCCTTGACACCACCCTTGCTCACCAACCATCCCCAGCCACTCCCCTGAATACCGAGAAGCTCGTTACTAAACGCTTTGACAAAGGCTTCGTGCGAGCCCCAGCGGGAGATGATAGCTTCACGCAGAGTAGGTGCGGCGCCGATATCATTACCAGGTGTGTTGGGGGGAGTCAGGTTCTTCCAGAACAGTGAGTGGTTGATATGGCCACCGCCATGGAAACGGATCTTCTGTTGCAATGAAACCAATGTGAGGACATTGTTTGACGCAGTCGCAGATACTTGAGCGGAGAATGCCGCGTTCAAGTTGTTGATGTATGTCTGGTGGTGCCTCTGATGGTGCAGCTCCATTATCTCCTTGGAGATGACGGGCTCCAAGGCCTGCTGATTGTTAGCTTCAAAGCAAGGAATATCTAGCATCTATGACCGGATGAGACTTACATCGTAGGCGTAGGGGAGAGGAGGCAGAGTGTATGTTTGAGAAGACATAGTGAAATTGTGGATGTGGGGGTGCAGAGAAGAGTGGAAAGGAGGAGTGGAAATGTAGACAAGAAATATACCACCAAGGTCCCTCAACTCAATGCTTGTCGAAAGTGATGTGACAACACGGATCTTGCGGCCACCAAGGTAGAGATATCCACAGGTGGAGATGGATTGAGCAGATTTCGAAATTTTCTCTAATATGCTCTCCTTTCTTCGTCTTGAATGTTTCCGGTCTAATTTCCAGGCGCCATATACAATCTCTCTTTGCGCCATTCTCTAAACCAGTCTAATGTAACAACTCGACCTCTGCAACATCCACAAATGGTCCTATATTCCGGGCCCAAAGCTCAACCAGCAGTGTGCTATGGGCTCGATCTTTAAGGCCCAACCCAGCCCAGAGGTCATTAATAGGGGCCTATAAGGTGCCCATCAGCCTCCATTACTCTGCATAACTACGGCCAGGATATATATAAAGTAGCTGCTTGATAAGAAGGATTTTACACAGATCGCAGTCTATTTATACTGGGCAGGCAATACCTGTGGAGCGTGATATCGGCGATCTCAGCCACCTAATATCTCTCTATTGCCACAGCCTAGGGATCAGTGTCTAGTTCCTTCCTCGATCATCTGTGAGCGCAATACAAGCCCCCTAGGCTATAAACAGGAACCTCGGTTTCTGTTGTGGCCTAGTGGTAATCTGCTGTGTTTGCACATCGACATCATCGTACAACCTACATTTTGGGGCTGAAGTAGTAATTAGAATCCCCAGAACTACTGGCAAACTCTATATCACTTATACAGCTGCGATCAATGATACTTGTATTGCGTGATGCCTATTGTGTCCCATTAAGCCCCTATAAAGGGCCCAGGGGGGTTTTCCCCACATGCAGCCCGCCGGTGAGCCCGAACATAGGGTCTAAAGCCTAGCCCATTTGGCACTTCAGTTGGGGTGGGCTTTGGGCTTTATGGGATTTTTGGGGGTCTTTTAGGAACACAACGATCATACGTCACACAAGGAGAGACAAAGGGGGAAACTAGGTGGGATTTGCTCGTTAGATTCTTACTGTAATTTCGAATAGTTACCTGGTATGGAATGCAACTATTCTTCAAGATAATGCCCAACACTTTCTGACTGAAACCAGAACCAGACGTCCGTTGGATTGCCCTTAAAAAGCGTAACCATTCCTATTAGAAGCACACGGTATATGCATTTTTTTGACTTTATTAAACCACAAATAAGCTGCTCTCATTGGATTATTCAAGACCATTGTAACATCAACGTATCACCGATGAGCATATGAAAGCAGGACAATCTGGAAATGGAATGATATACAGATTATTAATCCCTCCAGGCTTCTAATCTTGCAATCTGGGGAGATTCCAAGCGGGGCAGAGTTTCAATAAACCTCGGCCATTTCGGCTTGTACAGATACAAATAGCTAGGGGAAACTTCTTTTCCTCGAAATCATCATTCTAATATCAGTTCCAGTTTGTTTCATCATGTCCGTCGACGAACAAGTCAAACTTTCCAATTTTACCAGCATCTTCTCTCTTGAGGGCAAGGTCGCTGTCGTAACAGGTGGGTCCCGTGGGTTAGGACTACATGCAGCCTCAGGGTATGTACCTCTCCAGCAATACAAGAATTATTACCCGATCACATCTGCTGACATCTCGGCAGTCTTCTCCAGGCCGGCTGCTCCAAAGTCTACATCACCTCCCGGAAGAAGGCAGCATGCGACGAGGCAGTTGCAGCTCTCAATGCCATCCCTAACAAACAGCCCGGCGCACAAGCCATCTCTGTCCCAGCCGACAGCTCAGACATGACAGAGATAGACCGACTTGTCGCTGAAGTAGGCAAGACCACAGACCATGTTGATATCCTCCTCGCCAATGCTGGCGCAACATGGGGTGAGAAATTCGACACCCACCCTGAGCCGATGTTTTCAAAAGTCATGGATTTGAATGTAAAGAGCGTGTTCTACACCATTCAAAAGTAGGTTACTGTTCTACGCGAAACCAGGAAGAGGCGCGATTCTAACATTGGGCTAGATTCACCCCTCTACTTACAGCAAAGGCAACCAAGACAGATCCATCTCGCGTCATCATCACTGCCTCTGTGGCAGGTCTTGTGATCGGCGCAGTTGGGGATAATGCAACCTTTTCTTACTCCGCTTCCAAGGCGGCTTCTATCCACCTTGCGAAGAATTTGGCAGTTGCCCTTGGGCCGCGGCATATCTTGACCAATGTTATTGCCCCAGGGTTCTACCCTTCGAAGATGACTGAAAAGTTCATTGAGGCGAGAGGAGGTACGAAAGATATTGAGGCGTCCTCACCTAATGGTCGGCTCGGTAATGCTGAGGATATCGCTGGCTTGGTTGTCTTTCTCGGATCTAGGGCTTCGAGTCATTTGAATGGAGTAGTCATTGCGTCGGATGGCGGAGCTATGCTCAAGGGGAGTCTGTAAATTTTGATTTGATGTTGTAGGTAACAATGGAACGACTTTCCTATTGACATAAGCAAAGCTCAAAATATTAAGCTGGTCGAGTTGGCAATACAAAAACCCCATTAGATTGGAATTAAAATCCCTACGTTGCACACCATCACTATATGTACCTCCTAATCGGGTACCCGCGGACAATACCTCAACCTCTGGGCCGAGGTTGTTCTCCACACTCCCCCCGCATTAAAACCACCTCTCCACCTCGATGTCAATTCTCATATTTTCATCATGGCCTCCCAGGAACCTCAGTATGTGGCAATCGCCCAACGCAAGCAAGCTGAGCTTGCTGCAGCTATCCCTGCCCAATGGCGGCTACCCGCACACCTCATCCCCGACGGGATGCTCTCGATCTCCGATTCGATCACGGTCGGTCCAAAAAGCTACAAACGAGTCGGGGTGATGGATATTCCACGGTCTTGTGGAATAATGACACAGAAGGAGTTGGAAATCACAGAGAAATACGACGTGCGGGGCCTTGTGGCGGAGATGACAGAAGGTCGATTGAAGGCCGAGGATGTGGTGCGAGGGTTTTGCAAGGTGCGCTTGCCGATCGGCTAATCGTGTTTGATCAAGGCACTAAAAGTTATGGCTAATTGCAGAGAGCGGCTGTCGCTCACCAACTCACCCGATGTCTGACCGAACCACTCTTCGACCGTGCCCTGCAAAGAGCCCGGGAGCTAGACGAACACTTCCAGCGCACGGGCGCCCCAATTGGCCCATTACATGGGCTCCCGGTCTCAGTGAAGGATACATTCAATGTGAAAGGTGTGGACTCAAGCATTGGATTGTCTGCCTTGGCATTCAAGCCTGCCAAAGCAAATGCCCCACTAGTAGACCTACTGCAGTCTCTGGGCGCGGTGGTGATCGCCAAGACAAACATACCACAAACACTCGGAACATTGGACAGCTGCAATCACCTTTTCGGGCGCACACTAAACCCTCTCAACCGTCAATGGACTGCCGGTGGCAGCACTGGCGGAGAGGGCGCTTTGCTCGCCATGCGCGGGTCCATGGTCGGTTTTGGCACGGATATCGGAGGTAGCATTCGTATCCCAGCTATGTGCCAGGGTATCTATGGGTTCAAGCCAAGTAATGGACGAGTGCCATATGGGGGCCAACAGAGCGGCCAGATTGAAGGCAAGGGTCGGATAGGGTTGCAAGCAGTAGCAGGTCCGTTGGCTCGCTCTGTTGCGGACATCAACGCCGTCATGGCGGAAATCGTGCCTCGTGCGGAGCTATTCGGCGCAGATTGCATTCCGGGCTCCTGGCTATCACAGTCAGTACCGGTTACTCTCGCCCCACGTAACTTCACCATCGGTGTTCTCAAGACAGATGGGCTTGTCACACCTCTGCCCCCGATTACCCGTATTTTGAACGAAGTTGCCAACAAGCTTCGCGGTACCCCCGGCGTCGAAGTCGTTGATATCCCTGTTCCATCTGTCCTACCTAGATGCCAAGCCCTCGCTGGTCGGCTGATGGGCGTTGATGATGGGTCGCACATGCTTGATCTCATCGAGAGCATGGGTGAAGAACTCACTCCGTGGCTGCAGGGCCGTCTGAAGCGTGGCAAAGCCCTGACAGTGGTTCAACTAGCAAATCTGCAGGCACAGCGTGCTGAGATTGAAGAGGAGATGATGAAGATGTGGACATTGACATCGCAGGCTTCTGTCGCTCGACGTGTTGATGCCATAATTTGCCCTGTGGCGCCACACCCGGTCCCAGAGCTCGACCGATACAACGCCGTTGGGTACACCTCGACGTTCGTGCTGCTAGACTACCCAGCTGCCTCTGTTCCTGTCCGTTCATTCACAGAATCTGACCTTGAGATTGGGCGGGAAATGGATACGCCTGTATTGGGAAGCTGGGACAAGGCGAATCGGCAGTTGTGTAAGTTTTCGATATTCACATTATCTCGGTGAGGTCTCGCTAATTGGCTTCGATTCACAGGGGATGAGAAAACGGTTGACCGTCGCGTGTACCTCGGTTCACCTCTTAGCGTTCAGGTTATCGCTCCTAAACAGCATGATTATCAGCTATTCCAGGCCATGGAGATCATTGATCGGGCTGTGCAGGGCGGCTCGATCAGTGCGAAACTGTAGTTCTGACCCCATCCATAGCGTCCAACACGGAGAAGAAAATTCCCTGAAAATATATATTAAGCACCGTGCCAAGATATAGGCCAAGGGTAATTTCTGCCCAGGTGCGCTGCTTTGATTTGCTAAGACGGGAAATCCCACTGGTTCAACCAATCAGATTAGAAATTGAAAGCCTTCAACAGTTAAATGGGGCCAAACCCACGGAACGACCGATAAGCAAGTTCGGCTAAGCCCTGACAAGCTAAAGCCAATATCGCGATGCTCTTAATTATGGCGCCATCATTTCCCTTTTGCCTTGTTCTGGATTGGCGTCAAATCGATCATGTTAACGCCAAGCCCAAAAGAGGCAAAAGAGGCAAAAAAAGAACCAAAAAAGAAGAGAAAAAAAACTTCGATCCACGTGTAATTTGTGTCTCATTTGTTTATAATGTAGGGTCCGTTCCTACCACGAGTATTTACCTTCTTCAACACCCCTTCATCTTGAAACATGTCCAACGATAAGAAGGAGCCAGGCTACGTCCTGGGCACCGAGACTGATGGAACAGACTCTTTCGATACCATCACTGCTCTGGTCGCCGCAGGTACCGAATGCCCTGCGTTATATATCACGCTGACCTGACATCACTTTTCGTCCAGACCATGAACATGATATCAAGCTTCGAACAATGTCATGGCAGAAAACGGCCTGCTTGCTTGCCGGGGAGCAGGTCTGTCTCGCCATCATGGCACAGTCCTGGTCTCTTTCGTGAGTGCCCATTTCTTTGGAATCTGGTTTTCAATGAAGCTGACAGGGTTGCTTTCAGCGTCCTCGGATGGGTTCCGGGAATCATCACTATGGTCCTTTGTGGACTCCTCTTCTGGATCACGTCTATCACGATGCACAAGTATATCATGAAACACCCGCATATTATGGATATCTGTGAGTCGGCGGCAGTCCAAGTATCCAGATTTTTGCGTAAAATGAAAACTAACATTACAATGACCCACAGGCGACTTTGGGTACCACGTATTTGGACAGAGCAAAGTTGCCTATGTATTCTCTGCATTTATGATGCTTGCGAATAATATTCTTCTCATCGGATTTCATGTCTTGACTGGCGCCAAGGTCTTGAATACACTATCAGATCACTCATTGTGCACTGCCGTCTTTTCAATCATCACGGCTGTTGTGGGAATCGTCATGTCCATGCCCCGGACGTTGCAACATATCAGCTTCATGTCAATGTTCTCATGTGAGTAGTTCATCTTCCTAAGTCACCCAGTTACTCCAAGCTGACCCTCCGAAAGCCGCCTGTATGGGTATCGCAATTCTTCTATTCCTCGTTTTTGCCGGAATCGAAGAAGCCCCTCTCTACGGATACCGGGGCAACTACCCCACAGACGGGCCTGTGAGAACCTATGCTTTCCCTCTACCAGGCACCACGTGGGTCGCCTGCATGAACGCTGTGCTGAATATCACCTACCTCTGGGTCCCCCAAATTCTGTTCCCGACTTTTATCTCGGAGATGGAACGGCCGCAGGATTTCCCTAAAGCATTGGCTGTTCTCGCCGCGATTTCCGCCATCCTATTTATCGTGCCCTCAGCCATCGGATTCCGCTACCTCGGCCAATATGCTACCGCCCCAGCCTTTGGTAGTCTCGGGGTGGTCTCGTACAAGAAAGCATCTTTCGGCTTCGTGATCGTCCCCACCTTAGTCATTGGCGTGATCTACGCCAACGTAACGGGGAAATTCATCTACACACGCATCCTCGGCAAATCCCGACATTCGCATAGCCACACCGTGATTGGATGGGGTGTATGGGGAATTATCATGGTCGGGATCTGGATACTCGGGTTTGTTTTCGCAGAGATCATTCCCAGCATGGGTGATTTCCTTTCTCTGCTCAGCGCAGCCTTTGATTCATTTTTCGGCTTTATTTACTTCGCTGTCGCGTACTGGCAACTCAACCGGGGATCGCTTTTCAACGGTTTGGGAAAGACTGCTTTGACTCTGCTCAATGTTTTTATCATGATGGTTGGGCTGTTCGTTCTGGGTCCTGGGCTGTATGCAGCGGTTGAAGCGATCATTGCTGACTACTCCGGATCTGTGACGCCTGCCTTTACTTGTGCCAATATGGCTCTATAAGGAGGAACCATTTCATAGCTGATTATCAGCGGGTGGGTGATTTGATACCTTTTTCATGTTTTATGGTAATACAAGGCCAGTATGCCACGTCAAAAAAAAAGGAGAAACAAACCGGGAAACTATCAGCGAAGTAAAAACCAGGTTTTGGTACATCATACAACATACATACGTAGACTTCATACTCGGGCGATCTTCCTTTTTATCGACAACATCGTACACCGCAAATTCGCCGTCATCTATTTCAGTCCCTTGCATATCTCCGAGCCCCTTATCGTGCTCTATACTGATCCATCATCTAGGATATCGCGCCATGACTACCCTTCATCTCGGTAGTGTATCCTTCCCGCTTGAGTTTACCAAGCAAAGTTTTCCACGAAGAGCGAATTGATTTGCTGCTAGTTCAAATCCAACGTGGCGAATTTTGGTTCTCGCATACCAATGTACAATACGCGATCCAATGCCGAATAATTTCACCACGTTCACCGGACCTCATCAGCGAGAGGTCTTTCAAAAGTGTAGTATGTAGTTGTTTGTTTATTGAACTTCGTGTTTTCGATCATGATTCTGCAGAGTCACCTTCTTCATGCATGCGAATTAAGATTTGCCTCGCCGTGTATTGTTGGCGATAATGCAAGCCGGAAAGGCCAGCCGCCGGTGCACTAGCAGACTTTTTGGCATCAGTACAGTTGCTATTACACATTGACGTACTTGATACAAATATAGCAATATGGCTCTTTCTCTCGAATATCGAATCCTTAACATATCAATCTTTTGAATCTGGAAAATACGTAGACCACCTCGAATTTCGCTTTTCTTGGATCTCTTAATTCACCTTAGTCTAGTACTCCACTTTACGACTGAGATGGTATAAGAGTGAATGACCACTTATAAAGCCTTATAATATTCTTAGGAGGCCCTCAAACAGTCTTGTCAGTGGTCCTCTTTATCGGCTTCTTGGATATTCTTCTTAAATCACGTTAAGATTAGCACAATATACGTGAGAGACTTTTGTATAACCTCTGATGATATCATGATATATAGAAGAATATTCAAAGCTAGGGGTGAGTTATCAAAATCCGGTGGTGAGCTCAATGGTCAAAACATGTTATTGGCAAAAGGTCCACTGGCGGCCAGAGACTGCCGTAGGGCGCTATTTCAGACTGCCTAGGTAGTGTCCTGATCAATAACATACTGACAATTGATAGTATACACTACACAAGAAAGGGGCAATTGACCAGCAAGTAAAATTGAAAGAACATCGGTAAGCATCTGATATCATATGAAGGGTTTATTCTAGAAGGCACAGCAAAAGTCATGCCCATAGTCGATGGTTTAGGGATATATGTAAGCTTCAAACGTCTCACAGAGGCGTAATCGTACCGAAAATCATGCAGATGCTATTATTTGTTGACAGAAACACTGATCTTCAACTCAACAAAGCACCTTTCCAAAAGAAGTACCAAGCGGATGAATCGAAGCGCTTTTTGCCTAATCGATATACTTGCCATACTGTCATGCTATTCAATCAGATTTGAGCACTAGCTCTGCAAGTTCAACATCGACAGGAAATTGAGTTTTTCGACGTCAGATGTCAGACCGGCATACATCTCTTTCTTGATCTGCAAAAGGTAGTCGGATATCTGCTCATCTGTATGGTATGTTTGATTGTAGCACGCCCTGATAGACAATTTATCACCAAAAGTCTGAATTCCGAGATAAATTCGTTCATCGGTCGGCACCGCACACATCCAGAGGTCCCGGATCTTGAAAGAGCCGTAGGTTTTGGGGAAGCGGTTCGAGAGATTTCCAATGAAGCTGGGTAGAATCCCTTTAAAATAGTCTTTAGATAATACTGCTACAGACTTCTGCAGATATGGCACCATCGTGGCAATAGCAGCAGACTTTTGACGAGCGAGAGCCTTATATTCCTGTTTAATGCCAAACGCCGTGCGTTGGAAGTCATCCGACATCGACAGTTGTACGGGCCAGAAGCCAATTCGCAGAGCAGCGGCTCTCGCATTAGCATTGGCAGGCGAGCCGGTACATTTTTCTCGGAAACTGAAAATAAGAACGGTCGAATGGACAGAACTATCAGAGCTAGGACTGATTCTCTTTCCTGCATGAAGAAGCACTGCATGCACGAAAGCAGTAATTCCTAAATTCATTTTTTTGGTTTGGTCCACAAGCTCAGATGTTTCACTTTCAGAAAAGTCCAGCGATTGTGTCTTGCCCGGTCCAGGTGGGTGTGCATTATCAATAGAAGGAATTTCAAAGGCCTCTCCATTTGCTTGTGATTGAGGCAACGATGCGGTAAGATTTGAAGACCAGTCATCTTCCAAGGCTGTTATTCCCGCAGTGTCAAATGCGCCAGAAGCAAGTTTGGGTACTTCCGCACCCCAAGGTTCCTTGACAGTTTCTCCACCTAAGTTCAAACGCTGAATCTCATTGAAGAGATCTTGTAGCAGATCCACACATGCTCTCCCATCCCCATGCATGTGATTCATGCGGAGGATCAGCTTTTGCTTGTCAGGGAAGTAGTATAGCAGAGGCGAATCGGCAGAAGGTGTGATGCCGAGGTCTTGACATCCTTGTACTTCAGCACTCGCATCCCACTCTTTAACAATGAATGTTTTTTTCATCCAAGCATCAATATCTGCTTGGCTTTTGAGAGGCATGTACCGGAATTCCTTCGGGTAGACTTCAGTGGCAAGACTAGGATGGAGATAGCGCATTCCGATCCATGCTTTTTTGATCGTCTTCAACATTGTATTTGAATCTTGCTCTGAAGTTTCCATGCCAACTTGAACCATGACGTCGAGGCTCCGATGCTCTGGTCTGGCTGGGTCGCGACAAAAGAGTGAAAACATATTTTCAAAAGGATCAAATGGCCTGACATACTGGCCGTTGCTGATTCTTTTCCATTTGGATGATTTTGAAGGTTCCAAGGAGTTTGAACTCTGGTCTTTTGTGACTGGCACCTTTCCAGCAGTCTTTGTCAATGTTGAAAATCGAGGTGGGAACGGACGTGGTATTGGTTTGATAGTAGAAAGTCTGTTGAATACATTCGAACGTGGTGCTCTCAGCAGGACAGACATGGTGTAAGATGGTTGAAAGAAGAGTCGTATCGAATAAATGGATCTATCTGTATGTCGAGGCTTTGACTTCCTTTCGTTCCAGCAAAGGGTATCAACCACGGCCTTTTGTAGAGCTTTCATAACATTCGTGGGATCAAGATTGATGCCAATCGACCATTGCGGCATCTCGGTCTACCAGCATACCAACTAGCATGAGACTTGGCAAGCCAACCCTAGTTTTGCAAGTGGCAAGGAACCAGATAGTGGCCAGAGAATAGGATCAGGTTACTCAAGGGTGCTTGATTTCTTCGTGTGTGCTATAGGTGATTAGACTTAAACCTGATTTTGTTGATATTTAAGTTCAACTCAATATAGTAGTGCCAAATAGCATCTATTTGAGCCATAGGCCTATTATTTCTAGACCTGATCAGAAGTGCAGGGAATCAGCATGCGGACTTACATGGTACTGGGCAAAGAGCCTCTCTGAATAAGGTCATTGCATTGTTGACCTGACTTCTCCACTGCCGATACGGGCTGTAATGGTGGGACTATTGTTCACACTTCGGTTGAACGCCATCCGGAACAGAAGATCACCACGCTTCTGCGTAACATCCCTGCGAACTTCGCCATTCTCTAGCACAGCTTTTGCATAGTCTTTAGTAATTTCGATGACGCCGAAGCATTGCTGGCACCGCGACTGAGAATCAAATCATCAGTATTGAGTCCACTTGTCTCTCCTTTACCCCATTTTCAGCCCTAGGTTTGGATCCGATATCGACGATATCAAGGATATCATAAGGCTTCCCGGTAACAACCTCATCGGCTGTCCAGCTAGATCTTGTAAATGGCAGCTTCTCAGTACGGCAGCACACTCAAGACAGCTATCATCTGCCCATCATCACATCTATAGGAAGGGAATTCAAACTCTATATACTTAGTAACAAGGTCATAATTAGCGATCACAACATTCTAGTTGAGCCCTCCAGACAGGCTTTCATGGAGGCCTGAAAGGCCCCCACGAATGGGTTGTCTGTTGGGTTAGGCTTCGAAGGTTCAGCCCATAGCCCCCCAAGGGTTGGGCTTTGGGCTGTGATCCGGGCCCATTTGTGGGGCTTTGTGGAGCGCTACCGGCACCATCCGCAGCCTGCTCATACGAGAGATATGTGAAAACATCACCGAGGTTGAAAATTTGTTCTTTGCGTTGACGGGTGCGAAAAGGAGAACATATGCCTCAAAATTGTGGAAGTTGCTGTTTCAGGGGGAGAAATGCGGTGCGGGGGGAGGTAGCCGACTAGCCTAGTCTTTCAGATCAAACCGTACTGAGATTCTTACTCACGTTATGATTCTCAAAATAAAGAACTACATCTCCACTAGCCTATAGAACTTTCACGGCTCGATCTAGCCCTTATACACACATCCGGATTCCCACTAGCGAGCAGAAGGGTTTGCGTGTTGTGACTGTGAGAAACCTCCCGGTGACTCGAGCTAGGAGCCGATGGGAACGTACACCTTGGCCTGTAGCTCGCGTGTGTGCATATTTCGGGCGATATCTCCCTTGAATCATGTACAAAGTGCACCCAGTGTGCAGAGTGCGTTCGAGGCTGACCTTCTAGATGCTGCAAGCATGTGAAGCCACATGGGGAAACGTATTGTCCAGATTTTTGGCGTGAGGCAAAAAATGAAATAGATGTTCAATATAGACCCGTAATGGATTGTGACCGCTTCTAAATCTTAATACCTAGCACTTTTAAAAATAAAGCCATGTCTTGTAGCATCCTCCGCTACCTGTGGCTTTTAGCTCGAGCATCCGTACTTGCTTTCACCGGTAATGTCACAAAATATCCTCCATCAATCTATTCCAACTAACAGGAATCTTACACCGGAACGGTCTTCGTTTGATCGGGAACTAGCGGTGAGGCTTTGGTACGGCTGGCTCGCTCGGGATTCACGTTCTTACATATCTGCAAAAACGGGAGTGCCCCCTTCATTTTCTGTATAGATATATCGTGCAGCTTGATGCCTAAGAGACCCTTACTATTTGACGCTAAGGAAGAAAAAGTCCAGGATGCTCTGACCTAATTCAGTTTCACCGCTGCGTGAGTCATCGTCTTCATGCCCCGGGGCCGTACTGAGTCATGCAATCGACGGATGTCTCATTAAATGTACAGATTCAGATTATTGCGCTCTAATTGAACATTCATTCTCGCGGCACTTCCAATCCAAAAATGGCGCCAGCTCTCGCTGGGCCTTTCGAAATCAAGTACGCCAATGCATCTGACCTAAGTGCCCTTGTGGGCATTGAAATCCGCTCTTTTCCCTCGTCCAATTATATGCGCAGCACATACAAGGGATGTGATCCATTGGCAGTTCACACATTCAAAACAGTCTCCTCTCTCGAGTATTTTGTCAAATCCGAGTGCCATATTCTAGCGGGTGTGGACTCGGAAGCCGGTGATATCATCGCATACAGTCGCTGGCATATACCAGCTGTTTATGAGTACGAAAGAACTGTGGACATAAGTCTGAGCAACGATGCGCAAGCGCAAGTGCAGAACATGTGGGCGTACGCCCCAAATTTGAACAAGGGCACCTACACGTTCTACGAAGAAATGATAAAGCGAAGTAGAAACACTCATCTCAAGGAAACTGATATTGGTTCGTCACCTCATTTTGCCCGTTAGAGTCTTACAATATTGACTGCTAAATGAATGCCGCTAGTGCTTGAACTACTATGTGTCTTACCAGAGTACCAGAGAATTGGAATAGGAAGTGCCTTTCTCAAATGGGGTATCGAGAAAGCAGACGCCAGTGGCGCGCGGATATATCTGGAAGCTACAATGGAAGGAGTGCCAGCGTATTTGAAGCACGGATGGAAGATTGTCGAGGAAATAGAGCTGGATTATACGGAGCGTGGTGGAGAGGGAAGTCAGAAGTTCGCATTGATGATCAGAGAGCCCCTGGAAACAGGGGCTTGACATCCGCCTATTTTCTCTTTATATATGTATCTCTAGCTATAAGAGCTCACCTCTATGTGAAATAAAGCTTTTCATGTCTGACAAATTCATGTATCAAAGGATTTTGAGATGATATCAGCGATGGCCTATTATGCTTGTCGCTCTCTAGAAGTCTGACTTTTTTTGATCCAAGACTACCTAGGCCTTCTGGCAGAGAATGCTTGCGAAAACATCATCAAGTACTAACCCTTCCTCAAAAAGCCTCATCACCTTGCTAATCTTCCTATGATACATGGTCTGCCCTTCGTGTTCATCATGAACGAGCCCTTGATCACAATAGGCAACTGGCAACACCATTGCCAGCGATCGACGAAAAAAAGACCTAATATGAGAAAGCTGCTCGGGCGGCGCATTCACTGTGTTTTGGAAAGTCTTGCTAATCACTTTGAGGTCTGCGTTTACACATGCCTTCACAATAGCTTCAGGGGCATTAAGGCTGAAGCCGTGAAACTTTGCATAGCCAACATAATCATCCACAATTTCTTGCAATTGTGGTTGTATGGTGGTCATCAGTTTGAAAGATCTACTGCAGTCTTCTTCTTCCCACTGCAGATAACCTCCCGGTTCTACAGATGAAAGTCGTTAGGGGCCTTCTCGTAATAGCTAGCTCGTTGCAGTATTGGGCTTACTAATGATAGATACCATATTTGTCACAGCAAGTTGATAATCAGACTCCTCCAAGCCAGGTTGGAGGAACCTAACATGGACCAAATCATATCGATTGAGCTCGTCCGGTGGGAATGGATTCAGTACATTTTGCACTGAGAAGCTTAATTTATCCAGATCACTTGGAAACTGCGCACTGGAGACATCGAATCCTTGAAGCAAAGGGAACGGACGGGCGTTGTCAAATGCGTTGCGGACATCTTGCAACCAAATCCTGAAAGATGGACTGAATTGAAAAAGAGATTCCCTGTCAAGGACACATGACATTTACATACCCTGTTCCAGTGGCGATGTCGGAAATCGCGCGAAGATGATTTCTTTCAATCAGAGGATGTATCAAGTTCCCTTCTAATAAGCTCAGGAACATTACATGCTGGTCGTTCAATCTCAGAAAAGCATTAGTCTCATGTTTTCAGCAAAGATATTCCCTTCGAAATTCCCACTCCTACCGTTCAGCTTCATTTGCATCTCTCTTGTAAGTATACAAGTCTTTATTTGTGTCGACAGTGGTCATATTTGATAAAAGAAAGGGATATCATTCAACAGGCTGCGTCGAGTGCCAATTCGGGGAGACCCTTGGGTTGGACAAAGCACAGCATGTCTTACCACTACACCATAAAAAACACCAAGTTTCCTATTTAGGGCCTATGGGGGCCATACTTGTAGGTCGACATCTTGTGAAAAGTTCCGGGACACTCGGAATTTTTTGACATCATTCATTTGGTCTAGGCAGTCAGACCACCCGTGGATATACACGGTTTTTTTTTGGCTTGAAGCATGCTTAAACTAAACTGCACCCTATATATATACCACGATAAATAGTGCACCTACTGATATTTCATTGAATAATTGATCTGTATAGCACTGAGTTTATGGAGAGAAAGGAGATTGAGAGATATCATAGAAGAAAGTACCCTCCTTACTTTACTGGTGTGTTATTAGTACTATCATGCAGGGTAAAGATAACTCCGAAGCGGAAGAAGGGAAATTCAAGGTCGGATTGAATATCAAAAACATCATTTTTGTAAAATAGCATTATATACGACTCATCACTTCTCAGTCTCTATCAGGTATGGTGAGCGAAGGGAGACTTCCAAGATCAGGCAGAACTCTGAACATTGTCGCATGAATTTGACATGTATAAAAGATGTATAAAATCACCTAATCAGAAATCCGAAATACCTGTGAAAGAACGCAAAGATGAACTATGCTAGCTCAGCCTCAATCAAACTCTCCGCCACCCCAGGATAAGTATAAATCCCAACAACCTTCAACCCAACTCGTCCCAAAATCTGCCTCCACCCCATCTCCGTCCTCTCCCTTGTCCCAAAATGAGACATCATGACCAAATCCATCGTCGTGGCCGCTAGCGTCGGTTTCTCCTCACTCACGACAATCTCATACAGTAGAACCCGCGAATATCCCTTGACCAAAGCTGGAACCAGATTCTCCAGAATCCGCACACCATCGTTGTCAGACCAATCATGCAAAATAGAATGCAAAAAATAGGCTCTCGCACCCTTGACCGGCTGCCGCGTAAAGAAATCATGGGACTGCACCTCAAACGCCATTTCCTCGGTCCCATTCAAAACATTCGCAATAACAGGCTCACGATCCTGTACCACAACCCTCCCAGGCAGACTTTTGAAAGTCGCCACAAGAGCAGCAACATCATTACCCTCACCACCGCCAACGTCCACTAGGAAAGCGTCACCAATTTTCAAATCAAACCCGCAGACTAGCCGCTGGGAAACTGGGTAAAACCCCTCCGCAAACCAGTTCACCTTCCCAGCACGGTAGGTTTTCATAAGTGCATCAAAATTCTGCAGCTGGGACGGCGTGGCAATAATCCAGTCAAAAAGTCCCAGGTTCGTCCCATACGCTTGGTGGAACGGTCCGTCCGTACCTCCCGGAGTTGGAGAGCGGTATGCATTGTTCTTAAAGTAAGCCGGCATGCTTTCGAGCGTTCGCCACACGACGTCATAGCAGCATAGAATAGTGTGCTGATATCGTTCATCGGCGAGACTGTCGCTTAGTGCTGTGCCGTGGATCCCATCTGGGTGGAAGACAAGCACGTTCACAGCGACCAAGTGCCGTATTAGACGGGTAAGGAGGTCAAGTTCCACGCCAGTCTTCTGCGATAAAGCTTCCAGACTGAGACCTGCTGGAGCTGCTTCTTTGATATGTTGGAATAGATGCACATCCACAGCGAGTCGGATTATTGCAGATCGGGCGGGCTGCGGTTGTGTGAGCTTGCTTGTACATTACCGGCGAATTAGGATGGGGGCTGATCTTCTCACCTCTGCCCAGAGAGTCTGCAGGATAAACTCACTTGGCAGCTCGAGTGCGGCTATGAGCGCACGGCTTTGTGCAATCAGCTCTTCTCGTGAACCGGGTTCATTTTCCTTGAATGCATCTCCTGCGCAGGCAAGTTGCTTGAGGATTTTGGAGGCATCCATGTTTCAAAGTGACTGTATGGATCTAAATTTTAATATAATGCATTATGAGAGAGGGCATCGATTAAATATCAGAGAATGGGGTTGTACCGGTGGTAGTTTCCGTTGAAATGTGTCCTACCCAGTATGCCGATCTATAGTACAACATATGTACATGTCTTGAACCGTCAGTCAGGACCCATTTACTTTCATTAGCGCTATTTCTATCAATCACCCCCCTAATGATCCACCTTATTTTCAAACTCTTCTCTCTCAAAAAAACATGCCGCCCTTGCGGACCGGGCTTATACGTGGTAGAACGCCAAAGACTGAGCTTTTAACCAAGTCAAGAGCTTGAATCATTTGCAAGTATAGATCAGTTCAAAAACCTACCTCTGCTGCCTACAAATCGAGCTACTCCGATGGTACTATATATCGTACTTACGCGCAATATCCAAAGTAAATTTAGACCTCAGCCCGGGCGCCCAATATACTTAAGTGATTGGCTTAGCAACATACACTTTCACTAGCATACTAGGTCCCCATTGACATGGGTATAGTTGATTCGCGACTTCTGATATTGGTGGGGCCTTTCGGTTTTCTTCCCTCACATGTCGATCAAGCACCATCGATTATCTTGTTTCGTGCGTCACACAGCCAGTACGTCAATCTGAATTCGGCAATTCTCTCTGTCACCAAGAGGTCACTTTGACTTTCATCAGAAAGTGTAGTAGATTAACGATTTGGCCAGACGGCCCGTCCTTCACTCGTTTCTAGAGCGCTGCTCACAACATTCAGTCTCGCGGAATTTGCATCAATCAGAAAGAAAATTGGAAAGTGGTCAGTTACCATGCTTTATTTTTTGCTGAAGAGCGCATGGATTTAATCAGAATGAGGGCTACACCAAACATATACCTTTCAACGTTAAGCACCAGCTATACGCTCATGTCTCCACTGAATCAGACCCGCATTAATCAAGATTGGAATAGCCTGATCCTCAATCCATTCAGTACATTTGATCAACGGCCGACGAGGTTCTCCGGGCTCATAGAATGTCACGGGATTCCAGCTCTTAATGGGCTCTGTCTTCATCGTCACTTTGTTGAAAGCCTTCTGCTTCCCGGGCGCCGGGATAGATTTGAGAATCTCATTCCAGTTTTTGGGATAGTTGAGGGCTCTGGTATGTCCAATCAGCTCCTTTGAGAAGAAGTTCTCATCGGCCTCGGGATCATCGTATTCTGCGGGCTCGTAGTGCATGCCTGTGACGATATCTCCGGTGACGTGGTGTTTCATGCCGCTACACGGACCTTGCGCATTTGTTTGGACAAAGAGTATGGTGTGGTATCGGGGTGATGGCATGTCGGGGTCTTGGATGGCTATATTCAATTTAACTTTGTAGACTGAATAAATCTCGGAGATGGACATGTTGATACTGGAGGTTGAGAAGGAGCTGGAAATCAACTAGAAATCAGAGTGACTTGGACAAGGCGAGAGAGTCTTTAACACCTGTCTCCCCGCTTTTGGGTAGCAAATAGGGTATCACGGGACCCCCTTCAGACAGAATGGAAATAGATAATGTGTCTTGATACTCTAGTATGAGGGCTTAGATCTTGTCTGGCAATGTTGAAATTTCCAATATGTCCAATCTTCGGATTTCTTTTTTATGTTTCCACTATCTTCGACCCCTCAGTTTCGGCCACATGCTTGGAAATACTAGACAAGACAAGTCGATGAAAGAGTTTATAAAAAATCTGAGTAGGGTAGTAGGGATACTGAACGACCATCTTGGATTATTGCATTCTTGAGTCGAGTTTGGAAGTTGACGTCGTATGCAGCCTCGGGCGTTGGCATCTTTCAGTGACGGTCGATACAGAAGGATGCACACAGCTTAGTACTGGGTATGCTGTTAATTTCAAGCTACGGGCAAATGAAACTACCTACGAGTTAGAAACCGTACGAAATTTGAGCTAAAATATGGCCATCTAATTTCGGGCCACACCGTGGTTACATCTGCTATAAATAGTAAATCTCGTGTTCCGAGTGTTCTTAGTGGCCTCGAGGGAAGTATGAATGCAGGAACACGAACATACGAGAAAAGATCAACCGAAACTCCAGTTAGTGTCCACTAGATCCCTCGAAGTTGTTATTTTTGTAAACAATCTTGGAGATCACGATCAATTGGTGTCAACAGGGCAATTGTCACGATGATCGTATCGAATCCGAGGGTGGAATACGAGTGGAGGGTTGCATTCTGCTCCAAGAGCAATACGAATCGACGATCAGCTCGATAAACACGAGGAACACAACAATTAGCTATAGATTCTATCGTGGTATAGCGTAAACGAGCTGTCTACAAAACTTTCAACCTCCATCTCGACTTAAATTTATCTTCTTCAACTCGGTTCTCTACACCACAGAAAAGAGCAACTCTCTATTACAAAAACGAACAGTCAAGCAGTTCACCATGCATCTCATTTCACTCATTGCCTTCTCCCTCACAACCGCTATAACAGCAGTCAGTGCTTATCCCATCACCGGCGAGACCGTCAACTGCCGCTCCGGTCCCGGAACAAGCCATGCGGTCGTCAAATCATATAAAAAGTCGCACGACGTCAAAGTCACTTGCCAAACCTCTGGAGACTCCGTCTTCGGCAACAATATCTGGGACAAGACATCTGATGGCTGCTACGTAGCCGACTACTACGTGAAAACCGGCAGTAGCAGCTACGTGACCACCAAATGCAGCGGTAGCGGCGGTGGTGGTGGCAGCACCGGCACAGGAAAGGCAATTATCGCTGCAGCTGAGAAGAAGAAAGGCCTCCCATACGTCTGGGGAGGTGGCGGCTGCAAAGGTCCCTCTGGCGGCGGGTTTGACTGCTCCGGTCTGACGCAATATGCTATCTGCCAGGCATTGAAGAAGACAATTCCCCGTGTCGCGCAGGATCAGTATGATTCTAGTATGGGCAAGCGGTATCCTCGAGCGCAGGCTAAGGCTGGTGATCTCTTGTTCTGGGCTACAGGGGGTGATTGCAAGAACAAGGTTGCACATGTTGGCATCTTCATCAATGATAAGTTGATGATTAATGCTGCTCGGACTGGTACACCGGTTCGGGAGCAGGCTATTTGGACTTCATATGGTGGGGAGAGTATCTGTCCTTATGTTATGAGGTATGTGTCCGATTCTCTGGCTGATGGGCTGTCATGCTGACTGGGATCTAGATTCACTTGAGCTTTTGCTATAGCTTGGGATTGGAAGTGACAAGTGAGAGATCAACGGGGTATTTAGAGTGTGTTGTGTTGATTGGGCTTGGACTTGTACGGTAGTCCAGATAGTTAGAATTGAAGTGGTGTTGTATGTTTACATCCAGAGTGGGAAGGAACTACAGGGAAAGTGATTGGGAAGGTACGTGGGGGTATAAAATCACTTCGCCCATCTTTCTTCTTCTTCTTCTTCTTCTTCTTCTTCTTCTTCTTCTTCTTCTTCTTCTTCTTCTTCTTCCTCTCCCGCCCCTTTCAGCCATCTCACTGTAGCCCACGTGAGATTGCCTGAAGCGTCGCACCTGACTTAAAAGGATATCAACAGAATTTTTGAGGTCTGTATAAGTCCGCACCGAAACTAAATTGAAAGTTCTCGTCGATGTTCGTTGACAAAGTCATTGGCTGAGCTTTGGGGGTTCGGTAGCCATTTGACAGGTCCCACAGAGCACATGGGGCGTGTCTCGTCACGTTCTTCTTCCTTGTACACCTACATCGAGGCTTCTAGGGTAGTCGAATGAGGTAGAGTATCTTCCTAAATTCCATGTTTCCTATGCAATTCTAATCTCTTTATATGATCTTCAAAATCGCGAAACATCCCGCCCAAAGAACTTATTCACCGTCCACCGGAAGGCCACTCGCAATTTATTGCGCCAGCTGATGCTCATGCCGATATACGCTGTCTTCCAGATAAGTGAGGCAGTACGTCCCTTGATACCTTCTGGCATGAGACTCTTTGAGCCACGGTCACCTTTACGGGGTATTTGCATCAAGGCCCGCTCGTCGCCAATGTACGCCATCGTGCCCAGGTCACGGAAAGAGAATGGCGGGGTCTGAGCCAGGTCATCTTTGTTCAAACGATCAGCCAGCCACTTGGATTCTTGGCTGGTGGCCTGCGCCGTTGCAGGAGGCGCACCAGTCTCTGGCATAGCGTTGTCACCTAAAGCGAACACGTCCCGAAGAACGGCTGTCTGACCTGTTTCATTCTGCAACTGTACCCGCAGATGTCCGTCGACGAGAAGGGGACCTTTCTTGGGAGCCTTCTTGTATTTCCATGATGCGTGTTCGGCGTCTATCGCTACAGCTGAAGAGCTCTCGATTTGATGGATGGAGTCTTTGGGGTATGCGGGGACCGAATCAAGGGAGTCGGTGATGAATTTAGGCATGGCATTACCTGTGGCCCAAACACACATGCCAACGCCCATTTCACCATTTTCTTCGGTTGTAAGAGTCAGGCACCGCTTCGGATCCATATGGTATGGCGGAGCTGCACCAGGTGGTCCCCAGCGCAAGCTTTTGACGTGGTGAGAGGTCTTAATATCAATACCTTCTCGCTCCATGGTCTCCATCGCATAACGAGAAAGCGATTCATCGAACATCGAAAGCACCTTAGGCGCAACATCGTACAAGGTGATCTTGGGGAGTGTATTCAGAGTCGGGTAGAGTGCCATCATATCGGAGTAGATAAAATCGCGCAGCGATGCCGCAAGTTCGATGCCAGTTGGGCCAGCCCCGACAATCGCGAAGTTCAGCAACCACTTTCTCATCTCTGGGGTAGTGAATGGCAGCACGGCTAGCTCGAAGCATTCCCGCACGCGCCGCTTGACCCTTTTCGCGTCCCCGATATCCTTGAAGAACATTGCATTCTCCCGCACTCCTGGTGTTCCAAAGGTCTGACTGACGGCACCTACAGCGATGACAAGCTTATCATATGGTACTTCGAATAATTCACCTTGTTCCCATTGGCGCTGTTCTTGCATCGGCTTCATATTCGTGGTCTGCGGGCCATCCTCGGTTCGTCGCTCATTTTCAGCCGTGCGAGGTGATTCGGTGACACCGCTTTTGACAACTGTGGCTTCGCATAGAACAGTCTTCTTTTTCAGGTCGACTGCGCGTGCAGCTGCTTGGATGAAATCCACTTTGGCGCGTGGATCGCGCACGGGCTCGACGATGTTGGAGAAATCGAGGGATCCGCTGGCCGTATTGGTGAGGAGAGGAGTGAAGACGAAGTATGAACGTGGTGATACAATCATTGGTGCGTATTTCTTTTGAGAAAGCCTGCGCGAAAGGGTATAACCACCCCAGCCGGATCCAAGAATTACGACCCGTTCTCTTTTGTCATCAGACTGCTGAGCTGCGGCGGGCGCTTCAACTTGGGTTGCGAGGCATCTCCGGCCAGGTACATTGACTGCCAGCGCAATGCTAGAGGAAGATATGTACGTTGGGCTGACCGGGTGGGCAACGCAGGGGAACGAATTCCGTATTCGTAGGCCCTGGCGTCGCAGAGGGAGCATCGCGCTCAATGGCCGGGTTTGCATGGCAATGCAGGGCTGATTCAGTGGAACACTAGGTCAAAGTGAAACATTCAAAATCGACACTGGATCGGTACCAAGCCCTGCTATCTAAATGCGGCATTGGTATTGTCCACGCTTTTGCTGACTCACTGACGACTTCACGCGTCATCGGCGGAAAGGAGATAGCCGGAACGGAGTTTGCGGCAGGTCCACTTGTTAGGCTCCATAATGGGTAACATATTCGTGTTTACGTGACCGTGGTTGGAACTGAGAGCTATTGTGACTGCTCCATTGCTGTCAAGCTTTCGGACACCCGGAACCCTTCGGAGCAATCGGTGAGATCGGATAGCACGTGCTGTCGGAGACGATCGGGAGATTCAGACACATGCTGTTCACATGGTACAGATTTCAATCAGCTGTAAATTATGTTCCGGGGTTGTGCAGAAGGGAAGAAAGATATTATAAGTCCTAGGAGGGAACATCGTATGATAGGGTTTAGGTAGGGCTTGGCGCAATCACATGAACTTCACAGATACAATAAGATCCAATGTGTTTCAAAGAATTCAAGATTTCTAGGTTTCTAGATTTCCAATCTAGGGCTTTGAGTCTAGGGTCCAGACTGCCCAGTCACCTTGTCTTCCGCGGCGCAGGAGATGCCGTCGTGTTCGATGATCGGACGGTGCAGGCTCTTCAGCATTTCGAAAAGAGGCCGAATTCATATCAGTCATGGTTTTAAATGTCTTGAGTTTATCCAAATAAATATCATTCAAACGAACTTGTCCGTTGTTCACGTCAATGATCAAGTTCATCGACATTTTGCCTTCACTTCATAGGCGGTGGAGTCCGCGGTAGCTACTATGATGTCATGAGTGGCGGATGTGGCGCAGCACTCGCTGTCAATCGAATTTAGGGCCATATTGCCTAATCGGGAGCTTTATCGCGACGAGGCTACTAGCATTATTCTGTATGAGGCCTCTGTTCGATATTTTCTACATTTCACCATACCTTTGCAGTGTTCTATACCTCGGTTTGGTGGACAAAATCTCAATGAGGCTAGCATCACATGCAATTCTGCTTATATCTCTAATTGGTTGAAGCTATGAGGCTGACTCGGTACAAATCCTATTTGATCAATTTCGATCTCCCGTCCATCCTCTCAGTTTCAGTCCAGTTTCATTCCTTTCCTCCAAATTTTATCTCCATTTCAGCTTAATATGGATGATTGCCCCCTCTGGCTACAATTGGGCGGGACACGATTCATCTCCCTAGGAGCAGCAGGGGTTGCTTTTGAAGATAGCCATGGAATCATCAAGACTCCCTCCACTCATGATTTCATAGAAGACCACGTTTCAGCTACCACAAATGTACAACAAATCATCGGATCTATGTATAACCCGCAAAAGGCCTATCTACCAAACTCTACCTAAGCATCCGAACATCCTCGGTTACCTCGAAATCACAGACCATCCGCTTTCCATATCACCGATTTCGAGATACTCGCATTCATGTGCATTGTCACAAGGCCTTTCAGCGGATTTACATCGTTGGATTATGAGTTCTGTCGATGCTGTCGCCTTCAAACATAGCCATGGTGTCATCTGTGCTGATATTGGTCCACGGAATTTCTTCGTGGCCGATGACCCATCTATCAAACCATGCGATTATGCTAGGTCAATTATCGATGACATCGATATGTAAGTGGCGGAAGAAGACTGATATTGCGTTAGGATATCTGATCTATGAAATATCAGCGGGTATTCGGCCGTATAACGAGACTGAAAATGCAAAAGAGGTTGCTAGCTCGTACGCAATCCAAATTTCTCGTTTCCCTCAAAAAACGATATCAACACTTGATCTACAAATCCTAGACTTCTGCTTACACAACCACGAATATGCTTCGGGATGACTCTTCTATTGTGTTGAGGAGGCCGGCGCTATACAGACCCTTGCTTTCTCTCCGTTGAAAAGTTCGCCTGTGGTATCGATCTTTTGGGTTATCTGTCTGTTTTATTGTTTTTTGGGGGGGCGTGCCAGAAGGGAAATTTGAGACGATCAAGTTTCGCCTCTCGGGGTTCTGACTATATACCATTAACAGCTTGCAAGGGCACCAAATATACAAATGTCAATTATATCAACCAGGAAATAAATTCAGAATGCCTATTACTTAACAATACGTGTGAACCACGCATAAAGACTCCGTCCCTCGCCTAGTTCCCTTCCATATCCCAGGCATCAACATTCAATGCCCTCAGTGCTGTAGTCCTGAGAAAAAGCCATAGAGCGCAGCCTAAAATCATGCATACCTACTGCATACACGTTCGGCGCTATATGATGTATATTCGCCGCTCCGAGTTTTAGGTTGTCATAGGCTCGGAGATAATTGTCTATTGTGTCGTTACCACCGAGATATTGCTACTTTGGGACCAATTCTCGGCCCCGAGCCCTGTGGCGAATTAGCGTGAAGAGGATGTACATAGCTACGCAGGGGTTATCATACGTATACACTGGGAGGTTGTTGGTCAACGCGGCTGCCTGGATGTGTCACCATTTGTATATAAAGAGCAAGATGTTGCTTCTTGCATTAGTATCGGAACAAGTGTCTTTCGCTTTTTTTGCTTTCCTGCTCTCAGTTTGGATATCTTCCAACATATCAATTTCGCTCACAAGTTTTATATTGTATATCAATCTACTACTTCAAGATGACTCCCATCTACCAACTCAACCAATCTCAACATCCGTTTTGGGATGTTGTCAATGGCAATCTAGAGGATCATCCGTTCTTTGCTCCTCGTGGACACCACGGACGTCGTGGTCGTCGTGGATGGGACAACCCCGAGCATAATGACAAGACCACCCAAGGTGCTCAAGCAGGTGAAACTACTGAGCCCAACAACAACATGGAGAAAGACGAAACATTAGTATCGAACTCTGACTCCCCAAACACCCACTACCATCGCTGTGACCACTGCGGAAATGGGAGGGGCAAGGGCAATGTGCGTGGAGGCGTCGGCCACCACGGTCCAGGCCCATTCCGTGGCAAAGGCGGCAGAGGGAGGCATGGACATGGCCCTCACGCTGCGCCCTATGGTCACCAAAACACCAAGGAGTTCTCAAAGAACTCGGAAGAACCCCAAACAGCCGGTGAGCTCTCGGATGCCAACGACGTCTCATTCGCCTCCAAAGAGAACATCGAGCCCTCGACATCGGACTCTGACTCTCCCGGCAACCACCGCGGCCACGGCCACGGCGGAAAGTGCAAGAGCAAGGCACATAGAGGTCCCGGCCACCATGGACCAGGCCCCTACCGTGGCAAGAGCGGCAAGGGAAAACAAGGCCATGGCCGCCATGCTGGACCTTACGACTTTCACAGTTACGGCCATGACCACCACCACACGGGCGGTGCCTTTGGGGGCCCTGGGCGCGATGAAAACGACAGGCATCTATATGGACACGGACATGGACATCGTCCCTACGCCGGTCCATACGGCTTCCCCGGTCATCACCCCAGCCCCGGTCCCTTCGGTTTTGGGCCCCTTGGACAGGGTCGCTATCATAAGGGTGGTCCCGGTGGCCACGGTAGACATCATGGTGGACCTCCTTTCGACGGTCCGTTCGATTTCCTACGCCAGCTCGGTGCAGGACTTGGTTTCCCGATGAACGGGCCTACCACAGAGGGCGTCGACTTCATCCCCTCCGTTGACGTCTTCGACACCCATGCCAAATACATTGTGCATGTCTCACTTCCCGGAGCCAAGAAGAGCGATCTCAGCATTGACTATGATGCTGGTGAGTCTGTTCTGCATGTGGCGGGTGTCGTGTATCGCCCCGGTGTCAATGAGAATCTGCACCACGCCCTTGTTATGGACGAGCGAGGTCCACAGGTTGGTGTCTTTGAGCGTGAGGTCCGTCTTGGGAGTCGCGCCGCCCCGGCTTTTGTTATTGTGAACGACATCTCGGCAAAGCTGGAGGATGGTGTCCTGAATGTTACTTTGCCGAAAATTATTCAGGATGCTGAGGTTGGGAAGAAGAAGGTTTTCCTGGCAGATGGTGATGTAGAAAGTGAGAAAGGCGCGCCGGTTGTGGATGGAAGGACTCTCACTCCGGTGGAGTCTGAAGAAAGTGACGTTGAGGATGGTGAGGCGAGAGAGTATGTCAAGGTTCATGTGCAGTAACCACAAGTCGGATTTCTATGTTTTTTTTTGGATTATTTGAAGTTTTGTCATGGGTTTTTCTTCTCTATTTTTTTGTTCTCTTCTATCGTTTAGTTAACATTTGAAATCATTTGGAATGAAAGAATGAATCGCCACTCAACATCAGGTGGGATACATACAAATCTCGCCTTCACTGTAGTAGTTTTGTAGAGCAAAAAGTTCGATATCGAAAACCGTCCGTATGGCGGGTTTGAAACTCATCGAATGGAGTAGATTGAGGTCATTTCCCAAAAACCCATCTTCTCGGCCATACCAGCCACTCCCTAAAGCCGGGATTGATCTTAATCTCGATATCTTCAAGTAGTTGAACTGAAGTGCCTTTGATGAACCAGAGATCGTTAACAATATGCAGCAGCACACACCAATGACTCAGCAGTACCAGAGCTGCAGGATGGGATGCTTCCAAATCGTCTCGGAATTGTTTAGAAAGTGAGTACGCCCACATTAAGACCATTCCAACCTCAACGTGGGTCCCTGCGAGCTCTATCTGACGAGTCGAGTTTTCAAAGAACAGCAGGGAGCGCTTGTAGTCTGTTCGGCGTTCGACAGGGCATGGCAATTCATGCGAGGCGCTCGAGTCCTGCTCGGACTGGGGTTGTATATAAGGGAATGGATAATCATCAATAAATTGGTGGAGTTGTGATATTCGAGTCTGAATGTCGGGCGGAAGTAGAGATTGGTGTATGGTCGCAGGGCTAAAGTGGGGTGAGGTCAGTTATGTCGGTTCAACAATTACCGGCCCACGATGTCGGATGGCAAGAACTCAAAAGCCCACCTTGTAATGAGCATTTCACTTTCAATCCAGACGCTGTTCACAAGCGGTGCAAGCCTGGTTCTTCGAAGAGAGCGTAACCATGGCTCCATGAGAGTCTGCAATCCCTGGACTACAGAAAAGAGCTCCACCATATTCGATATGGGGGCTGGCCAACGATCCTCGCCCAGTCGGATCGGAGAAGCACAGACATGTACCATGACCATAGAAGCAAAGCAGAAGACGGGCTGCCAGTTGCTAGGGTCGACTGGAGAGGAAATGAGCTCTCGAAATTCTTTTAGCCCAGCCGCCTGGTGGTATGCAGAGGCCTTGATATTCTTCGCTTTCTGGGTTGGGAAGAGAGACACGCGATGCAGAGCTGACAGAGCCAATAGTCCGTGCATCAAGTACTTATTTGAATATGCCTCCATAGGGAGAACAATGCGCCACACATGTCGTGAGTCCTCACGGATTGTCAGTGTATTGCATGTCACAGTGCAGTAATGGTGCATGAGTTCAAGGTCTGACGCCCAGTCATCTTCGTTCAAGGTCGGAGTTTCAACTGGTGAGTCGGACAGAAATTGTAGTAGACCCGACTTACGCTCTGACTTGGGCTTGGCATCACCCAGACCTGCCAGGTTCCCAGCAGGGGTTGCCGGGTATGACTCTGTGTTTAACAGCGACGGCATGTAAGATGAAGCCAATGATTCTGATCCAGTAGCTGGACTCTCAGCCGGAGTTGATATGCCACGATTAACATAGGAACATTGAATGGCATGTTTGGTACAGTTCGTACATGGATATTTCTCATCGCACTATGCTGGTTAGAAAAAGCTCAACCCGGGGATGTTTGTCGCACCTTTAGTCTTCGTGCCTTACATTGCGGACAGCCATTTCGTGACTTCCGATGTGTTCTCCTTGGGCCCATTATCAAAGGGATCAGTCAGAGAAGTCAAGCTGTTCGGGTGCGGATACGGGGATACGGAGAAACGAATACGGACACGGAGACGGAAACGAACCGACAAAGCCTCCTCGCCCCCACATCGCGTGAAAGCTGCGTTAACAGCCAAGGCGTTTCCCCCAAATGATAAGACCAATGCTCAAATCAATGTATTTCAATCAAAGGCCGCCTAAATTTGTAGTGGATCGCGGAGGACGCCTGTTTCGGATTCAAACCTATGTTGGGCTGTGGTAGGGTTGTCCGATGGCTGTTGCCCAGTTTGATATAAATCTCATCTTAACCCCAATCAGCTCAAATGAACTTAACTTCTTCATACATTCATTTAATCCCATCGCAAGATGGCTGAAAAACATAATATCTATGGATACAACCCTTCCCTTCCCGCTGCTATCATCTTTATCATTCTCTTCAGCGTCACAACCGCTTACCATGGCTATCAACTTACAAAGTCACGATGCTGGTACTTCATTCCATTCGTGATTGGAGGAATCTGTATGTTCTTTTTACAAACTGCTTGTTCGATGTTGTGACAACATCACTGACTCTCAATTCATACAGTCCAGGTCATCGGATACATTTGTCGAGCCGCATCGCATGATAACTTCTATGGAATCCCCCTATATGCTATGCAGACTCTATTCATCCTGCTCGCTCCACCACTGTACGCAGCATCGATCTACATGATCCTCGGGCGAACAGTGACCTATCTCCACGCCGAGCACCTGAGTCTAGTGCCAGTAAAGTGGATGACAAAGATCTTCGTGGGCGGGGATGTGTTCTCGTTTCTGTTGCAGTGCTCTGGTATGTTAAGTCGATGTCAACAAATCAGATCACAGGCCAGCCATTCACTGAATAAATTCTAACCTACATTTCATCTTAGGCGGTGGCCTCATGGCTTCAGCAGGCTCGATGCGTGAAACCGGCTCGAACATAACAATCGGTGGCTTAGTCGTCCAGCTTCTATTCTTCGGTTTCTTCGTGGTTGTTACCACGGTCTTTCACTTCCGAATCTTGCGTCAACCAACCTCCAGATCACAGTCAGATCGCGATCAAACCCGCGGTGGCGGCTTCAAACAACGCAATTGGTTCACCATCCTTGTTGGGCTTTACATTGTGAGCTTCCTGATTCTGGTGCGGTCTGTGTTCCGTTTGGTGGAATACAAAGAAGGTTATGATGGGTACACCATGACGCATGAGGTTTTCATGTACATCTTCGACGGAGTCTTGATGCTTATCGCCATGGCCGTTATGAATGTGTACCACCCCGCTGAGATCCTTGGGAATGGGAAAGGTGAGAATCAGGAGTATTTGGGTGCGACGCAGCTTGAATAGATATCAAGTCATGTGAGTTAGAGCTAGCCAATTTACTTAAATGAAAGACCTTCAATTCTCCTCCAGAACTTCTTCAATTCTTATCGGAAGTTCGATCACTTTCAGCGCTGTAACGAGACGGGTGTATCCAACTTTTGCCTAAAGATCGAAACGGCAAAATGATGGTAAAATGACAAACTACAAGGCAAAACATCCATTCGTTAGAATGCCGTAAATCATATCATCGTGATCTGTAGTCTTGACTAGACCGCAGATCGTAACTTTTCCGCACAGTGCCATTGCCCAATCCACCGACATATAGATCAGGCCTTCTTGACTCCCCCGTGCCGCGTGATGAAACAGGTAAAACATGACCACCATATCCAACATCAATGCTTCTCCGCATGCGCGACAAACTTATCATTTTCTCCATCTCCAAGACCTGGAGCGTTTCATCGCCACATTCACTCTTTGCAAGCACCTTCTCCCGGTTAGACCGCCAGCGTCGGCTGCCCACGCGGAAGAAACCACCAATATCGTCGACCGTGAGAGCGAGCCAGACAAGTGGGATGGAGATTGCAAAGCCGATACCAAAGGTATACTTTGCCACATAACCGAGATTCAAGTTCTCGAATTCTTTGAGGTTGATCGTGAAGATGGAGGCGATGAACGACAGCGGTAGGAAGATGATAGTAACGATAGTGAAGACCATAATCGTCTTTCCCTGGCGGGCTGTACCAGCAGCCTGGTCACGCGCAAAGCGTGCTTCGAAGGCATTAGCGTGTTTTTGCTTGAGGTCGAGCAGATCCGTGATGGAGTGGTAGATACGCTCGGCCTGCTTGTCCATGCGGTCAATGTCCTTCAGGTGCATGTCAATCATGCGCTGCTGGTCTTTGAACCGTTTCTTGACCTCAAATTGTGATCGGTGCTGGCCTTGATAGGTCTCGCAGATCACTTCTTGGAAGTCAAGCAATACATTGTTCTGGTGTTCCAGCACCGTCCGGATCATGTTCAGCTCGTCTCGGATGTCCTTTGTCTCGGCTAGAAGATTAGTTTCCTGTCCAATGTCCAGGAGTCGATCGACAAATAGTGGCTGGCCGTCCTCGTCGCAGTAGTTGCTGCTTTGATCGTCAGCTGTCCCTTTACCCGACTTTGGCGGAGAGCTGAAGGAGCCGTTCAGTTTGCGGTGGCTTTTCAGCCAGTCTGATGCCTGTCCGGAGGCGTGGTTGAATTGGTTAAAGAGCACAGTCTCTTTGTCCGTGGCTATACCGATAGAGGACTCGAACATATCTAGGAACTGATACTCCTCGTCACCCAGGCGGTGTCGATCAAAGACCCCGGAGCATCGATTTGTGATTATCATGGCCAAATCATAAACAGATTTGACAGGATCTCGAGTTTTGGAATTGATATCCTCGATAATCCCATCTAGCACATTGAGCGGGTCATTCTTGGGCTGGTCCCATCTCTGTGGGAAAGCTGTTACGATTAAATTCGTGCCTAAAACCCACATCCACAGTTGATCAACCATGAAAATCTTGGGGTCTACCCCCATACCGGGGCTTTTTGTTTGGTATCGGTACACCACTTGATCCTGATCGCGGCTCTTGGTGTCGATATTTGGGTAGAAGAACTGGTCCAGTGTTCGGCGGACATGGAGGGAGGTCGTTGAGGATGATAGATGGGCGTCAATGAGCAGCACATCTCTTGTGCGCGTCCGCTTCACCCCATTAGATACAAAATCCAGCGTTTCTGCTCGGGAAATTGCATCCTGCATCTGTTGTCTGCGCTCCGCGGTTTCAAAGTGCAGATATGGCATGAATACGCAGACATTACAAGCAGAAACCAACGGGTGGGGATCTTTACAAAAGGTTGATGATGACAGAGGTGATGATCTCGCCTGTTTCTCGCTCTGTCCCCACAGTGACTTTCCCTTCGTCTCGGGCTGCTTGGGAGTTCCCGGTGCGCTGCCCGACTTGCCACGCTTTTGATTGTTTTTGCCCTTTTTTCCATGGGGCCCTGTCCCTTCGTCGGGGAAATAAGAATCTGCCTTGTCAGGCTTGCTTCCTGTGCCTTTCTGCTTGCGGGCGTTGCCATCCATGGCTTTCGCCTGTCCCTGATCAGACGCTGGCTCCTCTGAAGTCTCTTCTTCATATCGCCGTAGCATCGTCCGCGGTGTATTCTGACACAACGGCCGCATAAAGTGCGAGTGAGTCCTTTGACCCCGATGCTGATAGTTGAAAGACTTCTCCAGCCCCTTAAACCCATCAACATCATGTGCTCCCTCCTCAATAAACGACTTGGTGAGCAAGGCTTCCACCCATGCCATATTATTCGCCGGCAAGTGAATCCACCGGAAATCAGTCGCACGACTATCAGCTGGCACAGTGGTAACAGCCTGTTTCCTAGGATTTTCCCGGTCCCTGCCATATAGCAAATTAAACACTGACATGCGCTTAACCCGATTCTCATTATGAAAGTTGCCAAAATCAACAACAGTAGCATCGAACGCGGCACAGGCCTCCTTAATATCATCAGACAGACTCTCAACATTGTTAAAGGGCGCAAGCATTAGCACAATATCCTTTCGTTTGAACTGCGCCGCGCGAAGAAACGGCGTACTGCCAAAATTATCCCTAACCCTTCGCTTCAGATCCGGCCTCTCGAGAAGACACTTCACAACCTCACTATGACCCCCCCTGGGCAGCAAGATGCAGCGGCGTAATTCCATTCAAGAGCTGCGCATTGATATGCGCGCCTTCGCTCAACAAAATTCGCACAATATCCTCACACCCCTTATCACAAGCATTATGAAGTGGCGTCCATCCACCATCACTAGCAGCATTCACAGCCGCCTTATGTGCAATCAGCAGCTGCACGATATCCACCCGGTCATGCGCCGTAGCAACATGCAACGCAGTCTTACCACGCAACTCAACAGCATCGACCTTCGCGGGCATCTGCACCTCCCCATCCACCTCACCAGTCCTCGTCAGCAACATCTCCGCTAACCTCCAATTCCCCGATGCACAAGCCCAATGCAGTGGCGTCCGTCCAAGCTCATCCTGCCCCTCAGGTCCATCAAGAGGACATGCCGTCTTCAACAACAATCTCACAACCTCATCCCCCCACCCCCCACCGACAAGCCTTATCAGCCGCAAGGTTATGCAACGCATTGCGACGGCGCAGATCACGCTTATTAACATCCGCGCCGCGCATGATGAGCAGATGCAGAATATCAGCGTGATTCTTCCATGCAGCAGTCATGAGGGCCGTGCGACCCTCTTTATCGGCAGAGTCTGGACTGGCATTGTGGTCCAGAAGGAGACGGACTATTTCGTAATGGTCGCGCTCTACGGCGCGGAGAAGTGGCGAGGCGCGGTTTGAGGGGACATCTGTTTTTGCGCCGAGGGTGAGGAGACATTCCGTCGCGGCGACGCAAGCACGTTCTGCGCTGCGCATCAATCCGATGCGGAGGAAGTTGTCAGTTAATTGGTGGTATTCTTGTGCGAGGGCTATTGTTTTTTTGAGGGCCTCGACGTCGTTTGATTCTGCGGCGCGCAGGAGTCGTGGTTCGAGGCGCTCATGGCTGTCGCTCGTTACGCTGGAGCGGGAAGGAGGCATGGTGGGTGGGTAGAGGGTGAGACGATGAGATGATTGCGATAATTATAATTAGAGTATATATGGTTGTGTATTAGGTGTCGTTAATGCATTTTCGGTGCTTTTGTTGAGTTATCGAGGTTCTTTGACTTTTTTTTTCCTTTTCCGCCGGTAGGATAAAGAAGGGATTCGGGGATGGATAGTTGGGGGAAATTGGACAAAGCTGGACTTGAATCAAGCTCAAGTGACAGCAGATGGCCCTTTTCCTGGTCTGGAAGAGATCTGCGAGACGGTCCTTTCATTAGCTTACAATTCCATGGGGATTCTGCAACCGACGGCGATAAAGGAAAAAGCGGCTGTGTGGCTGATCCTTCTCGTATTGCCTGCTTTAGTGGGATCGGCCTCGGCATATACATGGTTTCACGATTGAATATCTGAAAGAAACACTGATTTACGGAGTACAGAGTAAAGCAGATAAAGATATTCACGTCTCGAGGTTAGAGGTTTGAGGCTTTAAATAAGAACATGGTAACTCGAGGCTGGAACCATGGATCCGGGATAAACACATGGGCACACACTGTACATTATATATACCATACTACACGTTAAACACTACACTTCACTACACTTGGTGGAAACTAAATGTACAAATATTAGAATCTATGTTTCTATCAAAAACTACAGGGGGAATCCAAGCAGAGAAATCAAAATGACAAGGTGAAAAAGAAAAGCCCCTCCGGACATGTTGATGCCGATATGCTGATAATTATGATGTACCTCCTCCATGCTCCATGAATTAAAAAGCTCTTTTTCGTTTTCGCTTCCCTGTGCACCGGTCCAGCCCAGTATTTCATCATATGCGCCTATCAACAGAGAAATGAAACAGTCCAGAGTATGAAAAGTCAGTCACAAAACATGTGTATTCTGAATATGCAAGCCGTATCGTAGTGCCTTGGAATCTAATCATAAAGAAAAGACACACGACAATGATTATTTAGTGCTTCTTCTTGGTGTCCTTCTTCGGGACTTCCTTGAGAATGTCGTCGAAACTCATGTTCGGGTTGAATCGACTAATTGGGCGTGTGGGAGGCTCAATGGGGGCAATGCCTGCAGGAAGGGGCAAGGCCTCCAGTCCAGGGTAGAATGAGTGGCGATGCTCAGATCGCTGGGCAGCAGCAGGCGAGCGGGTTCGTGGAATGGCTGGAGGGGGAGGGGTGAGCCCGCCGGGAACCATCATGGGGTTCGGGTAAGGTTCGGAAGAAGATCCAGCCGAGGATTGATGGCCCGGGTAAGGTGATGATATAGAGGACTCCTCGTCGTCGTATGTGGCGTCTTCCATCATGGGTGGATCAAGAAGAGAGCCCGCCTCGGCCCATTGCTCGGCGACTTGCCAGCAATGACTGCGGCGGTATACACCCTCCACTCCGTTGATGACTACATCGGATGGCAAGCTAACAACACCAGCACCACCTGCAACTCCGAACCAGCTACGAGCAGTCTTGGTGTCGTTGTGAATCCAGGGAGCACCACCACGTGGGGCAATGCAAAGGAAATACTCCACGCCATCGTTGAAGTGAACATCAGGAACATCCACCACCAGCATGGGAAGGGCTTGAATCACGGCGTATAGGAAGATCCACTGGCCACATCGGAGATCGGTGATGTCATTAACGTTTTTGCCGTGCGCAGAGCGACGCTCAAATTGCATGAAGCTCTCTATGAAAGGAGTGGGTCGCATGGCCTCCCTGGTGTAGGATCCCATCAGGACAGCGTTGATGTCGGAGTTCTTAAGCTTCTTGACACTCTGCTTAGCCTCCTTCTTGGCGTCGAGCGGTTTCCGATGCAAGGGTTGCAGCGACGGCATCTGGGGAATATCGAATGGAATAGGAGGAAGTACTGGTGGTGTACTGCGGTCATACTCGGAGAGCACCTGTCGCAAAGCACGAACGGTCATTTGTTTTGGATCAGACGGATCTACTGAGTCACTGCCCGCACCCGAAATATCAATTGTGCGTGTCGTCAGGGACGTGCGGTCGACCATGAGATCGTATAGATCGGTGAAGTCGTGATACAAATCCAAGAGGAGGAGGCGGTTAAGTCCGCTCTCCTCAAATTCGTTCTTCTTTGACCGAGCCTTGGGCGGCCACGAGCCGTACTTCTGTCGGTAGTACTGGATCGTAAAACGGCGGAATTCATGGAATCCTGTCTTCCAGTTCTTGAAGCGCACCACCTTGCTTTCTTCCGAGGTAGTCGAATTGGCAATACCCGAGAAAACAGAAGGGAAATCGAAATCTTCGAGCTTGCCGTAGAGACCGCGCAGACGGGTGTCGAGATCAATGAACGCGCGCTCCAGGCGTTTCTGTGTGATGGGGTGAATGAAGGTATATTTAGGGCTCCGCAGTTGCTTGAGCTCATCGAGCTTTCCAACACCATGGACAAAGCCCTCGACATACAGCGGATAGTAGCGCAGACGTTCACCCAAGACGATGGCCTCGATCGTCTTCTCCCTGCTTCGACGGACATCTGCAAGGCGAAGTTCATCACAGTAGTTGCTGAAACTGGAGGTAGCAGTCTCTCCGAAGTTGGACGCGTCCAAGTTGGAGAACTCAAAACGTGCTAAAAGGACTGCCACGTCCATGAAGATAGAGAAAAGAGTGGATGATTTGGGGGAGGCAATCAAGGACTGGCCGAGCAGGAATGCGAACAGGTTGCGGAACAAAAGAAGAGTCTCTATGTCATCTGGAGTGAGCCTTGCTTGCGGGTTGGACACATCGCAGTTGAGCGGAATAGGGAGATATAGATGGAGTTCCGGCACGTCCTCGGGGGAATCTTCAAATGCCATTCTTTGGCTTCCTGCACTGTCGTTATCATTGTCGGTTTCGGGCTGACGGTCCAGCGGCGACATGGGCGGAGAAATTGGGTTGAGTGATAATGTTCGGGTTGGCTGCTCGAGGCCGCTCTTGCCATCAGTGCCGCGGGCTAGATAGGTGAGGGAAGGGGATTCGGCAAATATGGTGGAATCGACTTTGAAGGATGGCGCGCGTCCGGTATTCTGGGGGGAACATGTACACATAAGTGTCACCTTGTTCATTCCACAGTTCTTGAATCTGAAAAGTAACGATACTATTAACTTGAAAAGCCCTTCAAAACAGGAGTTGGCTATATGCATACCTGCTCTCCTCTAGACAATGGCCCCAGATCATAAACAACTTTCTGGTCCAGCCCTGCGATCCAAGCAGCTGGGAGCATGGGTGTTGGTCGCTTATCAATTGAGCTGGCGCGCGAACGACCCGGCATCCAACTTCTGCGCTTCGATGGTGTGCTAGGGCGGGAGTCTGGAGTCGATCCGGGGATAGTCAACCCTGCGGAGCTGGAGGGCCTGCTCATATCACGACCTCTGCTCTGCGGACGGCCAACAGGCGAACTGGGGGCGCTGTTGGCCAAATCTTGGTTCACCGCCAGCAGTGAAGGTGGCGGAGGTAGGCTCTCCATGTCGAGGTTGTCGGGCATGGTTCGGGGCTCCGAGGAAAAGACAGGGTTGGGGGTCGAGACATGACGAGTTGGTTTTGAGCTACTCCGGCGTCGGCCATCGATGTTTTCTGAGTTCACTGGCGAAGACACGGTTGAAGATGAATCCCGATCTTTGGACCCCAGTGAAAACAGAGACGAGATCCGCTTCGCCGACTTAACGGGAGCTGACAACATGTTGATAGATATGTTGTGAGGATAAGTTGGGGAGACCCGGTAGGCAAGGTCAATCCCGCATGGGATCAGGTGGGAGGATTAGGGGGGCGGAATGTGGATCGGCAGGAGGGATTGGAAGAATGAGGGAAACTTGACCTCACAGGGAATGAGGCTAAGCTGAACAAAAGAAATTTGGAAGAATTAGGGGGGGAAGAGAGAGAAGTTAAGTTAAGAAAAAAAAATAAATAATATGCAATATATTACAATACATTTGTATAATACAGAGAATAGGAGGACATTGCCAATAATAGAACTACATGTAAGCACCTTGTAAGCTCATGTCTTGGATGTGGGACCCTCATAAAATACAATCTTCTATAGGCAATCACATTTATAGAAGTACGGAAAATTCAAGGAAGAATCAGACAAGATGTATCTGCAACATGAGATGTTATATTATAGGGCATGGAAGATGGGAAGTAGAAACTAATAAGATGGTTCCGATCGATAGTAGTTCCTCTATAAAACACGATCAGGTTACCCCAAATGGGCATACAAGTGCATACCTGGTATCTAGGCAGCTTTTGATGACATGGCGCAATATAGATATATAATATAGAGAGAGATATATATATCCCAAGGCTGACATTCCAGAAATTGATATGGAGTATATTCCGTATGTCCTTCAGGAATAAAACTCCCATGTCTGTACAATGTATATACTAGATCTCTTATAGCCAATTCCAATGCTGTTCCTGTACCTGACCCCCTGAACCAGTTACTTCCCGATCTCGGATGTACCGGTGCCCACCTCGCCACATCTTAACCCAAGCCAAGCTCTGATGCATTGGACTAATTCTAACCTGTACATAAGTACATATTACATATCCAATCTGCCGGACTATTGATATCTTCATCATGACCATTACCATTTCCCCCGAGCAAGTCATTGACCTCCAAATCGGCTGGCCCAACCCCGCGCTCCTCCCCGCCCCCAACCTCCGCCACTCCGCCACGGCCGTACTATCCAATCCCTCGATCGCAAACCCAGCCCTCCTCTACGGCCCGGATGAAGGATATGGGCCATTGCGCATACACATAGCCGCATGGCTGAGCGATTTCTACCAGCCGCGTGAGCCCGTCTCATCTCAACGCATTTGCATCACCGGCGGGGCCAGTCAGAACCTAGCATGCGTGCTGCAAACCTTTACAGACCCGGTCTACACGCGGAATGTATGGATGGTCGCACCAACGTATCACCTGGCTGCGCGGGTTATGGATGATGCCGGCTTCGCCGGGCGCCTACGTGGAATACCCGAGGATAACGAGGGCGTAGACATAGCAGTGTTGGAGAGCGGGCTACGTGCCGCGGAAGAGATCGCCTTGCGCGCTGGTAATACTGAGCCGGTAAGGATAATCCTAGGCTCATGACTTTTTCTGAGCTGACATGACCGTCACCGTATCATGCCACTGTTCCATCGGTTATTGAGTCCCCGACTGACATTGCCCCCTCTTTCCCTGCAGAAATTGAAACCGCCCAGGCCCTGGCGCAAAATCTACAAGCACGTTATCTACGCCGTGCCGACTTTTGCGAATCCGTCCGGGAAAATTATGTCATTGCGTAGACGTGAGGCTCTGGTTCGACTCGCCCGTCAGTACGATGCGCTGATCATTACGGATGATGTATATGATTTCCTTCAGTGGTCCCCCAAGCCAGAAGGAGAGAAGAATTTCGGCGACCGCGCATGTCTTCCGCGCATTGTCGACGTGGACCGTTATTTGGACGGTGGCCCACAGGATGAATGGGGACACGCACTAAGCAACGGCAGTTTCAGCAAGCTGATCGGGCCCGGGGCCCGCACCGGCTGGGCGGAAGCGTCGGAAAAGGTTGCCTATGGATTATCACAAACGTACGGAGCACTGCTCGGGATGACTTGACTGACCACCCTTCTTTCTCGGATACGGAATATTCAGACTAACCCCGATATCGCAGAGGCTCTTCCCGATCGGGCGGCGCTCCTTCCCATCTATGCGCCGCTATCATTGACCAGCTGTTCCCCACAGGCACCATCTATAACCACATCCGCGACGTTCTCCAACCCAAATACGCCGAGCGCTACCACACCCTGCTATCGGCAATCCACGAGCATCTTGTCCCACTGGGCGTCACAGTCCCCGCACCCGCCGCCGCCGCCGGAGGATACTTCCTGTGGATTGGTCTACCCGCGCCGTTACTCGCCGCCGACGTAGTCAAGCGAGCGCAGAGCGAAGAAAATCTGCGTTTGTGTGCGGGTGACCTCTTCCAGGTGCCAGACCATCACTTGACTGAGGGATTTGCAGATCATCTGCGTTTGTGTTTCGCGTGGGAAGAGCCACGACACTTGACCGAGGGAATGCGCAGGCTAGCGCGTGTTCTCCACCGTCTCGTTCGTACCGAGATGTAGGTATTGATGGGGTTGGTTTACACGCCACATCATAGCCACGCCAGCTGTTCCAGAGCACGGTCCGTACCGTGTCCACTATGGACGCGTGGCGTATAAAAATTTTAAGTAGAAAAATTCAAGTAGAAAATTTCAACGTAGCCTTGCCAGCTAATACAAGTTGTACTTGACAATTATAGATGAGGCTCTGCGTCGGGTGTGTTGCACAGACTGTGTCTGAGATAGGCGCTTCTAAGGGTTTTAAGGGTTATTTTTGGAATCTGGAACACAATATATGTCGTTAAAAGGCGAACATCGCCACCTGGTGAAAGGTGTGTAATCCTTTGCAGGGGCAATAAGTGCAATAAGGGCAATAAGGGCCATGAGGGTAATAAGACGCGAGGCAAAAGGGCAAGCCCATCCCGAGGTCTCCGGTCCCTTCAGCTTTCCTCAGGGGGGAACAAAGCTTGGCTTTGGACACTTTTCCCCTACTCTGCTTTCACCCCTTCAGTTGGGGAATTCCATAGTGACTTGGTCATGTTAGGACTTTGCTTTTTTTTTTTTTCTTCCTCCGTCATCAGGAATGCTTCAAAGCTCTCCGGAATGTCCATCCATAACATCGCCACTCCTGACCTTGGCACACTGGACCTGACAATATGGGAATACACAAATTGATTCGATATGTCGAGTCTGGTGGATGCTATGCACATCACACAGACATGGGATTTCAAGCAGAAGAAACTGTCTGATCTCCAAAATATGACAAATTTTGGGAATCGTGACCTATCATTGGCACTATCGAATATTCTATACGGGATACTGCAAAGGGGGATCCACCCGGGTCAAGGGCATAGTGATACGCGCTTGCAATGCTCCCAGCTCAGATGATTGGAATGGATGATCCAACACTGTTTGGAGATGAATCTGGTTATATAGCGCGTAGACCCTGACCCGTCTCATTTCTGTTTACATCGAATTGAAAATAGCTTACTCCGTACTCTCGGCGATACTATTCGAAACAGTGTCCGGCGCTATTTAAGAGTCAATCTGCAACACCGATCTCCTTCAGCGTTTCAACTCCTGGCCATCACGTTTCAAGCTTTGTTGTCGCCAGCTTTGAGCTTCTGATTGGTGGGTTGGTGGACTTCAGGGTTGTGGTGTGTGTGATTGGCTGCAGGGGAAGTGTGCAAACGCCTCCAGGGCTTTCTTATAGGTAGGATTCCCATCTCGATTGTGTCTTTTGTGTCTGATCTTTCTTTTCTATTCATTCTCTTCTTTTCTTTGGGCTATTGTTCTGTCTCTCTTTGGGAAAGTGCATCTGAAGATTGACTCTTTAAATCTTCTCTGCATATCGCTGCTGGTGAAGCGCTGGACTCGATTCTTATTTCTATTCCTGCACTGGTTGCTGAATTATCTTGATTCTTTAGTCCTATTTGAGACACTGTCTACGCTGCTGGTCCAGCGTTGCCCATTTTCAACATGGCTGTTCTACATACCTCCATCGCGATCTTTGTCGCCCATCTCATTCTTTTGCTCGGTTTGCCAGCCTCTTTGGTCGCAGCTGTGCCAGTTACCGTTCCAGTATCTCCAGTCAACAACGTGTTGGCAACGACCGAAAAAAGAGCCGCCTCAAGCTACTGGGTCGCCAATATTGAACGCCAGGGTGTTATCCCCTTCGCCAAAACGCCTGACTACAAGATCTTCCGAAATGTAAAGGACTACGGTGCCAAGGGTCAGTCATTCGTCCGAACCCTAATGTTTCGGGCAACCTGCTGACTACAACATAGGTGATGGCTCAACTGACGACACGGCCGCTATCAACAAGGCCATGTCTTCCGGAGGCCGCTGTGGCAAGGGCTGTGATTCCTCCACCACCACTCCTGCTATCGTCTACTTCCCTCCTGGTACCTATGTTGTCTCAAAGCCTATCACCCAGTACTACTATACCCAGATTGTTGGTGACGCTGTCGAATTGCCTATCATCAAGGCCTCCCCCAAGTTCGCGGGTATGGCTGTGATCGACGCCGATCCTTACGAGGACAACGGCGACAATTGGTTCACCAACCAGAACAACTTCTTCCGTGCGATTCGTAACTTGGTTATTGACCTAACAGCCATGCCCGCTAGCGTCGGTGCTGGTATCCACTGGCAGGTCGGCCAGGCCACGAGTTTGCAAAACATCCGCTTCGAGATGGTCAAGGGTGGTGGTCCAGCCAACAAGCAGCAGGGTATCTTCATGGACAACGGGTCCGGTGGTTTCATGTCCGACTTGACTTTCAACGGCGGAAACTACGGCATGTTCCTCGGTAACCAGCAGTTCACTACCCGCAACTTGATCTTCAACGACTGCCAGACTGCCATCTACATGAACTGGAACTGGGCCTGGACTTTCAAGTCAGTGAAGATCAACAACTGCGAGGTTGGTCTGAATATGTCTACTTCGCCTTCCAACCAGACCGTTGGCTCTGTTTTGATGCTGGACAGCAAGCTCACCAACACCCCCACTGGCATCGTCACAGCCTGGACCCAGAAGAGCATCCCCGTTGGCGGTGGTGCTCTCGTTTTGGATAACGTGGACTTCTCTGGCTCCAAGGCTGCTGTGGCTGGTGTCGATGGGAAGACCATCCTGGCAGGTGGCTCGGTTGTCGACAACTGGGTACAGGGTAACACTTACACCCCGTCTAAGACTATCAACAAGCGTGCCAACGGGGCCCAGGCTGAGACTGTCACCGTTGTTGAGACAGTCACAGAGACAGTCGTTGCTTGTGCCGCTTCCCAGGGGCTTCCTAGTGCTAGCCTGGAGGGCGGCGAGGCTCCTGCTCCCGCAAAGACCGCCTCAGCTGAATCTGCTGCCGCTCCTTCGCCTGCCCCTGGTGCTGGTTCTAGCAGCGATACCGATAGCTCCCCCAAGCCTTTTTCTTCCGCCGAGGTCGCTAAACCCCCCCCCGCAGCTACTCCTTCTAATGAGGCCCCTGTCGATTCCGCGGTGCCTGCTCATTCTTCCCCCTCCAATGTGGTCTCTGCACAGCAGCCTGCTGTGCCTGTCACCTCTACTGCTGCGTCTACCCCAAGTACTGGCAGCGGCTCTGAAGTAACCCAGGGACCCCAGTCTGGTAGTGGCACTTGCGGCGCCTCGCACGCTGTTGCCTCTGCCCGTACACAGAGCACCATGAAGACCGCTCCCAAGCCCGCTAGCCTGCTCAAGGGGGGCGCCATCTTTGAGCGCTCCAAGCCTCTTTACGAGAAACTTCCAGCCTCCTCGTTCATCAGCGTCAAATCGGCTGGCGCCAAGGGTGATGGAACTACTGACGACACTGCGGCCATCCAGAAGATCTTTGACAGCTACAAGGATGGTCAGGTCATCTACTTTGATCACGGTGCCTATGTCATTACCTCCACCATCAAGGTTCCCAAGAATATCAAGATCACTGGTGAGATCTGGCCTATGCTCATGGCACACGGCCCGAAGTTTGCCAACCAAGATAAGCCCGTTCCTGTCTTCCAGGTCGGCCAAAAGGGTGATACTGGCTCTGTCGAGATGAGCGATCTCATTATCACCACCAAGGGTCCCGCCGCTGGTGCTATTCTCATGGAGTGGAACGTTGCAGGCTCTTCCCAAGGTTCTGCCGGTATGTGGGACGTTCACTTCCGCATCGGTGGCGCTGCTGGCACTGAGCTGCAGAGTGACACTTGCCCTAAGACCCCTAAGGAGAAGACTACCCCCAAAGAGGAGTGCATGGCCGCCTTCATGCTCCTGCACATTACTCAAAAGGGTAGCGCATACCTCGAGAACACCTGGTTCTGGACCGCCGATCACGAGCTGGATCTCAAGGATCATAATCAGATCAATGTCTACACCGGCCGGGGTGTGCTCATCGAGTCTCAAAATCCTGTCTGGCTGTGGGGTACCTCCTCAGAGCACCATCAGCTGTACAACTACCAGGTCTCCAGTGCCAAGAACGTCTTTATGGGTCTAATTCAGACTGAGACCCCTTACTACCAGTCCAATCCGACTTCACTGACTCCCTTCACCCCGCAACACGCCTGGAACGATCCTGACTTCTCCAACTGCAAGACAAACTCCTGCCGCAAGGCCTGGGGTCTGCGTGTCCTCGATTCCTCGGACGTCTTCGTCTACGGCGCCGGTCTCTACAGCTTCTTCGAGAACTACGCCCAATCCTGCCTCAACTCTGAGGACTGCCAGGATAACATGGTCGAGGTCGACTGCTCGGATGTCAAGCTGTACGGTCTCAGCACCAAGGCTGCAGTCAACATGGTTACCTCGTCCAATGGCAAGGGTCTAGTCCCTGGAAAGCCGAACAAGAGTAACTACTGCTCTACCATCGCGCTCTTTGAACAGTCTGCTTAGATTTCTTTTCCCTCTGGAATCATTTTTATTTTTCTTGGTCCTCGTTCATTGTTGTAAACAATATCATTCAACCTCTTCTGTACTTGCCCCACAATTGTATGGGACCTAGTCTCTCCTCTCTTTCCCTAACTTCTGTCCCTGTGTTCGTCCGAGACGCTTTTTTTTTTTGAATTATCATCGTGCTGGAGTTACATTTTCACGGTCTTTTATGAGATACCACCGGATCCGGGCTTTTTCATGAATGAGATCAATGATAGACTCTTCGTTTTGGTAATTGATGCGATGATATACAATACTATGGAATCTAATTTGTGGTGTTTCTGCCTGTAGCTTGCAAATTCAATAGTAGACTGTTACCTATAATAAACACTCATTCGGCTAGAGCACACGATGCCAGGGGTGGTTATTCTCCGCCTGTAGATATATACGCCCAAGGGCGAGAGGGCGGGCCCCTCCCTTGTCAGGAACTATCAATGGCTCTTAATGAATACTTGCCGAATCTGTGGCAAATTTTACCCTTACCCTCTGAGAAGGTAGTGTCTATACTGGCATCATAAATGTCTGAGCATGTTCTCCAAAAATCATGCACAGAGGAGCTCTAGAGGAAGGATATATAGGGTTGCGACGTCCATAGGACACCTCGGGCCTTTGCCATGTCGAGCTAGCTCATTTCTCACACACTTCATTTTGTCTTAGAGCGCATGGAATATATGGGCAAGGATATTACTGAACATAAGTAGACCGAGTTCTCATAGCTTTGATTCAGTTGCAACAGTGACCCAGCGCCCACTTAACTGTCACTCGCAATCCTCAGGATCAAACCGGCCATTGCCAACCATATACGCTCGGAAGTGGCGCTTCAATCCAAGCCGGCTCAATCCTCATGTCGATCGGCACTAGCCTGGTTACAACTGCCCAGCCTCATCTGACCTCGCGGGCTGAATAGATCGAATTCCAAATTTTGTGTGGAGTTGGAAACGGCTTCGGAGAGGAACAAGGCATCGATATGGTGCAGACAATCCTTCCTGGAAGAGATATAGCAATCGGCGTTAGCATTGTCTTCTTCGCATAAACGTTTGGCGGGGCCCTCTTTGTGTCACTGGCGCAGACTGTCTTTCTAGAAAACATCAGCAAAGCACTGAGAACGATGGCCTCGAATCTGGATCCCAGTGTTCTCAATAGCATATCCGCCGGCTCTGCTCAGACGTCACCTGAATACAGGCAATGTACGCTCCAGCAATCAAGAACGCTTTGTGGGTTGATATGATATGAGCGAGTGTCTCAAATTCAGGTGCCTTGTTGTATGGTTGGAATAATTTGAAGGCGAAGAATGGAAAAACTGGACCAGCAGGGACCGTGGGGTAGGGCGGAAGGCGCAGGTTCGAACAGAGGGAAAGAAGGAGTAAGAAGTTACTGGTACAATAGAACCAATGTGTGCGTTGCATAGAAATGTAATTCACGATCTTAAATAATACATATGTCCATCCTGCATCATTTCTCAATGATCACGTTCGCACCAGAGCCGGGGGGAACCAACGCACCATAACGTCTAACATCTCTTCATAGACAGCATCGAGGTAAGGTATTGCTAGCACTGCAATCTCTTCTACGTTATGAACTCTACCGGCTTCAGCAGCTCCTGAAAAGTTCGACCTGAGCTCCGCTTGTGACTCTATCTCCGCATCCTTATGGGCTGTAAGGTTCTTCATAAGTCTTTAGTTTCTAGATGAACAATGTTTGCTATGCTACCAAGAGAACTTAAGAACATGTACGTTCTGACTTGTGGATGAATCCTTTCTTGAACTATATAGTGAGGACTTGCTTGGTTTCACCATAAAGGCTACTCATCCTGAACACCACGTAAAGGTGCAAGTCTTGTTCAGGTGTCGCACACAGGACCCGTGCGACTGGGTAGGGCAAGGCATGGGGAAGGGGAAATGGAAGGAACAACAAAACACAAGAAGCACAAAAAAAAAAAACAAACAAACGCAAGAACGAACAGACATGGGGAGGGATGAAGGGGGAAGGGGAAGGGGACTACGGACTACGGACTACGAAACTCCCGATGGTCGATGGAGAACCCAGGAAAGTACGGTCAGTTTCCACAGAGGTTGTAGGGGGACTGTGTCCAGGCCACAACATGCTTCGTGCCTTTAGACAGGACCGAAGTCCCATCTAGTGTCAGACGAACCTGGGCCGCGGCAAAGATCCATGTGGGGAGTTGAAGAAGGAAGGAAAAAAGAAGAAAGAAAGTGGGCGAGGGCAGGTATTTATACCCCAGGTAATGGGGGAAGGGTAGGTGACGAGTGATGAGGGAAGGCAGAAGGCATCCGATGCCTAAACGGGAAGGCAGTCGTCACTTGGTAGGGAAGGCGCCATTGGGAAGAGAAGGCTTCCGGTGCTCAATAGGGAAGGCCCCCGGCTCTGAATAGGGAAAGCGCATCCCAGTTTAACGTTTTGAACATCAGCGACATCACAATGGGAAACCCAAAAGCACACTTATCCTTGCCAGCAGGTCATTGATTTCAAGGTCGAATATAAGACTCGATAATATTAGGGAAGTTGGTCACTGAACTGCCGTATGGTTCAGGCTGTCAATTTGACATTAGTTAACTCTACCTAGGTAAAGTCCTCAAGAGTAGAAATGAAGCAAAAGAAATTAGTTAACACAAAGTATGTATGTGATTTTCAATAAAATAACAACTAAGAAAAATTAAAGCAATGGACCAACTCTGGGGCGACGCTATCCAAAATAAAAAGAGCCGGTCCAAATTAAGGTGTCAAGCAAAGTCCTTACAGCTCCTTTTTCAGGGAATGCTCAGGCTTGTGAGTGGTCTCGTAGTCAACATGCACATAAGCACGCTCAACGTCAGGAAGCGATTCGAGTTTAATCTGGAGCTCCTCGGCAACATCGTGGGTAGCACGAAGGGACGCCTCCGCGTCCATGACGACATCCACCTCGACCAACAGGCGAGGTCCAGAGGTATATGCACGGACAGTGTCAATGGCAGTGATGACAGGAGAGTGGGTCATGGCTGGTAGGAAGGTTAGTAGATGGTTTCACCAAGAGTTTGAAAGATTGAAAGGGAATGAACATACAAATATATGTAATGAGTTGCTGCATCTTGGTGTCGGCAGTAACGCCCACGAGCAACTGGAACTCGCCATAGGCGGAGTGCAGCCACAGCACACTGACGAGCACGGACAGAATAATAGCACCCATAGGATCAATCCACCAACGCAGTTTACTACCACCGACAGAGGTCAGAATACCGAACCCATTGATGAACAGATCGTTACGGTGATCCTCCCACAGAATGCGGATCTGCGAGACCTGGTTGCGCAGGGCCCAGCAGTACAGGAAAAGGCCAAATTTGGTGGCAAAGGCGACGGCGACGGCAATGACGGAGGGAAGGTGGAAAGACTGGGTCTCGTCCTCGGAGCCTGATACCAGTTCACGAATAGAGAAGGCAATGATGATGAAAGAGACGGCAGTCATCAGGAAGCAGAAGCAAATATTGCCCGCGGTTTCAATACGGGCCTTTCCAGCCGGGAACTTGCGTGGATCAACGCGGTTGACGGCCTTGTTGCACAGCAGGAGAGTCAGGTTGGACATGGGGTCAAAGACGGCGTCAGCCATTGTGGTGAACAAGGAGAGTGATCCAGAGGACACAGCACCGTACACTTGAATGATCGAAAGGATGATGTTTGCAGCAAAACTCCCATAAACAGCGATGCGGTACTTGAGACGGTTGTCGACACTCAACTCGCGGGCGGCACGGCGGTGCTCCTCGACGGGCTTCAGCATACGCTCGATGTTTTCATTTTGGGACTCGTAGAATCCCTGCAGCTTCTTGGTGACGAAAGCCTGCTTTCCAAGAAGAGCGGTGTCTTTCACGATGGATCCCACTTTCCGGCTTTTGTTTGTAGCGGAATCACGTTTCCGCGAGGTATTGGCTTTCATCTGCCGAATCTCATCCTCGGTCTTCAGTTTTGAGGCAAGCTGGAACGGATCGCTTTCAGGGGTGTAACGTGGTGGGGGTTGACCTTCTTCGTCACTGGAGCTGCCACTACGATGTTGTTGCATGGGGGTAAGCTCGTGTTCCAGCGCGGTTGTGGTACCTTCATTGATAGAAAGTGGAGCCATCCTGTCGGTCCGGTGTGGTGAGCTGCTATGATGATGCAAGCTCTGGAAGGGATGGGGGTGATTGGAAAGACTGTGGCGCAGATGTTCCTCCATGATGAATGAGATGAATGGGGGTGAATTGGTAGAATAAGAGGAAAGAAATTCCCTCATGTAAGGAGAGAAAGAAATTCCGTGAAATTCCCCTGTGGCTGTGCAGTGCTTATCTTATCATGATGATCATGCCCCACCTTAGCTTCTTGGCACCCGCATACGATCTCGATCTAAGCATTTTGCATGTATGTACGACATGCTAGCATACATATACATGATGTAGGTACCGGATCAGTCCTGGCATTTAGAATCTGATAATTCAGGGGTCATCTCTTGGCACTATCGATCAACATAGCTGGCCGCAATTAAACTATGGCTTTCAAAGGGGAAATCAAAGGGCCTAGTACAATACCTCACGTCCCGAGGACGAGAGAACATACACCTACCAGAAGTATCATTCACTTCTTCGCCGAAGATCAGGGCCGATAATCATGAGTATCAACACTATATGGTATGTTTGAGGCTCACAATCTAATCTCCGCCTAATAGAAAACCTTAATGGACCGGCGCTGCTTTAACATCCCGGGTTCGACAAGGATCAGTATGTCCTACTTCACAAGTTCCAATAGGGAGATCAATCATTAAGGCCATGGTCTCTGTTGAGCCGAAACAATCAAAGCGTCAGGACAATTGAGTAAGCGTTTGTTCTGATCATATTGTATGGAATACTCCACTTGGGCTATGATACAACGTTTTCTGTGCAATGGCCGAGAAACTTTCCCTGATCTAGCCTCAACTCCTTCTCCGTTCTAGGTATCACTTTGACTCCTCCTTGTTCGCACTTGGATTTCTCTCCGCCACTTGCATCAAATGGTAGTTGTTTCACAGGGTCAAGGGCATAGGTATTTTTTTGCTTGGGGTTGAAGGGCAATCCCTGCAGCAGAGAATCGGTCATTATATATGTCCATTTTGAGATATTAGAAGTGCAATTTTAGCGGAGCTGTCATTATCGCGTTATACCCCGTGGGTGGTCAAGGTGGTCAATTTGTTAGGGGATGGATGCCAGGGCTCCTTTGAAAAGTCTACACCTCTCTGCCATCTCAACCTGCCATTTAAACCTACCATTTTATCCTCCTGTTTCGACCACCAAATAAATAAAATCATCTCTCGGTCGCAAATGAATATTTCATCTTAAATTGGCTCTCTACGATGACTATGGATTTTTCAGAGAATTATAAACTGCATTTCTGAAAGCAAAGCATCGTAGTGAGAGTAAAAGTGTCATATATCACCACTTTGCACCGTATGAGGATTAATTCAATATACTTGTCACGGCAAGATCGTAGGTCAAGTGATGCTTGTTGGGCAGTATCCAATGAAAGGGTTATGTCTAGACCTCCGCAAAGCCCGTAAATGGGCCGGGCTACTAAAAACCTACATATCTAAACGAACTCTGTAAACGTTATATTGCGACTTTCCACTAAACGTATAAAGTTTAAACTGACATTTCAAAATAAAGGGGAAACGATAAGTATCTATATCAATTTCGAACAAAGTCCGATCGGTGGGGGTTAAAATATATCCGAAAGGGGACTATTGATTGATATCTTGATATTAGATATACATTTAAGTTTCATAGGGAAGCACTACCACTTCCTGGAGAACCTCTATAGTTTTGAAAATCTGTTAATTAACGCGTTTTTTTATATCTTTTCGTGTTATGGAGAGAATACTAGTAACTGAGCCTATGATTAGTGTAAGAAACGGACATAAAAAAGAGGTAATTTCATTATTCCTAAAAGGGGGGTTCAACTTTCATGCCTGTATTGTTTAGGCCCGAGTGGGCCCATGTTCAAAGCCCAATTGCGGGCTGGGCTTTATGCTTTATACAACATAGGCCTTGCAGAGGTCTACTTAGTATGTCCCGCGTGGCATATTTAGTTACCCATACAAGAGGTATGTAAATTTTTCAAGAGGTCACTTGAGACTATCATGTTGGCGCTGGCATTCCAAGTTTCGTCTGCAAATCTCATCTCTTTCGTCGCAGAAAACACGAAGGACAATGTCTTGATCTAGGTGTATCAAATTCGAGGCTGAAACTCATTATTGTATATTCTTATTCCAACGAGTTGGAATTACCCTAGTAGGCTAGAATAACCTGCTACTGCAAATATCAGGATAAAGAAAAGAGCACGAGCATGCATGGCCAACTACAGATGTGCTTTTTGACCACCCTCCGTTTCAGCTCTCTCCCTGAGGGCAATTCTCAAAGTCTTCCCAGTGGCATTTCTAGGTAGCGCATCCACAAACCGAACCCCTCCTGTCAATGCCTTGTACTTTGCGAGCCTTGAGGCAGCGAAGACCTTGACATCATTTTCTGTCAGACTTGAACTGCTGACACCGTCTCTCTTCACAATGTAGGCACGGGGATGCTCATCATCTTGGTTGGTAAGTTTAACCCCAATGACAGCAACGTCCATGACAGCTGGATGAGAGAGAAGCACGCCCTCTATTTCCTTAGGTGCAACCTGAAACCCTCGAACTTTGATGAGTTCCTTCTTCCGACCCACAATGTACCAGCATTCTGTCTCTTTGGCACAGTAAGCAAGATCACCAGTTTTGAACCAACCATCCTGGTCAAAAGCCTCCTTATTAGCTGCTGGATTGTCGAAGTAGCCATTCATAACTGTCGGACCTCGGAAACAGAGCTCTCCCGGTATCTCATATTCCCTGATCTCTCTTCCTTTATCGTCCACAAGTCTTATAAATTCAAAAAATCAGATTCTGTGAGAGATAAACAGGGAGGGAGGGGAACTCACTTTGCCTCAAGGCCAGGAAGTAATCTACCGATCGAACCAGTCTCATCGTCTTCAGGATAAGGAAGCGTTGTTCCCGCCCCACTTATCTCTGTTAATCCGTATGTCTGTGTGCATGGAACACCCGCAGGCAGTTTATTCCGGAGCATAGATTGCTGTGACTTGTCGAGTGGCGCGGCTCCACATGTAGCAGATCTGATTGTCGAGAAACAGGATTGTTGGACCATTGGAGAATTGATGATAGCGATTGCAATGGGAGGAACAAGGTAGATATCCGTGATTGCATGGATCTGGATGTGATGGATGAATTTTTCCAAATTGAATCTTCGCATGATGTAGGTTGTTGTACCATCTTTCAAAGCCGTTATATGGGTAGGCGGGGCTGCCGCTATATGGAAGTTGGGTAGAGACATAAGGCGGGTTGGCTTTTTCATGCTGAGTAGATATTACTTTCATGTTTCTGGTAGGAGGAATAAACGAACCTCGTATCCTCTTGAGTGTGTGCCGTAAACTAAAGTATGCTGGGCCACGAGATTATAGTGACTTAATGAAGCGGCTTTGGGCAATCCTGTGGTACCGCTACTGAAGAACCGTGCAGCAGGTGTATTCTTTGCGGTTTGTAGATCGTCAAATCTTACCCAATTTTCCTCTCCATGATCAAGCAGGGATCGCCAAGACTTCATATTAGAGGGCAAACTTGGATCAAACTCATTGAATATCCAGATATTGGACATCGGGATGCCATTTTGCTGGGCCGCTGTGAGAACGGGCCCGACAATCTGAGGCTCGGAAATGATAAACTTGACTTTCGCAATTTTCATATGATGTGACAGCTCAAAGGCCTTGTACGATGGGTTTGAACCTGCGAAAACTCCCCCGCTGGCGATGATTGCAAGAAAAAGGATAGGGTAGTAAATCTAGTTGCTGTGTAAGCATATTGTTGTCTTTATAGGTTAGTATACCAGTACATCATTGTATGAATGTAGATTGACGCAATCGCCCTTTTCTAGACCTGCTTTTTTGAATCCTGCCACAAGTTTACGAATCAAAGTTTTCGCCTGGTTGTGGGAGATATATCTTGAGGAATTTGAAGGATCGAAGTAAACCTATTGGGGAGTGTGTCAGTCACTTATGCTTGTGGGATCTCACTGAGGGCGCTCACATCGGCGCAGCACTTACAGGCTTGTCGACATCATAAGTAGGCTCATCAAATATCCAAGAGAGTATGTCTTTGTGTGAGATCACTGGATGGTTTTTAGGGCCAAAGAACATGATGAATAGGATCCTATCAAAGTGAGAAGAGAATAGTTGGTAAACAGAGTTCCTGAAAGGGCAAGTAAAAGGTTTAAATATGTCTGATTAGATCTATAGTCCTGGTTTCAATCCTAGCCATCATGGGCGAGCTCGGCCTACTATACGAACGTCCAATCAAAATGGGGTGTACTGAGGTATGGGGCAGATAGTACGCCGTAGGTGGAAGCCCTTGGACATTGATGGAGCTTTTACAATAATTCTTCCTCTACGGGAGGGTTAAGAAACCATCACGTCAGTCAAGCCCCGAGTTGGACTGGCAGAAAATGCCTACTAGGCACAACCGGGGCCGTGCCCGCCCCCGGGGCTCAAGCCCCGGCGCTACGAGCCCCAGCAGGTTACCCGATTAGGACCCAACTGCTCTAGGAGGTCACCCTGAGGCTCAGAAAGCCCGAACCTTAGAGCCGATCCTTATCCGGAAGCTGCGGCCTCCCTAGATATATATTCTGGGTGTCTATCTATGTATAATATAATAGATTCTTTGAAAATAAGGACTTGCATATTATCACTATAAAGGCTAACATTCCTAAACACCGTACCGGAACGTCTGGAGGAATGGCATACGGAGATAGAAGGTTCTTAACTCACATTTTGGTGGCGAACTGAAAGATATAGATTCTATTGCGATTCACCAACTGCCGGTTAGAGCTATTGACTTTAGTTTGTTTAACAAGTGGGTTGATGTTTATCACATTCATCTCGTGGGGATCGGAGTAGGAGCCTTCTGACGATTCAATTAAACCGTTCATCTTGAAAGCTAGGTCGAAATTATGTAAACAGTAATAGAAAGTTATATTTGTTTATGTCCCATCATGCCATCACTCAAGATTTATCTTGTTTTGTAATCTTCTCACAATGTTTGATGATCCAGGGGTGTTGTCGGACTCTCTCCAAGGAAATCCTTTGATCTGAATCAAGGACGAGGAGCTTGATTGTTGTCATTGTTGTCAGTAATTGATTAAGATTGTTTGCGAAAATGTACTCACCCTCTTAATAAGATCTGTAGCTTCATGACTGACAAAAGAGGGAATCGTCATATCCCCCTTGGCGATTCGTCTCTGTGTCATAATAGGCGTGTCCTCAAAGGGGGCGCTACCAACCAAGAACTCGTACATCAAAACCCCCAAGGCCCATAGATCCACTTTCTCATCATAAGGCTTCGCAGATCTCTTCGGGTCCACCATCTCAGGAGGTAAGTAGTCCAACGTTCCACACATTGTGAGCCTGCGACCACTCGGTGCATGCACACTCCAACCAAAATCAGACACCTTTAGCTCTCCGTGAAGACCAACTAGGATATTCTCCGGCTTGATATCCCGGTGAATAACATGTTTGCGATGTAAATATATCAAAGCACTAGCCATTTGTGCAATGTAGTGAGCTGCCTTCCACTCTGGGAAGCGATCCTCTTTCTGCAAATGCTTAAACAATTCCCCCTTTCCGGCATACTCAAGTATCAAAATTATTCGTTTCCGATCCTGGAAGTGACCGTATAGCCGTAGGACATTAGGATGGCGTAAATTGCTCTGAATCTCGATTTCCCGAGCCACCTGTTTTTCAACTCTCCCTTGACGGATCTCGTCTTTGTGCAGTACCTTCAGCGCGCAAACAAAGCCACTCTCCCGTTCTCTTGCAAGATAGACTCGTCCAAATTTTCCCTTTCCTAGCGGTCGGCCAACTTCGAACATGCCTAGATGGAGTTCCTTGGGGACAGGCTGTTTGATAAGCTGAACTGAGTGTTCTTCTCCCTTCACGGCTGCACTAGGTGTTTTCGACAAAGCAATAGAGGGATTGCGTCGAGCTGTGGAAACGGTTCGTTCGCCCGTTTCTTGACCCACTTTGGAAGCGACATGATTATTGACTGTGCTTCGTGGCTCGTCGTCACGAACACGGTGTTTTGCTGTCTCAGGCGCTGGATCTGATGTCTGCGACATAACAACAGACAAGGGATGCCGAGCCCGGGGAGACGCCTGTATGTCTTTGACTCGAGACATTTGGGAAAAAACATGATTAACAGGTGGATCTCGTTGCTTGGTATCGGTAATGGGGTGTTCTTCCCCCTTGGCCACTTCATTGGGCTTCTGCGTTGAAATAACAGAGAGGGGCTTGCGAGCTCGCCGGGGAGGATTTCCACATCTTTCTTGAGCCTCCTGGGAAGCGATAGTGTCGGCCGTTATGCCTTTTTGTTTATAAAAGGTAGAGTTGGAGCTTTCTGTTGGTCGGGTTTTGTCCGAGGGACGCGTGCCAGTGGTTGCAAGCTATTCCTTGTTACAAAGTGTGCTCTCAATGCATGTTGCGACTTACCTTGGACTTGTGATATGAATTGATGTTATTGTGGCCGTCATTTTCATCGTGAACAGACAAATGTTTGAAACGCGCTTCCAGCGTCTTACTCGCCATATTGGTTCCGCTATAGTTTCACTGTTGCTCGATTTCAAGGGAAGTATACAGCTGTCCGGAAGTAACATTCATATACAATATAGAAAATGTTACTTCAAGGCGATGGTGGGGAGGAGTTATGTTTGGAATAGTGCTGTGGGAACCGAGCTAGCAAGAATTCTGTCCACGTAGATCGCGCCGATCAGTTTGCGCTGGTAATCGACTGTTTTTAATACCATCAAATACAACAGATTGATCACCTAGGAAGGCCTCCTCTTAGGGATATCTAGCAAATAATTCCAAATTATTGTTTTTGAATGAAAATTTATCACAAAATCCACCATTATGATTGAATCATGAAAAATATGTGTATTATATAGTATCAAGTATATCATAGTAAATGTATTACAGAGCGTAAATGAAGATATAGCTCACGCTTGGCGGAGCCGCAACAGAAATCTTACCCGAGAGGTCAATTGTGAAGGGTCAATCTTGGAATCTCGTTGCCACGGTAACTAAGAAGTTCGAATCGGATGAATCCTATCGGCTGTCCTACGTAAATATATTGGGGATTCGTCAGTCATTCACATCCACATTGAAGTTGATTGTACATAGCCAATGCATTTGGGTATCATTTGTCAGCTTCCATACTTCACCTAACACTGACATTATGATGAACGAGCAGGAACTCGACTAAAGACGTCTCTATATACCATACATGCAAAATCAGCGGGGACAGTAGATAGCAGTGTCAGAGGTAAAGGTACTCCAGCAGTCCCTCGCTTATTCGTCATTGTCAGATGCAAACACCCGCAGTACAGCCTTAGCAACTTCAACGCCATCATGCTCCAGATGCGCCGTCTCAGCCGCCCGATCCGCATGTTCGAGGTCTTGGATGCCGCCGCTATCCACCCTAATCTGAATCTGTCGCTTCACCATATCCTCGTCGAAGGCCAGATGCGCCTGCGTCGTGAATAGCCGGTTCGGGATATACAGGCCCTGAACTGGTGTATGATCACTACGGCCCCAGCAAGCAACTTCCGTGTTCGGGACGAGCAAGTCCGTTCCCGCCGACGCGGAAGTAGGTGGCGCGACGACTTGATCTTGATGCATCTGGTGGAGATAGATGTAGTCGTCGCGCGCGCGGAAGAGACGCTGGCCAACGGGCGTCAGCATGATACGACAGTGACCGAGTTCCCAATCCTGTGAGGGCGCAGGTGCAACAGAGCCACCGAGAAGGCGGGCAAGGAGCTGATGGCCGAAACAGATGCCCACGAAGCGGAAGTCGCGGCGTTTGATCCAGAGGGTTTTGAGGAGGTCTAGCAGCTGTAGGATCCATTCGTTGTTCGCATGGGCATCGTATACACTCCCCGTGATGAGGAGGCCGTCGAAGCGGTCAAACTCATCCACAGTTGGTATCCGGCCGCCCTTTTCAGTTACCACGAAGACTTGATCTGTCTCAACGCCTACAGGTGGATGATGGGCGCGTCCGGCTTTGGCAAAGTGTTCGTGTAAAATCTGGCCAAAGGAGCCGCGGGCCGAGTGTGTATCTGGGTGAGGTATGTCGGTCTCCAGGACCATGATGCGTACGACGGGCGCCGATTCTTTGGGCTTGTAGGTCTGATCCATGTTGTGTGGATATTGGTATGGTCTCGGTAAAAGATGTAGTGATTTGTCTTCTGCGAAGACGTCTAGTTAAGTGCGACAGACTGAGGAGCAATGTAGTTGCATGGGCCCATGCCTAGTACTAGCTTCATAAAGACATGATGCAGCGCGATGATTGACTCTTGGCCTTCGTCATGACTTCCAGGTCTGACTTGGCGGGATTTCGTCATCTGCCGAGAAAAGCGGAAGGGGCGGGGCGGGCCTTTCTTGGCGGGTAGTTCTACCATCAACCGGGTACGGAGTACCGTAGACAGGGGTAAACTACCCATAAATTTATCCTACTCATGAAGGCAGCATACCTTTTTTATCAGCCGATGTTACTATGGCGCATCGAATTTGGACGAGATTTTGCAATTGACTGATTTATTTTCTGATTGAACGTTGACAAAATACTGAGAAAAACATGAAAATGGATAAACAATCTTCGTCTATGCACTGGACTCACTGGAGACGATCATGCATAGAAAGGAGCAATCATTCATCTACATCATTGGACTCTCGCTTGAATTAGTTACATATTAGACAGTCTGTGTTGGAATTCACTGCCTGTGAGATCATGCATTGTTCATATTTGCTGCATCTTTACATTTGTATGCTCTAAATTCCTGAATTGTTAAATTTTAAATACTCTTGGATCGCAATTGAAGTGAATCCCAGCGCATTTCGTGAACGGGTATAAATGTATAAATGCCGAGAACTCGGCATTTAGACTGAGCCGTGGGTGCCGAGGCCCCCCGGGGGCCCCGACCTGGCCAGGAATCCCCAGTTCTCCATGTTCCTAGCGCTTTTGACATTGTTGCGTAATATCGCACTTGTAGGTTGAATCTTCTGCTCTAAGGATTTGTCGCTTTCCTACGTTTCGCAGGGATCACATAGCCTCCAAGTATCTAACTACGGGGAAGAACCCCCACCAGGCAGGCATAACATACTTCACCCAAGAACTACAAATAGCGATCCTGGGAAAGACCAAAATAGTCTGCTTGGTGAATCTGAACAACTGGGTCAAACAGAGAGGCAAGATCTTCCACGCAGTTCGCAAAGTGCCAAGGGTAGAGAGTAGGAAAACATATCAATGTACGAAGTACTGGAACTTCCACTATTAAATGTTCGTAGTTGATATGAGCTCAATGTCTTTTCCGTCATTTGAGGAAAGAATTGTCGAATAGAAGTCATTTCTCCAACATTTCCTTTTGATCTTGTCATTGACTTGCATATATATCACTTGAGATCAGCCAAAAAAAAAAAAAGAGAAAAGGCAAAAGAACTTTCTCATCCACAGCCTCCGGCTATAATCCCGAGGTCGGGTTGATGTATAGAATCTCAATTCAATCAAGATAAGCCGATGAAAAGGCCAGGTTTTTGTTCGGGGCACATGAAGCCCGACATTCCGTTTGCAGTGGGTCCAAGATCAAATAAAATTCGATTTCATGTGCTTGTGATTTTCGGACCATAGAAGGCCTCGGCCAATGAGCCGAGGGAACTGTGAGATCCTGTATACGTCTGGATTTTATTTATCCTTACCTCCACGCTTCAAACTACTTTCAACCCATCATGGCGACCACTTTGGCCGATCATATATCGCAAGAGAAAATTGACGATCACTATGTTTCCACGCATCTTCCTCAGAGGATGGGTAATGCAGCACCCATCGCCTATGGGGGCTACGCCATCGCTCTTGCAATCCACGCTGCGTGTAAGACCGTTCCGAGTGGATTTCACTTGCACTCGGCGTTTGGTCATTACCTCCGAGCAGTGAGTACTGAGGCCAAATTAATATGCACGCCTGTTCAACTCCGCCAATCGAAGAGTTTCGTCAGCTTTCGCGTTGCCGTTGAGCAAAAGCACCCGTCCACCGGCAAACGCCTTCTATGCATGGAGCTCCTAGCCGATTTCCACAGAGATGAGCCGTCGCTGCTCACATTCTCGGGTCAGCCCACGCGGAGTTACACTCACTGGCGGGACTGTGTACCTTGGGATCGTCTTATGGAAGACTGGCTTAAGGCTGGTAAAGTAGCAGAGCCACAGTTCAAAGCCTTCAACACCCTGTTCGGACTCTCCCGAGACCTCTACGAAGGCCGCCCCTGTCCGGAGGGAATCTCCACTCAGAATCTCATGGGGATGGCCAAGACCGTTGAAACCAGCCAGGAGGCATTGCCTCCGACGGAAAAGTCATCGGCTGACTGGATTCGAGTCAAACACGCCCTGCAGACCGAAGGAGAGCAAATGGCCAGCTTGGCGTTCATCATGGATGGCGTTTTGTCATTTTTGCCGTTGACACACAACCACTTGTCTTTCGAGGACGCCGGTGCATGTTCAAGCTTGGACTTTGCTCTACGTATCTTTACGCCGCCGAAAATGAATGATTGGCACCTGAGAGAGATTATCAATCACCGTGCTGGCCACGGCCGCACATATAGTGAGAGTAAACTGTGGGATGAGGCAGGGAATTTGGTGGCTTCGATGACACAGCAGTCAATTTTGCGAGTTCCTGCCAAAGCTGCAAACTTGTAAAGTTGGTCATTGGTTCCTTTCTGTTTATCGCTTTGCTCTATTTATAGAATATTGTCATAGACCCGTAGATCATTGTATGTTAGAATGCCTCGCTTCATCATAGAAAGGGCAAGGCAATTGGAGTGCTGGATGTGCTGCATGTACTGCATACTACACTAAAGACTTCGATCATTCACTTGAAACATCCAGATATCAACTTCATTGAACTCAAGTAGACGTATAGCCCACTAGGCTTGGCCCAAGTATGCAGGCGTACATAGATCCCTATGTAAGTTGTGTTTATTCCTCAATAAAGATACGGCAATTGTCTAGATTAGTGAAGGGCTGCAGTTCCAACTATTGTATATTCACATGTCACATAACAGCAATATTGCCAGTAAATCAGTTGCTCGGGGTTCGTTTGTCGTAGTAACAAAATTTCAATGACATGACTTCCCACCCTAAGTACGTCAGCACCTGCCAGAACTCGAAACCGTTCCCTTTTGTCTCCTCTTCTTTTCTATTCCTCTGTCGTTTATCCCACTTTTCCCAAATCACACTTCCGGTCCAGACTACTCTACCACAAACTCGAGTTCATTATCATCAACATGGCACCAAAAGACCCGACCACCCCCAAGTCCAAGGGTACCAAGGCTGCAAAGGGAGGAGTCGTGAAGCGAACCCCCGTGAAGAGCTCCCCGTGAAAGGTTCCGCAGGCACTATTCCTGACAGGGATCTGGTTTTCCTGTGGAAATGTGTGAAGATGTCTACCGGCATGAAGGTAAGTGTCTCTCAAATGTGACGACACGCCCATACCCTACACGATAACATGTCATATACTAACTGACTTATGTTACAGATTGACTGGGCTGCCATCGCCAAAGATGCCGGCAAGCCGGCAGGTACCGTCCAGAAGCAATACTCCCGACTTAACATCAAGATGGAGAGTTATCTCGCCAATACTGCTTCAGGCTCTGCAGATGCCACCGACGAGAACAACGAGAAGGATATCCAGACCGGCGAACTCAACGAATCTGAGTAAATGAGAGGGCATTTCGGTGGCACCCATGCGGGAATGACAGACTCTAGGTGGGAGTCTTGCTTGGCCGCCTTTTCTCATGATCTTTACCGCGATCTGGTTCATTTGTTTTCAATTTTGCATCCTATGTTGCTCTGGTCTCAGACCGCGTGCACTCAACATATGGTCTCTCAGACTTGTCGTTTTGACAGTCACATCTTTTCAAATATGTGACTGACTGAGATTAGTTTTTTTTTAAGACACAATGCAACGAAACTCTCAAAAAGTTCGAAGTATCTTTCCATCAACCGTAGCGTAAGCTTTTAAGGTAACAAACTTCCTTCATAGCGGTCACAGGTTTAATCGAACCCTAATGGGGAACCAATACATCCAACTACCTATGAAGTACGTCTATGCTCTTTATTCCCAGTCATCAAGTGCATGTAGAGTCTGTGTTCTCTTATGTTCTACGTTCTCATACGTTGGCCAATTCAGCGGTATGACCTCATTCCTGCATACACTCATTTATTACCCCGCGCCCCTTCTTCACTTCTGTTTCTATCTTAACTCCAGAATCAAATCCATCATGGCCAACCCCTATTTCGATATTGAATACACTTCGCCGAGCGGCCAGGGTAAGTACACGGTCTTGTGCCGCTTCAAGGATACTAACTCCATACAGTGGAAAATTGGGGTCGCATCGAGTTCAAACTTTACGACGACGTCGTCCCCAAGACAGCAGACAACTTCCGTGCCCTTGCTACAGGCGAAAAAGGCTTCGGCTATGCAGGCTCAGCTTTCCACCGCGTAATTGCCGGGTTCATGGCCCAAGGTGGTGATTTTACTCGCGGCAATGTCAGTCACGATCTTTGCGTGGGGAGAAATTCGAGCCCAGCTGATCTCTACTTGGTTTTTAGGGAACCGGCGGCAAGTCAATCTATGGCGAGAAGTTTGCGGATGAGAACTTCCAGATTAAGCATACCAAAGGCGGCTTGCTCTCCATGGCAAATGCGGGACCAAACACCAATGGTTCTCAGTTCTTCATTACTGTAAGTCGGAAGTATGCTAAAGGACAGAGGAAAGACGTGGTTTCTGACTTGAATAGTTCGTGAAAACCCCCCACTTGGATGGCAAGCATGTTGTCTTCGGAGAGGTGGTCTCTGGTCAGGATATTCTCCAAAAGATGGAGAGCAAGAGCTTGGATCGGTCCGGAAAGACTGATGGTACCATTAAGATCGCTTCGTCTGGGACGGTTTAAGCTACCATTGGGAAATGACGCTGTCTTGTACCCAAACAGCTTATTAAGTAGCAACGTGAACGTGAATTTATTCATTCCTATAGACCCATGTATCTCTTGTTTTCTATCTCTAGACTTCTATCAAGTCAAATAGAACCAACAACCAGCAACCTATACTAACAGCGCCATGGCAAAAGCTTTTGCCATATATGTACGCTGTGGAACAAAAGACGAGTAACAAAATATTGCACACATGTACACGGAGACGTCCGTCAATGAAGCAACGACTACCCTTCAGCCAACTCATTTCACAGCAACCATAAACAACCGCGGATACTTCAACAACACCCGCCCATCAACGGAAACAGGATATGCCGACTGCAAGCGTCTCAAGTAACCCTTCAAGAAAGCCTCCTTCTCACCATCCTCCAACGGATCCAAGAACGGCCTCAACCCAGTCCCTTCAACCCACTCAATAACAGCCTCGTGACTCTCAAGCGAATGATAATAACTCGTCTCAAAAACCGAAACCTGACTACAAAACGGCTTGACCAGATCATAAAGTTCCTGCGGCGACTGAAACCCATCTCTCTGTATACCAGCTAGTTTGTCCGCCCACGGACCATCAGCAGCAGTCTCACCCATGGAGATATGCGAAGGCTCATTCAAATTATGCGGGACTTGGAGTGCAAACACCGCACCCGATTGCTGTGGTTCTAGCAGCCGCTTAATAACCGCAATACGATCATCAGCTTTCAGCCACTGGAACACCGCATTCGAGAAGAAGAGGTCCACTGGTTTGGCTGGGTCTGGCGTGTAGGTGCTTAAATCTGCGACATAGAATTCCCGGTCTGGGAGGACTTTCTTTGCACGCTCGATCATGTCGGGCGATGAGTCTAGTCCTGTGATTGTTGCTGATGGGTATTTGTTTGCCAAGACTGTTGTTGAGTTGGCTGGGCCGCAGCCCAAGTCGATTATTCTTTTTGGGGCTGTCAGGGGCACATGCGAGAGGAGATCTCGGGCGGGCTGGGTGCGTTCGTTTTCGAATTTGAGGTATTGGCTTGCGCTCCAGTCTTTGTTTTGTTGGGTCATTGTTGTGGTGAAGTGTCTGTAGACTGGTGGAATAGGAATTCTTGAAGAGTGATTGAACAGTCTGGTTGCGGTCGAGTTTAGACGACAGTACATTTTTTGGTTGATTTGAATTACTAGAAAATGTTTAGATGTATAGGGAGTACTTGTTTTATATTCATTTTTGATGTTCATGAAGTGAATCGAAGAAGTGGCGATGTCGGATATTCGGCGATTTCTCCGATATCGCCATAAACAGCGTTGCATTGGAATCCAGGAAGATGAATAAGGCGTGATGAATTTGATATTTAATTACCAGTATATCTAGCTACTAGCTAACATAGGAGGTACAGGTAGGTCCAGAGTTGAACCTGATATGCGATAGTACGTCGCCCACTTTTTAGTGGGCCATTTTTCGCGCCCGCATTTAGTTACCCGCCAAGTTGCCGAAGATGGCCTGGATCCAGGCCAAGACATCCGCAGCACTATCTGTGGGGAAAGGCATGGCAGCACCAGGGGTAGCTGCGGCGCTGGTAGCGACTGGCACCTCGGTAGAAGTAGCCGATTGACGGGCACTAGTGGCGAAAGTAGTAGTAGGCTGAGCAGCAACTGTGGTGGTAGGCTTAACGGCAGTCGTGGTGGTGGGTTTAGCATCAGCCGTTGTGGAGGGCTGAACAGCGCCGGTTGTGGCCGGGTTAGTAGCAGTAGCAATAGTAGCAACATCTGTGGAGCTGCCGATCGACGAGGCCTTCACCGATGGAGCCGGAGCCGAAATACCACCAGAGCCAGATCCACCGAGGGTAAAGTCGATACATGACTCGTAGGTCTGGTCGATTGACTGTGCGTACCAGTACCACTGCAGCACACAGTCACCAGCGGTGACACACTGGTCTTCGAGATCATCGGGCATAGTGACGCTGAAGCTGGTCTCATCGGCTTTGACGCCGGTGGCGACGGATGCATAGACAGGCCAGGAGATCAGTGGGGCACCGATAACAGTGTTGGACGAAGTGTCAACAACAGAGACATTAGCGACGCCGGTGTGTGGAGCACGAATGTCGACGGTGAAGTCAACCTTCTGTCCTGCCTTGTACGAGTAGACGTTATCCTTGTTGTCGGCGAACTTGTAGCCCTTGCAAAGCCAGATATCGCATGCGGCGGCCTCGTAGTCGTTTTGACTAGAGGCAATTTGCAGCTCGCCTTGGATGTTGCCGTACTTGTCAGAGTCTTGATTGGACACGACCTGCTTGCCACAGGCGGCTTCCATTGCTGTGCCGGGCTGTCGGGCTTTGGGGCTGCTGACAAAACCATGGCCATTGACCAAGGTGATGATGCTAGCGAAAGCCAGGGCGGGGGTGAAATGCTTCATTTTTGGCGAGTTGGGAAGTCGTGGAAGTGAATGGAATCGGTAAACCGGACCGAGGAATGAATGTATACTTGAATGAAAGTCTGCACGGTCTCAAACCGGAGGAAACGAAAGTGAAAGTGAATGAGAATTCAAAAAAGACTGACCAGCATGCTCATTTGGTCTTGTGTCGCGCCGGTATGCCGCTGCTTATATAGTATGTAGCCATATTCAAAAGGAGCTCTGACTGAGCTATATCGCGTCATCAATCAACCGCAAACACTAAATTGACACTTATCAGAGACAAATTGAACGGCGCGTAAGGTTGCAGGTATCATGCTGAAACACCTCTGATATATCCAAGGGACAGCACTCCCCCACCGGGAAGTGACTGGTGAGACTGGCGGTAAATCTAGATCGGATCCTATCGGGGACAATATGGCCCTCGGAGGTATCTTGAACCAGGCCGGGGCGATCTTCTCTCCCGAGACAAGCCCGACGTTCCTGAGGCTAGGGTTGCCAAGCCTTGCTCCACGCGCCGAACAGGGATGAGAGTTTCACGTTGATTGGGACAGCTCTAACAGGTGAGACATGACATTTGATCGCTTTGCTTTTCAAACGTGGAGATAAGAAATAAAGTCGACTTGGCAGTAGTTGGATGGTGATCTAATTTCATTCCAGGATGATCCTGTTAGGTCCACTGGGTTTGAAAACCAAACTAAAGCTGATGAAACTGACTAGGTACCTCTTGATTCCACCTATCAAGGGTTCTGTTTCATCGTGAAGTCTAATAGAAAAATGAATATCCTGCATTAGTAGCCACATAGATTTAGTTGATCGAATATTGTGTTGTAGAGGTACACAACACATGCAAATCTAGTATCGAACTATGTAAAAAGGTCATCAAATATAATTCCGCAGGACGAGTAGTCATATACACCTCAAGGCTTTGAAAAGGAAACATCCTCGCAGATTTTATGATTCCAATGTGGCATCGTCGATACGAGTCTTAAACCACCCGACCACGTCGGAGCCTAGGGGGACAGATATTTCATATACCTCTTCATGGCGTACATTCTGTGTAAATGGGAATTGGCCCCGAACACATATCACATGCACGATACTCTTTGCTTTGTCTCCTGCTGCCCAGCCTTTGCCTAGCATGAGACTGTTCTCACATACACCAAAGATGCACATGATGTCAAGTACTATATAGATACTGTTTTATAGGGTCTCTATACATACTCTGCTCTTAGGATGTCTCTTATTTTATCGTATCTAATTAATTCATCAGATTATGAAATGGCAGCTAGTCAACATTCAATATACCCCTTCCTACTGGGACCAAACTTCCAGAAACAACCATGATCTTCCATTTCCCATATCTCGTATATTACAACCCGTGAGAAAACTGCCGGAACACTGGTGCTAGTGATTCAGCGAGAAATCAAAGACAACCTTCCCCCTCGCATGTCCTCCATCCAATCTCTTGAATACCTCTTCGTACTGCTCAAGAGGCCAAACACTATCCACCAACCCCCGACACACCCCCTTCTCAATCAACTTCGAAATCTCCTCCAACTGCCTTCTCACCGGCTGCATAATGAAAAACTTGTCTTTCACACCGGCACCCTCAAAGCTATCAGGACGATCCTGCACAGGTGGCCGGAAGATACTCAGCACAACACCACCATCCTTCACAGTCCACCACGCATCTTCAAGAGCCTTCCCCCCGATACAATCCACAACAACATCCACCTTATTCGAAGGCACCTGTGCCCACTCTTTCACATCCACAACCCGATAATCAAGCACCTCCTTCGCACCAAGTGACCTCACAAACTCCACATTCCGAGGACCACACGTCGCAACCACCTCCGCACCTAACAAAGTAGCCAACTGCACAAGCCAGATACCCACACCACCAGAAGCAGCAGTAACAAGAATTTTCTTCCCAGCCCAAGCAGTCTTGGCAGTCTCCATATCCATCTCTTCTCCATTTGCTTCGGTAGCAAGAGCATGAACAAAAAGAACCTGCCAAGCCGTCTCGGCGGAGACAGGAACCGCCGCGGCCTGGACCCAGCTTAGATCCTTAGGTTTGTGGGCCAATTCATCGGTAACGGCGATGGAATATTCCCGCCCATTTCCTGGTCGGACGTAGTTTGTGCGCGCGTATACTTCATCGCCTGGCTGGAAGGGCGAGTCTTCCGGTGCTGAGATGACGATTCCCGCCATGTCTGGACATGGGATGAGAGTGCGCTCTGTAGACGGGGGGAAATTTGCCGGCCAGAGGAGTTCGCCGGCGCAAGGACTGCAGGCTTTTATTTGGATGAGATGTTCTCCCTGTGCGTGATTCGGGGTTGGGAGAGGGGAGTCTGTTAGGATGAGGTTTTTGGAGGAAGCGGAAGGTTGAATAATGCAGCGCATTTTCGGAAGGGTTGACATATTTAGAACTGTAGATATGTGGTGTGTTTGATGGTTTGTAATGAATGTCGTGTTATTATAGTTCGAGTGTCGAGACGTCATCCGACCGGATTCCCGCGTAGCCTATTTGATAGCCTATTTCCCCGGATCAGCTACGGAGCTACGGAGTATACGGAGTATACAGTTAGGCAATATAGTGGATGATAAGAATATCCCCATGTACATTCGCTACACTCCTCTGCATGAAGCTGCGTCGTTTATCTCGTGTCGGAAGTTATATCTACGAATCATACCTCGAAGTTCATGGGGGGTCATATTTATGACCGTGGAGAAATAATTGAATCCATCAAAATAGACATGTCTAATGCGAGTTTTCCACATGGAAAGCCCAAGTCCATGAGTTTTGCTCTGAGCTTTGATGGAGTGGAGTGAGTTTAGGCCTCTGCAGAAGATTTGAGTGAGGCATAACCTCTTCACAAGAGACTTCTTATTGGTAGAAGATGGTCTTTGGACGAATTCACCGGAACCGATGCCCAATCCCAGCACTCATACCAACTGGACTTTTTCAGAGCCCACAGATCAAAAGTCCACATCTCAAGCCTATGGTGTTTCTCTGTTACGATTCCTAATATGGCCGTTGACATGACGCTTAACTTTATAACTGGGCGGCTTTCTCTTGCGCACTGTGTTTTGCATTCTTCACCTCTTCTTCTCTCCGTAGACATCTGAATCTCGACAATGGGTAACACACATGAGCCAGAGGATAAAATCGCCGTGGTATGTCTACTTGATTTGATTTTTGATATCTATTCTTCTAACAAGTATCAGGATCCAGCGATTCATCTCACAAAGGTTTACGACGATGATTGGCAATCGTAAGTATTATCTATGTGCCGATATAGACACGATCTCTCATACAATCTCAGAGAAACCACTTCAATCGGCTCCTCACTTTATCGGGGTTTAGAGGAGAATGGTCGACGGTATCAAACATTGAGCCAAAAAGAATATCTGTACGTATAGATATCTGAATCGAAATATCCCTACTTACGTCCTACCAGGATTCCATCGGACGAGAAACAGTTCGAGACATATGAAGCTGGGTATGCCTTTTATACACGATCTTCTCAATATACTAACGACTGCAGCCACTTAGTAGCCCTCGTTATGGACTCAGACTACGACAACCCACTTTTCCGGGCGCCTGTGAAAAATCCCAAGAACATCCTCGACCTGGGAACAGGTCTAGGTAACTGGGCCATGTAGGTGCAAAGAAAACACTCACATTCGCAAAGAAACCTCACTCACCCTATTCTAGCGATGTAGCCGACATGTTCCCAGAAGGTAAGTCCAGCATCCACCCACATAGCAACATACTGACCAAACCCAGCCACCGTCCGTGGAGTCGACCTCTTCCCACCACCAGTAACATGGGTCCCGCCAAACTGCATCCTAGAAGTCGACAACATCGCCGAAGAATGGACGTGGAACGAACCCCAAGACCTAATCCACATGCGCATTTTGATCGGAGCCTTCGACTACAACGAATGGGACCGTCTCTACAAGCAATGTTACGAGTAAGCTACTATCCCCTCCCATCCTCCTCGTCCAACTAACCCCAAACCCAACCAGCAATCTCCGCCCAGGCGGTTGGATCGAACAACTAGAAGCAAGTCCCTACGTCGAATGCGACGACGACAGCCTCCCAGACGACAACATCCTCCGCAGCTGGGGACCAGCATTATCAGCCTGCGGCGAGCGTGCAAACCGTCCCCTAGGAACGATCGACATGATGCAAGACGCCTTCCGCAAAGCCGGGTTCGTGGACATCCATGAAAAAGAATACAAATGGCCTCTTGGCCCGTGGGCGCGTGATCAGAAATATAAAGAGGCCGGCACTGTGAATTATCATCATTGGATGTCTGGGATGGAGGGGTGGGCTATGTGGTTGCTTTGTAAATTCGGGGCTCCGGAGCCTTGGACGCAGGATGAGGTTATTGTTTACGTTGCGAAATTGAGGAATGAGCTTAAGAATCCTCGGTATCATATTTATGAGCGCGCGTGAGTTTTTCTGTTTCTTTGGTGGGTGGGTGGATGGCTGATCTTTATACAGGAGACGTGTGTGGGCGAGGAAGCCTTTTCCTGAGGAGATTGCGGCGAGGGATCGGGAGCATAGTGAGAGGGTTATTCTCAAGATTGAGGAGTAGTGCTATACTTCAGTTCTGGTGGACATCGGTCGATTGTCCGCTGTTTTTGAGGTCACGAAGATATGAAGGAGGCAGTTTTTATTGCGTGGGCGTTTTCAGCTTGTAGGGTGTCTGGTACTTAGGGGAGGGTATAAGATAGCAAGTATATATTGACCTGGGTATATATGCCTAGGGTACGAAAACACGGCGCACCCTCGCTCTCCTATAGATCAAACGAGCTGCTAAAGACGTTGGCAGTAAAAGGTCAATCAATATGTGTGCAGTAGCGATGTGCGAGGTATCATGGAAGGCAAGAGACAGGAAAAGTGAGCTAAAAGCGAGCCAAAGAGAAAAAAACCCCCCACAAGCAGGGTTTGATATAACCAAAAGAAAGAAAGAGTCCAGGCGCTAGACGATAAAAAGAAATGTGAGATGGATCCCTGCATGACCCTAGCGTTGCTGCTCAGTGGGCTGGGAGCGCACGAGATCACTATGGGCCTGTGAATCACCATGTCCCCGATGCCTCTCCTGATCCGAGTCATTTGTAGCATAGTCATCAGCGAAAGGATTCCGCACCTGGAATTCCTCAGCATTGTATTCATATCGGCTGGCAGTTGCAGACGGCCCAGGATTAGAAGCAGGCGCACGACTACCAGTCATGGTCACCGAGGGTAGCTGTGCCGGAACAGGAGCACGAGGCTCGGGGCTCCATGTTGTAGTCCGAGCTGGCGGCCCGGCGGGAGGGGAGAAATACGTAGGTCCTGTTGCCACAGGCGGTGATGTCGGCGAGGGGCTATTCACATTCGACGAGCTCGGCGACGAGGATCCTCTCATTTTGCGTGCCTTCAGCATGGCACGCTGCTGCTGCGACAACGCTACAGAGATCTCGTCGTTCGTCTCAATGAGCGTCAACAGAGTGTCCTCGTCCGGAGCTGGGTTGGTCGAGTGGATGTATCCTTGAATACCGCGCGAACTGGACCTGCAGCGGTCAATGAACTCCTTAATGAGATCGTTGTTTTCTAGCTCTGCTGGCGGGGTAGACTGGACGAACTGCGTTAGCAGCTTTGCCGAATTGCGCGCTTCTTCGATGCGCGCCGCTAGTTCTACCGGGTTGGGGAGGGTATTTGCCGGCGCGGGGGACAGGCTGTATGGTTGCTGCTGAAAATATCTGGGCGGGACTTGCGGCGGGATGATGGTATTCATCGGAAAAGGGTCGATCTGGCTATGTTAGAGTCTTGAATGGTGGGCGCGCAAAGATATCATGGCTGTGCTCACCAAACCGCGGACGGCTTTTATCTTTTCCTTCGACCACATCTGCAGTAGTAATTTGAGATTCTCGTCCCATAACCGCTGTTGCTCGAGGGTATCCAGATACTGGCGGAGATAGCTCTGCACGTGCCAGTCGCGTCCTGTGCGCAGCAGCTCTTTAATGGTCGTCACGAATTTGGCATCGAAGTTGCGGGTGAAGGTGTGGCCTGGGTTATCGACCAAGATGCGCATGAGCATGATGGCATTGTACTGGGTCTGGTTCGGGGTGCCCGCGGGATCTGCGAGATACTTTCGAATGCGCAGAGCCGCTTGCTTGGCGGCATTGGGACTTGACTCGGCGGCTTCGACGATTTGAGGGAGGTGGACGAATTCATTTCCTTGCTGGAGTTGTGAAAATGCGATTGTCAGTCTTGAAAAGGGGGTTCCTGTCATCTCCGAGGCACATACCGCGTCGCGCGAAGAGCCATTCACATTCGCATTTGTATTTGTATTTGATTCGCAGAAGGCAGTCTAGCGAAACGTCAGTGTGTCTTCTTCAATTCATCTGAAATCAGCACAAACCAATTCTTTCAGGACAATGGCCTCTGGTGAGTCTTCGCGATATTCGACACTGTCGCTGGAGCCTTCAAGGTACAAGTCAGCGAATTTGCGGGCCCGGGGAAACGCGGAGACGGTAAAACACTCACTTGAGCGTCTGCTCAGAGATCCCAGGAAGCGCTTCATGGTCGCACAATCTGTTCAATTTTAGGGGAAATTTTTGAGGAAAAAAAGGATCTGGATTGTCAAAGAATAATTCTAGCCGGGGGCCAAATGCCGGCCTAAAGCTAGCACTGCAGGGAACTAATCAAAGACGCCCTCGCTAAGGGGTCAAGAAAACGGGACAGTCGAAGATATATATAAAGCCAATATCTCCCGCGGTCAAAGCCACATTCCACGCACGCAGCCAGGTGTTCTGCATTGCCAAGTCGAGGCCATCCAGGCTCCAGGCAACGAGACCCCAGGGATGGGATGTTTTGATTTGGTGACTCAGCCAGGTGTGGGGGTAGACAGTACCTAAGCTCAAAGGGCATTCAATATATATTTAGAAATATTTAGAAGTACTGAGTACTTGACAAACTCGTCACATTTTCAAATATCAAACCCATACCTCTCTATTCTGCTTCAACAGCATCTGCCATTTCCCCTAATGTTTCAAACCGCCAATCAAAGATCGGATCCTCCAAATTCCCCATCAAAGCTCCAGGCCTCTCAATCCAAACCGACTTAATGCCAACATTTTTCGCAGGCTGATGATCATGAAACTGGCTCTGTGCCGTCTGTAGAACCTGTTCAGGCTCAACCCCAAACTCGCGCTTCACAGCACTCAACATATATTCAAAGTTCCGTGGATCAGGCTTATAACTGCCAATATCCTGCGCGGTAAGAATCATATCAAACGGCACGCCCTGCAAGCTACCGGCATTGGACTTGGCGAATGAGGCCCGGTCCACGTTCGACAGAACCACTAGCTTATAGTGCTTTGATAGTCGGCGCAGGGCATCGACAGTGTCTGAGAAGGCTGGCCAGGTCCCGACAGAGTTGCCGAATTGGTGGCTTTCCTCGATGGTTGGCGGGTCAAGGCCTAGACGTGCGGCAAGGGTGGGGTGGATTGCTGATAGCAGGTCTGAGTATGGTAGGTCTGGGGTTGCGGTTTGTTGGGTGCTTTCGAGGTCTTGGTAGGTTGTTAGGAGGTGTTCACGGGTGAATTGGGTGGTGCTTTTCGAGAGGATTGGTTCTAAGGCAGTGATGATGCCGCTTTCCCAGTCTATAAGGGTACCGTAGACGTCGAAGCAGAGGAGACGGAAGTTTGAGAGCTTGGTCATGATGGACTGATCTGGTGGATATATATACACAACAGATATATATATTGCGGGAGTAGTTTGGATGAATGAATCTCCAAAGTTGTATTCTTTTCCTGGCTACTTATACCCCCGCATGTAGATCCCTAGTTATGTGTAGGTAGACGTTCTCCTTGGCATGTCTTATGAAATTACTTGATAAGGGTTGTCGGGGACCAGAAGTGGTTTAGGCAGGGTTTCCTTGTGCTTCCATCGCCAACCTTGAAATACTCCCTTCAGATCGGTATTTAGAGGTTAGCCCTTATTCAAGCTTGCGATTGAGGCATCGAATCGCCACTCATCGCTACAATGGGATGCATATTGTAACAGAGAAAAATAGAGATCATATTGTATGACCGAAAGACCGGAATCTCGACAATAAGTGTGCAGCTAGAAGGATCCGAAAACACTCTCTATCAAAGGAGAAAAAACACTCGATAGAGTCACGGAGAAAGAACCACGTTTGTATCATGATTGGATCGGGAAGTACAGAATCCTATTTCCATCACCCTAGGCCATTTTGTTTAAACTTTTTATTGGGTTCTCCTCCGAGTGTTGGCGCCATGACCTCAAAATCTTGTATGATCCGGTATCGATTCCGTTCCAACATACACAGCTGATGCAAAGAACTCCGATCCTTCCCGTCCACCGCAAAAATCTTTTCACATTGCGTAACCACACGTCCCCTCACACCTTCTTATGGCAATCCGTTTATGCCTCGATGAGAGCACGGCGGATCTGGGTACCACGCTGGCGGGAAGAGAGACGGACCTGCTTGTCGGTGGAAGCCTTCTCGACCTGCTCGCTGGCCTCGGTGAGGATGAGCTCGATGTGGCAGGGGTTGGTCATGTAGGGGTTGATCTGGAGATAGAGTCAGTATTTGCTGCAGGTTACAAACTTCACCGTAAATCGGAGGAAAAACGTACACGACCGTGAGCACGGTAAGTGCGGCGGCGACCCTTGGGGGCCTGGTTGACCTGGATGCGCTTGACAATCAGGTTGGCGGTATCGAGACCCTTGCCATCGGCGTTGGCCTCAGCGTTCTTGAGCAGATCGATGATGTGCTCAGCGGACTTGACGGGCCAGCGGGCCTTGGAGACACCGAACTGCTTGCCTATAAACCAAAAATTGTCAGTCGATGTTCGACTTCACAAATTTTCATCCAGATCGTAGAATCCACAGCATCGCCAATAAGCCAAGAAATCCGTCCTCTCATTCGATTCATTTTTCCTCAATCCATTGCATATCCCAATGGCTGTCGTGTGATTGGCGATGCTGTTCGTCCTCCCACAATTCATTCAAAAACTCCAATCCGATCGATCCGGAATTTGCTCCAAGAAAAAAAGGCGACTCACCCTGAGCGGTGCGACCGGTGGAGCCAGCGTAGCGGCGCATGGGAACGGCCATGGTCTTGGTGGTGACGTTCTCGAGGAAAGTGAGAGCCTTGGACAGCTTCATTCCGTTGACGGCTTGGGCAGTCTCACGGGTGTTCTTGAAGCTGACACGCAGGTAAGAGCCGCACGCGCGGGCGCTCTTTTCCTGCGAGATCTCCTGGGCGGCGTAACGGACCTGTGAAAAGCATCGCTCATTAGCAATGGGATCGTCGTTGGGTGTTGGTCATGTCGGCAGCGAAAGTCGACCCGGCGATCGGACATTGAATGTGTATCACACGGGTGGCATTTTGTAGAGAATGGGATTCCGAATGCTCATTATCGATGACAGGGGCATGCAGCACTCACCATCTTGAAGGAGTTGGCGAGGGGGTGTGATGGTCCTCGGTGATGAGTTGTTGTCGCTTTTCGTCGTCGTCCGGCGCTCGCTTGAGCCACTAGCTTTGGTGCGGTTTTTTTCGCTCTTGGCGCTCTGGCCCTAAGCGAGCCCTAACGCTAGCCATTTTGGGTGGACTCCGCCTTTGAGTTATGTCAGGCCTTAGTCATCTAGTTCATGCCCCACATCTCAGGTGTCAACATGGAATAAAGTTACAATCAACTAAGGCGAACATTTCCTTTCGAAGCTACACTACTTGATATTTGATGATTGAACGCAACGAATTCTATTCTTTATATATCCATACCTATTTCTTCTGCTCTGGTACTTGTGTAATAAGCTCACCCTTCTGAATAGCCAACCGCAGGTTATCCAACACCAGAATCTCCATTTCCTTCTGAGTCTCATAAGTACCAGTACCAATATGTGGCGTCAACATAACATTAGGGTTGCTAACAAGACCGGGCTCAATTTGCGGCTCGCACTCATACACATCCAAACCAGCAGAGCGCACCTAAAGAACAACCACAGTCAGCCGAGATTGTCCGCATATCCATCATGGACGGAATGTTGAAGTTCAATGCGCAGCATTACATACCTTGCCAGAGTCAAGTGCCGCGACCAAAGCCTTCTCATCAATCAGCGCACCACGCGCCGTGTTGACGATCACCACGCCATCCTTCATCTTGGTGAACTCGTTCGCACCAATGATGTGGCGGGTGGATGCGTTCAAGCCCAAGTTCAAGCTGAGCACGTCAGAATTGGCGAGCAACTCATCAAACGAGACGTATGTCGCGCCAACTTCCAGATCGGCTGATAGACGGGTCCGGTTGTGGTACTGAATCTTCATTCCGAAGGCCTTGGCGCGGATTGCCATTTCCTGCTCGTGATTAGCTAGGGTTGGGTGATGTACTACCGCCTGTGTTACATACCCGTCCGATGCCTCCCATGCCCAGAATTCCAAGGATCTTACCCTTGGGATCGTGGCCCAGGGTGGTTCTGTACTCCTTTCCTCCTGCGGTGATCGGGCCTTGCCACTTTCCTGTTGTCATGGTATTATGATTAGTTACCGATTACTTGGGGGGATTATTCCGCCACGGCTCAGAGCCACTTACCTTCCCGGAGAGCAGTGATGGGAATATGAGCCTGGCGCAAAGCACCGATCATCAGGAAAATGCCCACATCGGCTGTCGCATCGTTGACAGCGACTGGGGTGCTGGACACAGCGATGTTCTTCTCCGTGCAGGCGGCAATGTCAATGTTGTCGTATCCCGCGCCGTTGTGACAGATGTACTTGAGAGATTTAGGCAGAACTTCGAGCATTTCTGCATTGAAAGGACCGGTGTACTATGAGCTGTAAGTAAAATATACCCAAGCGAAGGAGTACCAATGTCTACCTTGGTGGAGTTGTTGGACCGGTAGAGCGCGACTACATCGTCATACTTGCCCGCCTTGCAGTTCGCAATGAACTCTTCTCTGGTTCCGCTGGGGAATTCCTGGTCTGTTTTTAGCGGGATTCGATCGCTGCGCACTAGGAATTACTTACCTTCAACGTTACAAGAGATGAGATGCTCTCCCACTCCTTGCGCGCGTGAGTGATTTCTCCAATGAGGAGAGCTGATTGAGACATGTTTCTGCGAATGTTAGATGCGACAAATGATGTCAGCGGGTTGCTCACATTTGTATTGTTTCTATAGTTAAAGACGAAGATATTGAAGCAATCCCAAGATTTGAAAATGAAAAGAAAGTAGAAATTCCGAGATTCCAGGAAATCAAAAGATTAGAGACAAGATCCCCGCTATCGTACCCCCATGTCATATGCAACGGGGGCTCCGAGTTGTATATCCAACGGACAACATATATAGATCGTGGACTCCCGTATCGATCAACCTTTATATTTCTCTACTAAACACATCCATTTCTACATTTCTCTTCTAGTATCTACATTTCATGAACTCAACTCATTACTTCTCTTCACTTCTTCATCTTCAAATGTAAAAAATTACCCCCACGTCGGGTATTGAAATTTCCTTTTCTTTCCAATCACCGACAGCGGAGCACCTCCGGCCCAAGACTTCCCCCCACGATGACCAAGTGGGGTGTTTGGCCTTGCGCGGGAGTTGACTCCAAAGGCCGAACAAAGTCGGGTTTCGCTATTTCGCTATTTTACTTCCCTTCTTTCTGTTGAAACTTGTTAACATCTACATACTACATACACCATGGCAAGCACAACCACCGCACTCGTCCTCCATGGCGCCAAAGACCTCCGCCTGGTAAGTAAACCCCAGAAACATATACTATACAACCCAATCCTAACCCAACCAGGAACAACGTTCTATCTCCACCCCATCCAGCACAGAAGTCCAAGTCGCCATCCGAGCAACCGGAATCTGCGGCTCAGACCTCCACTACTACAGCCACGGCCGCAATGGCGACTTCGTCGTCCGCTCACCAATGTGTCTGGGCCACGAATCCGCCGGCACAGTAACAGCCGCCGGCACCTCCGTCTCATCCCTGAAAGTCGGCGACCGAGTCGCTCTCGAAGTCGGTCTCCCATGTCGCACCTGCGCACTCTGCAAACAAGGCCGCTACAACATCTGCAAAGCCATGCAATTCCGCAGCTCGGCAAAGAGCTTCCCCCACCTCGACGGCACACTGATGGAACGTACGAACCACCCAGCAGATATGTGTCACCTCCTCCCAGACAGTGTCTCCGATGCAGGCGGTGCGCTCGTTGAGCCGCTCGCTGTCACGCTGCACGCTGTGCGGCGCTCACACCCACCTAGCAAGGAGGAAGTAGCGCAGAACCGCGCAGCTGGGGAGGAGACCGCTGCGTTGGTCTTCGGCGCCGGCGCAATTGGTCTCCTGCTTGCTGGAGCGTTGGCTGCTAGTGAGAATTTCACGACGATCGTCGTTGCTGATATCGATGCGCGGAGATTGAAGATCGCGGAGGAGATGGGACTTGGTCTGAAGACTGCTCTTATTTCTAGAGCGGAGACACCGCCTCCTGCGAAGGACGCGCCTCATGCTGAGCAGACTGCCTATGCGCTGGAGAATGCGCAGAAGGTTGCGGCTACGTTGGTTGAGGCGGTTGGTGCCAAGGATGGACTTGTCGTTCCTGGATTCAGTCGTGTTTATGATTGTACTGGTGTGCCAGCTTGTGTACAGGCTGGTATCTATGCTAGTGCGCCTGGTGGTGTGTTGGTGCAGATTGGCATGGGGAATCCTATCCAGACGCTGCCTGTTGGTGCGGCGGCGCTGCGCGAGGTGGATATCATTGGTGTGTTCCGCTATGATGGAAATGCATACCCTGCTGCTATTGCGCTGCTGGCTAGTGGGAAGATGAAGAGTGTTGAGGAGAAGGTTGTTACGCATAGGCTTACCTTGGAGGAGGGCGAGCGGGCGTTTACACTTGCTGGAAACGGTGTTGATGAGGAGGGGAACCCTGTTGTGAAGGTTGTCATTGAGAGCCGACGACGCTCTAGCGGCTCTTTGTAAACGTTGCGATGGTGATGATGATGATGAATTGCGTTTGAAAATACCCAGATTGTGACAATAGAAAAGGACGGATGTATATATGGGGGATGAGGATTTATCATATTGGATCTACAAAATTGAATCTACCAAGTTGAATCAAAATGTTGGTCATAACTCCTAGGCGTGCGAGGCCAGTCGCTTCTTATAACAATCTTCCTAATATTCCCGGGTAGCTCATTTCAGCCCCCCAGCTAGCAAGAGGCTCTGACCCGTCATGTATCCGGTTTTCACAAGCATAGTCACAACATTGGCCGTTTCCTCAGGAGTCCCAAGACGACCAAGCGGGATACCAGCCGCTACTTCAGGTATCGCTGCCGCATTAGGGATCATACCTGTATCACCAATCATGGCGGGTGCCACATCGTTAACACTGATATTGAATTCAGCCAGTCGGGTAGAAAGGTTTTTCATCATGCCCGTGAGACCTCCTTTAGAGGCGGCGTAGTCTGAGAGAAGGAAGAGTAAGTTTGGTATGCCCAAAAAAGGAACCGAGGTACATACGGCATCCATTGATTCCTCCACCTTGCGCAGCAATCGAGGACATAAACACAATACGTCCCCAATTCTGGCTTTTCATGCGATCGACCACTCCCTTGACGAGAATGAACGAAGCGCGCAGGTTGACGGTTAAAGTGTAATCGAATTCTTCGAGAGAGCAGTCCCAAATTTGCGGAAACCGCTTTCCGTGTCCAGCGTTCGAGATCAGGATATCAGGTCGGTGGCCGTGTTCGGTGTCGATTTGTTGGAACATCGCCTCGATGTCGTCAGCGGATCCAACATCCACTTTATGGATTGAGATACGAAGCTTCTTATCGGCGTATTTGCTTTGTAGATCGGCCACTAGCGCGTTCATTGCGGTCAAGTTGGTCGCATACGTCAGAGCGAGATGCACTCCATGTTCTGCAAGCTGATGTGCGCAGGCAGCACCGATTCTAGAGAATGAATGTCAGTTATTTATTCTCGATATTGGAGTGACGAATGCTGGGGAATAGCTTACCCTCCCGATGCACCTGTAATAAGCGCGAGTCGGCCCTGGATCTCATTAAATGACATGATGCGACAGAGCTGGTATGTGTGTGATGATAAGCAATAAAATGCAGAAGTAAACACTCAAACCTCCAAGCTTGAACTGGCAAAGGAAAAGAGAACCCCTCGGTTACCACCCTCGGGGCTATCTCCGATGGTCCCCCCGCACCGCATTTGCCGTCCGATTGGGGTGTGGGGGTACACCGATCTCAGCCTATTTAAAAGAGAAGGTTGCTGCTCATATCTCCCATCCATGCAGATGGCTGCCAGGACTGCGATCGTGACTCTCCAGATTGGTACATATCAGCTCCATTCTGGAACGCATCCAGTCCCAACAAACCATTTGAAATCTGGTCCCCGGATACATAATCGCCCACGGCCTCTAGATCCAACCATGAGAAGTCATTTGCGGGGCTGAATTGCATATATCCTGGGTCTGCGACCGGGTTAGAGAGAGCTGTCTGCAGTGAGAAGTCACTGTTTTGCTGTGTCTCTACGGAGGTCGATTTGGGCTTCCAAAGCAGCTCTAGAAGACGAGCATAGCGGGCCCCAACGTCATCAGCACCGGCGCTTGCTTGCTTCAGAACCTCGGTGGTTCGACTGACGAGGCCTTGAACTTTTGCTTCTTCTGATGGGACCATCATTCCGAAAGAACGAGCCTATGATATTGATCAGATGATACGCATAAAGGGAGGAATTGAAGAGAGATCTTACCTTGTAGAGGAAAACGGCAGAGTAGATGCCATATCTATATCGGATGAGCTGTTTGCCTCGACATAACACGATGAGAAAAACTTACAAGTAGAAGCGGAGAGGCATGAAATGGAGATGCTTCTCGGGGTCTACCAGGTCCACAAGGATGGTCAGGTACGACTTGGCCGCATCAACAGATTCATAAATGAACCGCGAGTCCTGCATTGAAGCGACATTCTTGAACGTCGATCGGAGATGTTCTCGCTGGCCTTGTAGGTCTGTTTTCGGTTTGGCTAGCGACTGCGAGATCGCAGCTTGAAACGCGAAAGCAGTTGTATACAGACGTAAATACTCGTATGACAACTGCAGTGTTGCTCGCATAGGTGGTGAGCCTAACACTATGTTAGAACAACCATGTGCGTCAAAGGTCAAAAAAGCGAGAACAGGCCAACTCACAGTCCAATGACCCCCAAAGTGACTTCCACCGTAGAATCGCCAGGCGGAAGTCATCCACATATTTAACGTAGTCTCCCATCAACATCATCTGGTTACTAGTACGCATCCCCGAATACAAGACCTCATGAACATTTCCATAAAGCTGCGTAAGATCCAGCATCGCCTGATAGATCTTTGCATAGTCCTCGTCGCCCTCGTTAACTGGCTGTAACGACGGAAAGTCCTGACTAACAAGACCCGTCATGGGCCCCGGGCCACGAGACCAGAAAGCGCGTCCAATGCGCACAGAAATCAATCGATCAGAGACGTAGCAGCTCGCCCATGCCAGGCGCCGACGAGCCTCACTCTCTTGATCACCATAAGGATCCCCACGGAAAGAAGTACGGTCCATCCCGATGAAATACCCCGAGCGCAACGCAAGCCCGACATGCATCCACGCGGCGCGGTCTTCCTCTCCACGTCCAACGCGCTCGATGCGAGGTCGCAGTCCCTGCGGCTCCCACTCAGCAAGTAACAGAAGCGCCTCTACCGCTTCAACGTCACACTCTGCCCCTGCGGCGATGCCTGAAATCAGCTCATGCATGTACTTCGAGCAGTACTCGTGGATCTCGGGCTGATCGACCAAGTCCTTGGAGGCGATCGTCAGGACTGCGGTGAGCAGGTGTTTCTCATTCACGGCAAAGGCATCTAGGGCGCTGCGCGTGAAATACTTCCGTGGCACGAGAGGAAGATACTGATGGAAGTTATCTGCATAGCGAGAAATCAATTGCCACACCGTTTCCGGGTCTAGAGCACACGACTGAACGAGTCTATAGGCCTTGATACCGGTGGGTGGGTTGCTAAAGTCTGGGACCACGCCATTGTGCAGGCTGTTGTACGTTGGGAATATTGTTTGGTCCGACCGAACATGGTCGTTGCGGGACACGGAATTTGTCCCCGTGCCTTCTGTGGCGATGCCGGTTAAGCATTGCCAAGCGTCTGAGGGATTACGCGGGACAGATGATATCGAGGTATCGTCTTCCTCGACGGATACCGAGGCTGGTGCCGGAGGATTCGGTGGCAAAAAGACTACCGGCCCGGGATAGGATGCTGATTGCACTCTATGATTTTCCGAGTTGGTTGGGCTTGAGGCATCTGAATCCTTGCTTGGCGAGTGATTGGCGGGCGTGAAGTTTTTGATTTTGTTCTTTCGGATTCGACGACCTCCACGATTTGAGCCACCCAGTATGCATTCACGATTTTCGCGAACACAGCGCTGACATGGTGGTTTGCCCGGGTTGCCGTTGGAGTCTCTGCATGCGATCAGCACGGAACCAACTATACTGCAGATCCGGGGAAAGAAAGCCAGCTGAAGAAGGGGAAAAGGGTCTTACAGGTCACATCGAGACTTGCGCTGTCGACAATGCAAGCAAGCTCGAGATACACGTTTGGCGATATCACGCCGTGAAGCTTCTGATTCTTCGTCCATAGCGAAAACATTGAAAGGTACAAAATCAAAGTCGAGCGTCTCCACAAGGAAGTCCTCAGACCCTTACTCATCGTGTCCATGCTTCTGGTACTGTGGGGGAACGGGGTTGATGCGTTAACCTTGGAAAGCCTTGGGGGACTTGGGGGCCTTTGGGGCCTTTGGGGCCTTTGGGGGTAAATTGGTCTACTTTTTGCCTAAAATATGCCCTTTAGAATTGAAATCATATTAAGACTTGCATATCTAGATCAGAATATTACTGACAATAACATTGTCTCACATCCAGTCAATGGCTATATATATTTTTTTTAGGAAAAAAGACTGCAATTGCCGATCGGCTACTGACCGGCTATAGATATTGCCCGTTCGGAGACCCCCCGCGTCCCCCATTTGGGGGTTTTGGTTTATTTGGAGCTCCTCCCGTTGAGCACTCTTCGTTCTGTTCTTCCTATTCTGAGTTCTAAACATCTTTGCTTCATATCGCAATGGCAGACGTAATGTCCCTCTTCTCCCTAAGTGGGAAAACCGCCATCGTCACTGGTGGAACACGAGGCATTGGCCAAGCCATGGCCTTTGCTTTGGCTGAAGCCGGCGCCGATATTATCTTGATTCAGGTGAGTTACCCGAAACGAGTGAAGAAGGCACGTGCTTACATCTTAATAGAGAGACAACACCAACACATCAACCAAGGACGAGATCATCAACCGTCTTGGACGTAAGGCTTGGATCCATGTCGCTGAGCTGGGAGATCGGCAAGCCGTCAAAGGCATCATCCCCGCATTGGTCGGCGAAGGACTGAAGCCCGAAATCCTGGTGAACTGTGCAGGGATCCAACGGCGACACCCCGCCGAACAGTTCCCAGATGAGGACTGGGACGAGGTGAGTCAAAAAGCTCCATACACCCCCTCATGAGATTTCCCCTTGAAACACTAAAGCTCACTGGTGGAAATGATGTATAGGTCCTGGAAATCAACTTGTCCTCCGTGTTCATCATGTGCCGAGAATTCGCCGCATACTTACTGGCCCGTGACGCTTCTGAATTCCCCCAGGGTCGTCGGGGTTCGATCATTAATGTCGCCTCTTTGCTCACCTTCCAGGGTGGAATTACAGTTCCCGCCTACGCGGCATCTAAGGGTGGTATTGGGCAGTTGACCAAGGCCCTCTCAAATGACTGGGTCGCCAAGGGAATCAATGTCAACGCGATCGCGCCCGGTTATATTGCCACTGATATGAACACCGCCCTGATTAATGATGCATCTCGCAATGCTGGTATCATGGCACGTATCCCTGCTGGTCGATGGGGAAACCCCGAGGATTTCAAGGGCGCCGTGGTGTATCTGGCTAGTCGGGCTAGTAGCTATGTGTCTGGCGAGGTTCTCACCGTTGATGGCGGATGGATGGGACGGTAACTGAAGAATATATATACCTTGAATAGAGATTGTACATATTAACTACGTACTGAGAAGGGTCAAAAGCAGATGTATAGTAAAGCGGTCAGTGCGCATTTCCCTGAAACTCCCACAAAGCCAATGTCTGACGATGAGACAAGACGGGTGTTGACCGGATATCCACCGGGAAAATCCCAAGTCTACAATTCATCATGTTTCAGAGTCAGGCTCTCGCATCCAGAGGCGTCACGCCGAGCATCGAACTTGGATCTGCAAGGATCATCAGCAAATCACCACGCCTGTATTAAGGGGCCACTAGGCTTCTTGGAAACGCCGGCGTCCGTTAGTGTCACTCAAATGTCATGCTGATAGGCTCTCGGCCATTTAAACGCCTTGAACACGCTAATCAGGCCATCGACAGGGGTTATGCAGAAAGATATGTCCATCTTACCCTTTTTTCCCTTCAAAACTCCGTCTTCAGCCCGAGCTTTCGTTCTTGTCTTCCATTCTCTTAGCTTTTTATAGTCGGCTGGTCTCGATTGAATACATTCTCTTTACTATTTGCTTGGCATTTGTTCTGGTCTGGACTGCCTTGACATTGTCCGATTTCATTCCTGACAGAAAAACGTGCCCATCCCTTGCATTCCAGGATACCTTTTGAGAGTGAGTCCTCTGCCAACCTTCGATTCTTGGTGACGTGCTAATTTCGCTCAAATTCCAAAGATCAGAGGGTTATTTTAGGTTGCTTTGTTGACTTCAACCTAGACATACACATTGTTCATTGTCAACTTCCAAACGAATCTGCCACAATGGTCCTATTATTACACATTGTCTTTGTCTGATACAATCAAAGAGATCTCTATCTATATCGACTCACTTCCGCCAACCCTGTCTATAATCTATCTCATCTGATCTACCGTCGTCGATTCCGTTTGCGCAAACGCCCACATCCAGTCGATATCTAAACCTTCAGATTTTGATCCCAGCTGTTGAAGCGGCTCCTTGAAACGGATTCCAGATTGACATTTCGACCAAGGGGCTGTGCAACGTCGAAAGCACAGCCTTGCATGTCGTCTGTCTAGACAGCAACACCTTCATTTCTATCTTCGACATCTACGCCCGTTCAATGGCAACAACCCATCCGCATATCGCGGCACGAGGGTACGGGTCGAACGCCACATACATATATGAGTACTCAAGAGGGTTGGGTGGTGTGGACGTCCCCCGCGATGTGATCATTACTCGAATTATCTACATTTCTCTGGCCGCCGTAGCATTCGCATTGTTCTGTGGCCGGGTCGCCCAGATCAGCCATGCCTATCTACGCCGAATCACCGCATCTGGTGCAAACCAGCGCCAGCAGACCTTCTGGGCCCAGGAACAATCATCATGGTGGCCCAAACTCAAGAAACACATCCTATACGCTCCATTAGGAAGAAAGAGACACGACCGAGAATTACAACTCTCTTCCGCTGTCAATGTCGGCACTTTACCCTCCCGGCTGCAGACCATCCTGGTCACACTATACTTCGCCAGCCAAGTCACATACTGCGTCTTCCTGGACTATAGTGCCAACCACAAGGCAGCCTTGGTAGCCGAGCTGCGCGGCCGATCCGGGACGCTGGCCGTCCTCAACATGATCCCGCTCTTCCTCCTCGCTGGCCGAAACAACCCATTGATCCCTCTCCTCCATATCAGCTTCGACACATACAACCTCCTCCACCGCTGGCTGGGCCGCATCGTCGTCCTCGAGTCAGTCGTACATACTATCGCATGGGCCGTCAACGCTGTCGACGAGGAAGACTTCACCCGCATGCTCGCCCGTCTACGTGACACGCCCTTCTTCACCTGGGGTCTAGTAGGCACAGTCGCAATGATGTTCCTATGCCTACACTCCCCCTCGCCCATCCGCCACGCCTTCTACGAGACCTTCCTACACCTGCACCAGCTCGCCGCCGTACTCGCCTTCCTCGGCGTATACATGCACCTACGGATAGACAGTCTCCCACAGCAAAGCTGGGCGAAGGCAATCGCCGCAATCTGGCTAGGCGACCGACTCGCACGCCTCTTCCGCCTCGTCCACCTCAACATCTCAACCTCCGGCACTACAAAAATGGTCGTCCAAGCCCTCCCAGGCGAAGCCTGCCGCGTAACCTTCCACCTCCCAAAACTCGTTCAAATCGAACCAGGCTGCCATGTCTTCGCCTACATCCCCAGCATCTCATGGTGGATGTCTCACCCATTCTCAATAGCCTGGGCAGAGCCCAGCACAAACACCACAGCACCACCCATTCCCTCCCAAATCCCAACCCCCACAAAGGGCCAATACACAGACCTAGAAAAACAATCTAACCTCCCCACTAAACCCACCAAACCAACAACCCAAGTCTCCCTCATAATCGGCGCCCAAAAGGGAATGACCCGTCGCCTCTACAACCTCGCCAACGCATCCCCTTCCAAATCCCTCACTCTATCAGGCTTCATCGAAGGTCCCTACGGCTCAGACCCAACAAACCCTTCCAGCTACGGCACAACAATCCTCTTCAGCGCCGGCGCAGGAATAACCCACCACCTCCTCCACACCCACGCCCTCGTCACCCAAGCCGCCCAGAACACCGCCGCAACTCGGAAAGTCTATCTGATCTGGTCTGTCCGCTCGACAGATCACCTCGCCTGGGTAAGTAGCTACATGGACCAGATCCTGCGATTACCCAGCCGACGGGATATCCTCGTTGTGAAGCTTTTCGTGTCGAAGCCGCGTCGCGCGGCGGACATCGTTAGTCCTTCTGCGACGGTGCTTATGCATTCCGGTCGGTGCAGACCTGATGTCGTTCTTGATGAGATTTTACCCGGGAGAACCGGGGCGACGCTTGTTAGTGTTTGTGGACCTGGGGCTTTTGCGGATGAGGTTAGGTCTGCGGCTAGAGAGAGGATTGGGAAGGGGGCTGTTATTGATTTTGTTGAGGAGGCTTTTACCTGGTGATTTTTTTTTTTTTTTTTGCTTTTTACTCCCTAAGGGGTTTTTCTTTTTTCGTTCAATGTAATCTTTTTTTCCCCTGTGCTTTTTGCTTCTCTGCTTTGCGGTTAGCGGGCGCATATCATGTTGGTTAACAATGTTGAACTGTATACATATCATTATCACCACTTAAATCATACTTTCCCTACATAAATGGTGATCTTTCATCGAGGACCTTGTAAGGCGATTTATTGTGTTTGTCTATTTAGATGTCCGCGAGATACTTGAATTAGAAGCAACCAAGATGTAATTGAACAAGAGGCTCTATGCTAATGTATATATTATCTAGGACAACCCCATCTGCAAGACCAGGCGTAATATGTAAACCAAAAAAATGTGCAACAAGAAGAGTGGATCGATTAGAGATGGCGGTCTAATGCAGTGTTTTGGCAGTAGCGCTCAAAAGCCTGTTCAGTTGAGCAGAGGGTAAAAGAGAAGAAATGGAAAGGAAAAATAAAAAATGAACAAGAGAGGGTATATATCAATCAAGCAGTCTTGGTCTTCTTGCTGCGCGGTGCCTTGGGCACACGAGCAAGCCAGTAGATACCGACAGCAGCACAAATGTTGAACATGATAAACACCCACATGAGGCCGAAGTTGCGCCACGCATCGCTGTAAGAACTGCTCACGCCCAGGAGGAAAGTATCGGTTTTATCGACACTGCAGAAAGCGCAGTCGCTCGTGGCGTTGTAGTCCTGGAGATAACCGCCACTTCCGGGCTGGGTGGGTGTTCCGATGAAATCCTGCATATATGCGCCACAGGTCTTGCCCTTAGGGGGCTCAAAGTGGAGCATCTCGACAGCCTCGCAGGTGACGTCGGCGCCGGATGTGCCAGTTGACAGCATTGCAGAGACTAGGTAGGTGAATGGCGAGACACGATACATGAAGATCCAGAAGCGGGGCATTGTGCCGGGGGTGGCGAGGACACCACAGAAGATCAGACAAAGGGAGAAGAGCAGGTTGGCGATGTTGCCTCCTGTTTCTGCGAGCTCGATGCCGGCAATCATCATGTGGGCGAAGGTGGAAGTGAAGAGCATGAAGGTCAAGACGAGGAGCCACATCAGAGCGCCACGCTCGTGGAGGTCATCGGGACTGGTGTTGCGTTGAAGTCCGATGGGGTAGTACCAGCAGACGAAGATGAGGACGGACATGAGGGCGTTCCAGGGGAGTTCGACGATGATGTTTGCCGCCATAAAGGCTTGCCAAGAGTATGATTTCGAGGGGCGTTCGCGGACTTCGTAAAGGGAGCGCTGGGTGACGAAGTGCGGCATGATTTGTTGTACCAAGTTACCAAAGACTGTCATCAACATGAAGACACTGAACATCTGGTTCTGGAGTCCTTGTATACTGTTCTGGGCGTGGAAGAAAGAGAAGCCAACGTAAAGCGCTGTGAGGGTGCAGAGCGCCATCTTAGAGTAGATATAGACTGGAGTTCGCCAGTACTGACTGAACACACGGACAAGACATTCCCAGAGTTGGACAGTGAAAGGTGCGGCAAATTCGTTAAATCCGGTTGGGTCGTTATCGTTTGTGGCAACGGGCTTCAGAGAAAGGTTGGACTTGAGCTCAGCAAGGTGATTGTGGACCTCCTGGCGCTCAGGGCTATCGCGCCACACAGCAGGCCAGTCAATCTCGCTGTGGGTTCCTGGGGCAGCTCCAATTACCTCAAGCATCCACTCGGCAGGGTTGGCGTCGGAAGAAAGCTTAGGTGCACCGTTTCGTTCGAAGTAGCTAGAAAGCGTCGAGGACTTTTCGCCGATTTCTCCGAAATAGACGGTTCTACCACCCTTAGCGAGGAACAAGAGACGATCAAACCGCTGGAAGAGCATGGCAGAGGGCTGGTGAATAGTGCAGAGAATAGCCTGACCGTGCTTGGTCAAGGTGTCAATAAGATCTAAGATAGACCAAGACGTCTGACTATCAAGACCGGAAGTGGGCTCGTCTAGGAAGAGAAGCAGCTGCGGCTTGGCAGCTAGCTCGACACCGATAGTGAGTCGCTTACGCTGTTCGACGTTGAGACCTTCACCAGGAACACCGACAATGGCATCCGCATAGTGTTCCATTCCAAGCAGTTTGATCACTTCCTCAACGTAGTCGAGTTTCTCCTGGTGTGGAACGTGACGCGGTTGACGGAGAACAGCACTGAATCGGAGTGCCTCGCGGACGGTGGTAGTATGGAGATGCAGATCCTGTTGTTGGACGTAGCCAGTCTTTCGCTGGAAAGATTGGTCGCGAGGACGACCATCAACCAACATTTCACCAGAAACAACACCCATTGTCACACGCGTGGCAAGCACATCCAAAAGAGTGGTTTTACCGGCTCCAGAAACCCCCATGAGAGCAGTGCAGGTACCAGGCTTAACCCAGCCATCAACGTGGTCGAGAATGCGGCGTTCCTCTTTCTTGATGTGGATATCGTAACAGACGTCTTGCCATTGGAAGATAGCAGTTTGTCTCTGGATAGCGGCAGTCGTTTCTTCGCCATTGGAGCTAGCGCCATCCTTCTTTTCGGCAGCGGACACGGACTGAGTCTGCTCGACGTCATCCTCGGAGTTGCTAGAGTGCTTGGGGGCGTGACCGCGACGAAAAAGCAGAACCTCACCCTTGGACTTTGACTCGGAGATGTACTCAGTGCCGATGAGATAGGTAGCCATGAAGAAGATCATGAACGCAAACATAATTCCCAGGTTCCTCCACTTATGGCTGTTGGAGTACTCAAAGCTTGCAGTGTAGTAGTCCTCGCCGGAAATGAAGTTCTGGCCAGCGACGGCTCCTTTTGCCGAGCAGATCTTGCTAAGTGGGTCGACATCCATGTATGAGGGTCCCACCGGGATGAAAGATTTAGGCAGACAGGGGAAATTGCGACCGTGGAACTCATTGACGATCAAGCTCTCGAAGCCATAAGCAATTGGGTCAATGTAGTTCATCCAGCGAGACCAACCAAGCATATTGCGGGTTGGAATAGTGAAACCAGTGTAGATGACCAGACCAAGGATAAGGATAGCGGCAGGGACCAGAGCCTGAGACAGGGTACGGGAGTAAGAAGCGATGGTACGGAAAACCATAGACATGGTCAGGGTAGTCATGAAAGAGAAGAGAATGAAAGTGAAGAAGGCGCCGGGGGTTTGGCGAAGACCAGTCATGAAATAGAGTGTGATGTTGAAAGTGATGGCGTTGGTGATCTTATACGGCATGTCGCAGAGCATTGACGAGATCGCTTCGGCGAACGGATGATACATGGCGTAGCGAGCTTGCTTTTCGACAATAGGGCGTTGCGCGTAAAGAGTTAGGATCTCCAGGGCACTGGAGAAGGCGTTGAGCAGAACAGAGAAGAAGAGAAGGGCACCACGAGAGTAGAAACTGGTCACGTCGTCATCCAACTGGAAGAAAACCGAACCGATGATCAATGCCATAATCGTGTTTCCAATCAAGGCGGACACACTCAAACTGGAGTCACCCTTTAGACGCTGGAAACCACGTGTGACACAGAGTTGGACCTGCTCGGTAACAGATAGGGTGTATGGAGACTTGACACGCTGACCCTTAGACTGCATTGCCTTGCGAGACTCAATAAACTTGTCGAGGGACTCGCCACCAAGAGGGTACTGCTGATCATACTCGGCGATCTCCTTTTGAAGCGTCTTGTACGCGGCACTGTTTTTCCAAGCAGTGGCGAACTCATCGGGGGTACGGGGAACCCTGCTCTCAAAGCCAGGCTTGACGATTCGCTCAGCGGGGCTCGTAAGAGAGGTCAAGAAATCGGCGGTCGTCTGGCGTTCGGGACACTCAAAGCCCATGGTGGTGAAGAATTCCTTAGCCTCAGTGGTGCGGCCAAAGTAGATCTGTCTGCCCTCGTATAGCACAGTCACTTTGTCGAAGACATCGTAGGCACTTTGGGACGCCTGATAGATAGCAACCGCACAGGTGGTACCCGAGTACTTAGACATCAAGCCCAATGTCTTACAGAACTCCAGGGCATTGGCACTGTCCAAACCACGGGTACTGTTATCCCAACATTGGAGAGGGCTGCCGCAGAGGGTGGCCTCGGCGATACTAACACGCTTCCGCTCACCACCAGAAACACCACGGATGAAATCGTTACCGACCTGAGTATTGATAGTGTGCGACAGACCAAGCATGGCCATGACGACGTCACGCATGTGCTCTGCGTATTGATCGCGAGTGACGCCCGGCAAGCGGTTGCGTGGGGCACGAGCCATAGCAGCAAACTTCAAGGTATCTCCGACAGAAAGCTGAGGGAAATGCACGTCGGTTTCGGCAGTGTAGATGGCCTCACCACGGAACTGGTTGCGCATCTGCTTATCGGATATTCCTTGGTAGTTCATGTGAGAGTTGGCATCCTTGAAGATACCGTTCATCTCTCCTGCAATGGTCTTCAAGAAAGTCGAACAGCCAGATCCAGGACGGCCGAGAACGACCAGCATCTCGCCGCTTTTAATGAGACCATCGAAATTGTCGAGGATCTGAATCTTCTGCTTGCCAGTGCCGGCGATCTTGCGGAACAAGGCCCCAATTTCCAGAACGGAGTTGGCCACATCCTTTTGATAATCCGTAGGACTGCCAAATCCGTGCACACTGAGGTTTCTGAATGCTAGTCCAGCCTGACGCTTCGGGTATCGTTCTGGGTCGCGGGATTGGATGGCAAGTAGGTTCTTCATCCAATCTCTGGCCTTGAAGTTCTCACTGCTGGGGTTGAGAGTTGAGTCCTCGTGAACTTCAATGAAGGGATTCTCTGCATTGTGGGTTGAGATGGAGAAACGTGTTGATTGACGGGTGAGTTGCCGGGCCAGACGGGTGACCTCAACCTCGCCGTATTCCTCGCTGCCAATCTCGCCCTTCTCATTAGCAGTGTCATCAGTGCTCACGCTGTCCGTGGGATCATGGCGGCGAGCCTCCATGTGGGCGACATGTGATTCCTGCACGTCTTGTGTGCCGGTGACGTTGGAGTTTATTGTCCCTAGGAGCGACATGATGACCTTCCAACACGGTCACTATCTGATTGATAGGGGGATGCGGATTAAGTGGGGGTGATATCCCTCGAAAAGATGAATCGCAGCGATGATCACCATATAAGATGTAAATGTAAAGATATTAGAAATTAGAAGGAATGGAAGTTTGGACTAAGTATACAAGAGGAAAAGAAAAAGGGTCAGGATCTAAACCATCCCGACTCGGAAACAGAGTCTATCCTTTGGCCGAGAAAAATAAAAACCGGGGACACCCGTTGAAACAAACACGGGGCGGAGCTGTGAGTTTCCGATGGAAATTTCGATGTTTTAAGATTTTTCATGCCTCTAGCCCTTAGAGTGGCTTGCCAAGAAACATCAGCACGGCTATATCTCTAGATTTGGGTAATAATGGCCTTGGATGGTCCACGGGTGTGTACGGTAACGAAGACGAATACGATGACTCCATGGTGACTATCTGTGGAAGGAGTACACTCCATGTACTCGAGACATTACCGCAACACAAAAAAGAAAAGAAAATGCAAGTAAATATGTGCCATGCCCTTCTTCCCCACGTGTACACGATACATACATATCAAAAATAAAAAAAGGTTCCAGAAGGGTCCGGGACTCTCACGATCCGTCCACTTGGACCCCTCGGATGTCCGGGTACGGTCTATCCGAGCTGACTCATCTCAGCCCCTCTGGAGAGTGGGTAAGCAGTGGACTTCCCAATCTATAGACCCCTTTACCCCTGATATCTAGATCTGATGTTGTAAAAACGGACGAAAGGTGTATCGATTCCGTACCCTATGAACGGACCAAATACACATTTGGTCCGAATGTCCAATTACATTCGTAGCCAATATCGAAATTACTTGGAAATCTCACGGATTATTATTAGGTGCCCATCAGGCCTCCAGTCCCTTACTCCGTATCCGTACAACTACGTGGGGCTGATGCTGTGTGGTTCGGAGCCTAACCAGGAATGACGATTCGCACACCATGCCCAATATGGAATATGCTTGTTCGGCTAAGTCGATTCAGAATCTGACCGCCTAGAATGTACAACTATGGAGGTGAATAAGCGAGAAAGTGAGAGATCGAATCATAATCATCTACATTGTACATTGGATATTGTTGAAAAAAAAATATAGAGCGGTGTGTCCCTAAAACCCACAAAAGCAACAATTGAATGGAGATCAGTCATATTCAAGACATATCGGTTACAGCTTCGTTGTCGTCGTCTTCATCTTCGTCGATCAGTTCCACCAAGAGATTGCCACCACGGCCAATCTTCTCTCTGATCGACCCACCCTCGTCAACGGGATACACCATCCGAGGCATGGGTGAGACGAGGTGAAATCCGTATTGGTGAATAAATCCCTCTGGTGCACTCGTCACGGAACACTCTGTATCCTGCTCCTGTAAAACCTCGTGGCACTCGACCACCGCGTAGATCTCTTCAATGTCCGCATCGGGCGCGAAATTGCGCATGATACGATCGCCGGATGGGAGCCGCACGCTAATACGGACCGCATCTTTAACATCTGGTCCGGGCTCCGCGCTAAGCGATTGGGAGCGCCAAAGCTTCCATTGGGCAAGATTACGGCGCCGCTGCTCCTCTGCCGCCTGTCGGCCAGCGGCTTCCTGTTCTTCGCGTTGGCGTTCCACTTCCGCTTCCCGGCGCTGGCGCGCCCGTTCACGGTCGATCGCCAGCGACCGCTCGTAGGCTGAGTCTTGCTCTTCGCGAAGGCTGCGCGAGGCTTGTTGCTCCGCACGTGAAGAGCGAAGTCGCTCCAGGGGCTCGCTATTAGCTGTCACGACTGCCCGGAGCTTGGTCACCACCTCAGATGGCGTAGTGAGGCCTGCAATCCGTCCGACGACAGACATGGCGGTTGATGAAACATTCGGGGTATGAACGACGATCGCAGCGAAGGGGAATTTGGTGCATTTCAATGAGTTGGCAACTTGGTATGCTTCGGAGTCTCGCACGTTGCCGCCCCACACCAGGAGGTTGTTCTGGGGATCGTTGATGAATTCCACGACCTCAGGTGCCAGCAGGGTATCACGGACCCAGCTGTTCGTATCGTCGTGCTCTGGGGATAAGAGGATGACCAGCAGGTATTTCAAATCGCGATGAGCTTTCTCTAGCGCCATATTGTATCCATTCTCCAGGAATGGAATCGGGTGAGATCCATACTCTTCCTCGAACTCGCGGATAAAGCGAGCGGCAGTGTCCTTGGGACCGAGAGATCGACGGCCAGTAGTATTCCGGCGAGCGCCTTGTAGCGCAGGGTTCGTCGTCCTGTTGAACAAGCGTGGCAGAAAAGGGAAGAGGACACCAAAGAGGCGGAATGAGCTGCAGAGGAGTCGATAGACCAAATTGAATGGACTGAGGAGTAGACTAAGAATGAAGGGAGGCCGGTAGGTATGTTGGTCTCCTGCTTGTGTGTCAACTCGCGGAGCCAGATCTGTAGCTGTGGCACGAATAACTTGCGACAAGTGTTCGTTCAAGTCGTCGGTCATTAAATTTTGGGTTCGGCGGTTGGGTTGAGGTGGCGGCGGGCGGTCCATGGCAGCGCGAGCTTCTTCGAGGGGATCCGGGCCTTCGCCATCGAAGAACTTGGATATGGCAATCTATCATGCGGGGATTAGTTGAACACCCGTACGCGTGGCCGGAAGATGGGAAAGGTAAACCAACCTGCACATTCCATTGTGACCGGCGTAGCAGGGGAATTGCCTCAGAAGGTTCCTGACTAGTAACAGCCATGTACATTTCTAGCGCAGACTTCTCGCTATCGGAAAGCTGGTCCAGATCAACCTCCGATTGTGACATCTTGCTGGTGAAGGGCCGTAGGCCATAGACCTCAGTGATGGAGGGTGATATCAAAAGAGATAAGAGTAAACGGCCATGAATTGAAAGATCATATAAGAGTGTTCATTAAGCACATGCACAAAATCCGCGTAGAATAGTAAGAACGATGTCGAAGCTCAAGTGGCCTCAAAGGCGAAGCTCAATGATGCTCTGACCGCCTGGTCCGTGCGCATATCCCCCTTCACTCGAGTTCGTTTCTCGCCCCGCGTCTTGCAATTCCATCAGTTCTGTCGCTCTCAGCCATTCCTTCGGGTGAGAGAGGGCTTTGGCTTTATCTTTACATACCATTAATGCCTATTCTTATCGGCTGAGGTACCGCCCGACGTCCGTGGGCTCTCCCGGAATTGATCCGCCAATCGCCAAACGCGTGGATCACGGTGACTTGAATTTATATAAGATCAAAGCAAGGGAATGCAGTTATCATTCAATAGCATTCTTTGTCCTCTACCGAGTCCAGTTTCAATGGGGATCTTTTTGCGCTGATCCGCACCATCAAGTGGGTATCAGCCAGATATCATGGCATCTGCCGGAAAGCCTCCATTGGAGGATGCTCGTCGGACGACAGGATCGCCGAAAATGAAGAGTCGTGGTGAGTATAATTCGAATGGCATCACATTCATTTCAGTCATGCGATGGGCAAGCGGGAGATCAATGTCGAACCTGAGACGGACAGAGTTGCTAATAACAATGATTTTGCTTGATAGAGAACGCGAAAGACACATTGTGCCGCAACGTGACCATCTATGGGCGATGCCGCTATGAAGACAAAGGTATTAGCAAACCTTGATCATAGCCAGTGTGAGTGATGAAGCTGATTTGAAACTCATTTGTATCCAGGTTGTGCTTTTAATCATGACCCGTCGAAGCTCAATGCAAATCAGTCGGACAGGTGCGATGCAAACTTGGTCTTTAGACGAAAAATTGAACGAGCTGACAAGGACTGTCTCGTGTGATAGCAAGAAACGGTTCAATGTCGACTCACCTAGTTTTACCCCATCATTGCTGTCTGGGAACGGTGTATCAGCACCGAAAAAGTCGACCGCTATATCTCCTAAAGCTGCCAGTGCAGCTCCATTTCAACCTCGAACAACATCATCACGTATGTGCTTTGTGAAGGGAGGGAAGAAGGTTACAATGGTATCCACTGACCTATGAAAAAGGTTCCAACACGAGTACACCAACAACGCGGTCAGAAGCGGTGCAAGATTGGACGGTAGCCGATGTGCAGGAATTTGTTCCCCAGGGCTTCGAGCACGTGGTCAGTCGTCCCTGCCCTATTTTGATTTCACGTTCGACTTCCCTCAATGCTTCTTCTTGTTCTTCTCGTTCCTCTTCTTCTCCTTGTCTTCTGAAACATCCCACTCTCCCCGCGTCGCTCATATCATTATCACCCTCATCCCTATCATCATAATGATGCCTGGTGGACATAAGCGTCATACGGGCAACTTGTCTGCCCTGGCAGAGGACTTCGATCCTCTGCCTGACCGTGCTCAGCCCCAGTACTACAGCTCGCGTCCGAGCCCTGGAGCTAACTTCGTCATTCAGACACCGATCCAGGGCAATGGAAACGGAGGAGTCACCCCCACAGGTGCCTTTGATCCTTTTGTGACCACCCCGACTCCCATGACTCCTGGTGCCGTTGGCCCCGTCTCTGCCAATCCTTATTCCCACGACCCCACTGGTGCAATGGGAGGGGCCTATTTTGCAAACCAAACTGGATTTCAGCAACCGGTACGTTGATGTTCAATCCATCCCCATCTTTGTTGCTTTGAATGAGCTCTGACCGTCCAGTAGATTCAGTACCATCTCTATGCCCCGATTGGGCCTCACAGCCAGAACACATTGGGATACCAGCGCAACGTGCATGACCTTTTTATCCCAAACGACCTGCGCGAAGAGCTGCAAAAGAAATCTGCAGCTACTCTGCAAACTCTCCCTAGTATGCAAGATCACAAGACAATAAATAATATGTACTCAGGCTGACGGAATTCAAGACACCCAACTTCCTGCCCAGGTGGACTACTTCCACTCCCTTGTCCCTCTGGATCTGAGTCATCAGAAGAATGCTGCGACCTTTGGCTATCCCAGCTGGATCTACAAGGCCCAGTCTAGCAAAGATGGCACATTTTATGCTCTTCGCAGACTCGAGGGTATGACAATCTCCCAGCATTTTTGTTTATAGCTTCCAACTAACCTTCATAGGTTTCCGCCTGACCAATGAAAAAGCTATCCGTTCCGTACAAGCCTGGAAGCGCGTCTGCAACGCCAGTGTGGTGACTATTCACGACGCGTTCACCAGCCGCAGCTTCCAAGACAGCTCTTTGATCTTTGTGACTGACTATCACCCACTATCCAAGACACTTGCAGACCAGCATTTAAGCGCTGCAAATGGGCGCTTCCCAAGCCGTCCTAATGCTCATATTCCTGAGCAAATTCTCTGGGGCTATATGACCCAGATTGCCAATGGACTCAAAGCGATTCACGCTAGTGGTCTTGCCGCCCGAGTGCTCGAACCTAGCAAGGTTTTGATCACCGCTAAGACCCGTATTCGCATCAACGCCTGTGCTATCCTTGACGTGGTGCAATTCGATACCCAGCGCACTGTGGCTGACCTCCAGCGACAAGATCTGGTCAACTTTGGCCAAATGATTGTCACCCTTGGGGCCAACTCGCCCAGCGTCGTCCACAACCCAACTAAAGCCATGGAGCATTTCACTCGCGCTTACAGTCCTCAGTTGAAAAACTCTGTTTTCTGGCTGTTGAATGGACTACAGAAAGACCAAGAGCGAACCATCGACACTTTTATCACTGGCATTTCATCCCAGCTGATGTCGACCTTTGATTCGGCACTTCACCTGGACGATCAGCTGACCTCTGATCTCGCTCGCGAGCTGGAAAATGGACGACTCGTGCGCCTGTTTGCCAAACTCGGGCTCATCAATGAACGCCCTGAATATGAACTCGACCAGCGCTGGTCGGAGAGTGGAGAACGCTACTTCCTAAAGCTTTTCCGTGATTACGTCTTTCATTCGGTGGATAACCAAGGTGATGCGGTGACTGACCTTGCGCATATTATCACCTGCATGAACAAACTTGATGCGGGAAGTGAAGAAAAGATTCATTTAATCAGTCGCGACGAGCAGAGTTGCTTCATTGTCAGCTACAAGGAGGTCAAGAAAGCTCTTGAGTCTTCCTTCCAGGCTCTGTCGAAACCGGCTAGACGAATGCACTAGTCGAAAGATTTCACATATCTTACATGTGGTGCTTATTATGGTTTCTGCTTGCTTGTTGCTTCCTGGTTTTGACCACCTATTTGATGCTATCTCTGGATTTTGGCAAACTGCCAACTAGAGGCATTGGGGTTTAACTCAAGGGTTACATCTGGTTTTTTTTTATTTTGCAAGCACCGATCTCGCTCACCACTGTGATTGAACAAACATAGGAATGCAACCTTTTAAATTGATTTCCCTGATCGTAGATTTCACCGCAAGTACCAATCGTCTAACTCTATCAACCCCATTCACCTGAATTATCAACCTCGCCATAATACCTTGCTAACATCAAGTTTCAAATCCCTTCCCGTCAGGGAAGCCATAAGGTGCAACCACACAGGCTGCAAGCAAGATATAGTACCTGGAGTTAGAAGTAACAGTATTGCTAATCCCTTTGTATGGAACCCTACACGAATCGGGTCCCCGGGCCATCTTGACCAGAAACTAGCCAGGCACAAATAACCTCAAGTGGACTTGTTGTCACTGGAGTAGAGCGCACAACATCTAGAGCGACTGAAGAGGAAAGTCCCATTGCATATATGGCATGGGGTATACCGAAACATAACATAAAGGAGAAAAGGGCTTGAAGGCACTGGACTTGAATTGCACAGCCTCCACGGGCTTCACCTTATATGACTAGCGTCTCAATTCCAACATGTAAACAGCCTCATAGTTCATGAGCCCCATAAGCACAATCCAAGCTCTCCACAAGCTCCTCGATCATCAGTTCTTCAAAAACAACCTCATCTTGGATCTTCCTCGACGGAATCAACACCCGATCCAAACCATGCACCACCCCATCGCTTGCTAACAAATCCAATCGTTCAACCCTACCAAACCCATTAACCCGCATATCCACCTCACCAAATTCTCTCTTAACTTCAACTCCCAAATCCTTCTCCAACAAAGTCACCAGCCGCAAATTTGCAGAGTCTTCCTCTGGACTACTCACACACTTACCCTCCCCCTCATGCGCATTGCCAGGACCAGAAAACAACCCATGAGCCTTCCCGTTATGACTATACAGCACATCCGAGTACAGCGTTCGATTTGGGACTATATGGTACTGCATCAGCGCCCGCAGACACCCCTCGCCCCTCTCCGAGAAAAGAAATCGATTAACATGCTCCCCAAGCCGTCGAAAGGCTTCGTTTGTGGGCGCAAACGTGGTGCCGCCCTGTCGTTGAGCCGGGTCAAGACTGTTAGCAAGTTTCGTGCGTGCTAACGCCCTCATGAAGGTGTCGAAGTGAGCTGGTGCGTGGTGAAGCAATGTGCGTGTCTCTGGGGGTGTGTGCAGGGGACTGGTTATTAGATGAATCATGCCGTTTTTGGTTTTCTTGTGAGTTTAGCACACCATACCACATACGATAATATGTCCACAGGAGGAATATTGTTCTACTTACCATATCAGCTCCCACAACCCTACTCCTGCCATTCAATACCACTCCGTCGCGGTGTTCCCGGACAACAATCCTCTGTGGCAGCTTTGATTCAAGAGATGGTTCTTTCAGTTTTGTCGGTAGCGTCTGATGGCCTGCGATATGATGGATGGATAATCGATCAGGCAAGATATGATACCGCAGCAAGCTAGTCATGAGCTTGGAACTAGGACTATGTTTCCCTCGTGGAAGTCCCTCCAGGGCACGATTCGTCAACACGAAGAAAGTATGATTTGCCGTCGTACTGTTCAGGATCTCGATCAGGTCTTTATTTCCAGCGATGAGCTCGGCAAGGTGGGATGTATGCTCGCTTTCTTTAATCAGCTCCCACGTTGTTTTATCTGCGCGGCAGAGCGGGCCCGGGCAGGCGTCGATTCGCCGGTATCTGCCTTCGCCATCATCGCGGTGTCCAGGCCATCCTCCGTGTCCGGGTCGTCGTCCATACCCAGGTCGTTCGTCGTCGCCGGGCCACCTCCCGTGCGGATCTTCGTCGTAGCCCGGCCAATCGCCGTGCTCGGGGGCTTCATCGTCATGGGGCCAGTCTCCATGTCTTCCCCAGCCTCCATGTCCAGGCCAATCGCCATGCTTGGAATATTCGTCATCATCATGCCAATATCCATCGCCGCCTGGGCTTCTATGTTTATCCGGCGAGATTTCCAGCAGGCTCGTATCAACATCTGCCTGAGACACCTGTTCACACCCGGCTGAATGGGTCTCAGAGACTATCTCAAGGATGCTCTCATCGGGGATAACAAAGGCCAAGACCAATGGAGCAGCCACGGATAAGAAAAGGTAAGTGGAACGCATAGTGCCGATATCGAGTAGATCGGAGCCAAATGCAGAGATTCTCGATCAAGCCATGGCGATGTGTCTATATAGACAAGATACAAAGGGCTCTGGATACCCCTCAACTGCCTTGATTTCTGGTTGTACCAGCACGCAAACTACGTCGTATAGCCAGGATGGAAACTGTTCAGTCCTTGCTGGTCCGGTCGTCGTACTGTGTAAAGACTCGAGAAGCACGACTTAGGTTAATCAAAGCACCAGTCATCACTGAGAACATGTTACATATTCTAATCAAGGCCGGGACAAACAAATACAGACATGGGGTTATAATTGGCAGTCTCAAGTCCGGCGCTAACCTGCCTCGTCGAGATCTTGCATTCACATGCCATTCTATTTCTTTTCTTGCTATGCAACAAAGAGCGGGCGATATTGGAATGAATGATGATGATTTATAGCCGAGCACGCACGGATATACTCAAATGACATTCCTCAGCAATTAATCCAGGTCCGGCACAGGCAGCCCATTAACAATCTTAACTTTCCGACCTAACTTGTCCAGCGCAACCTTGGAATTGTACGCACGTAGCTGGCTTGTTTCTTCGTCGGACACAAGCACAAAGTCATACGTGAGGAGAGCATGGCCTTCTGGGACGTTATATTTCTTCGCGATCTCAGCGTCAGCCTTGCCGATGTCCACAGTCAAAGAATCTTTCACGCCAAAGACTGCATCGGAAGTTTCGTAAGGGTCATTGCGGAGATAGAGAGCACTAGTGATCAAGTTAGCATAATAAATTCGCCAAGTCGAAAACAGTAGTAGGAACATACGTAATCAAGTGATCATAACCCTCTTTCTCGAACATGAAATGCATATGCGAAGGGCGATACGGATGACGATGCAACTTCTTCAACAACTTCCCAACGGGCCCATCATGAGGAATAGGATAGGGCACAGGCGTAATCGCCTTAAACCAAAACACACCCTCATTATCCGAGCGCATGATGCACCGCCCATCAGGCCCCTCCCTACCTGCATACTGAACATCATAATGGCCCGTTGAATCCGTCTCCCAGATATCAATCTTGACATCCGACACCGGATTCCCCTTTAAATCCCGTAGTGTGCAAACAACAAGCAATGGCTCACCCTTGGGATCATGCGACATGGAATCACCGGCAGGCATTTCCTCGGCATCATGCGTGTGAAAGGGACCCAGCACCGTTCCTTCCGTCGATCCCTTTGGTTTGGGATGATCGATTGAGTCGACCAGGATAGATAGACCCAGGACATCAGAGAGTAGGATGTATTCCTGTCGGACGTCTGTGCAGATCTGGCCGACTTCCGTTAGGAAGCGGAGACCTGTCATCCATTCTTCGCTGCTGAGACGGGTTTCGCGGGCGAAGTCGTGGAGGTGGGTTACTAGTCTTTCGAGGATGTATTTCATGCGTTCGTCTTCGCAGAGACTGTTGATTGTGATTACATTGTCGGTAATGTTGTCGACGGTTTGGTCTTTCATCGGGGGGATCTTCACTTTGGAGGGGTCCATGATTGTAGAGAGGAATGCCTAGGTAGGTAAATAGTTATAGTGTCCAGGGCTATAGAATCCGGGGGGTGTAGGTATTTTATATGTGGATGGCGGGGTGTGATTTTGTGCAGTTCTCTCAGAAGCTTCGCAATAGAATCACCCCACAAGTCCCCGCCAGTCCCACTGGAGATATTTATGACGGTAGTTGGGATTGAAAGTGTAGACAAGTACCGACGGATATAGTCAGGGTGAGGATATATCCGGCCCCACAAATAGTTACGACTAAATGTGCTTTCTGTTGATAGCCCTTGGGATAATAGTCTCATCTCTACAACAAAGGTGATACTTGGTGTCTAGCCTCTCAATTATATACTCTAGTGATGCTATAAGCATTCTACTCATTCGACCGCCAATATGAAAAGAGCTTATTATACGTATGAAATTGACTGGGCCATCTCAGTATGTGGTGACATTCGTATACCTTCACCTTCATACGGATTGCAGAGACCTCTCATTTCAAACAAGCCTCAACAATACCCAGCATATCTCCGCTCTTTTTCCAAACCTTGACCACCTCCAGACCTGCATCATCCAAAAGACGAGCAAAGTCCTTTTCCGTACGTTCAACGCCCCCGATTGCCAGTAAACTAATATCATGCCATGCGTGACTCATGGTAGCCCCAACTTCGGGAACAATGATATCGTGGATCAGGATCCTGGAATCACGACTCATGGACGCTGCTGTATTCTGTAAGATCTGCTTGGATTCCGGAGTATCGGGCCAGTCGTGGAAAATACGTCGGAAGTAGTAGATCAAAGCCCCTAAGTCAACCCATTGTTAGCACGGTTGCACGCTTTGATACGCTTGAAGAGAACCGTTACATACCCTGAACTGGCTGCGTCTGTTTGAAAAAGTCATAGACCATCGTCTCGAAACCATCGGCGCGCAAGGTCTTGCCATGCTCAAGGATGACTGGCTCCAGATCCTGCAGAATCAAGCGCCCTTTCAATCCAGGCGCGTCCTTTTTGATTTGTCGGAGTGCATTGCCGTGGCTACCACCTATGTCCACGATAGCCACCTTGTCATCGGCGGAAGCGCCCAGTCTCTCTTCCCATGGAAAGACGTCCATTGCGATTTGCTCCGGGTCTGCTGCTTCGGCTTTGGCCACGCGAGAAACTTGTTGGGGGTTTTTGTATAGATACTCAAACATGGTCTCGCCAGGACAGTCAAAGGCAAGAGTAAATGGGTTGTTTCGTGTCGTGATAGTATTTTTCCATTCGTTTTGACGAAGGAATTCGCAAATTCCCAAGATAGGTCCAAAGATGAAGTCGGACCTAGATATTTCCAAAATAAGCACTCTTTTTCTGTATTTAAAATGTTCTTTTTCTTCTCTTACATTACGGGGAAGCAACCCAGTATATCTGAAGTCAGATAGGCCTTCGAATAGGGCGTGTGGGCGTACTCCTCTTCGCCGGTCTCGCGGAACGGACCTCTAGGAGTGACAGCCCGCATCAGTCGTACTTGGCTTCAATTAGCTATTGGTCACTTTGTCTAATCTGGGACAACCATACTCAATATATTTTTGTCCAGACCTGTCTGAGCAGATATCTCATCGGCGCTCATACTTGCTCCTCCTTTGGGAATCGTGTGGAACACACCAGCCTCCAGCAATGTTCTAAGGGCTGCCATTTGAACAATCTTTTGTCCCCCGGAAGTCAGTGAATAGAGCCTGCGAGTATTTGAGATGAATACTGACGTCCTCAAAGTGTGAGAGTGCCGATGGAATAGGACCACGCAGCGTTTGCGTCAGTTTTGATGCCATCCTTTGGAGATCTAGGCTGGCTTCGCCGTCAACATCATTGTGTTGCATATACTTCTGGGAAGCGGCAACTAGATTCTCGACATCTTTTTGAACCGCAAGTTTTTGCTCTTCGCTCTTTTCAACGATCGTCATTATGTATAAGGAATATTCAGGTAGTCGTGGTATGTCCTATTGCGAGCTAACAGTCCAGAGAATAGCAGCGAAGGTGGCGGCACATACCTGCTTTTCTATGAAGTAGCAAGAGGTAAAAACTTGGATACGGAGTATACGTATCACATTTTCCGAAGAATGATGATCATCGTGGCGGTCTGCTCTAGTGCATGCAGTGAGAAAGTTGGTGCATATACTCCGTACTAGGATAGATCTTTCTTGAAGATACCAGTGAATTTCAATTCTATTCTCTTCTATCCTTGTTAATCTCTCAGCTGTAGAATTTTCAAATCAATCAAAAAGAAAGATGGTCATACCATATTCTGACTTGAAGCAGCCTACTCCGTAAAATGGACCACTTATCTACGATGCAACTATGCATATCGCGGAAGAGAAAGATGCAAGAGATGTCAGACTGCATCTTCTGGGAACTGCTAAGGGGAATAGTGGCCTATGATAAATGCTCACGTATTCGGTAAGCTGCGCGTGTAAGCCAGCTGCGCAGCCCAAAACACACCCACAGGCCGGGCGAGAAGGTCCCCTAATCCACATGCACGACACTTTGCTTTTTCTGCCATTAGTGTGAATACCATGTCTCAAAGTATGGACCTTCTCGTCCGGGCTGTCGTGGAAGGGTAGTAAAAGTGGTCAATGACATGATATTGCAACTAGACTTCCGCAAAGTCCACAAATGGGCCCCCACCCCAGGCCCAAAGCCCGACCCGCAGTGGGCTATGGGCCTAACCATCAAAGCCCGGCCCAGCCCAAAGCCCCTTAATGGGGGCCCTAGAGGCCCCACTAAAGCCTATCTCGGCGCTGATAAATCGGCCTCTGTAATCACTGTATTAGGACCTTCTATACATCGTATAAAGTTCGAATATAGACGATATATTCATAGTGACTAGACTAGTATATTCTCTAACTCTAGATCATATCCGACTAGTGGAGGACAAAATATCGCGAAAAGTGTTAAATTGAGTATATAATCTAAGATATATATTGAGAATCTGTGCGGGAGTACTACCATCTTCTAGAACCTCTGTAATTTTTAGATTATCTGAATCAACGTAGTTTTTCGCATCCTTAAACGTAGTATAGAGATATATCTAGCAATTAATTATAAATAATCTAAATTTATAGAATATTACCCTGAGCGTAATAGTGAGAAACAGTACTAAACATGGGGTAATTAAAAAACCCCAAAAAGGGGGTTCAACTTTACTTGGCATCTTGATCTCTCGGCATGTCTGTATTGTTTGGGGCCCATTGGGCCCCCATTAAAGGCCAGTGGGCTTTCACCCCGGCCCTATAGCCTCCGGGCCCAGAACCCGGCCCATTTACGGGTTGGGTCGGGTTGGGCTTTGGGCTTTATGGGCCGGTGCGGAAGTCTAATTGCAACGACAGCTGTGTTTACGAACTTTTACTTGTAGCCTAACGCTTTGTATATGGTATTTAGCTATCATATAGAGATTACGCAAATTCAACCATTTGGGAACCCTCTTCTGAGAGCCGTCCAGCGAACGGTTCAAGGCGCATAGCAGAGCCAGCTGGTCATGTTGTTGCAGCCCATCTTGGCAAAGATTGATGTTAGCAGTCCTTAGCCCTTTGTTCGCGCTCTCAAATCGCCGGATCTCGCGCGCTTGGCAAAAGATGGCTCCCAAAGGCGTCGGTAAAGACTCAAGACTCAAGAGACATGCACCTTAGGCAGCAAGCTTAGGGTCTTCCCGCTCCTGTCGCTATATAACTTCGAGCGCGGACTGGAATGGCTATTCGAATAGATCGTGGCTTACACTGAACTCAGTCTGCCGAGGGTGTTCGATAGTGGTACAATGAGCGAGTGTGCCTTCTCGGTCACGTTGTCCCTTGCCGGCGTTATAGCTTGGTCGAAAGCGCGTAAGACATCGTTCTCAACAATTGTTGCAATGGACGACGCACTGAGCTCCTCCGACTGCACTGCGAGAACAGGATGGACAGGAGCCTCCATGTTTACTATCGTTACTTTGCGTGCCCCGAGAGCTTCTATTTATAGTTCATTTGGGAAGCTACGCCAATGACATTGAAGAGGTGCTGAGCTGCATGTACTCGTTACCTGACTTCGGTGACCAACGACAATTTGTCTCGGCAGAAGCATGGGGTACTTCCTACTGACATCGGCCTTCTATGGCTCGATTATCCTTCTTCAAGCCAGCGCCTGACGAGCTTCTGAGATGCCGTGCTCCCTACGGTACTTTGTCTGCCTAGAAGCAAACGCCTAGGACTAGCGACCCGTGGGTAGGATCATCGCACCCTGGGACGGGCTGAGGCTGCCTAGCGAGCGCATTCCTCGATGATACAGAGTCGCCCGATATCGCCCTGCCAAAAACATAGTAATGCTCTTTCTACCCTAATTATGGGTGTTGGTAATATTCCTTGGGTTGTGTTTATCACGTAATGATACCAAGCGATCTGATTATACCCGTGCGAAATATACCAGAGGCTCAAAGAACAAGGACTTGCCAGAAGGAATGATGTTAGATTGGAAATTGGTCAAACCATTTTCGAAATATAGGAATCTCAATCTGTTTTCTCATTTCAACAGCACTTCAATGGGGAGTTTGTTGAATCGTCATTCAGGCGAATTTATCAAAGTGAATGACTGAAGATCCAGTCAGAATTCCGGCCAAGGCCTCACTTGTCCGAACTAGTGGCCTTGCTGCGTCAAATAGTCCGCAAGGCAATCGACAGTCCTTAGGGCGTTTTTGGAGTCCATTCCCTTGCCGAAATGGCCGATAATAATGGCCTGCTTGGTTTTAGCAACAACGACACCCGAATCTCTCTAAGATCGAAAACTGGCTTAGCAATACCATTTACTTCCAACATTAGTGACATCTTGGAGGCGGGAACGTACAGAATGTGCCAATATAGGCTCGTTGTCCGCAATATGCACTGGGTAATAATTGTCCCCGTCAATGCGCAGTCCCCTTGCAAAGACCTCATCCTTTGCGGGACTGTCATCACTGGCTAGCAAGGCGCAGCAGTCCTTCATCGCCTCGGATTTAAGCTACTCCGTCCATACATATCAGCCATCGTCGAGCACGGCTATGTTCGGTGAGTTTGTTGTGAATACCTGAAAGTCTGGTGAGGCCGCCCACATACAATCCCCCGCCGCACTGATGATGGCAGCTTTGTCAAAACAGCCGGAGCCGACAAGGCTGTGTCTCTTATTAGTATTCTGCGGGCTCAGGCAAGCATCTAGCAGTTGTAGAAGAGTTTGTTCTTACCTCCCGTCGATATACACTATATGGATAAGTAATTATTAGTGTCCCTGGGACCCCTAGAGGAGCGGAGGACGCACCTTGCCAACCCATAGTAGACTATCGCTCGTTGTAGATCAAGCAGGGAGAGAAAAGGAACTGTGAAAATGATTACCGCAATTGTTCAATGCTGGGAGGAATAGGAGTGATATATGTGGTATCATTGAACTTTGGCCAGAAAGATCTACCTGACGATTACGTTATTTGTCTACTTTTCCGAGCCTTCCTGATCTGATATCACTTTTAGTGCATGTGAGAGCTTAAATGCTCGTACCCTTTCGCAACTTGAGATGCGGTGAGTCTGTTGCTGATGTATCAAGATGTTCAGCTTGCATGGCAAAGACCGAGGTTTCGCGCCATTGTCCATTGGAAAGACCCATCAAACTGCATCAAGGGATTCAACTATGCCCAAGTGAAAGGTTTTTGAGGTGAGGTTTATCAGAAACCACCTCAGGGCCCACTCTTCGTGTCCTAATTTAGTGTATAATCGTCTGCTCAGCCAGCCCAACCCAGATGGGAAGACGATTACCAGACCTAGCCGATGTTACATAAACGTCATCACTTTCTCACTGAGCTTCATTTAATCAGACGGCGTCTACGCGGCAACTGAAGGATTGATAGCCGTGTTCGTCACACATCACCATCCAGATCGTTTCATTGTCGTCAACACGATCCTCGACTCATTTCCTAGTGTCACACTAAAGTGACTATAGGGTTTGAAGAAACCGAGTCCCCGGCATCACTAGACGAGGCTATTGGCTAGAATAAAGACTACAGTATGATACATATGATAAACCCTCATTAGAAGGGAAAGTGGCTTCCTCTCAACTAGAGTGTAAGCACGATTTTGATGTGGTCCTCCAACAAACAAAGCCGGTGCTCCGCTTACCTCCTAGCTTCTGTCTGAAATCACAGAGCAATGAATGAAAACATGAACAAAAATTCCGAAAAGAAAGCCTGAATCAAGTACTCCGTATGAAGGTTCGATGGGCTATAATGGGAGCGCATTGCAGGTTAGACCCAAATGAGAATCCAGAACGAGGCGGAATTACACAAGAGATGGTAGACGGAAATGCGCGGAATTACAACACATACACACACACAGACCCACAGGCATCCACATACAAAAACAAGTGGGTTGTTCTTCACAGCTGCAAAGGCTCAAAGACCTGTGATGGTGAAAACCGGGAAGGAATCGGTATCAAAACAGTATAAAACAGGGCACTCAGATAATGAGCAAGTGAATCAGGGTACGCATTACTCAAGGGCGTGGGCAGTTTAGCTCATCAAAAGCAAGAGGTGAGCCCTGAAATGGAAAGGAAAGGAATTGGGTACCAGGCATCATCCGGTACATACGCTACAATGTAGAAAAAGTCATCCAGGGAATTGAGATTGAATTAAAGGAAAAAACGCTAATCAGAGGGATATCTAACAGTACTCCCACGCTCCTATGTAACCAGAAACTATACAATAGACTGAATGCTTTACGCATGTACCATACGTCGATCACGATCACGATCAGCCTCCCGTTCACGTTCACGCTCTCGGTCATGACCTGCGCCAGAAGCCGGAGTTGGGTTGGGAGCAGGAAGAATCACACCTGCACGCTCCCCAGCACGCTCTGCACCACGCTCTGCACCACGCTCCGCACCACGCTCCCTCTCCTGAACAGCCGCAGCGACACGCGTGTGATGATCCACGGTATCTAAAATAGCCTGTCTGAGTCGCTGGTTGGCATCGGGATCCTCGTCTTCAATGCGATCCAAGACACGACCAGCGGGGACAGGAGGGCGACCATTATTTTCCGTCTCACTCATTGCCCGTCGAGGGGAGTTATCATTTGAAGGAAGTTCCATCGGAACTGCCGATCCAGGAGCCAAGTTCGGGGCGGAGGGGGCCGACTCGCGTCGATTTTGATGTTGATAGTAGTAGGCGCGGTGCTCTGGCTCAAAGGGTGGTTCTCGGGGACGTTCACGCTCGGCGGAGATCGGGGGCAGTGGACCCATGCCGAACTGGGTTGGGGTGAGATTTGCGCTGGAGCGGTCATTTTCCAGGCGCTCGTGGGATGCCGTTGAGGTTGTGGTCCCTGCTCGCATTGCGGTGACTTCGTCTTCTTTCACGTCACGCCAGGAGCACTTGGCGTGTTTCTTCGTGCAACCAACGCAGGCTGTGAGGTTCTTGAGGCAGTCCATGTGGAGGCGGCGGCAGCGATCGCAAGGGGGGATTACGCGTTCACCACGCTGGAGCTCTTCCATGCGGGCTATCATTTCTAGCTTGAAGGGGCCTCCATCATCTTTTTCCTGGTGCATTGATTTTGGCGGCGGGAGAAGGGATGATGGGGTGCTTGGGATGGCAACTGGGGTTGCCGTCGTGGGGTTGTAGAGACTGTAATCTGCTGGGTCGGAGGCACGAGGCCGAGGGAGGGGTTGGGGGTTGACTGGGGCTGTTGCGTCGTCATAGCCACGGGCATGACGATCAGCCGTTGTGAAAAACCTCTTCATCAAGTCTGCACGAGTGGTTGGGGAAGCACCTTTGATCGATTGCCCGTTGATCATGGTGACATTATCGGTGTTGGTGTGTGAGAACATGAATTGGGATGATAGAGGGTTCTCCTCGGTGTGCTCGCCTTCAGGCCGATGAGAGTTGACAGCGACGAAACCAGACGGAGAAGGGTGAGATGATCCCTGGCCGTTTCCTGGGCCGCTGCTGTTGGTATCGCGCCAGATTTCGGTGACGTTTCGAGATTGCGCATGTAGAGAAGCATCGTTCTCTCGGCGAGTGACGATAGCATTGCGGCGATTCTTCAATCGATGGTTAAGCTGTCTCGCTCGAGCAGAGGCTAAACACATAAATATTGTCAGTGAAAACTTCCCACGTTGAGATATGAGTACAGTGATTCTCTTACCTTGATCGGCCATCTGAATAATGTGATGCAAGTTCTTCTCAAGAATCTCTAGCGCGCCCAGCTCCTTTTCTTCATCCTCGATGATAGGCTGGGGCGGGATCATCTTCTGTGGCATGCCGGAAGCAATCAAAACGAAGTCCTCTTCACTGATCTCCACGCGACATTGTTTGGTATAGAACTGGCAGACTCGCACACCGTTGCGCGACTTCTCCAGATTGAACTGCTCGGGCTTATTCTTCGCGAATTCGACCACATCGAGCCAAGTCACCGTAGGTCCGTCTTTGCCATGTGATTTCAACACTTGCGGCGGTCCATCGAATAGACGCTCGAAGCGCTTGATCAAAATCGGACCGAGCGGGCATGCGCCCAAATTTCCGGCGATGCTCTCGTGGCGGTGTAGAACGCCGTCGTACTCGCCAAGCAAATGAATAATCGCAGGCATAGTATCATCGACGGAGACGAGCGGTAGGTTGTCTGGGTATTGCCGGGCGAGATAGTTTATTTGCAGGTGGTTTGAGTGCGTCTTTTGCACTTTCGACATGCCGTGATCGGCGGTGGGAGACCGCCGCCGTTTATGAGACGACTCCGCCGTTTGAGCGTGGGATTCCATTGTGAGCAGGAATAGGATGAAACCCTATTTACACCCTGGAGGAGTTTGGGATATGAGGGTGGAAAGAGAGGAGGAAATTGGGAGGAATTCGGGACTAAGTCGCGGAGTCAGATAAGAGCGCGGAGTATGAAGCTTGCGCGGAGGTGAACCGGACTTGCGCGGAGAGAAACCGGCAGGCTCCTTGATTAAGACTCAAGCAACATCCATGAAGGTGCAGAAAAGAGGAAAGTGTAGGGCGCCTACAGAGTGGACGGAACAGCGCACGGGGAGTGGAGAGGAAAAACGTGACCTGTGTCCCCGTTAGGGGTCCCGGGGACTTGAAGAATCCGATTGTTTTTTTTTCTTGGTCGTTTTGTTTTCTTTTCCTCACTTTTATAATTAGCACATAATGTTACATTAGAAATTCCAATTGCGACTTGGACATATGAGACTCTTCCCGCAAAGCCGGTCACCTTGGAACCCTCAGCGGAGTCCCGCCGGAGGGTTCCGCTGGCCTACGATACGCTGATTAATGGGTGTACAGCAGTAACGCCTTGCCTACAGAGTCTCGCATATCTATTGCAGAAGCAGGCCTACGTAACAATACTCGCCGATCATTCTATATACAACATAGGCTCATATCTGTCGATCGACAAAATCAAGCCTTGAGGCTTGTGGATATCTTTTTTCGCTGATGCCTGGGCAAGCGGGCTGAAACATTTTGTTCCCGGGAGCTCGGAGGAAATCCTGATAACGATCTAGTCTAGGATGGGATTACTTGAAAAGAATAGCAAATATATACACATGTATATACTTGAATTCATGATAATGTGCAAAGTAATTGAGAAGGTCAAATGTTCCAACATTGAATGTTTAGATGAGAGATGAAGATACCCGTAATCTGTTTGTAAAATACCTCCGAGCGGGATCCCTCGTGACTATGAAATGCAATAATACAGCTGTAACTGGTAATCTCCATACCAAGGCGGAGATCCAGTTTCCATGCCTAAGGCCAACCACTAAAAATCCCTCATACACGCGCCCACCTTGCTTGTACCTTCCGCTATTCCCTACAAGATACTCCGTACAGAGATACAGAGATACAGAGATACCCCGAAGTCTGTCCGCGATCTATACAATATCTCCCTTCCCTCGAATATCTTTCTTCCGTTTTCTCAATCCCTCAATTACACTATGTCTGAACGAGGCTCATTCCGAGGCGGTCGCGGTCGTGGTGGCCGCGGCGGCCAGGGCCAGCAGAAAAGTGGCGGTGGCGGTGCACAGGAGAAGCCCAAAAAGGAAAACATCTTGGATCTCAACAAGTACATGGACAAGGAGGTCCAAGTGAAGTTCAATGGCGGTCGTGAGGGTATGTTGGATTGATATCTTCTCATCTATTCTCATATTTCTTTTAGTTCTCTTAATTCTTCTGCCTTTGATCTGGGAATTCTCATTACCATCTATGAACTATACATACTAACTATAACAGTCACCGGTATCCTCAAGGGTTACGACCAGCTGATGAACCTGGTTCTCGACGATGTCAAGGAGACCATGCGTGGTGAGTTTCAAGTTACTTGAATCCAATCCCCCTCTCTCTCTCCTTATATACTAATTTCCACAGATGAGGAGGGTAACACTACCACCCGCTCAATGGGTCTGATCGTCGCCCGTGGCACTTTGATCGTACTGATCTCCCCCGCTGATGGCAGCGAGGAAATCCCCAACCCTTTCTTGCAAGCAGAAGAGTAAAAAGGCTCTCTTTCTGACGTATTATCTTCTTTCCGGATTTCATTTCGGGTCTGGATGTCATTTCAGGAAATGGCCGTCCGAGGTCTGGTTGGAGCTTCAAAACACTACACACCTTAATGTCCCACTGGCTTTCGGCGTGCGCCGGAACATACGCTCATCAGTAGCTACGAAGGGAACGAACGCAATATGATGGTTTAGCTTTTTTTTTTCTTTCTGTCGACTTGGGATGTGTTAGGACTGCTGCTGTTGTGCAGTTCTGTCTTCTATCTTTTTCTTTGCATAGAAGGAGATGATGAATTTGGGGATCGGCTCATGATACATAGCGCCAAAACCAAAACTAGGATATAAACAGAAAAAAATAACAAAGTCAACACGAAAGGCATCCAAGCAAACTGCAAACTGCGTAGGTATCATAGTTTCGAAAAGCCAACATAACATATTCATGTACTATCCTGTACACTGCCCCCGATCATCGATCTACTGGCCCACTTCCCCAGATGTAGGCCCCACCGTATCTCCAAACTCAGCGGAGTCATCAGAGGCATCATCAACAGGGCCATCGGTTGGCAACGAAACCTGCCGCGGCCCTGCATCCTTCAATCTCCTGACACCCTCAGCCTCCTCAACCCAAGGCCCAACCTTCTCCATGCCATCGATATACTCCGCACCAATGCGCAGATTCAGACCTGCGCTAAGGGCACGCTCAATGCGGGTCTCGCGATTCTGCGACACAAGGGTGCGGAAAACGTGCACGAAGAAACCGCCAAGGATATCAACGCTCCATTCCTCAGGAACAATATCGAGGACTTCGCGGACATCAAACCAAGCCGCGAAACGCGCGAGGAGATCGCTTGTGCGCTCGATGCGGTCTGACAGGTCCTCGATGTGCAGGAACTCGTCGAGTAGGTGGCGGAAGAGTGTTGACTGTAGGGTATGGTCTGCTAGTTCTGGCAGACTACCTGTTGAAGAGGAAGAGGAGCTGCGCGGACCACCGAAGAGGCAGTAGCGGATTGCAGAGTCGTAGTCGCCTAGCCCGTGTGTGAGGAGACGAAGGGCCGGACCGTGGTGGCCCTGTAGGCCGTCAAGGATAATGCACTCCGAGACTAGCTCATTCTGGAATGGCTCGATGCGGGTGAGGACATTGGGGATTGAGTAGCTGATCCCTGTTGGGAGGGGTTGTGACGAGAATTGGGAGGTGGAGATTCCACCCAGTAGCTGAAGTAATCGGAGTCGGGACTGCCACCAGGGCTCTGTGGGGGTATTCTCCGTTATGAAATTGAGGTATGTCGGTTTGGGGGCACGCAGGGCTCGATAGGTCGAATAGGACTCGGCCAAAGAAGCTCGCGCTTCGGGAGATGACTCGAGCACGGAGAGTACTGTGTCCAAGTAGTATGAGATCAGGTCATCAGCATATTGCGTGAGCTGTATTGACAAGTTAGTTAGATGTTCATCAACCAAGACAACAGGATCTCTCACATTCTTTGCAAATACCAGGTGCTCTAGGTAGACTTGGACCGCGTTTGGGGCTCGCTCCTTGAGTAAAGCAACAACATCCGCCGGTTCCAGTCTAACGCGGCTGGCATTGTCTGCAAATACCTGGATGCCCAGATTGGGGTTTCGCTCAGCTAGCCAAGAGCCATATTCTTCAACCAACTGCACGTCCTTAATCTTGACCAAATACCTGCGCATCTGGGTTTCCACCCCATGCGCGGAAACCTCTCCGCCAGCGTCAGTCTCCCCATCGACGATGCGTCGCCAGGTTTTGAGAACATTTCGAGACATCTTCTGGCTTTGATACAAACGGCTTAGCACATAGAGCCGCTTGTATGTCTCCAGGAGCATCACTGCTCGATCGAAATTGCCTTTCCAATTGTCGACCAGCCTATTCAACTCTGGGCGAATTGGCGACGCTACTCGCTGATCTTGTGTCAGATAGGCATCCTGTTCCAGAGTCAGGTGCAATAGTGCGGCATCGGTGCTATCTAAAACATATGTCTCGTCGGTTATACTGCCATATCCCCGCTTCTGTTGCCAGGAGAGAAGGAACCGTTTTAGCATATTGAGAACAGGGCTACGAGAAGCATCCAATCCAGAGGATTTAACGCCTATCTTTCCAACCTGTTCGAGATATTTTTCCGCCATGCTTGCCAGCCCAGCGTGTAGCCATATACCCTGAGGCCCCTGCAAAACCTCACATCGCAACAGAGGAATAAAAAGTAATGCCAGACGTGGATCGAGGTTACCTGCCAGCAGCGCTTTTTCAGCGCCATCGATTGCTGCTGTATTTTGGTCGTCTGGCTGCATGGAAAGAAGATCTCCGTAAAGCATTAGACTGGCCTTTTGTTTCACATAGCTCAATCCAATGAATTCTGCCTCGGTCTTTGGCTCGGTATCCTGGATGGAGAGCAGCAAATCCACAATGGCATCTCTACGCAGCACCGTGTGCTCGTCCGCGTCCGTCTCTTGGGCGCTCTGCAATGTGGCCTCCAGTTGAACTATCAATGGATTCTGCAGCACGCGCCATATTTGGGATCCAGACCACACGACGAGGCTGCTTTGAACTTTGCCTAATCCATGTGCAAACTTTGCTTCTTCTGCGTCGCGTTGAGCCTCCCAGCCCTGGCTTGCTGAATCTTCGCTCTTCTTGGATCCATCCGAATCGGTCAATTCTTGCGGATCGAACAGCTCCTTCTCCTTTTGGGAGTGCTCGATGGATGCCTGAGTTCTCGAGTCGGTGATTGATACATGCGGGGGCAGCGTGGGGTTTTTGAGGCGGACCATTCGCAAGAGCTGTCCTATTTCATTGAGCTCAAGATTGCTAGGGCTGAGGGTATGTCGGAGGCCAACTTGAATGTATTGTGTCTCTCCAGGAGATGGAATCTCTAGCCAGCTCTTGGTCCGCTCAATCTCCCCTGGGTCATCGTCCCAACGTTGAATTTCGAGTCTCGTTCGACACTTTCCAGCGTCATCGTCTTCATCTTCGATTACAGCGAGAACAAACTCCTCTCTAGCATCGTCACTAGTCTGAAACATTTCATCATGCTCGTTTGTATCAATCACAACCGACTTGGGGAATCTGTGGAAGTTAATTGTACCCCGAACAACTTCACCATCCATGTCGACGAACATTCCGACGCCCGGTTCTGTTTCCTCTGTTCCGGTCACAAGTAAAAACTCGGAGGGTGTCGGGGATACCACGTGAGGCTGGAGGCGCTTCGAGCCTTGCTTTGATGGCGGAGGCAGAGGGGGCAAGGGCTTCAAACCATCGTTGGTGGCAGACATATTGTCTGGCCCTTGGTCACTGGGTGGCTTGGGAGAGCTTGTCCCCTCTCGTTCCTCCGAGCTTGATCGTCTTGGTTCTCCAGTAGATGTGAAAGGATCCGGTGTCCCTGATGGTGATCTATCTAGCTGAGCCGCTTGCGCATGTGGTGAGAGCATTCCCACAAAGGTATTCAAACTAGTGCTTCTGCCATGCCCTGAAGCATCACTCGGTGGAGAGGTGGGGTAGGAGGAAGAAGGTGAACGTTTGAGCGGAGTGCGCGGCGCTGGGTTCATATCTTCAACATGTCCCGACTCAAAGACCTCATTCGAAGAGGATATTGGGAAAAGCGGGATCTTTTGTTGGTGTGCCACTTCAAGTAATGAGTATGAATGCGCATCCGCAGCGCACGCGATTGTCCCTCGTCGCGCCGCAGTTAAGCAACCGGGGAACTCGATCTTCTTGATCCGTCGAGCCTCGTCCCCAATCTGGACCAACATGATTCTGTTCTGCACAGCAATCATGATCGTCGGATCCTCGCCTTCCTCCGCATCCCAGTTAAGATCCAAACCACCGATCCAGCGGCAGTGATTGACCTTTGTCGCCCCAAAAGCCGGGCTGAGCTCCGGCAGCATGTAGAACGTAACAGTGCCATTGCAAAGGACACATGCCTTGTTTATCGAGGATAACACAACTATTTGTCGAATGCCTTCTTGTTCACTTCCTGATGGAGGGCTGTGGGTGAATAGGATCGGTAGTCGTGATGCCAATATAAAGGTAGGCTCGGCGGCTTCGTCTGGGGAAGCGGGCGGGAGGCATACGAAGTGCAAGATCTCGGCTGCAGAGGTGCCGATATATAAGTTCTCATCTGTTTATCATCAATGTTAGTCAATCTGGGAGCCATCGAGCAGGCAGCCCCTACGACCAAGACAGATCAAGCTTACTCCAGTATTCAACACAGGTAATGTATACGTCGGAGCTATCCTCGGTCGCTAGTGGCACATCCTTAAAGAGGGAATGTAACACATAAGGAACAGTCCCTGGCGGACTGATCTTGCGCCTCTTGCGGGGACCAATTCCATCGTCTGAAGCCATCATGAGGCTGTTCCAGGCATCTCCCCGCAAGCTTGGTGAGTGACGATGTGAGGGCGGTCAGTAGCTTGGCTCAGGGGGCCGCGGTTGATGGCGGAAGACAACGACGGCATTAGTGGTATTTGACTGGCAGAATCTGGTATGGTCTACAAACACCTTATCAAAGTGCAATTCTGACTTTTATACGTTATTTTGAAGACTGAACTACTGAGGTTTGAACTATTCTGAGCCTTGATATCTTTCTCTTTTTTGGAGTTACCATCTACAACACGGAGCTTTAAACGTAACATTACACCAAGATAGAAAAGGCGGCCAGTAAAGCGGTCGCGCCAATCTAAAAGGGGCCGTTATCTCCTGCCATGTACCATACATTGTACTAATGTAAATGGGTGCCTGGGGCCAAGTACTATCATCTTGAAACAATACACTCATTCCACACTCTGCCTGTTGAAGCTCACTGGATCTTGTCTCGTGGTCATCATTCACATTTGTCATAAACTTGTATCCAACTACTACAACTCCAGATCGTGTGTTGTACACATACAGTCGGAACAATATCGGCCCGCACGCCGCGTGTCCTGTTCCTTGCGATAACAGATCTCCATCTTTCCCCTTGGTGGACTGCTATTTGATGTGGGGTTACAGTGCAGACGCCTGGGGCTAGGACCGACAATGGATTCATTTGCCATTACAGAGGGTTTGCTTCCTCAGGACCAACATGATGACCAGCCTGAATCAATCATGTCCAGCAAATTGACCGAAGAGACCAACAAGTTCCAACGTGCCATTGCAGCCTGGAGAGGTAATTATTATCTTATTTGTTACCGGGTCTTACTAACGTATAATAGGTATTGATTTGGCCAATACTATCGCAAATCTCGATACAACTGCTACGGATCTCGTCGAACAACAGCGTGTCGCACTTGTGCAAAGAAAGGAGCTGGCGCAGAAGACGAAAGACTACAAGAAGCTAGATGATGAATCCAAGCTTTCAGAATACAAGGCACTGCTGAAATCTTATCAGTCCTTCATCGATCTCTTGACCAATCAAGGCAAAACATCATCGTCTTCATTCTTACAACTATATTCTTCGCTGTCCGAGGCTCCAGACCCATACCCACTCCTCGAAGCTTCTGTCGATTCCCTTGTCCTGTCCGAAGATACAGTTCCCAAACTTACCTCAGAACGAGACCAATTGCAGAAGTCAGTGGATCGCCTCACCAGACAACAAGAGGACACCGAGAAGCGCCTGCAGGAGGAACGCGCTGCACGGAAGAAGCTAGAGGAAAACCAGGAATCAAGAGCCAAGGAGATCGAAGCGTCGTGGGAAGCTGTCTTGACAGAAAAAACAAATAACTGGGCGGCAAAGGAGAAGACTTTGGAAGAGAAAGTGGAAAATCAGGATCGGTTGATTAAGGAGCTCAAAGCAAGTTATGAGGTCTCCCAACGCCTAGGTGAGGGTGAGAATCAGGGTGATGATAGTGAAGGTTCGCGAAGTGGCGCGACTGCAGCTGAGCTCGAGCTTGTCTCGGCCGATTTAGAGAAAACAAGCTTGAGATTAGCTGATGTGGAAGCACGCAATGAACAAATGCGGCTGGAGCTGGCTCAGGCGGCATCACATGCATCTGGTCCTGTTTCCGTTGAGGATGACCCCGATTATCTACGACTCCAGTCAGAGAACTCTTCCTTGCTTCGGAAACTGGATGCTGCACGATTCGACAAGGACTCGGAACGGCATACCTGGGAAGCTAAACTGCTTCAATCTGAACGAGCAGCTTCAAAGGCAGCGGTGGAAAGGGAAGAGTTACGTGTGCGTTTAGCAAAGGTAGCCGACTACGATGAGATCCGCCGGGAGCTGGAGATGATCAGGTCGATCGAGTTTGCAGCTGGTGATGATGATGAGGCTGCGGACGGTGCTGGCGACGGTGCTGCGGCGGGTACCAATGGTGACGAGGTCAAACCCAAGGACAAGAACTCCCTGGAACAACTCCTTATGGCCCGAAATAAGAAATTGACGGATGATCTCACCCTTCTGCGAGTGTCGCATCGCGATATCCAAGATCAACTCGAAAGACTGCGGGATGAGCTTTCGAGTTCGAAGGGAGAGCTAGAAAAGTCGCGAACCCTATCAACTACTCTTGAAAACGACCTCCTTCGCGTGCAAGAGGAGGCCGCCAATACATTCCCATCTTCGGCAATGTCTATTGCAGGAACCTACAACTCCAGGTACCCCCACTCTGCCCGTCGGGGCGCATCCTCGCCCACCTCATCCATCATCTCTGGCTTTGATCAGAGTGCCGTCTCGGCAAACACCATGGAATCTATTCGCGCAGGAGAAGCCGTTGGTGGTGGTTCCGGCCTCCTGCCTATGATCCAGGCCCAACGAGACCGCTTCAAGAAGAAGAATGCCGAACTCGAAGAAGAGCTGTCAAAGCTATATGCCACTGTCAAGTCCCTCCGACAGGAAGTTGCATCGCTCCAGAAGGACAACCTGAGTCTTTACGAAAAGACACGATATGTCTCGACCTACAGTCGTGGTCAGGGTGCCTCCACATCTGCATCATCGTTTGCAAATGCCCCCAGCTCAACCTCTGTCTATACCTCTGCAGACACACCTTCGGGTCTGTCCCTTGACCGATATCAGAATGCCTACGAGGCTCGAATCTCACCGTTTGCCGCATTCCGGGGCCGTGAATCAACGCGCGCATACAAACGCATGAGCCTACCCGAGCGAATTGTATTCTCTCTCACTCGAGTCATTCTTGCCAACCGGACGAGTCGGAACCTGTTCGCTGGTTACTGCTTTGCACTCCACCTTCTGCTTTTTACTGTGCTCTACATGATGAGCACAACGGAAATGGAGAAGCATAGCGCTATGGGCGCCGTCGGTAGTGCCGCTGCTGCCTACGGTAGCAGTGGAGGAGGCACGGGGAGTGGGGGCCAGCTGCACGGTGATGACTGGCAGCAGGAAGGTTTCGACTAATGTTCCAAGTTTTGATGTTCACACAGCGAAGAGCTTCGGAGTTTTATTTTTATCTTTTCTCCTCACGACTGATCATAAGTCCTGGCGTTTTGGGTCAAGTCCCTTGAGTTGTACTATTCTTGGATGTGGATCTGCATTGTGTAAATTTGATTCCCGACAAATATCATGTGTCTGCAATATCAGTGAGATGGACGTAGAGGTCGGACCTTTCCAAGATAGGGTTCGGGTGAAGTTCTGAGCCATAGGGTTACCCAATGCCATGAGACTTGGCTCTAGGCATCTTCCTAGACCTTATTCTAAGCGAGGTTGTTAATTTTCCAAGCTTGTTTTTCATAGTCGACTAATCCATAAACACCCTCGGCACGTCATTGGGTTAACCTGTCAGATATTAAAAGCTCGTTCATTGGTCAATTGGAGATATAAAAAGACAGAAAGTGACAAAATGAGTACAAAAGATAAGAAATGAGGTCCGAGCCGAGATTGAACGCGGGACCTCACCTAATAAGCTTATAGGATGTAGGCTTCTTGTGGGGTACTATATTTGGCAGACACTATGTATAGGTAGATTTAGTATGCTCGAGAGATCAAAACATTGACCTGGATGGTTTCCATCGATCTATTTTTGGTGATATTCGTTCAGGGTTACATCTAGATATATCAAGTAAGTACTCCGTACCCGTGGGATTGATGCTGACTCGGGATCTATCCGTGTCGGAGCAATATGGATATAGATATATATAAATCTCACCGGTGGATCGCCCCAAGTCGAACGCAGACGAAAAAGCCGACAGTCGATAATGAAGCAGTCAGCAAACACATAAATATTAATAGGAGCTACAATAATAGCCTTAGAGGAACCTTATGAGGAAGATGGCGTTATCCAGGCGCCAGTCCACTGTAACGTGAATTCAGAATGGGGAAAATACGGAAAGCCAAACCCCGCCATGTCAACCTCTGCGATTCATTTTGTAAGTTGAATCGCACAAACTGAAGATTATATGAAAAAACATCTGTGATCGGTGCCGGGGCCTTATGTAGGTAATGCCTGCAATTTCCCCGAGTTCTGCACAAATCCTAGGATGAGGACCTAGGCACCGTTGCATCGCACACTAGCCTATATCGGCAATGATTGTACATATCCAACCGCTCAACACACATGGCACTTGTTCTTCGGTCAGACTTATTTATAGACTCGGGGAATTTATAGATCTCATCACATTATTATTGGCTCGGTCCAAGCTTCTACAACTGAACAGCCAAGGGAATACCCCGTGGTTTTGCTTAGCGCGTTGCTATCTCCATTCAGTCAAAGTTATTTCGAACAGGCGACAAATCAGAAGAGAAAGAGGCTGGGAGGGTCTGACCTGGGCGCGTCCATCCACCAATGAGAGCCCGTGGTCGAGCTTTAATCCCTGCTAGTACCTGCAGGTTGCATCCATCGCTCTGTTAATAGACACAGCAGTGTTTCGAGTTGGACCTGTGTTACTATCTTTGATATATGTATGAATTGGAGGATGATTTTAATTAACACCGCATCTATATCTGCCCCTCGGCCCGGCCGCCAGTTTCTCATACCAATATCTCCTTTGTCATTCCTTTCTTTAACGCTACACCTCTCTGTTCTTTATACCCGACCTACATCAAAGGCTTGCTGGACAATCCTTGATCAATCAAAAACGTCACCGCCATTTGCCGCGCCCTTCTCTTCCTCTGGCTACTAGCATAAGCACATGGTCAAAATGCGCTTTGCTCCTCTCATCATCTGCCTGGCGGCAATATCATTTGCGGCCCCGACAACTTTCCTCGACAGTGCATATGACTGGAACGATGAACTGGCAGAATTCTATGGAAAAGTGAGCCAGTACATCAACTCTGCAAAGCACAACATCAGAGCTTCGACTTGCGACGTCTCCAAGATTGCTATGCCCTCCTATGCTTCGGGGTTGACCAGCCCGTCAGGCCTCAAGCCAAGATATGTTGCACTTGGACGGGGTACCCAGGTATTAAAAGACCCTTCAAGATATCTCGTTGATCCCACCACTCATCATGAAACTAGAACTATACATGTGCGGACTCTACTTCTAAATCCGCACCCGCGGCAGTAGGGGCTGTTGCAAGACTCTACAATGCCACATGCATCGCAGCCAACTACCCCGATCTTTTGGCAAAGCTCCCAAATCTTGCCTACAGGACCGCTCTACCAACTAACGAGTATGCCTCGTTTCCTCCTGCCAACATCGAACTGATGGGTCACCATTTCTTCTTTGATGCAACAACCCCCGAGTTCAACCTGAACATCACACCCCAAAAGCAGGATGGGATTGTGATGACCAAGAAGGCAGGCGCTATTGATGCACCGTCAGGTTCAGTGGGGGAAAGTACGGCGCTGTGCCCTGGCTCTACCTCACTACTACAGATGCCACGGTGGGCAACTACAAGAGTGTCTATCGAGTCAACACTGCTGCTGGGTCACCACCAAAGACCTGCAAGGGCATGCCACCCACGTTTGAAATACAATATGCCGCAAACTACTACTTCTTTGGGGAGTAGACGATTGGTTTTGTTATTCTTGTATATACCCGTAGACAGAAGGCAGGCTTGGAGGATATGAATGTTCTATATGCGGGGCGGGCTCTGTTTTACTTTGTTATTATTACTTTATTTCATGACCGCCCATGATACGGTATGGCCAATGATACAATTGATATTCTCTATCGTCATCTATCGTACGTAGCGTTCCCCCTCGCTCACTGTAGGGCTAGTTGGACAGGAAGGAGCATACCAAGTGCCGAGACCTGACAAATCTTTTTGTTGACCATAACATACTTTTATCAAAACATCAATGCCCTGGAAAATCATTATCAAAGAACCGATGGCAATGTTTGTCATTTTCTATCGCAGTCTTTCTTCTCAAACAATACAGGGCTCAGCGAGCCACGTGATACCCAGATTATGGAGGCAATCCACGTGATGCTCTCACACGAAAAAGACGCTAAACCCGGAACAACCTAGCGCCGTTCTGATTTTCTGAAAGATCCCAAAGGCGCAAAAAAAATCTCGACCGCATCAACGAGCAGCTTCGGTACCGATCCGCATCCGACAGATAGTCAGCGGCCAATTCTGTTTGAACTGCTTGATCCAACTATCTCTGATACGTTGTCACTTTTTCTCCATCTGTATCGACTTTCTCGGAACTTTTATTCCAATTTTCAACTACTCGGTTTAAGCACTCGGAAACGACAGCTTAACCTTCCTCCCCCCCCATTTTACTCCCTATACAACCGAGTTTTTACTCTCAAAACATATACAATGTCTTTCGCTCCTCGTGGACGTGGTGGATTTGGTGGTGACCGCGGTGGCCGTGGTGGTGGTCGAGGTTTGTTCAGTCCAGTCTATTCGAAGCAACGAGGCCAAAAATCTCGCTGGTGATTCTATTGCACCAATGGCGATGATTTTCTTTCTTGTTGCGATATTACAGTTCACCTCGCTGACTTGACAAAGGTGGCTTCGGCGACCGTGGTGGCCGCGGTGGTGGTCGTGGTGGCTTTGGCGGTCGTGGAGGTGGCCGTGGTGGATTTGGCGACCGTGGCGGTCGTGGAGGTGGTCGCGGTGCTCCCCGTGGTGGCCGTGGTGCTCCCCGTGGTGGCCGTGGTGCTCCCCGCGGTGGCGGCGGTGCTCGTGGTGGTGCCAAGGTTGTCATTGTAAGTGGTTGAAATTACCCATGGATGTGGATATCAGCAACTGACATAATCTTTTTTTACTACGAACAGGAGCCTCACCGTCACGCCGGTATCTTCGTCGCTCGCGGCGGTAAGGAGGACATGCTTGTGACAAAGAACCTTACACCTGGAACTGCTGTCTACGGCGAGAAGCGCATCTCTGTCGAGGGCGCCCCTGCTGAGGATGGTGCTGTCACTAAGAACGAGTACCGTGTCTGGAACCCCTTCCGTTCTAAGGTAAATATCCCCTTCCCCTGGGCTAAAGATACATGGCATCGTTGTCGATTTTATCGAATTTTTCTCGGAATTCTTTGATATCGCCCCGATAGCTATGACCGCCTGTTGATTAGTCCTTCTTTTCTAACGTCTTTCCTCATTTTCTAGTTGGCTGCTGGTGTGTTGGGTGGTCTTGATGACATCTACATGAAGCCCGGCTCCAAGGTTCTCTACATCGGTGGTGCCTCCGGTACCTCCGTTTCTCACGTTGCTGATATCGTCGGACCCACTGGTAATGTCTACGCTGTCGAGTTCTCTCACCGCTCCGGTCGTGATCTGATCGGCATGGCCACTCACCGTACCAACGTCATCCCCATCGTTGAGGATGCCCGTCACCCTCTCCGTTACCGTATGCTCGTGCCCATGGTCGATGTCATCTTCGCCGATGTTGCCCAGCCCGATCAGGCCCGTATTGTCGGATTGAACGCTCACATGTTCCTCAAGAACGAGGGTGGTGTCATTGTCTCCATCAAGGCCAACTGTATTGACAGCACAGCCAAGCCCGAGGTTGTGTTCGCCAAGGAGGTCCAGAAGATGCGCGAGGAGAAGATTAAGCCCAAGGAGCAGCTGACTCTCGAGCCTTTCGAGCGTGACCACTGCATCGTCGCTGGTATCTACAAGCGTACCGCATAAAGGTCTTAATCTCTGGTCATGTCCATTCCCTTTTGATGTTCCCTCGGCGTCTCGTGTTCTGTGATGTATCGAATGTTTTCCACCTTTCTTGTGACAGGTATTTCCGCCTATGTACTTTTGGCTGCGTCTTAAAATTTAGTTTTCCTTTTCGATGAATTTTACACGCTGGAATGTGTCATACTGAGTATCTTGATCTGAGGCGATGAGATAGCTCTGGTTAGCGTATGATATCCGTACCTAGGTAGCAATTAGTGGCCAATACAAGCGATTGAGACTTGTTAACATTTCGTCGACAACGTGTGAGAAATTGTTCTAGATATAGCGTCTAGCGTTGGAGGGTTCGAAGCAAGTGTGGTCGACCGATACTTAGTATACCCAAACACCCTAACAAAGCTCCTTGAATATTCTGCGAAGCAACCGTCTTCTAAAAAGGAAGACGCTCTCGCACATTTCCCAGGTCATCTGTCCTAATCTCATTCTCGGACTTGCGCCGGGCCTCCCGGTAATCGGATTTCTCACCGAGGCTTGCACCAAGAAAATGGCTCGGAATTGATGCGCGAGACTTGGAAAAGTGATCATCTTCGTGGGATATATTAACACCATTGGCTAATGGGAGGATTGCCATGACTGAACGAGCGTGGGGGGAGAGACAAGTTCCGCTTCACCCCCGCAAGGTGTGTTACTATATAATGGTCATACGTCCATTCTCCGTTCTCCGTAGTTGAATACACTCCAATTTGATTGTACCGTCTTCTTGCCATTTACCAGAATTTTGCCCAAACTACTTTGCCGTATACCCATCATGTCGATTCTCATCACCGGTGCGGGGGGTTATGTCGGCCAGGAACTGGCGGCTTCCCTCCTTGAAAGAACACCAGCCACGACGACCGTGACAATCACCGATATTGTTGAGCCCGAGATCCCAGAGTCAGCTGCACAGCATGCAAGCCGCCTCCGTTGTGTCAAGGCAGATCTTACCTCCACCAAAGAGGTCGACGAACTGATCAGCCCCTCCAATCCCTACGAGACAGTCTACATCCTCCATGGTATCATGTCTGGCGGCTCCGAGGCCAACTTTGAGCTGGGCATCCGTGTCAATCTCGACGCAACGCGATACATTCTGGACCGGCTACGCGCGACCATGCCCGGAGCGAAGGTGGTCTTCACATCATCGCTGGCAGTTTACGGCCCTGCACCAGCAGGGTTCGTCATTGACGAAACAAACTTCCCACCTATGCCATCTTCCTCATATGGATCGCAGAAACTCATTATTGAGACCCTGCTGAATGACTACTCGCGGCGCGGATTCCTTGATGGCCGGTGTGTGCGTCTGCCCACGGTAACAGTGAGAGCTGGCAAGCCCACACAGGCTGCCAGTAGCTTCGCTAGTGATATCATCCGCGAGCCCTTCCACGGTAAGAAGGCTATTCTGCCTGTGGCCAAGGAAACGGAGATGTGGATTTGCTCGCCGCATACTGTTATCAAGAACTTGATTCATGCACGCGATGTGCCCAAAGAGGCATTTGGAGAGTCACGGTCTGTTAATCTTCCTGGGTTGAAGGTCAGTATTCAGCAGATGTTGGATGCTTTGCTCGAAGTTGGTGGTAAGGAGCGTCGGGATCTCGTGGAGGAGAAGTATGATGCTGCTACCGACAAAATTGTACAATCATGGACTCCTCGGTTTGATACTGCTCGTGCTTTCAAGTTGGGCTTTTCAGCGGATGTGTCGATGGAGGAGAATATTAAACAGTTTGCAAGCCGGTTTGTATGAGAAGTGGACGTAGCCAATCAATAGGCGCGAAATTGGATGACCGAAACTGAATGATCGGAAATTGAGACGTATCGGCATACCTCTGCATCAAGCAAATCGTATTTGAACATTGTAAGAATCAATATAGACAACATCTAAACCCTTTGAGAATGTATTTTTGCCCACGTCACTGATTTAAGGCAGAGTAAGGAAGTATTCGGGATGTCAAGGGCGGTTTGGAAAAGCGGGTTATGTAATTGGCTGAACTGGGCGAACAATTTCAGACTTCGGAACCTCAACCTCAGGGTGTCTCCATCAGCTCTTTTCTCCATCTCTCCCCTTTTCCCCCTCCCTCCACCTATACAAGTCGTTATCAATGGCTTCTCGGCGCCTTGCTTTCAACCTGAACCAGGCTCTCCGCACTCGTGCGGCCCTGAAGTCCATCCAGCCCGTGAAGCGTGGCTTTGCGTCGCCGGTTGCTCTGCCGTCTACCACCCAGTCCACCACCCTCTCCAACGGATTCACCGTACGACTATACAACTCATCTCAATGACATCGCAATCTCGCTAATTCTCTTTTAGATCGCCACTGAGCACTCGCCATGGGCTCAAACCTCGACGGTCGGCGTGTGGATCGATGCCGGTAGCCGGGCAGAGACTGACAAGACCAACGGAACTGCACACTTCCTCGAGCACCTTGCCTTCAAGGTTCGACCACACAAACCCCAAACTACGAAGCGCTTGTATCTGATGAATATTACTAGGGCACCAACAAGCGCTCCCAGCACCAATTGGAGCTTGAGATCGAGAACATGGGCGCTCACCTGAACGCCTACACTTCGGTACGACCGGGAAACCACCCAACGTCTATCAAGCCAAATACTGATCGCGACTACAGAGGGAAAACACTGTCTACTACGCTAAGGCCTTTAACAACGATGTCCCCAAGGCCGTCGACATCCTCGCCGATATCCTTCAGAACTCCAAGCTCGAGGCTGGTGCCATTGAGCGTGAGCGTGATGTGATTCTGCGCGAGCAGGAGGAGGTTGACAAGCAGCTCGAGGAGGTCGTCTTCGATCACCTGCACGCCACCGCTTACCAGGGTCAGCCCCTTGGCCGCACCATCCTCGGCCCCAAGGAGAACATCCAGACCATCACCCGGGACAACCTGACCGACTACATCAAGACCAACTACACTGCAGACCGCATGGTCCTGGTCGGTGCTGGTGGCATTCCCCACGAGCAGCTTGTGAGACTCGCCGAGGAGCACTTCGGTTCCCTCCCCAGCAAGGCCCCTACCTCCGCTGCCCTGGCCCTCACTGCCGAGCAGAAGCGCACCCCCGAGTTCATCGGCTCCGAGGTCCGTCTCCGCGACGACACCATCCCCTCCGCTCACATCGCTCTCGCCGTCGAGGGTGTTAGCTGGAAGGATGATGACTACTTCACCGCTCTGGTCACCCAGGCCATCGTCGGTAACTGGGACCGTGCCATGGGCCAGTCGCCCTTCCTCGGCAGCAAGCTCAGCTCCCACGTCAGCCACCACAACCTCGCCAACAGCTTCATGAGCTTCTCCACCAGCTACAGCGACACTGGGTAAGTACCTTTTTTGCTCATAATTTCTATGTTTAATTGAAAACACGCTGACATGATATTAGTCTCTGGGGTATCTACCTTGTCAGCGAGAACCTTACTCAGCTCGATGACCTGATCCACTTCACTCTCCGCGAGTGGTCTCGCCTTTGCAACAACGTCACCTCCGCCGAGGTTGAGCGTGCCAAGGCCCAGCTTAAGGCTTCCATCCTCCTGTCTCTCGACGGCACCACCGCTGTCGCTGAGGACATCGGCCGCCAGATTATCACCACTGGCCGCCGTCTGAGCGCCGAGGATATTGAGCGTACTGTCAGCCAGATCACCGAGAAGGACGTCATGGACTTCGCTACCCGCAAGTTGTGGGATCAGGACCTTGCCATGAGCGCTGTCGGCAGCATCGAGGGTATCCTCGACTACCAGCGCATCCGTGGAGACATGTCCCGCATGATCTCTTAAGTTGCTTTAGAGTATGATCGCGTGTGAAGATAGCTGCTGAATGCTCCAGGAAAACTGGGTCTTTGGCGGCTTTGATTTGAATGTACTATCAATCATTGCCTTGGGCTGTTAGATCCCAAATTCGTGTGTGAAATAGCAATTAATGGTTTGCCATAGTAGACTATATAGTTTGCTGCCTTTGCAGCAGACATACCAATTATCTCCTTTGTTTGTTCTGTTCGTGGCTGTTTCCCTCTTAGTGTATTGCCGTTACCATCGTACTTGCCTCTGCCGCCCTTCTCATCTGTCTCGGAGGTGAATCGCTTGTGGTTTCCTAACCAACCACACGTCCTTGTGCTTCCTCCATCTCACGCTTCTTCAAATCGTGCGTTCGCCGTTCGCCTGCAGACTTTGAAGCCTACGTTCTAGGTGCTTTACTTTGACGACTGATATCTATTCTAACTCGGTTCAATTCATATCTCTTGTATGTAGCCTTGATCATCTCATTTGCTGGTCATTTTGCATTACCACTTTTCTTTACTGTTTTCTTCTGACTGATATTGACATTCCAGTGACTGGGATTCTCTCATGATGGCGCAATTCTCCACCCTACCAGCTGAGTTGCGTCAGATGATTTGGGAGTTTGCGCTTCCAGCTCGAGTCGTCGAGATGGGAGAACCCTGCGACCCAGATATCATACCCGAGGAAGACCTCAGACGAGCATGGATGATTAACAAAAAGCCCCCAACCATTGCTTATGTCTGTTGGGAATCCCGCCAAGTCGCTTTGGCCAAATCCAAACTTCCCAGAGGGGTTACACTTGCGTCGGATCGCATTATAGACCCTCGATGGTGGCGGAAATGTACTGACATTGTTCATTTCAATGCCCCTCCTGAGCTCATCAGTGCTGCACAAAGATGCAGGCTGTCAGATGACCTGATCGACCTGATGAAACTTCCTATTATGTGCAAAAAGGTCTCCATCAGTGCGGACATCGTCCACCCTTTTCTGCGTTTCCGTAATAGATCTGATCTCCCAAGATCCTTGGTCTGGGAAGTGATTTGCTCAGCAAATGCATGCATTATCTCCCTGCATACTGTCTGTATTCGAGCCACCATCGAACAAGCTCGGGAGCTGGGGCTCTTTGGCAACGGCGACGAGCCAACACAGTTGATCGACCCATTTGACAAGGGAGCTATCCAGCGGTTCAGACAGCTCTGGAACAATACGAAAAAAGAGGTATCCTCAGTCAAGTTCTTCGACACTATCGACACCGACAGATTCACCTTTCGAGTCGAAAGGTGGCTCGCGGAGATGTCAGCAGAGTACATCCGTTTCAAATGGACCAGTCCACCTTTCCCAACCCCAAACCCACGGGAGATAACTGCATTGCTCCGTCGGTATCCAGACCAGCGGCACAGCGCTGACGCCAAAAAATACCTTGTTGGATTTCCTACTCTGGACCTGAGGATCATGTTTCGACTCTGCCCACCTGCAGTGGTTGATCAAGTGCTTACGTAACCATCCCGCATCTGATGGGAGATTTTTTGAAGGCGATCTTGTTTGAAGTACACTTTCCTATAACTCTTTACACATCATAACAATGGGAAAACGTGGCGGCAAAAAGGTAACTTCATTCTTCATACGTGTTATACGACGTGTTTGTTGTACTGACCGTGTCTTCTTTCTTCCAGGGTGGTAAAGGCCGCGGCGGTGGCGGCGCAGGCCGTACGCGCGCTCAATGGCAAGATATCTCCAGAGAGAATGAGAAGTTCGAACGCTACTACAATGAACCCGAATTCCTGCCGGAGGAGGAAAAGGATATTTTCTGGGCTACCATGCGCAAGGATCTCCCCAACAGCTTCCGTTTCACCGGTTCTCGAGGGTATGTCTCAACTGGGTCCTTTTTCTGCGATTCGCGCCTCACAAGCGTTCAATTGATATTGACTGTTGTTTGATATTTGCTAGACACGCGCTAGCTGTTCAGCAGCGTCTGAAGGACCATCACATCCCCGAAATCACCTCTATCAAATACGAGGGCGAATTTGTCGAGCCCCCGCGCCCAGTTTCATGGTACCCAGATCAGCTCGCTTGGTCCATGACCACCCCTAAAAATGTCATCCGTCGATTTGCGCCTTTTGCCTCATTCCAGAAGTTCCTTGTCGCCGAGACCGACGTCGGAAACATCAGTCGCCAAGAGGTTGTCAGCATGATTCCTCCTCTCCTCATCGACGCCAGGCCTGGAATGACTGTGTTGGATATGTGCGCTGCTCCAGGCAGCAAGTCTGCACAGCTCATGGAGCTGCTTCATGCAGGCGAGGAAGATGCCATTGCGCAAGTCACCGAACAGATCAAGAACGGCACTGCTGGACCCGAACCCCTCGGCCCCGAAGGATTGAACGATGACGGCCGTAGCACCGGCCTGTTGATTGCCAACGATGCGGACTACAAGCGCGCTCACATGCTTATTCACCAGATGAAGCGCCTAAGCTCCCCTAACCTGATCGTTACCAACCACGATGCCACCATGTTTCCTTCTATCAAGCTGCCTCCTCTGCCCACTACCGATGGCAGCAAACCCAGGAACAGATACTTGAAGTTTGACCGCATCCTGGCAGATGTTCCTTGCTCTGGCGACGGTACCGCACGCAAGAACGTTGGTGTCTGGAAGGACTGGACTCCTGGCAATGCTCTGGGACTTTACAGCACGCAGGCTCGAATCCTGGTTCGCGCTCTGCAGATGTTGAAGGTCGGCGGACGAGTCGTTTACTCAACCTGCAGTCTGAACCCTGTGGAGAATGAGGCTGTCATTGCTTCCGCAATCGAACGCTGCGGTGGCGCTGCCAATGTTAAGATCATCGATTGCAGCCAGGAGTTGCCCGGCCTCAAGAGATCTCCCGGTCTGAAGACCTGGAAAGTGATGGACCGAGAGGGGCGCCTGTGGAACAACTGGCAGGAGATTGAAGATCACCGAAACCAAGAGGGCATCAATGGTCTTGCTAGACTTGCAGAGGGCATGTTCGCCCCGACAGGCGAGGCTGCCAACCTTCCCCTTGAGCGATGCATGCGTGTCTACCCTCACCAGCAAGACACTGGAGGTTTCTTCATCACCGTTCTTGAGAAGACCTCCGAAATCAAAGCCAAGCCGGAGAGCAGCAATGTTATCCCCAAGGCTTCCGTGGCAGCCCTCGCCGCGGAGCTTGATTCCAAGAAGAACGAGGTCGATGGAAAGCCCCTTGAGAAGCTCGAGTCTCTTGATGAATTGGTTACTCTCGACCAAGACGCCGAGAAGGAGCTCGCAAAGAATGCTACTGTTGCCGAGGCCGCCCACCAATTCCCGATATCTACTACTCTTGATGAATCGATGACCTCTGTCCCTCTCTCGAAGCGGGATGCAGGCGACCTCGACCTCGAAGAGGAAGTCCCAGCTAAGAGGACTAAGCTCGACGATGGTAGCGAAGTGCTTGTCGGTGACCGTCCCATCCACGCCCCGGCGCCTGCAGTGGGAACTGGCATTGACACCCCTGACGACAGCACACCTGCTACCTCCGCGACTACCACACAACCTTTGAAGAAGAAGGGTCCTCGTCAAGAGGAGCCATTTAAGTACCTTGATCCCAACAACGAGGAGCTTCTTTCCATCTATGAATTCTACAAGTTGTCGGAACGATTCCCCCGTGACCGCTTCATGGTCCGCAATGCCGAAGGACTCCCAACTCGCACAATCTACTACACTAGTGCCTTGGGACGTGACATTCTCACCTGTAATGAAGGCCAGGGCATGAAGTTCGTCCACTGCGGTGTCAAGATGTTTGTTAAGCAGGATGCACAGCGTGAGAACGTCTGCAGATGGCGTGTTCAGACCGATGGCCTGAAAATCGTCGAGCCCTGGCTGGGTCCTGAACGGTCCGTTATCCTGACCAAGAGGGAGACTCTGCGTCGTCTCCTTGTGGAGATGTTCCCCAAAGTCAATGACGATGGCTGGAAGGCCCTGGGCGAGATTGGCGAACAAGTGAAGGATATCCCCATGGGGTGCAGCATCCTTCGCGTTCAAGCGACCGGCGAAGAAGATGGTCTTCCGTGAGTCTTTCTCCTCAAATTTCTGCTAGTGGTATTCCCATCTTACTAACGTTCTCTCCAGTGAGGCCATGGTTCTGCCCTTGTGGCGATCTCTCCATTCTCTGAACCTTATGCTTCCCAAGGAAGAGCGCCGTGCCATGTTGCTGCGTATCTACAACGATTCCACCCCTTTGATCAACACTACACAGAAGAAGGATGGCAAGACCGAGCCGACCGAGCCGACCGCCGAGGCTGAGGAGGTTGCATTGATGGAAGAGAATCTCGAGGTTGGACAGGAGGCGCAAGACGAGGTGGATGAGCGTGAGACATACACCAAGGATGGCGATGAGGAAGATCGCTTCAACACCACTGTGTAAATGGGTCCGTACGTTTTCTTTTTTTAATCTCCATAGGAGATCTATGCTGTATCAAAAAGCCATGAATTTACCTCTTTCAGGTCCCTTTCCTTTTCCCCCATTACCCCGGAAAAACACCAGGACGTGCACCGGCTAAATGCAGACCTCAACTTCCCCCCGCAGAATTGCTTAGCTTGAAGTTCTGTTAGTCTCAAATGGGGCCAATATTAAGATTCGTATCGGGTTTGATATTTCGAATATCACTTTAGTATGTAAACTACACACCACCGCTCTATGAACCGGACTATTACAACGCCGAAAAAGAAGGCCATGGACAGACATCCGACACATCTGCTATCTGATATGTGGAAAAATAGGACCCGCAAAGGGATCTTCGGGCCGGTTACCGTGTGAGGCAAGGGGATTTTGGCTATATGCAATATATCCAGAATTGCCTATAGTGAATTGGGACACAATCTGTTGATGCTTGCCATTGAGATCCAACTTACACAGTTAGGACCATTGGTCTACTCTCTTATACTGTTTGAGTCGGAACCATAGTATACTCTCTTATACTATCTTCATCACTAGCACCATTCTGATACCCTATACTGCTTTAATCAGCTCTAGTTCTCTCTTCTTCTGAAATCCTTAGTACAACATACGCAAATCCATGCCGTTGTGGATCTTCTCCGCATATGCAACACGGAGCATCCGGGCGGACACTCCTAAACTTGTCTGGGGTAAATGACGAAATGACACTCGGAGAATGGGTCATTGCTACACTGCATCAATGGCGTGGTGTCTTGATTTGTGTTAGTGATGTCCCGAGTCTCCGTATATGAGTGGTGCAACCCCTACATTGCAAGGCCTACATTGCAAGGGAATCAGTCTTGACCCTAAGTGCTTCTCCCTCACCCTAGCACCCTCCTTCACCCCCCTGTGAATTGTCGAGACATGAAGCTCTCGTCCTCTTGGGCAATTGCCTATCTGGCAGCCCAGGCCGCTGGTGCTGCCATTAGCCATTCATTGAATGGCTTTACGATCACCGAGCATCCTGATCCAGTTAAGCGGGATTTGCTCCAAAAACATGTAGGTTGGGTTTATATCTTGGATTTGAATAGTGTTGACAAACAAATTGTCCAGGTCACTTGGGATGACAAGTCCCTTTTTGTCAATGGCGAGAGAATCATGCTCTTCAGTGGTGAAATTCACCCATTCCGGTAAGTCAAAAGCATCAAATCGTCTTTTTTTCAAGAAAGAAGTATGCCAACCGGGACTTCTTAGTCTGCCCGTTCCCTCTTTATGGATCGATGTGCTCCAAAAAGTCAAGGCTCTGGGATTCAACTGTGTATCTTTCTATGTCGATTGGGCTCTGCTGGAAGGTAACCCAGGTCACTATACTGCCGAGGGAGCGTTTGCTCTAGAGCCATTTTTCGACGCTGCCAAAGAGGCTGGCATCTATCTTCTGGCCCGTCCTGGTCCCTATATTAATGCTGAAGTATCGGGTGGTGGTTTTCCGGGATGGCTTCAGCGCGTGAATGGAACTCTGCGAAGTGGTGACGAGGCTTACCTGAAGGCAACGGAAAAGTATGTGACCGTGTTCAAATAAGAGTCTGGAAGAACCGAGGATACTGACCCGATTGACTAGCTACATGTCTCATGTCTCCGCAACGATAGCCAAGGGTCAAATCACCAACGGAGGACCTATCATTCTTGTCCAGACCGAGAACGAGTACAGTGGCGCGTGCTGTGGATACGAAGACAAATTCCCAGACGGGGCTTATATGAAATATGTGCAAGACCAGGCTCGCGATGCTGGAGTTGTTGTGCCTATCATTAACAACGATGCCTGGAACGGCGGCCATAATGCCCCTGGAACTGGCGAGGGAGCAGCGGATATCTACGGTCATGACAACTACCCTCTCGGCTTTGACTGTACAAATCCATCGATTTGGCCAGCGGATCTGTCCACTGATTTCTATAAGATACACATGGAACAGAGTCCTTCCACTCCATACGCTCTAGTTGAGGTAAGATATGTGAATATTTACCGTGGGGATTATCAATCTAACTGGTGTATAGTTCCAAAGCGGTGCTTTTGATCCCTGGGGAGGTGCTGGATTCGCCAAGTGTGCTGCCCTCTTAAACCATGAGTTTGAGAGAGTGATATATAAGAACAATCTCAGCTTCAAAGTTTCAATCCTCAACCTGTACATGGTGTGTCTTAACTCTCCCATCACATTTAACAAACTCTGAATCTGTAACAGATCTTCGGTGGTACCAATTGGGGTAACATAGGCCACCCCGGTGGCTACTCATCCTATGATTATGGTTCCCCGATTACTGAATCCCGCAACATCACCCGCGAGAAGTATAGCGAGCTGAAGCTGATTGGCAACTTTGCCAAAGTGTCACCGGACTACCTTCTATTAACACCGGGAGAGTTAACTACTACCAAGTACACTACCTCGCCTGATCTGACCGTGACCCCCCCTGCTCGGAGGCGATGACACGGCTTCTTCCTTCTTCATTGTTCGACACTCCAACTACTCAAGCTGGGCGTCCGTCGACTATAAGCTCAAGGTTCCTACTAGCGCGGGTCAAGTGACTATCCCCCAGCTTGGTGGAAGCCTTACTCTCAGCGGTCGTGACTCCAAGGTTCATGTTGTCGACTATGATGTGGCGGGCACCAACATTCTCTACTCCTCTGCTGAGGTATTTACCTGGACGACGTCTGGTAAATCCAAGATCCTTGTACTATATGGCGGCCCTGGCGAGCACCACGAGTTGGCTGTCTCTTCCAAGTCAAAGGCCGAGGTTGTTGAAGGGTCATCGTCGAGCATTACCAGTAAGCAGGTGGGCAAGGCTGTTGTTATCGGCTGGGATGTCTCCAGCACTCGCCGTATCGTGCAAGTGGGTGATTTGAAGATTGTTCTTCTGGGTAAGTGCTTCCTCACATATCGCCCTAGCTTCATCGTAACTGACCAAACTACCAGATCGGAACTCTGCCTATAGCTACTGGGTCCCTCAGCTCCCAACCAAGGGCGAGAGCCCTGGCTATAGCACCCAAAAGGCAGCCGCCTCATCTCTCATCGTGAAGGCCGGTTACCTCGTGCGAACTGCTTATGTGAAGGGCAGCGATCTACATATCACTGCGGATTTCAACGCTACCACCCCGATTGAGGTGATTGGCGCCCCGCCCAAGGCTAAGAACCTGATCATCAACGGCAAGAAGACACATGTCAAGGTCGACAAGAACGGAATCTGGTCCAGCAACGTCGCCTACACAGCACCGAAGATCAAGCTCCCGAATCTGAAGAGTCTGAAGTGGAAGTCTATTGACAGTCTCCCCGAGATCCAAGCTTCATACGATGATTCCAAATGGGTTTCTGCAAAGCCCTCCACCAAAAACACTGTCCATCCACTCAATACCCCAACTTCGCTGTACGGCTCTGACTACGGCTTCAACGCCGGAACACTTCTCTTCCGGGGCCACTTTGTTGCAACCGGCAAGGAGAAAACTTTCTTCCTGCAAACCCAAGGTGGCAGCGCATTCGGCAGCTCCGTATGGCTGAACGAGGACCACATAGGCTCATGGAACGGAATTGACGCTGACGGCAACCACAACGGAACTTACACGCTACCCACCCTGAAGAAGGATAAGTCGTACGTGTTCACCGTAGTTGTGGACAACATGGGTCTAGACGGAAACTGGGTCATCGGCGAAGACACATTGAAGGGCCCCCGCGGAATTCTGAATTACAAGCTGTCCGGTCGCTCCACAAGCGACATTACCTGGAAGCTGACCGGCAATCTGGGCGGCGAGGATTATCTGGACCAAGTACGCGGTCCCCTTAATGAGGGCGGTCTCTACGCTGAGCGTCAGGGCTTCCACCAGCCCCAGCCGCCGACTCAGAACTGGAGATCCGGCAGTCCCTTCGACGGTCTGTCGAAGCCTGGAATCAAATTCTACAGCACAAGCTTCGATCTGGATGTGGAGAAAGGATGGGATGTTCCGATGTACTTCAGCTTCGGGAACTCCACCTCATCCCCGGCTTACCGTGCCCAGTTCTATGTGAACGGGTATCAGTACGGCAAGTTCGTGAGTAACATTGGTCCCCAGACGAGTTACCCTGTCCCTGAGGGTATTCTTAACTACCGGGGTACCAACTACTTGGCGTTGAGCGTGTGGGCACTTGAGGATGGTGTTAAATTGGAGAGTTTCGACTTGATTCACACTACTCCTGTGCTGACGGCGCTGGACGAGGTTAAGTCTGTGGGCCAGCCCAAGTATAAAAAACGTAAGGGGGCTTACTAGACTGGGTGTTCAATGGCAAGTAGATAGATAGCTTCAGATGGAAGTATACACAAGATAGTAAATTAAATCAGAGAGATGTGTTTTGAACATAATGTTCCTATTATAGTCCAATCCGTCATAAAGTAGGGCTTCCAACTCCACTTCTCCGCAGATCCCAGCCACCCCAACCTCTTGTTTTCTTTTGCGTTGGACATCAACGAAGTACTTCGTACACTTTTCTTTCGTTGCGCTTTTCAGTTCTTAATGATATCTTGCTTGTACTCCATATTTTCAATAAAACCCACTCGGACATATATGCATCTAAACCCCATCGCACCTCAGCTCGCAAGCTGACCTCAAACCATCCATTCGCTCGAATCGAAATATTCAAGCCCTCACACAATTATCTCGACATCTACTTATCCTTACAAACCTCAAAACCAACAATCAAACAATCAGACATCATGTCAACCCACCCTCTCGAAGGCCTCGGCCTCGACCTCGACCTAGACCCAACCACCCCCAACCTCAACACAAGAGATCTAGACCCAAACCTCCTACACACAGACACCTCCCTCCAAAAACGCTACACAACAATCTCCATCCCATCAACCTACGGACGAATCGACACCAGTCCCGCCGCAGGCACAGTAGTAGGCATCGTCCTGGGCAGCGTAGCAGGCTTCGTCCTGCTAATGTACGTCCTCTTCCTAGCCGTGAACCCAGGCGGGATCGCCCGAGGCGGCGTCGCAGCACCAACTTCATCCTCAATATCGATGTCGATGTCTATGTCCATGGACGACGAAGAGATAGTCGAAGTGCGCAGTCGACGCGGGTCATCGGCGGGTGGACGACGACACCGCGACGTGATTGAGGTCACTGAGGAGCGGGAGACTTTCCGGGATAGTTATCGACGTCGGCCGTCGTCGCGACATGATCGTGTTGTTGTTGAGGAGTCTTTGGCTACTTCTACGACTGGGGAGATGGATGAGGATATTATTGAGGTCGAGGAAGAGGAGTCGAGTGTTCCTTCTGATATTTCGCCGCGTCCGCCGAGGAGGTCTAGGAGGGGTGGGGTTAGACATGTTGATCCCCTTGCTTATGGTGGGGGAAGTGAATATAGTGGTCGGGGGTGATTTGGGAGATGGTGTTTGTAAGGATTTGGATGCGATACCCTTTTATGTGTTATGATTTATCTTATTGATGACGGGGGAGTATGCGATGGATATTGTGATGGATGATAATGTGTGTCTTGTTTTGATAATGTGATAATGTGCATGTATTTTCAAGTTATATTTCTCAAATCTAGTGTCTATCAACCTTCAAATACTCTTCTATACAGAGTCGTTAACTTCGGACTATGCGGTATGTATAGCGATGGACAAAGATGAATTATGTAGAAAGTAGCAAACCATTAGAGAAGAGGATAAGAATAAAATTGTAGTACAATTGTAGCCAAACCCCAAGACCCAAGAACGCCGTGTCCTGTTTTGCGCCAGCGATAAGTAATAAAAGTCAAGGATATATACGAAGGAAGCAAAAAAAAAAAACACTCAAACCCTGACCCAGGATTACAGACCAGCACCAAATGCCCAGTCGAAAGCCACAGGGAAACACTAGCCTCTTATTCTCTCGATATGTCTCTCAAGAGTGCAGCATGTGCAAGGCATAGCGAGTCGACAACGCATTCCAATACCAGCCAAGAATCAATCCCCAGTAGCATGGTCGCATATTACAAATCCAAACCAGAAGCAAGTCTAGAACAAGATATCCAAACAGCAGCAACAAGCCAGGGCAGCCATGATACCGGCGCAGATGCCACCACCCCCCGCCAGAGTTCCCGCGGTCATTGGCATAGTAACCCTGTTGCTGTTGAGGGGGATACTGCTGCTGCGGAGGGTAGTACATCGGCTGGCCCTGGGGGTAGTAGGGCTGCTGTTGTTGCTGTGGCGGGCCATAGCCTGGGTGGGGTGGGTAGTAGCCCTGCTGTTGGGGCTGGCCGCCGCCGTAGTAGTCACTCGCGGCGCCGGGGCTTTGGCCATGCGGTGGTGGGGAGTTTGGGTAGTAGGGGCCGGCGTCGTGGGCCTGGGCGGGGTAGGAAGGTGGTGGACTTGTCTGGAAGAGGTTAGGATTTAGAATTTGTGTCTAAGGATTGTTTGCGATTGATTGCTTTTGAAAACTTACGGGTTTGTTATAAGACATGGTGGGAATTGAAGGTGGAGTTCCCGGGAGATGTTTAGGCTTAGTGCCGATTTGAGGAGATTGCGCTGATACTGTGGGTATGGGGGCTGTTCTATAGGATTCGTAAACTCGACTCGCGAACAGTAAGGAGAGAGGGGTGATAGAAAAATAGAACAGGAAGCGCCGGAATCGAGAGAGAATCGCTGTGGCGCAGTTCGGGGCTTAGTCAACCAAGGTTTTCCTTCCCAGATTTTATACTTACGCGGCCTCATTTCTAGTTTGGGTAAGAAATTATAGAATGATTTATAGAACTGCCTGTATCTGTGCTTAAATACCTTTGGAGATGTCACTCTAGGTCAGACGGCAAGAATATTCCATATATAACTGGGGACATAAGTATACTATATCACCCGACTCGAAATGACAGCCATTCATAGATTGGATTCATCTAGACATACAAAGACACGGCCATTATGTAAAATCACAGGCAACCCCCATCGCAATCCCCCAAAGCAGGAGAAACTTCGCGCCTATACGCCATGCTGCCCATAATACAAGGGGGAGACCAAAAACTTTTTTTGAGTTTGTTGAATGTGAATCAATGAGTAAAAAAAAACTCCCAAGTGTCCACTTCTGTAGCTGCTCTTTCTCGACTACCAGTTGGGTATTTTCCTGCAGAGCTGCATAGTATGAAATGCGGTCAGATCGGAGACAGTGAAGTGGACCCGATGCAATTCGAGTTTGCGAGGTTGAGGTTCATAGGAAGCGGATTTTGACTCTTTGGGCTTGCAAAACGCCCAAATGAGAAAAAAAAGAGAAAAAAAAGAGAAGGATCTAGCATCGGGCAATGAAGAGTCGCGTGTCAATCTTCCTGTTCCATTCTCACTAACCTTATTTCGCAACTTAAATGACCCAGCGGTAACTGGCATAGCGACCCGCAGTTTCAGACTTGCGGATGATCTTGACGACCTGGCCACGGCGCAAACCAAGGTAACGAGCGACAGGATCGGAGACCTGTATACGAGGAAGCTGGGACTCCTTCAGACGATAGCGCTCAAGGAGCTTGGCCTTCTCCTCGGGGCTGAGTAGGACATGCTTGGGGACCAGCTCGTGACGAGTGATGTTCACAAGCAGATCCTGTTCCTGGAAGTGCTCGCAAATGCGGCCGGGAACACCGGAAAGCAGGCGCACGGCAGAGGGTGAGATGGGTGTCTGCGTGATAAAGATACCAGTGTGGAAGTTGTTCTCATCAACAAGATGGTTGAAGGCGCGCACTTGCTTGGTTCCAACACCTGAGGAATCGGGACAGAAATCGACATAGATGGTACCGCAATCGGGCTGGGGGTTTGGGTTCGCTTTGCTGGGCAGCGCTGTGTATTTCAACTTCATGGTTTCGGTGGGGCGGGCTTGGATTTTCATCTTAGTGCGACTGTTGTTGCGGAACGGTTTGTTAGTGATATGTGCTTCTCAATGATGAGTGTCGGCATTGTTTCGCTCAGTTTTTCACTAGCTCACGACAATGGGATGGCGGAGGCAAGGATTTCGCATACTCAGGGTAACCCAGAGGGTCAGCATATTTTGCGCGGAAGTCTTCTAGCGGGAGAACCAGCTCGTTATCAGACACTTCGTAACCCTGGTGTGTCGCCGATGGTTAGCCTTGCATGATTGGGCATCATGAGAGAGACACTGAGAAGTCAGGGACTCGATCTGAAGTGCCTACCCGGTCAGCGAGCAGTTCATAGACTGTTCTGAAGGTGCGCCAGAGCCGAGTCATCTCGCGCTCGGCCTCCATGGAGTGTGCTGAAACTCCATCCATAATGGAGTTAGTAGTCGATGACTAGATTGTGGAGAAGAATTAAGAAGTTATCCCGTTAAGAGAACCAAAAAAAACGGGCAAAGAGAGCTCCGGTGGAGAGATAAAGGTGAAATCGAAAAATCGGCGGGAACTTTCTGCCAGCGACACTTAAGCGGAGAAACCGACCGAACCATTTTAATTATCTCAAGTTTCCCCTTTTTAGTTTCCTTTGGTTTTGGTCTATTTAATCCCTTCAGGATCCTCAGAAGGCAATTCTTCCCTTCTCTGTCCCTCTTTTTACATTCAATTCGTCGCAATGGCTGCCACTGCTGCGGAGCGGGTTAAGCCCACCAAGCCCGATGAGGCCGCTTACAAGGCCAGTCTCGCTGAGGCTGAGAAGGAGCACACTGCTGCTCAGGAGAAATTGGTATGGAAGCCTTTCTTTTTTGGAATTGTCACTTAAGCTCTCATCTGACTCTGGGTTGCGGGATGATCCCGACCCACTCTGATTGTTGATTGTTAATTGCCCTCGTGTTCATTATTTACTTGTATACCATGTCCTCGGGCCAATGACTGATATGCGCAACAGAACCAAATCAAGGCCAAGTTGGACAACGCCAAGCCGAACAACCAGGATTCACCCACCGTTAAGAAGCAGCAGGAGCTGCGCGCCGAACTCTCAGCCATTCGTCAGAAGCAGTCCGGCTTCAAGTCCAGCCGGTCCTCCACCCAGGAGAAGATCAACGCCCTGGATGCCAACCTCAAGGCCCGTATTACTGAGCAGAACAACTCTCGCGGACGTCTGTCATTCAAGAGCGTCGAGGAGATCGACAAGGAGATCGCCCGCCTCGAGAAGTCGGTTGACTCTGGCACTCTCCGCCTGGTGGATGAGCGCAAGGCTCTCACCGAGGTTTCCAACCTGCGCAAGCAGCGCAAGAGCTTCGCCGGCTTGGATGAGGCGCAGAAGGGTATCAACGACATCAAGACACAGATCTCCGAATTGCGCAAGACCCTCGACAACCCCGAGGCCAAGGCGCTGAGCGACAAGTACGCCGAGATTCAGAAGGAGCTCGATGCCATCAAGGCCGAGCAGGACGCTGTCTTCAAGAACCTGAACGCTTTGCGCGATGAGCGCACCAAGCTGCGCAACGAGCAGCAGGAGAAGTACACTGCTATCCGCACTATCAAGGATACCTACTTCAAGGCCCGCCGTGCCTACAAGGAGTACGAGGATGAGGCTTGGCGTGTGCGCCGCGAGCGCCAAAAGGCTGAGCAGGAGGCTTTCTTGCGCGAAAAGCGCAAGAAGAACGCTGATAAGAAGCTCGAGGAGGCCTCGCAGCTTGCCTACGCTGATGAGATCCTGACTGCCCAGGGTCTGATCCGTCACTTCGATCCCGCCTATGACTTCACCGCTCTGGGCCTGAGCGAGAAGAAGGATGAGGGCAGCAACTTCCGTGCCGGTGTTGGCCGCACTGTTGAAGCCGCCGAGATCAAGGGAATGAAGGTCGTGCGCAAGAACGACGAGGAGGACTACTTCACCGGTTCCGGTGGTAAGAAGGGCAAGAAGGGCGGCAAGAAGGGTGCTGCCTCTGCTGAAAGTGCCAAGTTCAACATGAATGTTGGTATCATTGAGGACTTTGCCAAGGTTAAGATCGATCCTCCCATGAACCAGGCGGATGTCCCCGCCGCCGTGGAGAAGCTGGCTGCCAAGATCACCGAGTGGAAGAAGAACCAGGCCAGCAAGACGGAAGAGGTAAGCATTTCCCTTCAAGATTTTTCGGTTATCGGCTCTTTTCAGTTGCTAATTACCCCGCAGAACATTAAGAAGGCTCAGGAAGAGATTGCCCGCATTGAAGAGGAGGAGACTAAGGCCACTGCCGCCTCTCAGACCAACGGCCGGGCCACCGATTCTGCCAAGAAGCCCGCCCAAGCGAACGGTGCTCCTTCAGCAGAGGCTGAGCTGGCTCAGGAGCAGGATGCCGTGGCCGACGTTGAGGATGAGCTTAAGCAGGCCTCGATCGAGGATAAGGCATAGATTCGAGGATGACATCCGTATATGCTCAATGCGTCAACTTATACATGAAGTCTAGCGTTTGTCTAGCATTCTCTCTGCGTCTTTTTATTATTATTTATTTTTTGTCGTTTGGTTCTTGCATATGCATTATATCTAAGATTCATAAATGGACAGCTGGTTGTTTCCAAAATTCATATAATCGAAGTCTTTATTTCACTATTCTATCTCTAAAACGAAATTCTAGGAGAAAATCCAATTATACTACAGTGTGATCGGTATATTGAATTAATTCCAAAGGTCATTACATAGTATGTTGCATATGTAGATAGTAGTTATGTAGGGGTACATCATTAGCCAGAGTCATGTCCGAGCTATTGGAAGTATCCAAAGGATCTCAGAGGGTAACACCTCGAACACCAACGCTAATAATCGCAAGAGGGGGAATATAACACAGAGCAGGCAACAGTAAACAAGGAAGATACAGGGGAGGCATACGAGCCGTATAGTCCCACAAAGCAAAACGAGAGACTCCAACCCAATATTCCACAGGAGACAAGAAGCCTCATCCCAATCCAACAAATAAAACGAAAGAAAGAAAGTCGTAAGATCATGTCACATCACATCAAATCACATATTACTGATCATGTCGCGATAACAAACCCCCAACATCATGAAGCTGAACATCAGTATTGAGAGTCAAGTCCGAAGAACCAGACACCGAAGCCAAACGAGAACGAAACGCCGCCGTAGGAAACGGCAATTCCGCAGGCCCAGAAAGCGGCGGACGAATTCCGAACGTAGTACGCGGAACAATCCCCAAATCTTCCAAGAAAGCCCTACTCCCGCCTCCTCTTCGACGGTTCCCGCTTTCCACGGGCGAGGTCAAGGATGTCTGGGCGCGTGTATGACCAGACCCTGACTCGGGTAGGTCTCTTGTTAATAAACCACCGACATCTGAGAAGGAGACGCGACGGGGCGTCTCTGATGTGGGCGAGATCTCGCGCGCGGACTGGTTTGTACGTAGGTACTCTCGTGGCGAGACTTTCGGCTCGAGACTATCTGTTGTTGAAGCATGGTCGTCTTCTGAGCGACGGGTTGTTGCGAATGACCAAGTTGGATCGAGGGTTCCTGTTCGTGCGACTGCTAACGGGATGTGAGCTGGTGGAGCGACGGGTGCTGGTCTTGGTGGATGTGATCCGTCTGACGTTCCTGGGATGGTATAGATATCTGGGTCTAGACGGATACATAGACCGGTTGCGAGTTCGGAGTCCGAGCCCCATTGGTTTTGCATGACGGTGTTTCTGCGGACGAAGGATTTATCCATGCTTTCCGAGACGGAGGCTGAGCCTTGGGCTCGTTTGTATTTGAGTTTCTTTGGGCCGCGGTCTCGGACGAAGGAGCCTATGACTAGGACGTTTGAGACTGCAGTTGCGGCGAGGATCTCGAAGGAGGCGAGGAGGGAGCGGTATTGTTGGGAACCTTTGTGGTTTATTACGGAGGGAACGCGGTAGGAGGTTATGGCGACTAGGATCAGGGAGAGACAGAAGAGGATTGATAGGGCGAGTTTGCGTTTCAGCGGCATTTGGGATATGAGGATTATTGGGACTGGGATGGCGACGAGTAAGAGGTCGGTTATCACATCGCAAGAGCCCATGGTGATGAGATTGATGTAGCCGGTGCGACAGGTTGGGCCTGGGTCAGGGATGACCTGCCAGTAGTGGTTGAAGGGTTGGCATTCGGATAGGGTTGCGATGAGCACGGCTATTAGTGTTGAGAAGAGGAAGGCGGACATGAAGCGGAGGAAGAAGGTTGTCGATCGACGCCAGGTCAGCCCTGTGACTCGCTTGAGGAATTCACAGACGGTCACTTTGGCGGTCCAGATGCTATAGTTGTGAGTCATTCTGAACTGGTAGATCCAAGGTGCAGACAAGAGTTGTGTCTTACAAGATGGCGTAGAATATTCGCGCGGCAAGCACTAGCTTACTGCCCAGCTCTCTATTTGATATTTCTTTCTCTGTCAGGCCTGTGGTGATGGTATTGTTGGTTCCCAATATGAGGATGAAATGTACCAGGACCATGCGAATTAACAGGGGAATGATACTGATCATCATGACCTTGTCCTCGGTGAAGAAGCGTTCGACACGAACATAACGACCAAATAGGCGGATGATGATGATCACCAAAGAGAATGCGGTAGCCCACCAGCTCATCATGAGTGTTGGATTGATATCGGTTCTGGTCTGCATGGCTGGTGGAGAGTCGGGATAGATGTCACGCGTGACCAGCGTCATAGCCACAGAGGCCATGGAGGCCATGCTGAAAAGAACAACAGTCTCTCTCTCTTTCTCTCGCAGAAAGCGATTCACACGATGTGTTTACATTGCTCACACGTGCCAAAGTGGGGGGGCGATTAACGGTTATGGGGCTGCGGAGACTAGGAGGGCATCAGATCGCGAGAAGATCGAGAGAGATACGGGAGATATAGGGGGAAATTAATAGTTTCATAGGAAGAGGGGAAGCCTAGATAAGCCGATATATCATTAGACCACTGAGCTTCGACTGGCTAATCTGCGACATCCATATCACATTTACATTTAGTGCGGTGAACCACTGGACTTTGCCAAATACCAGGTTCCTTGTTAGGAAGAGAGTCTTGGCTACATGGTCGAGAGGGTACACCACGTGGACTATTTTGTACTACATTCCTGAGTATCTCTCTGGATACTCCGGAGTAGATGGCTATGGTCTACAGTATATGTCCAAGATAAGCGAGTTGTTTGATATTCGGATTTCTCTCAACAAATGCAATGTTATCTTTTCCCAAACCTTATGATCATATTAATCGCGCAACTCTCATCCAACCACAGCCGCCGCCGACTCCTCCCGTTTTTCCTCATTTTGAACAGACGTGATTCCAGCCCCAGCACGCAACCCACCCAAAACAGCCCGTAGCTCCTGGAGGAATTTAGTAACTTCCGAGTCGGTGCCGACCGTGATACGAAGACACCCTTCACACCCAAGTTCCTTGCCACGGAAGCGGACTACTACACCGCGCTTCTCCGCCATGGCCTCGTAAGCAGCAAGGGCAGTCACGTTATTGGGTCGGCCCTCGGCGTCCAAGATCTGCACGAGCAAGAAGTTCGCGTCGCTGCCGCCAAGGAATTGACCCACACCGGGGATCGCCGGTAATTCACGAAGCAGGCGATCGCGTTGCGCGATGATCTGCGAACGGAAGTTGTGCATCACCGCCAGATTGGGCGGTGTAAGTGCCGCGGAGGCAATCGCGCTTGTGGGGCTGGAGATGTTATAAGGGGCTTTGAGGCTGTTGAGGAGACGGGCAACCTCCACACTGGCGTAGGCCACACCCAGACGGATACCAGCCAGACCGAAGGCCTTGCTGAGTGTCTGCATGACAACCAAGTTGGGCCATTCGGTCACCCACTCGGCCAAGCTGGAACCTTCGGGCGCAAAGTCGATGTACGCCTCGTCGACCACCACGATGCCGTTCCAGGTCGGGTGCTCGAGTACCTTGCGGATATCCTCTTTGCGGATCAGATTCGCGGTCGGGTTGCCCGGTGAACAGATGTAGGCCAGTTTGATTGAGGGGTCGGCCGAGAGGGCCTCGTTGACTTTATCGGCTTGCAGGTGGAAGCCGTTTGTAGCGTCTAGTGGTACCTTGACAATCTCCACGTCGTTCACCTGCGCGCTGACGCTGTACATTCCGTAAGTCGGGGGACATGTGAGGATCTTGTCTTTGCCGGGGACGCAGAAGCAGCGGAGGAGCGCGTCAATGGCTTCGTCTGAGCCAACGCCGCAGAACATGTGCTCGGGGAGGAGGGTCTTGGGGGTGTGGTGGTGGGTATTGCGGAGGTTGCAGAAGAGCTGCTTTAATTCAATCTGGTGACTGAGGGACACATTGTTAGTCAAATTGGGTTGAACGAGACGCGTAGAATCCCACTCACGGATCGGGGTAGCGGTTCAGACCGAGGAAGTCAATCTCCGGCTTGGAGGCTCCCGTGGCATTGCCAGCCTGGGAGGTTTGCAATGCTCCCTCGCTATTCAAGGCAAGACCAGGACCGAAGGCATTCTCATTGGCGTCGAGGAGCACGTTTGTCCCATCATCTTTGTAGTCACTGACTTATTAGCTCGCCGGTATCGGTGATATGGAAAGGGCAGCATACTCTCTGGCGCATCGGTAAGGCTGCAATGCCAGGATATTCGGACGGGCACACGTGGCCAAATTGAAGGGAGATGTTGAAGCCATTGGTGGTGAGGAATGTGTTGGAGCAAAGTTGGTGGGGGTGCCGGGGGATATTTTATCGGAACTCTATGAGTCAAATGCCGATCTATACACTCCACTAGATTGAGATCAATTTCACTTGCACTACAACACTATAAAATATCTATATCTCAGCCAATTCTTCCAAAAATACCTCAAAGATCCCTTGGCATGAGTAGTCCATCAAGTCAACATGAAAAAATGGCCTTTCTTGTAATGCCAGTCCTGAAATTTGCAGGTTGGATCTCTTTAATAGCTACACCTTCTCTTCTCCTTTGAGAACAACCCTGTGTGACCAAGGCTACACATGGCCGTTGGGTGTTGACCTTGGGCAAGTTTGCAAGATGCTCGGCAATGGTAGGGACATCCTCGGTCTTGCTTTAGTTGTCTTTTCAAATAGAATCTCACTAGTATATTAGTCGACATGGTTTACACAGTCCCATCTGGATTACGTTTTCATTTCCCCTAATCTACCGCCGAAAAAGTCTGGCGGATGTTTGGATATATATAATCTGCAAGGGGGCATCACACGAGAATTGCCCCAATACGAGTCGGCCCTCCATGCTCATGTGGTCAATCATGTCTTCCGTGGAAATTTGCTCTTATCTCCAGCCGAAGTGTCAAAACTACGACGAAAATTACGACAATGAGCCCAGCAACGATTCTGAACTCAACAGAAATCTCGGGCCTCATAGCCGATGGCTGACCTTGATCTTTCGAGATGGCGGCTGCCAATGGTGGATCAAAATCATAGTCATTGGTAGATTGACTCAGTTTCGACCACTGAAAAAAGTCCGATGCGATGAATTCACGCAGTTTGCCAAATCTATCGACTATCGCGCTCTTCCTCTCCTAGATGATACCGTGACCAAGGTTTCGTTGACCATTTCCAAGGAGACGCATAATTCTGTCAAATTTCGACATGGCTGCAAGTTACAAGACAATGCTTATGCAACCATTGCACATAAAATGAATTATGAGATTACAGAAGACCCGAAGAGGGTTTTCTATCCTGTCTGCTCCTCACTCTCACTACGCAGAATCGATGTCAATCAGCTGCAGTCAAAACGTGAAATCCTTGGAGGTGTCTCCAAGGTGTTGCTTGAGAACCAAGCGTTCGCCTACAAGGAGATCAATCGCCCACTGTATATTCCGTGCGACAGCGAATACATCATGAAGGAGCTCGAGGTGCTCATGCAATTTCAGGGTTGCTCTGGTATTGTGCAACTAGCTGGCGTCGTCGTATGCACTTACCCCTACAAAACGGACCCGGCTAGTGAGCGTCCCAAGGTTGTTTCTGGATTTCTTCTCGAATTCTGGGACCTAGGCTCGCTGGAGCAAATTCTTCAATCTGGCCATATTAAGAAATATTTCAATTGGAGGGCCCGGATGGTCCAGATCGGAGAAGCTCTGATCTATATGCATGAGTCTCATCGATCTCACCTTGACTTGAAGCCATCCAACATAGTCATGAACTCAAAAGGCCACGCTGCTATCATTGATATTGGCGGCAGCTGTGGCTTTACATGGGAATGGCTTGCGCCTGAAACGGTGGAGGATTTGCTGAACCAACGTTTAGAGGGAATCGATGCCTTGCCATTTGATATGCAAGTTCGGAATGATTCTTGGGCTTATGGAAGAGTACTTCTGGGTGTGGCAGAACACCTTTCTGGTAGCGTTTTTGGTTATCAACTGATGGATGTTGCACGACGCTTGACAGATGCAAGTCCTGACCGTCGTATATCACTTAGGAATGCTATCATGCTGCTGAGCAAGATGAACGGGGGCGATTCGATACTGAACGGACGCTTACTGCGATGTTAGTCATAGTCTACTACATGAAATATGATGCATGTCCTACTATTTCCCAAGGGCCTCAACAAAGTATACAACACCTTCTAGCCAAATCTCTAATGATGGACTTGGAGTGTGCACACAGCCCTAGATCCATGGACGGGTGGATCTGATAAGTGATTACATAATAAAGCTCCCGCCTGGCCCGGCCCTGGTGCCCCGAGGTCGGCCCTGAGTGCAAGGGCTTCCTAGATGGGGTAGTCTCAAGACCTCGACTCAGTGAGCTCAAAGAAGACAGTTATTCTTCAAGAATCGATCATCTGATTTGTTATATCACTGTCCACATTCTAGCACATTTCAAGCTTGCGAGCCAAAATCACAATTGCTTCAATCCATACATCTCTAATTTGATCATCTCAAACACTGCAAACCACTACCCTTGGTTATATGCAAGTTCTTCGATATTGGTGGGCCCTGCGTTCAGAGTGAACAATATGGCCCTTGAAGAACCATCCGTTCTACCAGTGGACATCATGGAATCCCAATTGTCCACGATTGACCTCCTGATGGCGATGTTTCCGTCTTCAGACGAGCTGGAGATTCCCGAATCCACAACGCAGTGTGTCGAGAAACTCCGTCACTGGTGCGAGAATCCCACCTCCACACCCCCTAGGATCCCTTCAAGTATCTCTCTTACCGTTTGCCTACCAATTGCAGAGGGAGACAAAACAATAAACGTCAACATCTCCGTGCCACTGCAATGTGATAATCCAGAGATACTGGACGAAGCACCACCATTGGGATATTCGCTTCGGCAACCAGAGTGGATGTCCAGAGCCGAAGTTGCTGGACTCACCGCCTCAATACCACAAGGTGATGATGCTTTAGAGGTATTCGAATACATCCAAGCAGAAACCAGCCGCTTTCTTGAAAGCAAGCAGTCTCAGACAGTCACCCCAGAAGACACAGACAGAGGACCAACTGTGCGAGTCTGGTTCTATTTCCCGTCCCTGTCAACCCGTAAAAAGAGGGATGATATGGTCAATCTCGCACCGGGATATGGTCTGACAGGCTTCGTGCTGGCGGGGAAGCCGGGCGTATTGTGTCTTGAGGGTGCATCGCCTGACATCGACTCATATATGAGTTTCATCAAGACACATTCCTGGGGTGATATCCCCAGTCACCAAAAGAAAGTCAGCGAGAGGTTTCGAGAGACAAAGGGTGTTGAGAGAGTATTTTCCGAAATGGAGGAAATTACGGACTCGCTGGGAGAGCGAGGTGGCCAGAGGGCCAATCGAGGTGATATGCAAGCGCTGGAGGCGTGGCTAGGGAGTAGAGGACTACAGGAAGCATTTGAAAAAGTTATATTCTAAATGACCTTGTAGTCCACCTTGCACCCTGCATATTTTCTTGATAAGCTGCAGTGGGGGTTTCCGTCAATCTCAAGAGCATATCCAGCCTCTCTGCCTCATCTCATGAGACCTAAATAAGCCCAGTCTATGTATAAAAGAAGGCCCCTTTTTATTCTTTTCCACAGGTCACCAATCATGTATTTAGGGCAGGCGAGAAAACAGAGAGTAAGAAAGACAAAAAAAAAAAAAAAAAAAAAAAAGAATCTGTATGGTTTATTCAACAAATGAAAGGCTCTATATAGTCCGTATGTATTGGGCCCAACGAAAATTTCCTGCTGATACCAGATATATCAATGATGTTGATACATGGGTGACAAAAACCCACAACGCCTCCATATGCCGCATGTCTGCAACCTAGATGCGTCTGCCAAAATATACTTGCTTATTCTTTCTTTGTTTCCTTAGACTCCGATGAATCCGGTGCCTGAGTGACCTTATTTACCCCAGGGGAGCTTTCAAGTGCTGAGGCGGCCGCCATCTGAGATTTCTTGTGCTTCTCACGTTTCTCCATCAAGTAAGTCCAGCTCTTAGCAAGACCTGCCGTGAACGGCGCCTTGATCGTTTGGACAGTACTTGGCCAGCGAATTGTCTTCTCAATAGACTTAGAGACCTCCTCCTGGAGGTGATCATCCCCGGCAATTCGTCGCTCAAACGAGCCGCCTTGAGGCCGACGAAGAACCTCGTCCGCGTCCTTACTCTCCTGCACCATCTTATTGAAATCGGCCCGGGGAATCTCGAAGCGAGACTGGTACTGGAAGTACAACTTTTGCCGGAAAGATTCAGGTAGACGGCGAACCATGTTACCACGTTTCACTGGATCCATATCTTGCTCCATGGCCAAGATGGCGTTGGGGTCATCAATCCAGTCCGGGTTGTTGCAGCGAGGGTCCTGGAAAGTGACATTTGGCAAATTGTAGATGAGTGGCGCGTAGAGCCGGCGGAAGTGCGCCATTTGTCCTGAAACAATGTTTCGCACTTTGCTGGGGTCCTCGGCCGGAAGGGCCATGCGCAGATCTCCCATATAGCTCATACCTGCAATTGTGCTATATAGCTCAAACTCACTGAATCTTTCCGGTAGTAGCAGTAGTGCGACTCGTAAAGCAGACAACAGGTTCATCTGGTTGGCCAATCGCACCTTCGGGTGGTCCCGCAAGATCTTCACAGGCTTCTGCAGACGACCGGCGAGATACATGGTGTCCCACTGAGTGAGGTCCCGACATAGCGTATCAAGGTTCACCACGCCATATTTGATCATTGTCCCGTTCACGGTGATATAGGGATGGAAGTAGACACCCGCGCCGAAGCGGTCCTGTACTTGGGAGACCATGTACGACCCCGTTGAGCCCAATGCAGAATAATGATCACGGTGTTGGGTCAGATTGATGTCATGCCAATGCTGAGAGTACGACACTCCAAAAATGAAGTCAATCATCTTCCCGGAGCCCTTTTGCATATTTTGAATGGCAGTGGGTGCCGAAGGGTGCAGTGAACTGGACGGAGCTCCGCTGCCATTCTGTGGAAAGACACCCGATCCATAAGCAAACGCGTATCGAATTGGTGCTTTGAATTGCCAAAGGATCATTCGCAATGCCTCCTTGAAATCTTGGTTTATGATCATGTGCTGGTTGACTCCGAAGTCCTTTGAGGGAAGTTCCGAGAAATTGGTAATCGACAAGTTCGGATTGTCGTCCCAGTTCGATTCGGACAGCAGCGGAGATGGAGATGTCGAGAATGAGGAGGAAGAGGACTTGTTGGCGGTTACCTTGCGTAGCAGGTGCGATGTCGAAGCGCCGTTATTTGCCGAGAATCGGCCATTGTAGGGAGTATTCGAATGACAATTGAATGACAGACAACGAGCCGAAGAAGACACAACACGTGGGGACGAGATAGGGGTGCGAGAGCGCCAGAGAGAGCTGGGTTTAGCTCCTCGAGAAGCAACCATCTAGCAGATAAGTTGTAGCGACATCATCGGGGAGAGTGGGGGGTCTGACATACTATTACTCCCGGCATGATTGAGGTTTGAACAAAGGAAATCGAGGCGCGGAGCGCAATGAGTGAGTCAGATCAAAGAGCATAAATGTCCCGCATGAAAAGCAAATGAGTGAATTGAAGTGAAGCGAATTGGGGCGCTCCGTCAACATTTCCGGCACTGACGTACTCGTCCTGCTCTGGACTCCCTCGGGTGCTGAGTAAGGGTCACGTGGACGCGTGTCGACGCATAACAACCAAAAGTAAACAGACGCGGAGGGTCAACAACAACGACTCTTTCGACAATATCCACCTGTTTTCTCCACGGAAGGTATCTCTACATGTCGGATCCCCGTACCGATTGACTCTTACTGCTCTGATACACTGCCATGGGCTCAGAAATGGATACCTTTGCGGCCCGCCTGGCCAGCTTTGATATAGTGTTGAAGCCGGAGAAGCGCAGATCTTCCGGCGCAAAAACACCCAAAGCAATTACATGGCCGCATCAGCGACCTTCACCAGCTGAGGTATGTGCTTTTTTGGAGAGATTCCACGCGCCTGTTTGGTGATTGACTTGGTTGTGATTCTAGTTGGCGCACGCTGGATTCTACTACAAACCATACGAGACAAACCCCGATAACACAACATGTTTCGCGTGCCACCGGGCTCTGGACGGCTGGGAGGAGGACGATAACCCCGTTACAGAGCATCTCAAGCATGCACCCGACTGCGGATGGGCCATTATGATGGACCTCCAGCAAAGCAGCTCCAACCCCGCCTCGATTGAAGACCCTACGGGCGACCGAATCACACAAGCGAGACTGTCAACATTTGGTACGGCATGGCCCCACGACGGAAAAAAGGGCTGGGTATGCCAATCGGATAAGGTAACGCGAGTTCACCATATTTATATTCATCTGGCTCACAACAACGACAGATGGTTGAAAGCGGATGGTATTTTTGCCCTACAGACGAGAGCGATGATCTAGCCAGTTGTGTTTACTGCAAGTTGTCTTTGGATGGCTGGGAACCCAAGGACGACCCATTGTGAGTATTCATCGCTCTTTCCCAATCAGGCGTTCGCTAACTTGCTCAGTGACGAACACTATCGCCGCTCCTCGGATTGTTCATTCTTTGTCTTTGCCCAGCCACCAGGAAAAAAGAGCAAATCCACTCGTGCTAAGAAACCTCGGGTTTCCAAGGCGTCCTCGCGGCTTTCAACGCAATCCGTTGATCGAGCTACATCTGAAGCACCCGATATTGAAATGGATGACTCGATGGACCAGAGTATCATGTCCCAGGCCACCACCAAATCCAAACCTACAAAGAAGGCAACCAAGAGCAAATCAAAGCGTACCAAGAGCAAGAAGGAAGAATCAGCGGAGGTAGAAAGTCAGATTGAGGCCGAAATTGAAGAAATCGCCCAATCGGAGTCTGTCAAACCCAAACGCACAGGCAGAGGAAAGAAGAGGGCCAGTGAGGATATTAAGGATGAACCAAACCCTGTTACTATGCTGGAAAGAGAGCTATCGCAGCCGCCAGCAGGACCCCCGGCGAAGAAACGCGCTACAAAGACACGGAGTAGCAGCATTGCTCGTAACTACAATTACGAAAACAGTGACTCCGCAATGGCAGATGCGGAACCAGTGGATGACATTGCTTCGGAAGAAGAAACAGATAGAGGTCGCAAGCCCACGAAAAAGAGTGTGTCAAAGGCTCGCAAGGTGTCCGATGTGCCTGTTGCACCCAAAGTCCTGTCAAAGGCGCGAGCCCCTCGCGACTCGGAGATCGACGCGGAAATTGAAGCAGGCCTCGAAACAGGCCTCGAAGCAGATATCCCCAACCCTGCCGAACCCGAGCCCGAATTCGAGGCAGAGCCCGCAGAGCCACGGGCGTCGAAGAAAACTAAATCGAGCAAAAAGTCCAAGGCTGTGGCTAAATCCCCCGAACTGATCACGCGCGATGAACTAGAGGATTCCAGTGATCACGCGGACCGTTCAGATCCTTACGTGAAACCGGTCAATGATGAGGAGGCCGCCGAGTTGCCAGCCCCAAAGACCAAACCGGCAAAGGGAGCTAAGAAAAAAGGGACAAAGAAGACCAAGACTGAGGAGACGACAAAAGCACAGTCGCCAGAGCCTCGGGGATCTTTAGCGTCAAGGGCTCCCGATGTTCGGGATGATTCTGAGCGCCCTGACTCCTTCATTTCCGTTGAGATTGTCAGCAAGGAGCCGGAGCATGCATCAGAATCCGAAGAATCAAAGCCCAAGGCTGAACCAAAGAAGATTTCCAAGAAGGATAGCACATCAACAAAAGATAAAAAGTCCAAAAAATCCGAGAAAAAAGCGGCACAACCTCCTGTTCTTGATTCCCCAGTCCGGGCACACAGCCTCGAACCGTCGGCCGAGGAACATGATGATGAATTCGAGACTACAGATGATTTGCCTGACCAGCTTGAGGTGGTCAATCCTCTCGTGGAGCGTTCTCCCTCCCCACCAGAAATGTCTCCCGAGCCACGATCTGATCGGGAGACGCCCAGTCTACCGCCAAAGACCGTGAAACGGTACAGCGATATCCCTCACGAAGAGCATTTTGCAGAGACCTTGGCCCAAAGCCAGACCTCCCCTCATGAAGTGCACGAGTCTCGGAGGAGTTCAAAACGTTCCAACCGGGCAATTTCACCACTCCTGTCAGCTCACCAAAACACTCCTTCGCTATCACCCCAGTCGTCGGATGCTGAAAACCGCCCCCCCGTCATCGCGGCCCTCCGCATCCCGTCCACCTGTCCAATCAACACCCAAGCATCCAGAGTTCCGAGCCCCTCTGGTAGCTAGCACCCCGTCACCATCCAAGCGCAACGCCAATGGTGGATTCGGACCTTCCGGACATCCATGGACACCAGTGGATATTGATGACGTGCTGTTTGGAGAGGCTAGCGACAAGGAAAACGCAGATTTATCTGGGCTTTTCAAAGGCGTGAAGGGTGGCCTGACAAGCCCAGAGAAGAAGATGACTGTCCAAGAATGGATCGCGTGGAACGCAAAGAATGGCGAAGAACGACTGAAGAGAGAATGCGAGCGACTTGTCAGCCAATTCGAGAAAGAAGGTGGCCGAGCAATGCAGCGGCTTGAAGCTATCGAGTGCATCGACTAAATCAAAACGGTTGGACTATGTTTTCGGATGATATGATTCGCATGTTAGGCGTTATGTTAGGCGTTGGGAAACCCTTGTTAGATCTTTAGCTTGCAATTTGAATTTTGGATGTGCCATTATTGCACATGAAGAACAGGATCAGTTAAAAAGTTATGCCTGGAAAATATGCCAAAACACCATGGGTATCAAGAATAGAACGCGCATACCGAGAACAACACTCAAGAAATGATTCCCAACCGGCCCTCCCAGCTATCATCCTCCTGCTTAACCTTGTTGTTCTTCCGCTTTTCACTGCGCTTGCGCCTTTTCTCCTCCCTCTCCTTGGCATCAATCTCTTCCCGCTCCTTTAGTCGCACACCCAGATCAAGTTGCCAAGCCTTGCGCTCCTCCTCATCCCTCTGACGCTTCCGATGTGCAAGCATCCTCAACCGCAAGCGCACATCCTCAACATTCGCCCTCTTCACCTCGCCACTTTGTCCCGTCGCAATCAAATGCTGTTTGCTGTTCAAGTGCTCCACAAGCTGCAAGTTATCCTTGTAGGTAAGATCGCAGTCCTTGCAGTAGAAACCAGCGCCCTGGCCGCGCTTGCCCATCCCCGCGCCTGCGGGCACAAGCATCGTCTTTCCCACCATGGATGCGACATCTAGGCGCTTGTCGCGGGCTGTGGTATCTTCGAGCGAACTATAGTCGACTGGGGCGTGGTATTTCTTGCCCAGTAGCTTCGCTTCGTAGCGCGCTTTGCCTTCGGCTTTACGCTTTGCTTCATCGTCGGCTGCTTTTTTGGCATATTCTTCGCGGTCCCATGTTTTGCGGAAGGCTGTGTCCGACACCGGGGTGCCGTAGGCATTGGGTCCTGACATTTTTGTGACTGAAATTTGTGTCGGGAAAATGTAGTGGGAGGTTTGATTTGGTGTGTGGCGATCTCTAAAGGTTGAAGCTTCCAAGTTGAGGCCGGGCCGATATTGAAGATTATGTCAGCGATACTGATCGCCGGGGATTTCCAACTTTTGGAAGGTTGCAATACCTACAACATAGCTTAGCACACACCTTGCCTTTACTCTAAGAATTGCAAATTCTCCTATTGCCTGGAAGATACTCTAGGAGAGAAAAAAATACTCATGATCCAGAACTTGGTGCTTGTTAGGCATCACAATGAGTAGAACCTTATGACCACAATCCCTTCAATTCTTCTTCTAGGAGGCTTGTAACAGGCAGCTATCTTGCATTAATCGAGCATTTGATTAATATATCCGGATAAGTAGCTCCAGCTAGAAGCTACCTATGGCTACGGTTTCAGGCAACAGTTTTTGACCCCGCTCGTATAAGAGCTCGTATAAGATGAACAACATCACGTCAAATGTAATTGAGCTACAAGCAATAGCCTCGAAAATCTGTCCAAAATCCGGCCCAAGACATGTCTAAAAACATGGAGCCATCCCAATCCCCTTCAAGTTCTCAATCCATCAATCTGATGGACCTCCCCTCAGAACTCCACATCCAAATAAGCACCTACCTTTCCTACCCAGACGCCCTAGCTTTAAAGCACAGCAGCCGCCACTTCTACTCGATAGTATACACAGGCGTGCGCCTGAAGGTTGACTGGTTTATTGAGCGATTTGAGAATAAGCTCGAATGCCCTATGGAGAAGTGCTCATTCAAGACGGACGAGTCGTTTTGCAATGGGCGTGTGCGCGCCATTATGGAGCGCCGGAGGTGGCATATTGAGTGTCGCCGGGCTAGGAATGGCTGTCGGCTTGTTCATGGCCACACTTGCCAGGCAAATTCAATGTCTGGTTGGTTTAAAGTGAGAACACCGGGAAACAGGAGAGCTGTCAAGGTGATGAAGAGTTGGGGACATGAAGGTTTGTTCCCTTTTCGGGTTTCGTTTCTTCTCATCTCAAAAAGACATTGGCTGATATCGTATTGCAATAGCCCTCTTGATTGGGATTATGACTGTTCTGCTTAACTTGCTGTGGAACTTTGTTCAGAGGTGAGATATTATTGTGCAGGCTTGTGTTTCGGTGAAAGACCTTGCTGATCCAATCCACCAGGACTTGATACCTCAATCGCAGATCGAAAGGACTCTCTGTGACTGCTTATTGAATGATACTTCAAAGCAAGTATCTGGCTGAGCACGAAAGTGAATTGATAAATGCCGACATGTTTCGCTCTGTGGGATCGGTCAACCACGAAGTCACTTGCACACCCTGATTAATCAACGAGTATCTCATTGCAATGAGAGTCACTCGGAATACGACCTCGCAATCATGCCCACAAAAAATCACTCATGCGACTATTCACAAAACAGCGTTTTCGAGAGACATTCTGCATGGGTGTGATGAAATGGGTGTTCGCAGAATCTCCGATGCGGAGTCTGCGGAGTCGAGACAAAACCTGTCGAATATGCATCACAGAGACAGAGCTGTGGAGCCCCGATCTCGATTTGGTGCAGCGGTGCAGCGGTGCAGTGAAGCAGTGATGCAGTGAAGCTGTGGAGCGGTGAACTTCCAAGGTTGAATATGAGCCCTAATCCTGATCTTGTACTCCGTAGGTGACGTCACATTGACGACCCTTGTATACATAGCTATATAGCTTCTTCCTCCCCTTCTCTCACTACCTGCTTTAATATATCTTTTTACTTCAAATAACCAAGCAAAAATGTCTACTACAGATGCCTCTATCAACACCAATACGGGCAACCACCCCGTGGACCCTTACAAGACCCAGAATTTTGAAGACCCGCCTCTCGCTCAGAAGATCGAAGACCTGGTTGAATTTATCAACCACGTTAAATTTGGCATGTTGACGACCAAGCAGTCGGAAGGCGACTACCTCGCCTCGCGATGTATGGCACTAGCTGCGCAGGTATGATCAGAGCTAAATGAAGTAAAAGAAACATGTTAATCCATTGGCCCGAATAGGAGAACGGGGGCATTGACCTCATTTTCCACACCAATCTCTTCTCCGGCAAAACAATGGATCTAACCGTGCACCCACAAGAAACAAACATGTCCTTCCTCGATCCCATCAGTGGAGCCTGGGCATCAATTTCAGGCACTGCATCAGTGATTGGTGACCCTGCTATCGTGGAAAAGTACTACTCGCCCGCACTCAAGGCATGGATTGGCGATATGGGCGATGGTGTACACGACGGTGGACCCAAGGATCCCCGGATTGGCGTTATCAAGCTCGAGGCCAAACTAGCTACGCATGTTGTTGCGCACAAGGGCTTGCTTGGCCGTGCCTATGAGACTGTCAAGGGTGCTGTGCAGGGCAACGTTCCTCATGTCAATGGCATTCGAGAGTTGAGTATGCAGGAATTGGCTGAGTGTATGTTTTCTTCTTCCCTTTGATTGTTTGTATGTGCAACGCAAATGCTAACTCATCTCTTCAGGGCGCCGGACGCACCAGGCATAAGTGTATTTTACTCCGCTATGAATGACTGGAGATTGCCAGCTTTAGCTATTATGTATGACTAAATGAAATTCTTGCATCTGTACTAGTTGAGGACGATACTTGATACAACTTGGAAGTAATAATAGAAGTTCTGTCATAATGCTGCAATGACACTATCCCGCCCAAGACGGCAATGTTGCTTCATATTGTCTTCAAATTGATCCATTATGTCCAGCCTATATTGTCTCTTAGATCTGATCTGAAGGTGTAGGTAAAAAGCCGACTTTGACAAGAAACTCGACGCACCTGCCCACAGCGACTTTCAATCGCAATGGCGTGCTACCACGCTTCTGCTGCAAGCTACCCACAACTCGCTCATCGTTCTGCAAGCCTCCGAATATATGTGCCAGTGGCCACAGTGGGTGCTTCTCTCTTTCAGCTTCAATGTCAGCACGAACAAGAGCCAGCCAATCTACCATGCCCTTGGCCTCAAGCCTGTAACCCAGGCCCCCAATAATGGCCCAAAACTCCCTCCATAGAATGCCATCCACGGGCTGTTCTTCACCCACGATCTGTATCCTCTTTCCCAGTGCTGCCTCAATAATCGCTGTCGCTGTGGCAGTAGCATCAGACATGGAAAGCCACCCGTCCGCCTCAACCTGGTTGTACGCCCCTACTTTGATGCATGTCGCCACCAGCCGCCAGATATAGTCATCAGTGTTGGAGAAACCCTCACTTGGCGTGCCAATAACCCATCCAGGATTTAGAATGGCGAGCCGATTAGTTTCAGATGGGATGCGACGCGCCGCACGCTTGATTACAGCTTCAGCGACAAACTTAGTCTGGCTATACGCAACGGCATCTGCGACTGAAAGCTCGTTCGCAACATCCAGCTCTTCGTGAAATCTCCAAGGCCGACCGCCCGTGACATAGAGGAACCTCATTCGAGGGACACCTACGGCGAGTAGTAACAGCTCTATGGTTGAGCCAACATTGGCGGCCTCCAGGACTTCGTAGCTTTTCGTCCAGTGCACTGTGGCCCCGCAGTGGATTATCGTATTGATTGCTTGGCCACTGGCTAGAGAATCCCAGCGCGTTGAACTAAGTCCTAGCTTTGGCAGTGATAGATCGCCTCGCCAGACCTCTAGTTTATCCGCGTTGCAATTAGTCCACCAGAGCGCTTTCACAGCTTTATCAATGATATGCGCTCTGGCTGCATCATCCGTATCGCCACGTACAAGCCCAATCACACGACTGACATGGTGATGTTCGAGCAGCTGGCGGAGGATTTGAGTACCGACAAAACCGGTGCCGCCAGTCAAGAGCACGGTAAAAACCTTACCATCTCTGTCTATTGGCAGAATGTTACTCGCTATGTTATCATGGCGTGCGGGTCTCCGTTGGGCGCTCAGAACTCTAGAGTCGTATCGCCCGATCTCAGCCATGAGATCAATCGAGGTCGAGGCATGAATTGAGGGGAGTGGAAATGGTTGATTATCAGCATCACACGCCTGTGAACTGACTAAATACTGAGCTAGGCTTCTGATACTGGTTGCTTTGTCCATCAAAAACTGCATTCCAACTTGAGCGTGGAATTTCTGCGAAATAAACGACGTAAGTTCCATCATATCCACAGAGTCTAAACCGGACGAATGTAAAAGCACGTCGTTCAATTCAGTGTGCCGGTGCTGTGACCCGTCCTCTCCAGATGAAAAATTGTCCTGAGTCCACGAGGGACGTATGGAATATAATTTCTGGGCTATTGTGTATGCCGGCTGCTCAGTCTCCAATATCAATCTGTCGTGTGGATTCCCAAGAAAGTTTTCAGACGAGTCGAACTCCTTGTTCCCATCTTTGAAGAGCAATTCCTGGCCAATCTCTTGAAGACGCCTGCGATTTGTCTTACCCGTGGGTGTTAGCGGCATATCCCGCAGAGCGAATACTACTGTCGGCACCATGTAGGCTGGCAGGTGACATGCAAGCTTCTTCTTGATATCAGCAGACATGGGATATGTCTTCACCTCAAGAGTCGGTTCGTCGTTGATCTTCATGTCCATATCGCTCACCTGGATGAAGGCCACCAACACCGGTCTAGGATTTGTCTCGCCCTCAGGCAGGGTAACTTCGGCTACAACCTGGCTCGCCTTTGGCAAGCAATTTTGAATGTGGTGTTCAACTTCTTCAAGCTCGAAGCGCTGCCCTCTGATCTTGACTTGACTGTCTTTGCGGCCCATGAACGTCAGACTCCCATCTTCGTTGTACTGCACCAGATCGCCTGTCTTATAAAGGTGGCCATGGCACCCAAATCGAGCATTCGAACCCTTCAGCAGCCATTCAGGGTCTTCGATAAAAGCTTCAGCGGTCTTGTCTGGATCCCCCATGTAGCCAATTCCAACAAGCGGCCCTTCGAGGAGTAGTTCACCGGTGCATCCCAGTGGTAACAAGCGATCATGGTCCTCTGGATCCACAATCCATGTTACTAAACCCACACCCTTTCCAATCCTAATGATCTCGTCTGTGCTGGAACCAAATGCGTGGATTGTGGTAATTGGCGTACATTCAGCGGGTCCGTAGGCGTTGATTATCTGGATTTCCTGCGACTGCCATCGCTCAATATCCCTGGTTTTGACTGGCTCGCCAAGTAAAATCAAAGTCTGAAGACCTCGTGTCGTCGCTGGGTCTAGCAGACGTGCTACTGTCGGAGTCAAATTGACGATCGTCGGCCGCATGGCGGAAATGATGTCTCCAATGTTACCGACGCGGTCTTCTTCAGAAGGAATGCACAGACATCCTCGCGCAACAAGTGTTACTATAATATTGTGGATCGCGGCGTCAAAAGCGTATGATGCAAAATCTAGGACTCTAGACTTTCTGGTGAATCCTAGAAGATCTGACTGGTAGCGTATGGCGGAGCAAAAATTCACGTGCGACACCAACACCCCTTTGGGCGCTCCAGTGCTGCCGGAAGTGAATACTGCATAAAATGCCCTTGAGGGTGATTGCAACAGTGGTGCGGAACTGGTATCGTAACTCGAAACACTATCCGAGGGACTATCCAAGACAGTATTTGAGATGTGAGATAGATCTGGGCCAATTTGAACTACTACCTCTGACAATTTGCGGCTCAAATCCATGTTGGCTTGGGAGGATAACATCAACTTCGAGTTCACTTTTTGGAGTATTGATTGCAGTCGGGGCTGAGGGAGAGAAGGATCGAGCAACACAAAGCCTGCGCCGGACTTGATGACACCAAGCATGGATACTATTGTCCACTTGGACTTCTCAAAGCATAGTGGCACCAGGATATCCGGCCCTAGTAGGTGTGAATCAACTCGAAGTTTGACGACCTGAGCCGCTACCACCGAGGACAGTCGATCTAGCTCGCCGTATGTGAACTCTCCGTCCCAAGCATATATAGCTCTTGCCATCGGCTGATTGTGCATCCGCTCTTCGATTAAATGATAAATAGATTCTTGCACTGGTGATGGGACGGTACAATTCCAATCCCATATTCGCTCCAAACTCCGGGGTGTGACCAGCTCGATGTCTGCCATGGTCTGTCGGGATCCTGCGGAGTCAAGTTGTTTCATTACAAAGTCGAGTCCTTCCAATAGCGACTGCACAATCCACGGCTTAATCACATTCGAGTCAAATTTAGCATTGACTCTCTTCCTGCCAATTTGCACTTCCAGCGCTAGTGCATATGTATTGACCCACTCCGGCTCACTGTTTTCTTCCCACACTCCAAGTGTACAGTCGGGTCTATTTTCTTGTGGCTGGATGATAAGAAGTGTCTGGAACATACATGCCTGCTGGGCCCCAGGGCATGTTCGAGCAATTCGGTGTAGACCGAACTGCTCGAAAGGAATCATATCCGTTGATTGCTGCTGTACTGCCTCGAGAAAGTCCAGAACTTTCTGGGACCGTGATATCATGACTTGCAAAGGAACAGTTGCGATTGTCGGGCCTACCATCTCGCTAATACCATTAACAGGCGCACTGCGTCCTGATGTAGTGATACCAAACACGACACTGTCTGAGTTTGTCATTCTGCTGGCAAGCAGAGCCCAGGCGGCACGAACAAGTGTTGTGATTGTAATATCTCGTGGTTGTGTGCTTAGCCATGGTATTTCATGAGTTATGTCGCTGTCTGCTACTGGCCGCTGCACAGACGATGGAAGTGCTGGAAAGAGGGTAGAGTCACAGTTCATAAGAGAATTGCGCCAGTAGCCAGCTATCTTGTCATTGTTCTGCTCCTCGAGGTACTTGATAAACCCTTTGAACTCGTGTCTTGGCTTTTCCGAGATACCATGGTATCTTCGATTCACCATGTCAATCATAAGTGGCAGTGACCAGCCATCATAAAGTGCATGATGAAGTGTCCACACGAACCATCGACGCAAGCCCGCATTATCTGTGACAATGGCGTAGCGTGCAAGAGGCTTTCCAAGTTCCAATGTCCGTTTTTTGTCATCTTCAAGATACTCATTCAATCCATATGCATGAGTCCATTGGATTCCTTCGTTCAATACTAATTGCAAGGGGCCCACCCCGCTGCGCTGCACAATTCTTGTCCGTAAGATTGCAACATTTTGAACCATTTCTTCCCATGCTCGACAGAAATCTCTTGTTTCAATGGTGGAATGCAGTTCCAGAGTGCGTCGAATCATGTATTCCCCCGGGTGTTTTAAGGACAGTGACACGAGACCTTCTTGTAAAGGAGTGCACGGGTATGCGTCTTCTACGGTCTCTGGATCGAACTGATACTGGGCTTCAATTTCTCGGAGGAACAAATCTTTGTCAAAGACGTCTCTCAAAATGGCAAAAGGTGGGATCATTCCCGGAGCCCACTCTGCTACAACATGGTGGCACCGGCTGACCAGGCTGATGAGTGTAGGATATTGGAAGATGTCTGAAACCGTGAGCTCAATTCCAGCCTTTTGAGCCTCGGAGACGACGTGCATAGCCGCAATAGAGTCTCCCCCCAGCCGAAAGAAATTATCTTCAACTCCCACCAATGCCGGGTCAAGTGCCAGAACCCTACCCAATATCCTTTGTAACTCCAACCCGAGGCGTGATGTTGGCTTTGGCTTTGGTCTCTGCTTTTCCATGAATTTTTGAATACACAAAGTGCCAATATTGCGTAGTGTTCTACGGTCCAGCTTCCCTGACACCGTCATGGGGATCTTTCGCACAGAAAAGAACATGGTGGGCACCATGTAGCCTGGCAGATGCTGAGTTAGTTTGTCTTTGGTATCGGTAGAAATTTCAAGCATCTCTGCGGTGCAGGTAGACTCTGGCTGTCTGGGATTTGGCGCAATCTGATCGATTTGAATGAAGGCTGCCAACGCTGGACCTGTGTTCTCTCGCATAACCATATCTACCACAACTTGCTTTGCTTCGGTCATGTGCTCCTGTAAGCAGTGCTCAATTTCTCCAACCTCGACTCGCTGTCCGTGAATCTTGACCTGTGTATCTTTGCGTGCAACAAAGGTCAAGCTTCCATCCTCGTTATAATGAACAAGATCTCCTGTTTTATAGAGGCGTTGTCCACATCTTCCTGGTTGTCCCAAGCTTCCTCTTCGCAACCACAGTGGGTCATGGATGAATGCCATTGCTGTCTTCTCTGGGTTATCCAAATACCCTTCACCCACAAGTGGCCCTTCCAGAAGTAGCTCGCCGGTGTCGCCAAGTGGAAGCAACCGATTATGGTCATGCGGGTCGACGACCCATGTAACTTGGCCAGCACCAATGCCTATTCGGGCAGCTTCTTGTGGGCAAGACGCATGGCTGTTGATGACGCTGTACGGAGTACACTCACTTGGCCCGTATATGTTGAAAACTCGGACTTTTCCCCACCAACGGTTGATATCCCTAAGTTGTAACGCTTCCGCGATAAACATAATTGTGTGTAGTGTAGTGGTATCTTTTGGGTCCAGTAGTTGGGCAACGGAGGGTGTCAGGGCAGCAACGTTTGCGCGCAAAGATACTATGCTCTGAGCCAACTTGTTCATCCGATCTTGCTCCATCGGTACACATAAGCAACCTCCAGCAGTGAGAGTTGTGAAAGTCTGGCTAATTGATGCATCAAAGCTGTATGAGGAAAAGTCATAGACCCTCGATTCTTTTGTGAATCCGAGACGCTGTGCTTGGTGGTAGAGAGCCGATGCAAAATTTCGATGGCTCAAAATAACACCTTTCGGGGTCCCCGTACTGCCTGATGTAAAGTTCACGTACATGACTGAGGATGGAAGACTAGGGAAAAGACGACGGTTTGCTTGAACATCCAGATTGATGAAGAATGTTCGACTTATAGGAATCACATTCCGAGCCAATCTCAAACTGAGTTCCTGATTTGAGACAGAAGACAAGATGAGATCTGCTTTGACTTGTTGGACGATGAGACGGAGATGATGTTCAGGGAACAAGGTATCAAGCATGACAAATCCTCCACCGGCTTTAAGCACTCCAAGCATGGCAACTGTCGTCCACATCGACTTCTCGAAACAGAGAGGTATCAACACACCGTGCCCAATACCCATCTCACTGAGCCTGTCTGCTAATTTTGTAGTGAGTTGATCCAGTTCGGCATAAGAGAAGTCGCCATCCCAGGCACAGATAGCAGATGCATTAGGCTGAGTTTGAGCTTTCTCTTCGAACATCTCATGAACGCATCGCTCAATCGGTTCTGGGGTTATCTTGTTCCATGTCCAAATCCTTTCGAGATCTATCTGTGTCACTGTACTGATATCAGTCGATTTGACATCTGCACTGGTATTCTGCTCCACGAGTGACATTTCTTGGTTAGGTAAACTGTCTGTCTTTGTTTGATGCTATGCTGATGAATGTTTGTCAAATATGAGGATGTGTGACACCTTCTTATGACTATAATTTACAAAGGTCTCTATATATACGTTTATCTTAGGGATATGAGATGGACTTCTTTTGCTCTGTCATAGTGGCATCTCCCACATTGCCTAGATTGGTGGGAAATTCTTCCAGGAAAGGCCTCTGCATCTATGTCAATCCTGATAGTTGACATGCAGGTTACATCTAATCTGGTACTCCCGAACGCTCTGATACATTCTGATATCCTGGTTTGTCCATTGCACGGACTTTTTTACACTTATGAGACTTTCATCAGACTTTCATCAGACTTTTATCAGATTTCAATTTGACTTTGATATAAATTCAGGATTTGAAGGCTGCCTTTGCGTAGTATCACACAACCATCGCACGGATAGTAATCCTTTCAATGCTTATAAAGTGAGTTTTACATAGTTACTGCTTATATCACCTGCCATGTCTTCTATGGTCTATCACAAAAGAGTATGATACTATTGATTTGAGCCACCTTCAATTTAAAGTATGACCAAAATGCCTGACTGGACTGAGCTACGCGGAGCTATCACAGATGGTGACGTTCTCATGCCGTGGGATGATGGATATGCCACGCGCATGAAGAGATGGAGCGAGGCTGCTGAGATCAAATCGGTCAGTTTGGCCCCGCCGAACTGTCCAAGTCACATCTAACCAATTTTCTTCTAGGCTGTGATTGTTAGCCCGACATCTGCCGAAGAGGTCTCTGTGGCTATCAAATTTGCCGTTTCAAACAAGCTCCCACTGGCTGTTTGTGGCGGTGGCCATTCGACAAGCGGGATGTCATCGTCAGAAGGTATGGTTATCCATCTTGGGAAACTGCGAAAAGTTGAAGTCGATCAAGCCAAGATGACCGTGTCTTTTGATGGTGGATGCCTTTGGGGTGATGTAGATAGTGCTCTAGAGTCTTGTGGACTAGCTACTGTTGGCGGCGCAGTGAACCACACTGGTGTAGGAGGGCTTATATTAGGGGGAGGCCACGGCTGGCTGACAGCAAAATACGGCCTCGCAATTGACAACCTCATATCAGTCCAAATAGTCACAGCAGATGGATATATTCTCGAAGCCTCCGGGTCAAAAAATCCAGACCTTTTCTGGGCCGTCCGTGGAGCTGGAGCTCAGATCGGAGTCGTTACGCGATTCAAGTCCCGCGTCTTTAAGCAGGGATTGGTCTGGAGTGGAACTCTGACATTTGCACCTGACAAGCTGCGCGAGCTGGTGGCATTTTCAAATGAGTTTCACAATCGAAATCAACAAGAGGGCCACTGCTTAGCTCTAGCTGTTGGGTACACCCCGGATGGGGCAAACCGGGTCCTTTCTGCTATCCCACTTTACCACGGACCAGAGTGGGAAGCGAAGAGGTACTTTTCAAACCTTTTGAGCATCGGATCTATTGCAAACTGCACAAGCATGATGTCTATTGCCCAGATCAACACCCTACAGAACTTAATGTGCGAATACGGCATTCGCCGCCTCCAGGGCTCTGGCAATGTGACGATGCCGCTCCACGCAGTCGCTTTTCAACAAATCGCGGACTCAATCTGGTCATTCCACGACATGTACCCTGACGTAAGCGTCTGCTCGCTAGCAATTGAACTTTTTCAACGCACAAGTTGCGCCAAGTGCCTCAAGGTGCTACCGCGTACGCCAATCGTGGAGCGTACTACGATGCTGTTACTATGTTTGGATGGACCAACCCCGCACTAGATGAGACTGTTCGGCGGTTTAACTCAAAGTTATGTGCCCAGATACGCCGTGAGAATGGACACGAGTGGGTAGGGCATGATAGGCGGAACAACTTCGGAGAAGAGCCGGTGGGACGCTATCTCAATATGGAAGCGGACCTATTGACGCCGGTTCAAGCATATGGCCGAAATTTGGAGAAATTGCAGAAGACGAAGAGGAAGTTTGATCCAGAGAACATTTTCGACAAGTGGCATGGGGTGGTTGAGAAAGTGGAAAGAGAGGGCTAGTAATTGCTGAATCCCAGAATAGTACTACATGGAAGAGTCGCTGTCACAAAACCAGCCCTTAACCCCTCCGTTTTCTCAAGAAAATACTTTAAAAGGGGTTAAAAGATATAAAACTAAAGGACCACTGAAGAAAGGCATTTTGCTTGCCAGATCCCGAGGCCACCATGTTAGAAATCTAAAATGTCGCTCTGACATCTCTAATTATCAGTGATTTTTGGTGAATTTCAGTGCTACGGCCATTCCTAGAGGCCATTAGACCTAGCCACTAGTAAGAAACTCAGTCATGACCTGGTGGATCCCTTATTCGCGGAAAAGATCTAGGAGAAATCACTTGGCCACATATGCCAATTATTGTGATAGATGAGGTCCGGTGACAGGATTTCGTGTGATATTGCTATTAGCATCCAGAGAATCCTTTGGCACGTCACAGGCTTCAGCCGTACTAGGCTATGGCCTGTATCACTAGCTTCCAATGTTTCCGGCTTGCGAGAATCAAGTTTGTGCAACTAGCTTCTGTGGTGTCTAGTATGCGAGACTCATTGAGAGTTTGTCTTATCAGCATCTAAGGTTTTCGGTATACGAGACTCAAGTTTATACTATCAGTCTGCAAGGCTTCCAATACACGAGACTCAAGTTTGTACGTCATACGCGCTTCAGGCTATTGCACGCTATGTTGAAACTTGTTATATAGGGGCAGCAAACAATATGTCGTAAAATCTTCAACATTAGAATCTAGGTATACACGATCTTATTCATTTTGCCCCTGAACAAGTCTTTCAACTTCAGCTCTTGTATCCAACAGCATGGGAGCCGAGAACGCAGAGTATCATTCGTGTCCTGATGATCTTAGTATCGCCAAACGCCCAAACATTGCTGAGGCAGTTCCTGAACTGCTGAATGATGTTATCAAAGGTGTTAACAACCTACCTCATGGAACTGACGAGGACCGCAAGGACGTGGTAATCAAGTGCCGAGCTTTGGCTAGAGCTCTAGAGACCCCTCGGGAAACCATGGTTGACCACTGTTGGGGACAGGTGAGTCTTTTTAACTGTCATCGTCTGGACAAACTAAGTGATAATATAGATTGGTGCAATAGCGGCGATAGGGTTTGGCGTGGATTCGGGATTATGGATACTGATGGCTCAGAATGGCGACAAGCCCCAGAAAGTAACCGATTTGGCCGTGAGCCTGGGGGTCGATACCAAGCTTCTCGGTGAGCTTTGCATAATCCGCGCTAAAGCTATAGCTAAATGTATTCGAGGTCGCGTGATGCGACATGTCTGTGCGATGGGACTCCTCATCGAGGTCGGCGAAGATGAGTATAGATCCACAAACTATACCAAGGCGCTGAGCCTTCCACAAATTGGGCATGGGTATCTTGGTGTGTGAGTGCTCATTCGACCTCCAGTCAAATTTCATGAAGTAACAAGTGACTAATATATCATGCCGCTCATCTAGCACCGCGTGCACTGCTGCTGGCACCTTGAAATTCCACGAGTTCTCGCGTAAGCGTGGCTGGGTGAATCCGACAAATTCTCATGACACATCTCTGATGTATGCCTATGGTACTGAAAAGAACGTATTTGATTGGGTGCATGACTCGGGCTATGGAAAACACCTGAATGATTACCTTGGAGGTTACAACCTGGGTCGCCCATGCTGGATGGACCCCGATGTCTATCCTGTGAAGGATATGCTCATCGACGGGGCCGATTTTAGCCCAGATGCACCATTCCTCGTGGACATCGGCGGCAACATGGGCCATGACTTGGCAAGATTTCACACTCGCTATCCGAACGCCCCCGGAAAATTAATCCTTCAACCTTCAAGATTTACCCATGATGATTCACCAGATCAAGGATCTCGATCCGGCTATAATCCGAATGGAGTATGACTTTCATCAAGAACAGCCCGTTAAAGGTGAGGATTCAGGATCCGGAGCCCTGATCCAAATGATTTCTATCAATCTCGAACGATGTTGCTTACATTATACTCAGGTGCCCGTGCCTACTATATACACTCAACTCTGCATAACTGGCCGGACGATGTATGCGAAAGCATACTTACACGAGTGAAGGAGGCCATGAAGCCTGGATATAGCAGACTGTTGATCCACGAGAACGTTGTGCCGCACATCGGTGCCCATTGGGAGACTACGGGACTTGATATGCTGATGTTAACTCTATTCTCTTCGGAAGAGCGGACTAGCACAGCGTGGTACGACTTGATTGAGAGAAAGGCAGGTTTGAGAATTGCAAAAGTATGGAGCGCTGGCAACGGGGTAGAAAGTGTGATTGAATGTGTCAATGAGTGTTAGTATGGGTAGTATGTAGTTATTTGATTATCTGGACCACAGGACACACTTGTTTGAGAGTGATTGATTATGGGTAGCGAATTCATCGACTTCGCTAAGGCAGTCCCAAACTATCTAGGAGCAATCTCGAATGATGTATAAGGAACACCTATGAATACAGACTTCCCTAATTCGTTACTGACCAATGACTTTACTTTTCGCCGACCACTGCCGACTCTCTATCACCGCTGTCAGGAGATTTGTCAGTGATGACCTGAAGCTCCTTGACCTTCCGGATGTCCTTCCAAGTCTCAGAGAAAATACCCAGACGGAGATACTGACAGCACCACCGAGGTACATGACTTTGTCGATGCTTTTAGCGTAGGCGAGCACAGCGGTTAACTCGGAGCCAGACATTAGATCACGGATAGAGCGGACTCCAGCTTCGATGATGGCATCTGAAGAAACGCTAATATTTACAGCGCGTTTTTGACGCTCGGAACAAAGGCTGTTGCTGAAGATGGCGTTTGCAGCGACCAGAGAGATAGCAGCACCTATATTTACAAAAGAAATCTGCTGTGAAATGCTCTACTGCTTATTTGAAAGGCGACGGGCGCTACTGGCCTGTTTTATTTCGAGTTCCAAGTGCGCAGTGTCTTCCTCATTCTCTATCAAACTTAACTACCCTGTATCTAAGGGGAAAATCTCCCTACTAACACGAATATCTGTAGTGTTTCGTCTCATCTTGTATATTTTCCATCTATACAGAAGTACCACAACTTTTTTAGAAGTCTCATCTATAAATTCTCTGAACAGTACGCTTTGTCGCGTTCCAAAACGTGACTTACATGGCTCAGTATCAATCTAGGTGTTTATAAGGCCCTGATAAGCGCCCCTATGAAGGGCTCGGTGGGCTTTGCGGAGCGCTAAAGATTAGCGGTGTTTGCTCCGACTCTACTAACTCTGGAGATATTCCAACCCCAACTTTCCTTCTCTTCACTCATCTGAAATGGGGGTTTCCAGACTACCAGTTGAGTTGGTCATCTACATTGCCACCTTCTTTGAATATGACAGCGATTTAAACTCGTTTTTAAGAACAAGCAAATTCTTTTATCGCTTGATGAACGATTCTCTATATCGACACAATGTCCTCTATTTCGGTAGCTCTGCCCTTGAATGGGCAGCGCGAAATGGTGTTGAGAGAACTGTGCGAATGTCACTAGAAGCCGGCGCTTTGCCAAGTGCCTGCGTGGATGAAGAATGGCAGCCGATGGCTTTAGCGGCAGCTCATGGACATGACAAAGTGGTCAAGATATTTCTGGATTTAGGGCTTGATCCATGTCGAAAGGAAGGGTGGAGACCCCTTACAGAAAGGTTTCAGGACCAGTACGGGCTCGATGAAGAGGGATACCCCAACTTCGATTATAGGCCTGAGAGTGACCCGTTCACCCTCGCGCTTGAAAATGGCCACGAAAAGGTTGTACGCTTGCTGATCACGCATGGTGTCATGAGAGATTGGAACAATCAGAATGCGATCGATGCTATCTATCTGGTTGTTCCCAGTGGGAACCTGGCATTAGTCCAATTACTGGCAGAACTCTTTCCTCAAAGCATCACTGAAGCCAGTCAGTATGGTGTTAAGTATCCATTTGCACTTGCGATGGAGCATAAATACTTGGAAATTGCTCGGTTTTTGAGTAATTTGGGGGCCGATGTAAATGTTGCATGCGACAGGAAAATCACCCCATTGGCTTTAGCTGCCAGGCTAGGCGATATTGAGACTATCAAGTTTCTCGTGGAGGCTGGAGCCTGTCCGGATCCTGAGATGCATGACGATGCTACATTATGGCCTTTGAGATGGGCAGCTGAACGTAAGAAATATGATATCGTGAAATACATCCTGTCAAAAATTGACGTGAATGCCAAGATCTCTAAGAAAGGCGAAGACTTGGCTATCCTTCTGTTTGTTTCGGCACTTTGTGGACTTGAGGGTCTTCTTCGGGAGATTCTTTCGAGTGGATATGATCCAAACATCGTTTGCAGTCATTCCTATGCTGATTACTCCTCAATGCCCCGCCCAGCACTATCCGCGGCCGCGGGAAGAGGGCAGGTTCAGATCGCTGCTGTTCTTCTAGAACACGGCGCAGGAGTGTATGGGGAGGATCCAGATGAGGACATGGAGTATGATCCGCAATATCAGCCGCTCTTTTCGGCCTGTCAAGAAGGTCACATCGAGATAGTGAAGTTGCTGTTCGACCATGGTCTCGATCTAAAGAAGGCAGAGACCGAAGGAGACTCTGCTGTTATTGCAGCCATGGGGTTTCCTCAGATCATTGATTTGCTACTTTCGCGAGGTGCAAACGGCCAAGCTGAATTCCACCATGACGGAACAAATCCGATCTCACAGGCTGTCAAGTACGGCGATATTGCATCTATGCAAGTCTTGCTCGACCACAATGTGCCCCTTAAACCATCCGCTTTTTTCGGCTCCAACCAAAGTTTGATTGGTGAAGCATCAAAAGGTGAGGGTGGACCGGCTATGCTGAATCTTCTTGCTATGCATGGTGTGGTGGCTCTGGCAGACGACCAAGATGCACAGCAAGTGTTGAGAGAGACTATCTCACAAGGAAATGCAGAACTCACAGAATTCTTCCTCAAAAAAGGATTCGACCCAAATTTGGAATGGAATCGCAACTCGCTCTCCCCAAGATCATACCTAGAGAATGCGTTGAGAGCCAAGGATCAAGACGCTGCAGAAGCAACGATTACCGTGCTCCTGCGTTACGGTGCAGATATCAGAAATCTCCAGGGCCACGCCCACGACTTCATGGCCTATAGGGGCGAGTCAAAATGCCTTGCTTATGCTCGGCTTCTTCTAGATCGAGGAGCAAATCCTCTTCCAGAAGATCGCTTTGGTTTATCGCTACTTGAGTTAGCGGCCAAGAACAACTTCAAAACATTTCTTCGTGAGATATTGCGCTATATTGATGCGCTGAGCCTACCATTCGCTGATATACATCGAAACTTCTCTTTGATCAAGTCGCACCCTGAAGTACGGAAGAATTGGCATGCTATGAACATTTGGGAGAGCTTTTACTGGAGGAATAAATACCCAATGGCTACTTGAATTGAGACCTTGATGGCATGTTCATTTCTGAGCAATATTCAATCAAAATTGTATCTCTGATCTTGGACATCTTCGTGTAAATGCTAACACAGCTATGGGATACGTAGATAATCCTGCGAGCTCACTCGCCGTCAGCTTACCCTCTACACGGGGAGTAGTTCCGATTGTGAGACTTCATGATTCAGGCTAATACATTTACCCTATGCCCAACGTCATGCCGTAGAGGAACTGGTTGGATAACTAGGCCGAAAATACAGTGCACAGGAAGTTGTAATCAAAGGTACAATAGCGAACTATTCAAACAAAAATGGTGATATCAGAAGAAACAACTAAGGGACTGACTCCGTCGCCACTGAATGCACAAATCAAACAAGAAAAGATTGGGTATCGTTCGCAAACTCCCGCTGCCATGCGCGTAATTCATGAAAGAGCATCAATATGAAGCTGATGATGCCTGAGTGGACGAACAATTAAATCTAGTGGCTTCGTTAGCATAAGAACACAAAAGTAAAAGTTTACGTAAACTCACCAAAGCAAGAGGGAGGCGGGCAGGAACACGGCCGTTGTGCAACAGCATAGCGACCGCCTTCTGGGGGGTGGCCTGCAGCTTGCGGTAGGCCTCGCGGACGTGTCGTGGCTCAATGGGAGTGCGTCCCTCCTCGGGGGGGGTCAAACAGGCCGGTCTCGCGCTTACGCTTCTTGAGGTTCTCGCCGGCTTCGGCGCCACCGCGACGGTGCTTCTCATTATCTTCGCGCTCCTTGACTTTGAGTGCCTGTTCAGTCAGGGTCTGGACGATCTCGAATGTGAGGAATCCGAGGATGTCCACAATGTCATCGTTTGGCTTAGATTCGGTCACGATACCGAAGCCTGCCCACTCGCGGAATCGTTTGCTCTTGCGGTAGGTGAAAGAGGCCTGGCGACACTCAGACCAAAAGACATACTCCTCTCGGGTCATGTGGCGGGTGCGTTCATCGGCGGCAGCTAGACGCTGGAGAGTCGCGTAGTTCTGTTCCTCCTCTTCTTCGTCCTCTTCATCTTCACGCTCAGGGACCTGAACTGAGTAGAAACTGTTGACATCCCACGCAAGTCCGACCTTCGCGCGCTTATTCTTGGGCTTGGGGGCAACATCTTGAGGGCCTGCAACCACGCCAGCCGCATCGTCGGCAGCGGCAAAATCAGCGGCGTCACCACCACCCTTGTCGTCGGAGTCCTTGACATTCTTGCGAACGTCCTTCCAGGACAGGAAGGTTCGCAGACGGGAGACCTTGGCCTTGTCGTGGCGAATCAGGAAAATCAGATCGTCAGTAGAGATCGAGCGAACTCCGCGGCGAGTCGCCAATGCGGTGCTGCGGCTGAGCTATTTGATCGTTAATGACAAGAGCTTCCAAGACACAATCATCAGTACTCACAATCTCGATCACTTGTTGGCGGGTGATCTCCTCAATCAAAGTAGTAGTTTCAGGGGAAGGCTCAGCTGTCTCTCCGGAGACAAACATCATCTTAATACTGTGGTTAGTAAATAGCCCTCCAGATATGTTTTCTTTCTCTATCTCGTAGTCTTCCTGGCTCTCGATAATTGGTTCAGAGGGGTCTGTTTCAGTCACTGGCTCGGAGTTGGTCGTGACATTGTCCTTCAGAAAGCTGAGCGAGTTGAATATATGGGTACCCAACCTGCGAAGTCGAACACGAACGAGTGACTCCTTTGTAGGATCATGATGATGGGTATAAAGATCATGGAAGTACTCTCCCATGGCAAAGAACTCTGACTCTCCCATAGCGAAGAAATCCAATTTGGCATCGTCCGACAGGTCGTCTTGATTCGCACCAGAGACGTGTTCCACAGAATGCATAAGAATATTTTCAGGGATATCCACACCCGAGTCTGAAGCTACACAAGTAGCATTGACAGGTGAGGTGGTGATCCAATCACTTAAGTTCTCATCTGGATCACCCAGGCCCATATAATGATCACTCGAGGCCATATCAGGATCAGTCAAGGTCCTATCAGGATCACTCAGGGTCCCTTGAGGATATCCTTGCATATATTCCTCATTTCGCGCAATTGTTTCCTGGCGCTGTCTCCAGAGCTCGACAATCGATCTGGCGTCAAGTCTGGGAGGGTACATGATTGGCGCCATGATCAACTAATTGAGAAAAAACAAATGAAGGATTCAATACAGTGAATGGATGTCTGAGGCACAAGTAGCGGGGAAAGCTGAAAGAAAGGTCGTGGATGAGTGAGAAATGAGAAGCCTGGGCACTTTGGCAAGCCGATAGGGTAAACGGCAGCCATCATCATAATATCGAGATCGATATAAAGCTCACTCGTGACCCCTGCGAACATCAAGACATAGAAGAGAAGGCACGACCGTCTTGTCAATTGCTCTTAATTCTAGCAACTTTGAAATTGTCCTTGGTTTTTAACCCAATAAAACTCGTTGGTCCAATGCAAAAGCATGCGAAAACTTTGATGTTGACAGGACCAGTTGATGAGACGGTTCATACATTTTGAGTATTGCCGTTTTGTTGCTCGACGTCAAGATGCGCACATTCCAGCAATCCAACAGTGCAAGACTAAAAGGCCTAGCTGGACAGGTACAACATGAACACATGTATGTGGACCCAAGATCGACCTTCGCTTTGAGAACTTGAAGAGAACAAGAATGGGATGGCCTTGTTCCAGCAAATGAGTAAATTCGCAATGCAAGTCATCTGTCGCAAACCCAGCCAGACTATCCGTGGACGTGATATTTTCAGACCTGCAAGGCAGCGCCAAATTTGACATACTACTGTCTTCCGGTGGGACTCGGGGGAATCGAGGTGAATGTGGCACTGTCCCCAAAGACAATATGTTTGCGCGACTCATGTTGTGTCGCAAAGCCAGCCGACAGGCAGAATGTGTTCAAAAGTCCTCACAAACCTGACAAGGACATATAATTGAAATGATCGAGAGCCAGAAAGACCGATATACCGAAAGCCACAAGCAAAAAGAACCAGAGGCCGGGGAGGAACTCACCTGCTGTATCTCCTGCCGATACTTCGGATTCCGATCAGAGCTCATGATTGATGGCGGTAACCCTACCAGGGGAAATGACTCAAGCTATCGGGATAAGAGGTTACACTGGTATTTAACCAGGAAGAGTGAGCGGTATTGGGTTGGTTGAAAGCAAAGTCAAAGATGGTCGCGAGGAAGATGAAGCTCTGGACGCGCACAGGCCGATCTGGGGGAGATAAGCGATAAGCGGATACTCTTTGATCCGGCGGTCACGGAGCATTCTGCCAGCATCGCGGGGCACGGTCATTCGTTTTTTTCGAACTGTTTGCTATACAGTGAGATCCATTGCATTCTGCTCAATTGCATAATCTGAGACTTTACAGTCAATATGCTTCATCTAGTTGGACTTGGTCTTGCCGATGAGACAGATATCACTGTCCGCGGTCTAGAGATCGTGAAGCGGGCCGAGAGAGTCTATTTAGAGGCATACACGAGCATTCTTCTTGTCGATAAGGAAAAGCTGGTGAGTTTGGTTCCAAAACTTTTACCCCGGTTCCATATGGCAATGAAATATTGCATATCACTCGCACAGATGGACTGATTAAACATAATACCAGTAGGAAGCGTTCTATGGCCGCCCTGTCATCGAGGCAGACCGCGAACTAGTTGAGACTGGCAGCGATGACATCCTCGCTGGCGGTGACAAAGTTGATATTGTGTTCCTCGTGGTGGGAGATCCATTCGGGTACGGGCTCCATTCGTCTCCCCTACAAGATCTATAGCTGACACGATACCACCAACAGCGCAACAACTCATACCGATCTCGTCCTCCGTGCGCGCGAACTTGGCATCGAGACCAAAGTCGTCCCGAACGCCTCCATCATGTCCGGAATTGGCTGCACAGGACTCCAGCTGTACAACTTTGGACAGACAGTCAGCATGGTCTTCTTCACTGAGACCTGGAAGCCATCGTCGTACTACGACCGCGTGCGCGAGAACATTCAGATCGGTCTACACACACTCGTCCTGCTCGATATTAAGGTCAAGGAGCAGTCGCTAGAGAACATGGCGCGCGGCCGCCGCATTTTCGAGCCTCCGCGCTACATGACCGTTGCGCAGTGTGCGTCACAGATGCTGGAGACCGAGGAAGAACGCCAGGAGGGCATTTATGGACCGGACAGTTTGGCTGTTGGTGCTGCCCGAGTTGGCGCTGCTAATCAACAACTTGTTTCTGGTACACTTAAGGAGTTGTCTACTGTTGAGATGGGCGCTCCATTGCACAGTCTTGTTCTTCTTGGCCGGAGGACGCACGACCTTGAGAGGGATTATATTCGTGAATATGCGGTCAACAAGGAGACCTTTGATGCTAGCTATGCCAAGGGATACGGGGCTAGCTTGTGAGAGTCGCCTTCGTGTGAAGAGATATGAAGACAAAGTCAAAATAGATGATACGTTTTACCAAATGACGGCCGAATCACTTGCTATAATATATGTACTGAATTTTTTTCGGAATAATCAAGCTTGGAAAAATAGTATATGGTATGTTTGTTTTCATTCTTGATCATCGAATCAACTGACCAGAGCAGTGCCTGGATTTTTCTATTCTAAAGTAGGGAACAAAATGAAGATGCTGCAATATAAGGAAAGGTGCAAAGCAAGATGGTATCCAAGAAACAAATGCAAGGGGAAAAACCAGATGCAGGCAAAATATCAGAAAGTTCAATATGCGAAACGACACTGCTCACTGGTGCAGCAATGAGTGCAAATGGGAAAGATATCAGTCAGGGATATTCAGGTGACCAGCACCAGCAGAACAGCAATTTCAAAGCATGATAGGACAAACATCACCCAACCAAACAACACCTTATAGTATGCAAAATGTTGAAGGAATGTACAATCAACTCTCGAGAAAAAAGAAAGACACTTTCATACCGTATTACATCAGATCTCGTCTTCCTCACCAGGAAGGGTAATCTCATGTCCAGAACCTTCATATACGAAGATAGCTGCAAGGCAGCCAAACACGGATACCAATGCAATCAACCACCAAGCGAAGCCGACCATGCCAATATCCAGACCATATCCATACCACGCACCTGAAAAGATAGGTCCAATAGTACGGAAGGCTGACGAGACTGACTGACCAATTCCGTGGATTGTGCCAAGGACTGATGGATGTGGCGAGCAGTTGTTCAGCAGGATAATAGAGGTGGGAAGAGTGAAGGTTCGGGCAGTGACCTGGAAGAATAGGACGACAATGATCCAGAACCAAACCCAGGGGCCGTTGGCTTGACCGGGAGGGGGAATTGTAGATGGAGCCAGCGAGATATAAGGGGCAATGAAGTATGCAATCGGGAAGAGGGAGAGGAAATATTGGTAGCTCCTGGCTGTCCCCAGACGGCCGTTGATAGTAGGGTAGATGGTAAACTGGAGGAGCATGCCAATTACACCCAAAATGGCGGTTGCGAAACCAACGCTCTGCGGCAGCATGCCCAGTCCGCCGGTGAAAGCGAATGGCAAGCTTCGGGCGGGGCTCGCAGGATCATTGGCATCATAGCGGGGAGTAGACAGGAAAAGGAGCCAGAGGTTGTTGAAAGCACCCATTTGGAAGTCGAAGAAAGCCTGTGCGCCGAGGGTGCACAACACGTTCTTGGTCCAGATTCTTCGGAAAGGTAACACGCGTCGAAGGCGGGCAGGCTTGTGCGCCTTTTCTTCGAGTTCATAGCTTTCCGAGTGGTCCGTGGGGCGGCCCAGCAAAGGCCCATCCTCTTCGTAGTCGCGCAGCGGAATTTTTGTGTACGAGGACAACGAAGAGGGGAACACCTTCTTCGCGCCGCGCGCAAACAACCTCTTAGCAAATACACCCAGGCCAGGCTTACCCTTGCAAGACGCCAAGGTCTCTTCTAACCCATACGCAACCAAGGCTGCCGTTGCAGAGAGGAAACAGAAGTTTGCGAACATCGGCAGTGCATAAGGGTACTTCTCGAGCCATTGCACTCCATCCGCGCCTCCAAAGGAAGAATTGGGACCAAAGAGGCGGGGGTAACTCTTAACGGGATCCGCCAGCATGCCACCCATCACTGTAATACTGATTAGCGGATTGTCGTATTGCCGGAACAGCATTGACAAAACGAGGTACTCACCAGGACCAAATAACGAAGCTATGTTGAAGCCAATTGGCAGAATCAAGAAAGCCCGCGAGTGATATTTCTTCTCTTTCACATTCTCCGCAATCATAGTCCGAATAATACCAACGGTGCCATTGATGGCGCCACCAAACGAGCGCCAGAACACGGCCTGCGCGAACGACGTCGAATATGCGACTCCCAAACAAGACACCGCGGTGCCCACCAGACCAACAAGTAGAACAAACTTTCGACCACCCCACTCCGCATCGGCAACACGACCCCAAGGGATCGCCGTCGCAAACTGAGCAGCAGTAAAAGCGCCCTGCAGAATTCCCGCCTGGGTCGCGACATCGGAATCGGACAGGTTCGAATCGAACGACTTGAGCTGGTAGAACATGTAGGCCTGTAGCGACGCAATCTGCAAGAAATCAAAGACACGACAGAGGCCCAGCAGTCCCAGTTGACCCTTCCGCGGCAGCGACATCCACGTTACGAGCGCGGGGCGAGTTGGCTCCCGCACAGTCGGGGGGCTCCTCTCCCTGCAGGGTCAGTACCTGTGGCTGGCCATGGCTGATAGAGCGGCCGCGCACATGCTGGGTTTTGCGGTCACCACCCAGATCCATTGAGGTATTTCTTAACATGTTATCATCGATGGCGAACGAGTCGAGCGAATCTTGGGAGGAAGAGCGTTCTTCAACACTGGCGAGGGAGGTATTGGACTCGCGTCGTCGGCGGCCTTGCGCGTTTTCGGAGGATTCGCCGGTCTTCTGGATGAAGTGGAAGCCACTCGACCAAGATGTCGTACGCGCATGGCGGGCATTATTCGTTTTATTATTTCCACTCCTGGCAGGCATTGAGGAATGTACTAGTGTAAGTCGAGGCGTCGTAAGGATCAGAAATAGTCGTAGGCCCCTTTGAATTCATGTATTTTTCGTAGTTTGCGTTTGTGGCTTGGCTATAATTGGCCATGAGAGAATTGAAGGAAGAGAAAGAGTGTTTTATTTTATTTTTACTTTAATTTCAATATTCTCCTGTATGCTGTATCATCTCGGCCCAGGGGAATTTGTTGATGACGTCCTTTCTTACTTTGATTGCCGGGACCCACCAAGAGTGTTTACCGTATGAGGAAAAGTACGACTGGTAATTTACGAGCGGTATTGTACTTTCTTGAATACTTGTAATATACTGTATTGAAATATGGTCAAATGCCGGTGTTTTTGTTCTTGGTCTCGATGGAGTCATTAGACGTGGCATCTCCTGGCCACGACGCTGAACCCACCCTTCCGCCCGGAGCTGAGGCGGTGCTGCTAAACCTGGCCCGCAGCGCAACTGAACCGTGCACGCGTTCAGGCCGAGCAAGCACACCCATCCACAATCATACAATTATATACGTCCGCTCGCCTTGGTCGTGCACATAGAGCACATATGACTGACGCGTAAGCAAGCGGTCTTCGTCAAACTACATATACATTTACCCATTTGAGATCAATTGATCTTTACGAAAAGACTATCTTGCGTAGCGGTTGCATAATCCTGCTTTGTAGCTCGCTTGATCCGGGTCCGGGGCCTTAGACTCTTCTTATCACCATTTTAGTTTCTGCGGCTCCGTCTACAGCTTGAAGCAAGAATGATGTGATGCTTATAGAATGCACTCAATCTTTCATCCCAGCCAACTTACTAAAGAAAGGACTCGACACATAAAGCGGGCGTTCTGTAGGCATCTCATCATGATCACTCTCACCACTTCGCTTGGGGCCCAAAAGCGACTGCATACGTGCCCGGAACACATCATTCTGAACCAACTTTCCAACAGGCTTCGCTGTGTCCCGTTCTCTGTCCACGAATCTTGCATCAGGATCCCCTTCATACGTCGACTCTGGGCCATCTATCCATTTCTTCCCTCCCCGAAGACATTCATTTTTCATTTCCTCCGAACTTCTGTTGATCATACTCTTCCAGAATTGCTCCTCTCCAGAAGGAAAAACACCAGCATGCTCAAGCATTCCAACAGCACTTGAAACCCAGTCTTGGCAATTTCCTACCCCAAACTCGGGGATGTTAGACTCGTCGTTCCCAAACGCAGAAATCAGGCTAGCAGCTTGTCGGCTCTGCTCATAATTGAAAGAAGCAAGCTCGCAGCGGCCTTTAAGAACCGGGTTCTCGAGCGGCTGTGGCCGCGGATCATAGATGAAGTCTTCGTCTGTGGGGTTGCGTATATGATGCATGCTTGTAGATGGCAATTCCCATGTGGGATGGGCAGTCGCCGAGCTTAGCGTCGCCACGACCGTAAATATTGATTGAAATACCATAATTGGGGGATCCCATGACTAGCGCCGGTAGAGTAAAAGAACTATGTAGCAGTTGTCGGCGGTTATATATTTATATTTATCCCAGCGTGTCCCCACACCGCTCGTGAGCGTGGCGTGGCATAAACAGAGAAGCTACGCTTGGGCTGTAAGTACATGGAGTTTCATGTGACGCATTACATTGGGGCATATTGAGGGTTCACGGGCCCTACATAGCTCAGGGGATTAAATCATCTTAGACATGATGTGTGTCCCTTTTTTGCTCTCTCCATCAATTGTTTATTCCAACTTTACAACCGGATAATAACTATGAGACAACGCCGCAAATTGATTCAATAAACGTATATATGCTTGAGGAGAATTGCGATACGCGATCAAATTAGAGAGGAGAGGATATTGGCTGAGAATAATGATAGACATATTGACAGGGCGTTGTGTACTATTCATCGTATCCTGAGAAGAGACCATAAAGCGACATTGTGTCCATGGAAAAGTCCGTTGGCCAAACCGCTCGCTAGACAAGCGCTGAGACTTTGAGGAGACTTAGATTAGAAGAATCATGTTTTATAGAACCCTCGCAGCTTAGGTATCGAGTGGCTCTTAGGAAACGGTGGCACCCAAGCTAACTAAAACATGATACATCTATGGCGGCTAAAAGACCCTGACCCACTCGGGTGATCGGTGGTATGTTGTGGTGAGAATATTTCAACTCAGTGGCGATGAGAGCCTCATGGGATGCCTCGGCGCCCATTGAGGCGCTAGTGGGTGTCAAGTAGATCAACCCTAAAGATAGACTCGTGCCCAGGTCCCATTGGTCTACGGGACTGCCCCAAGCATCCATAGGTGCATGAGTGTTTACGGAATCGGAGCCAAATCTACCTGGGCAACGATCAATGTTCAAGTGATTAAGCCCACCCGGGCGGTCGACTCCCGGAACAATGAGAGGGTTGAGTTCCCCCACCAGCAAGAATATTCGTGTTCCTTCACGATATTAGACCCTTTGGCAGACCTCTCATCACAATTTCGGGTATCAGTTTATCTGACAGCGTTTCGTCCTCTTTAGCAGGCACATTTGAAAATGTCTGTTTCATCAGAGAAAACAAGTTCTCTGGCTAGTCGTTTTCGGGATAACCTTCCTTCTATTTTGAAGAAGTCACGACATACTGAGATTTGGGGTGTTGATTTGAAGCACGCGGAGCGACAGGTACTGGAGGTCATTTTGGAAAAGGTACTGAGACTATGGACATCCACTGGGATTCATCCGTTTCGTCACTGATTTATCAATAGTTTCTCGCAACCCATTCCGCAATCCCCGCACTTCAGGTCTCCAGGGCAAGTGTCTCACTTGAGAAGACTTTGGAATGGCGACGCTACTGTGACCCGAAGGCTCTCCTCACCGAAGCAGAGACCATTCTTCCGGACTTGGACCTGTGCCATATCACTCTAAATGAGGGCCAATATGTGCTGTGGGTTAGCATTGATGAGATGACGCTCAAGGGATACGCACCAATGCACAGAAGCCTGGCGACGTCTCAAGGGTTGGTTAATATAGGTCTTGCTGTAATGGAAAAGCTTTCCCTGCTTCTGTTGCATGCAGCTGCTAGGTCTGATCTACATCACTATTCAGCTTCCTGTGTGGTTGAATTCAAGATACATGCAACCCAACATGTGGAGAGAGTACATCAGTACTTCCAGAAAATGCTCCGCAGCGGCCTCGAGGAATTGGTCACATTGATTCGGCATCACTATCCTGATATGCTGGGAAAGGCATATATCATGAATCCTCATGAAGAATACCTCGCATCTCTTGATGTTGATGAAGCTCTCTTGAGAGATACGGTATTGCTGAAAAGTCCAGAGGACCTGAAACAATATCTTGGCTCACAAATCCCACCTCGATATGGCGGTATTGGAGAATCCTTCGCGGGATCTGATTTTCTCCGTAGTGACTGCCTTGCGAGTGATCCAAAGGACAACACCGGGCTTGAGACCCCGGAGACCAGTGCGGCAGCAAGTTTTGATATGGAGAAGACTAGGGTAGAAAAGGAAACGACAGCTTCCGCTATGACAACCAGCTGCACCTCTTCTGAAGAGGTCAAAACCGAGGAGCAAAAACCTCGCCTAATTTACTCAGAAGTCATTGGACCTCCATCTATCATACTCGACCCTGGCGATTTGCAGACAGCAGACAACCTTGACAAAATGGGCGCGCGTGTTGTTTTCGCAGACTCGGAGACAATTGTGAAATTCGGCCATGGTGTTGGCTTAGGCGAAGCCGAGGCGTTACATTTGGCATCTACCCGTACGACCATAGCAACACCAAAGCTTCTCAGTGCATATATCCTTGACGATATTGCATACATCGTAATGTCATATGAAGCGGGCGAGCCACTGGAACAATATTGGGACCGTGCTTCGCAGGCTGAGCAAGATCGCATACTGGGGCAATTACGGGACTACGTGAACCAGATGCGGGATATTCCAGGTGAATTCATCGGCGGACTTGACAGATCACCCTGTCGAGATGGCATCTTTGAGGCCGGCTACGGCGACTACACTAAGTACAGCTACGGTCCATACCAATCAGAGGAAAGCTTTGACGAAGGTATTATTCAAGCTTTGCGAGATCGATTGCCCCCGGATGTGCTTGAACCTGAACATGACATCGAATCAACCTTTTTCAATACCGAGTATGTGCTGTACCAGACGGTCCGAGGTCTCAAAAATCACAAGATCTTGTTTACACACGCGGATTTACATCCAGGGAATATCATTGTCCGGTCTGATGGCACTGTTGTTCTCTTGGACTGGGGCCTAGCTGGATTTTGGCCGGAATATTGGGAGTTCTACCGTGCCATGCATACTTATCATTGGAGGGCTTCATGGGGTCGCATGGTGGAGAAATTTATTCCGCCCTTTTATGTTGAGTATAGTGTGATGAGGAGGGTATTCGCGATCGCGTGGAATTAATCAATGGGTCCAGGATAGAGTGTCCCAGAATTATTTTCTAATTATGGCGGGCAGCCTTACCATGTAGTTTGTATATACGGAGTAGTCTACTCACAAACCCCCGTATGATACATACAATAAGTCTCTGGTATCATAGATCGACAACGACACCTGGCTTGCGACGACTGCTCCACATCTCCCTGCCAAGCCCCCTCTCTTGGTCCATGACTCGTGGACTATTCGACGGAAGTCTTGGCATATAAGGCATCGTGGAGAGAAAATTATTTTAGCTTCACTATACTTTACACTCCCATCAGATCACTACACACAGATGTGATTGTTTGTAGATATGCACTTGGTTACCAATGTAGAAAGGTATGCATTGAGTCTTGGTTTCATAAGTGTTTCAAGTCAACACCTTGTTCATGACTCCCGTTTTCAAGCTTAAATACAGTGAATGTCAATTAACATATAAGGTTCTAGAGCCAACACCGGCGGCAACAGCTAGCGCCCAAAGTCCAAGCGTTTCAGCCACATTCCACGTAGGCCGACAAGAGCCACTCTGAGTCCTGGCACAGCACATCGTAGCCTTTCATTTGCATATTTTGATCGACATGGTAATAAATATGTATTCATAATTTACAGATTATGTAGCCATAGACGGAGTGATCCGTCTACAGTCATATTTCATGAGTATTTGCACCCCAGTACTTCCTAATGCTTTTCATGTGCTCTCTTCTATTGTAGTCTGCGTACTGGAGCTCCTACCATACATATATATAAGCGTGTATGTAAGCCTTCTACTTAGAACTTATTACTTAACGCGTTCAATAAAGTATTAACAAGCAGAAAGGAAGGTGGCCTGAGAATTTTGGTAGTACTGGGGTGCAAATACTCATGAAACGCCACTGTATATATGCGCGTTGTACCATGTCACATCTATACCAACAAAACAATGAAGAATCTATCGTCCTATAATTCATGTTCGACGTACAAAGCAGTCAATACGCAGGCTGAATGCCCAGCGTTAAGGGATCGAACAGATCCGCTCGCTCCGGAGGTACGTACACCCAGTGTGTGGGCGCGGGTGTCGGCTTTATGTATTATTCGGGTATGTGTATTGTATTATATACAGTGGAAACGTTCACGCAGAGTTCTTCCTCGCGCGGTTTTGCCTATTCTGGTCTTGCCTATTGTGGACTATTGATCCTATTCTAAGGTCTATAGCATAAATTTCAACAAAACAATCTTGCCGATTTGGGCAGTAAGTGCAAGAGTTTTTGTATATAGCGATTGCATATATGGTTTATCTTATTTGATCGTGATATGTATACAAAGCAAAGCGAACGAGTGCTTGACTATTCGTTCCGTTCTCGTTCACGCCTGTGACTGTATGGGCTTCGCTCACCTAGTAGGAAGTAGGAGGGTACTTCTTCCTGTCTGATCCACCTGCGCCAATTCCACCACGGCAGATCAGTGGCCTGTATGGGAGGGTGTTTCCGCTCAGCCGGGCAATTCATAGGTCCATATGACTCCTGGTCCTGCAGTTGGTGGATCGAATGCTTGCTATAATGTCGATGTGCAAGGAAGATTCCGGCGAATATGGGGATCACCACGAGGATAAAGGTACCCCAAGCGAGAATGTCTGTGGAATTGTCAGCTTTGCTTCTTTGGCTCGATAAAAAGAATGCTTTCGAGATAGACTCACGGCCAATGTTCCCCTCAGTAGAATGCTTTGGAGTAGCGGAAGGGTGTGGATAACCCGAGGGATTTGTCCAAATATTGGAACCTGGATTGTTGGGGTCAATCCACGGCACAGTGTTGACACCTACTGGCGGAATGAAAGGACGGGCTGCCTCTTCGTCGGAAAACCCATATCCCTGTGCATCCGAGCAGGTAGAGGTAGCACAGAATTCGCGCAGCTCAGACGAAGGCACGAAAGTATACTTAGTCGCAGACTTTCCCAGCACGATGCCCTCGCGATCCACTGCTTCGGCCTTAGACCAGAGGAAGAATCTACCGTGGGTGTATTCGGTTTCAAATCCAGTCTTAGGAACCTCATTCAACAAGATCCAAGGTCCAGTCACGTTCATCGCTCCCCAAAATCGCCATGTATGAACGCGGGTTGCGCCATTCCAGCTGACATAGAAGCTCATAGAAGAAAATGGTTCCGCAGTTCGGGAGTATGTCCATAGGGCTGGCGAGTCTGTTGGTACACCGTCCCATTCAAACTTCATTGCGCGGTAGTTCATCACGGTGTCTTTGGCGAAAGATCCCCAAAACAGTAAATTGCCCACCGCGTCGTGCTCGGATACGAACGGGTTATTTCCCCATCCGATGAAGGCATTCTGGTTGGGAAGCACCTGTAGGTTGCCCTGGCTAGAGCTTACTAGGTCATTTTGAATTGGTGTATAATCTCGAATCTGGATGGCCGTTTTTTCCACGTGGTCAATCATGATGATCATGCCCGCTGAATAGGTATGTGTTTTGTTGAAGCCGTTGTACCCATTGTTGTAAAGTGACAGAATTGTATGGGTAGTGTTTTCATGTAGCCACCGGGCATCATGCTGTTGCGAAAAGTTAAAATTGATATTCTGGAAAGAGGGCTGCGCGCCATGAAGCCTCCATATCACCGAGCCGTCTTTACCGGAAATCTTGTAGATGGCAGAAGTATGCCGCGAAGATATCAGATAATCACCAACGTCATTTTTGTCAACGGAGTTGATATGGAAGTAATCCCAAGGCTCATGTACATTCAATCCTGTTCCAGAAGTATCCGTATGAGATGGCCATGTATAACTCGATGACGGATCAACATGATCGAGAGATCGCCATTCAAACAGGACCTTGTTCGTTTCCACATCGACTTCCTGAAAGACACTCTCCATGAGCCACCCTAGGCCAGTTTTGACGTTCCACGGTGTCATGTCAAATTGCCGTTGTTGGTAGATTGTCATGAGAGCGGTTTTGCCATCATTGATGGGACGGAATTCGTGCATGTCGCTCGATGCCATTCCTCCACCCGGCTGGACTGACCGCACAACTCGGTAGTTTTTATCCATGATGATACCATGTCCACGGCAGTACCCTTTTTGCTGGCTGCCCTGGAAGAAACATAGGTGATCGGAACCGTTGTATTTACACACGTGGAGGCCATGGGCGTTGCCCGGCCCCGAGACGCCCCAGCCACTCCATATTAACTCCTATCAATGGTGCGCACCATCAGTTTCCATATAATCGATGAATATCATTCAGCAAAATAAAGGCCTACCCCTGTATTATCGTAGATGTATGGGCCGGGATTCTGAAGTTCGTAAGGTGTGATGAAAATGTAGCCCGGGCTGAGCTTGCCTGGATCGGATTTTTCGACGTTGAAGACAGGTGGGTATAAATCGGGTCTCTGTTACACCGATAAAACCTCAGTCAGAAAGTACACTTGGGGTTATTAGGCCAATTCTCGGTACCGATTTATAAAAAGAGGTTTCTTCTCCGAGCGCAGCGTCGATAACGCATAGCCAGACGATACCAAGAATCAAGAGCGACGGTGCAGACCTTAAAGAGGTCAAAATGGAGGCCTTCATCGATCCTTTGCATCACTTTCCGATGCAAGATATAAAGAAACACTTTTTGAGCCACACGAAAAGATCACCCAAGAGAATGTACGCAAGTGATGTTGCATTGAATGCAAATCATGTAGGAAACCTTTGGAAATATACAGGCCAAGGTCAACACTCAACCAAGAGCAGAAAGGCCAAAGAGGCTCAAGGTAAGCAAACGGTGTGTACGAATCCCCTCCACCTATCAATGCCTGCTTTTTGCATAGATATAGTGGGTCACAAACTGTTGATCGTCTATTCTCATTGGTTATGAACCGTTTAAAGCTCGACAAAGTGCTTAGTCAATGGAGATTTAACCAACACCCGTCCAATGCCAAGATCTCTAGTCCTTCTATGTAAAAATTTCCCAGTTGCTCGAAGTTGTAGGGGCCGTGTTTTTGATACTATACAAGAAAACTCAAGAGTTAAACAATCACGAACCCCCTCGGAAGGCCTTGATCGTTGATTTCTTTTTACTCTCAATACGTGTCCCAGATAGTGCGGTGGTACGAGTATTTCTGATGGGCCACGTCATGGCCGCAAGACTAATGCAAAATAGCTGCCGCTAGCAAGACCCGAGTATCATAATTCCGAGATCTTGCCTGTTCTGTACGTTCAATGGCCTCGATCTATCAAAGCCTCGGGAAGACGTCAACCATGTAACGTGGCTCGGGAACGGGACCAAGGACGAACACCCAGTTACCCGTAAGCAAAACTCAGATCAACAGCTGAAACCCCAACCTACGCAGGTGACTTATCCTATTCGGGAGGTAGAACCAATGGATCCAACTTCCAAGGTTCCCGAGGTCCAGGCACTCCGATAAAGCCAAAAGCTAAAGGTTAAAGGCTACACGTCAAAAGCCACTTGCATGTGGCTGAGAATCATCACTGGTTGCGTACGCACGCCGGTGAATGGAACGTGGAGGATTGGTTCGCATATAGCTTTCCCGCATAATGCGTCGTCAGAGCATACGCAGGCTATCTTTGTTCTAACCTCTATCCTAGTACATTTGTATTAGATCTGAACCTACCACGTCTGTAGCATGGAATTTTGTATCCATAATTTAGAGTTAAGTTCCAGACTATATAGATACTGTCGTACTGCGGACACCACTTGATGGCCTATTATGCATTGAAAGAATAAGACTCGTATAGGAGGTTTTCCGAGTGGGATCATACACTCCACGGAATAGACCATTCAACACTCGGCGCCACACGAATACCTACAACATGGATAGTAGATTATATCCATGATACAGACTCTGATACTCCTCTCGGCCCACCCACTAGATATAACGAGAAGCTATCAGATATTCATAACTTCAGAAGATACCTCTTACCCAACACAATACAATTTCCAGAAAAATAATCCATGAACAATGAACCGATCACTTAGCGTGTCATCAGTCCACACATACCACCCCAACCTCATCTTTATTACGTATTTCGTCAAAGCCTTCAAGCATTTGAAAGGATCCACCCCCGAGTCTAAGACGAAATAAGAAAGTTCCGACCTCCGCTTATTTTCGTATATTGGAACAAAGAAGAGCAGTAGTATCATTTACTTCTCTAGGCATTACAAGGAGATAACAATAGATAACAATACACATAACTTTCAATGCTGTATGTATTTTATGCATGTTGTATGCGCATACATGTCGTCTGGCCCACTTAACTAATGTGGATCACTTTCCCAGAATGCCAAGCCCCCAATCAATAATTCTCCACGGTGCTTCTTCAATATATTGTGGCTGATACGTTTTCTCTTGGTTTCGTATTTTTTACGAGTACGATAGTGGAGAGCTGGGAAGTTTTCGGACCGGATGTACGGAGTAGGCGGCAAGATTTAGGAGTAACTGTTTATTTTTACTTGTTAAACCGATTCATACAGGTCCATGTACAAGCGACCAATCGGTCTGTGCGGTTGTTTTTCATAAATCGTTCGCCATGTGCGCCTTGCATTGGCCCCGATCGATTGGAGAAGTCGGCGGTAAGGCTTTTCTTGGCCATGATTTAAGCGCCCCTTGCCTTTAGGCAATGCATGATGATGAGCATTGAGGAAGCGGCTCCCTTGTGGTTTATCCCTCGATTTAGAAGCTCAATATTACTCGATGTGCCCGTCCCACATTGGTACAGAGTATGCATAAGAAAAGATGGTAGAAATGAAAGACAAAATAATATATAGTGTTCTATTACCGAATCATTCTTCGATAGGTCCCTCGTTGAACCAATTATGACAGAAAGAAGATGCCAAAATAAGGGAGATTAGAAGCCAACATGATAGATGCAGAGGTCTGTTCCAACAAGGACAGCAGGCAAAAAATGACAAGAGCGACCACGGAGTATGGCAACATGCTAGAGGCGCCTGCGCACGCTAGCAGCCAGCAAAAATGTGAGATGTAGGGAATATGACAAAAGGAAACAAGAAATGCACAAGATAAACGGACGGGTGTTTTAGCGAGGGGAGAAACGCTTGAAAGCCAAAGTAGCAGCAAAGCCTGCGGCAAGCAACGAACCACCAATAGTAACGGCTTGGAGGGCAGCGTTCATCATCTGGTGACGGTTGCGAGTGCTGCAGCGCTTGTAGAAGTCGGCCATGTCGTTGCCACGGGGGAAGGGGGTGTCAGGGACCTCCTCCTCGAGGAACTCGCAAAGCGGGGCCCAGCCATCATTGATGTTATATTCGAGCAGACGCTCGGGGGGACCAAGCTACGGACCTGGGCGACGTGATCCTCGTAGACTTGCTTGCCCTTTCCGGGGAAGTCACCACGGAAGAATGTCTCGAAGAACTTGTTCAGCATAGGGTAGTACATGCCGGCAGCCCAGCTGAAGTTCGACACGAACTTGTGCTCTGGGTCTGAGACACGCCAGAAGACGGTCTTCATGACGGAGCTGTTTGTTTGTTAGTGTCTTGGACCAGAGATATAGATGTATAACGTGTAAGTGTGACTTACGCGTGCCACGGGTCGACGTCACGGGTGGTCAGAATGACCTTCGCATTGGGGTAGGCTTCGATAAGCTCCTTTGCAAATGCACAGGCAGGCCAGTCACAGACGGCCTGGCAGTCACCCAGAAGCTGGTCCCATTCCTTGCGGCCGAACTCGCCGATTCCGTTGTACTTTGCGTTCAGGGCATCGTGCCACATGAGACAATCCGGCGGATTCTCAACACTTGCGCACATCATGTGGTAACACTTGCCATAACCCAGACGCTCAAAGGCCTTGCGGAGAGCTGTCAGATAATGGTTAGTTTGTGTTTCTCGTTCCCATCAAACCCGGTGTATACAATACACCAAGTCAAACGCAACACAGCATATCATACTTACAGGCAGTTCCGGTACGACCGACACCCAGCGCAAGGACCTTCATAGGCACTGTGCGGTGGCACTTTCGGCGGTCAATGTTTGTATCATTGGTGAAGACGTCGGTCATGGGCTGGGGAGCCAGATTATCAGAGAGCATGAGAGACATGGTGTTTATAAGCTCAATTGTAATTCAATATAGTTGGGGGCTTCTATGAAGAGTGAGGAATTGTAGGTATGAATGAAAGAAAGTAGAGCTGGATAAAGAAAGGATAAGACTAGAAAAAGTCTAGAAGGAAGGGGGGCTTTTAAGAGGCTGATATGGGGATAAGGGGAAGAGGAAAGGAATAAATACATAAAATATATAAATAACAGAACCAGCTAAAAAAAATAATCCAGAACTGATCTCCAAGGGAGATAGAAGTGAAGTAGAGTGGGCATTCATAGTGTGCCAATGACGAGCCTCGAACCACTTTTCCCGAAGTATTATCCCCGCGAGTGGCAACACTGGCAATTCCTTCATTCCAATGCCCTATTTTAGTTCTCAAACTGAGGCCCGTGAGCGTATTCCAAGATGTATTCCGTTCTCCGTATAGCTCAAAGCAATGTCTTGCAAAGTCGTTGCGTATACAGATGTATAGAGGCACGACGTCACAGGCTGACGCACATGGAGATTGTCAGGGGTCGTTTTGGGGGAGTGTATGGTATGGTATTGTATTGTATTGCATATGCCGGGTATTTCGGTATCCAAATTACCGAATTGTTCCATCGGCCCTGCCAAGAACTCCGATCCACGTACGCTCGGAAATTCGAACAATCCATATGATTTTGGCGATCCATGCAGTGTCGGTCATTGGTGGAGCTTGAGATGGAAACGCGTACACCTTCAGCTTGTGGAGGTATATTTTCGATTGTCTGGTTTGAGAAACCTAGGAAGCTCATAGATTGTCGCAGACTCATCTATTCCTTTGCATATATGAGCCTGCAATGCTGTCTTGCATGCCATCTCATATCCAGCAACAGTGAGACTGAAAATTGCATCTGTCAAGATTGGCCCACAATGCTCCACGCAGATCAATCTCGCAGCTGTCTTGCCCAAAAGGACATGCTCCGGGTACAAGAATCCGACGCCCCCGCTCTGTCAGATTGATTGCATTTGTCTCGTTCGAGACTGCAGTTGCGAGTCCCACATGCCAAGCCCGGCCCAATTTACCTTCAACGCCGCGGAAAGTGTCTAAAAGTTTCAGCCTGTCATGATGGGGCCCTTCTCCTGGATCGTCTGGTCACACTGCCTATCACAGGGAAGACCATCCGCTCAATGTGTCGCGGACACAAAGCCGTTGTCACCCAAGTACTGATCAGGGGGAGTTGAAATTGGGCATGTTAGAAACAAAATTTCACATGATTTTCATCGCCAGGGGTATAAGTCCGGTGTGTATTGTTGAGGATTTCCGTAGTGTTGTCACGCATCAGTATTGTCAGAGTTGAACTGATCGTCCCGTGTTGATGAGATTTTTTCCATTTGGGGAAACTATCTTCGTAGGCCCGGAGTCAGACAACCTGGGCTCTATCACGTGTCCAAAAAGACTGAGCAGATGTGTGAGGCTGTGTACAATATAAGCAGCTAGTGCGATGTCATAGTCACTCTATGACGGGTGATGTTGTTCGGCTGAGTAATATCACGATATTTCGCCTGGAACGTGCATGCGGAAGTCAGAATATGTTGTAGGATAGACTCTTTGTGGCCTGTCAAATGTAGTGAAAGGGTAAGAGCGAAGAATGTATTAGCAGAGCAAAACCCTTTTCAAGGGTTAACAGCGACAGAGCTCCTTTAAATGTGCTGTGCCAAGGCCCTTGGACTAACGCTCGCCATCGATGGCTACGATCACCTCACCAAGCCATGACCGATTGGGAAGTTCCTCCACAAACTGGAAACAAAGCTCAACGCTGCGATCTAATCTGAGCTTAAAGCTCTTGGGTCCAGCCAGGTTTGCACATTTTGTCTCCGCCTGGCATCCACCGACGGCAGTGTTTTTCGGCAGTGACAACACAGCTATACCCTGAACCCTTGGGCGGAAAGAGAATACGAAAGGCTTGGCACTGGCACCACATGGGCAGATTTGTTCAATTCAGTATATCAGCTTCTTTGTCTTAAGCCTGGCAATCACAGCATACCCAAGGAGCAGGAAGCGATCCTGAGTCCTGACCATTGAAGGAAATAAAAAAATGTTGACCGCTGATGTGGCCTTGTGATGTCTCCGAAGTGGTCTTTCCAGATATCTTGTTCAGATGCTTTTCTTTTTTCCTGTTTTTCTTTCAGAGTCTTTACTAGAAACATGATTTGTGAACACGACCTTTCCATGCGTGACCTGGGACAGAGTCGAATCAGATATCGAGCAAAACCATAAGAAATAGGATTTGCGTATAGGCTGAGATTATCAGTACGAATACGAAACTTGGAAGATACACCCAGCCCTGGAGACGGTCACCAGAACCCAGAAGGGTTTATGTGAGCTGAGTCGAAAACAATCGATATCCTGCCCGCATACTATTCCGTTTGCCATGTAATCCTTGAAAGCAAGGACGCTTCTCCGAAAAGCCTATTCATCCACAATAAGCAGGTAGACTAGAGGGAGACATGCATGGCAGCATACTCGCACGATCTATGATCTCGATTCTGACCCCAAAGTGATGGCATGAGCTGTACCGATGCTTTGATATCTCCAGAATAATCCCAAATATGAACATGAACAACACTAATATTGTGTGGAAAAAAACCCGATACACCTGAAACTCCATGCAAATGACTGTTTTGGTTTGATTTGTCCAATGCAGTCGGCTCCGTGATCGATAAGGATATCATATCGCTCCCGAATCCGAGTATCACAGTTCACATCTACTCCAACTTATCCAGGTGTTCCAATCGCGTGAGAACAACCTGCTTGCTTGTCTCTTGAATCTCGCCTGCGAGAAAGACTTCGTCCAGGATGGCATAGACCTATAATCCAGGCACATGTGGTCAGTATCACGACTCATGTAATTCCGATCCCACGTCAGCCCCGGTTCACACCGAGCAGTGCGTTCCCAGCGACTTGCACACACCTTGTAGAAATTGAAGACTAAATCCAACTCGCACACATTGCCAAAGAATTGGTCCAGCACTTCAACAAAGAAATGGATAGCCTCGAGATAGGCTAACTCGTTGTCGTTCGCATCGACGCAGACGCAAAAGAACAAGCCGGCATATCTTCGGTAGATGACCTTCGTACTCCGGCGGAACTCAACAAAATTGGACTGGTATTTCTGATCTCGGGGAGCGACGAGGCGATGGACCTAAGACGGTCGTAGGTGGTTAGTCAGATGGGAAGCTCGGAGCAAGTGCAGGTGCGGGTGGTATTGCATGAACAAACCTCGCCTTTCAATTTGACTTTCTCTTCATCCTGTAAGCCGGTGTCAGCTCTTATCCCCAGTTCTATATTCACTGATGGGGTTCTTGCAACACTCACACTGTATGGTGAATACCATTTCGCCAGGCGCGTTTTCCCCCTATACCGTCATTAGTGTGGAAATCGAGAATGACCGAGGCGGACAGCCACTCACTGGCGATTCTGAACCAGAATAAATGAGAGAACCATTGCAATCAAAAGCCAGGATGTTACCTGGACAGCATTTATGAAACCACTCGGGGGGAGTGTTGCGACAAGCTTTGGGTGTTCTCCGCTGTTCCCGTTATCGAAGCTCCCCTCCCATATTGCTTCGACTCACCGCTCTGTAGTCAGGCTCTATAGAGATGGTGAAATAGCAGCGACTATTGGATTATAGTCACTTATTCTACTAATGATCCGCAAGCAATTCAATTTCCATAAGAAATCCAATACATTCGATACATAAAATGAACTATTATAACAATATTTGCAACCCATAGAGTATCAACAGACATAAAGCGTAGAATTCGTTAAAAACTCCCGTCACAGCCCAGTGTATGAAGATGTAACGAGGCAATCCGACACTGAGTAGTAACGGAATGAATCGATCTGATTTGCCATGTTCCATAGCACCAAGCCACAGCTCTCACCCCGAGCTCATCCGATTCCAAAATCTCGTCAGACGAGTCTAGGAATATTCCATTAGCAACCATCTAGCAGTAAGACCAAGGGAAATTGTGCAAGAACGCCTCCCCAGGAAAATGGAAAATAGTAAACGAAAGCGAAGTGAGAACATACCGTATAGCTCTGTGGACTAGCAGTTTGTGCGAAACTACTCCTGCTCTCCCTCTGGCTTTGGACCTGACTCTCTCCCCGAGGCTGGCTTTCCTCCTCAGAATCCTCCTCAGATTCGTAATCCTCGTCTTCAGAATCAGGAAACCACCGTTCAGGATCCCCATTATAAACAAGATACCAGCCGATCTTCTCGCCAGGCGCTAGACGGTCGCGCAATTGCTCCAGCGCCGCCATCTGGTCATCCGTCAACCCGGATCCCTTTTCCACGCAATTCTCAAGATTCTCTCCACCACCACTCCCATCCTCCGGAATTTCCAGAACCCGCGTTGAAATATACGCATAGTCCTGGCTGACAGTGCCACTGCTCTCGTCGGCGGGGTCATACTGCTCGATAAACGACAGCTCCGGCAGACGATTCACGAGGTCCGCTTGTGTCTTGTGGAAGGATTCTGCGAGGAGCTCTGTCGTCAACGGTTGCTGTATGTATTCCGCAGCTGCTTCTTCCAAGTTGTGGAGTACGATGTACACGCGGATCCCTGTGAACCCGGCGCGGGGCCAGCGGAAGCCGTGGAGCATATAGACCGGCATGGTATTTGGGTCTTTTTCTTTGGGGGTGATTTCGGCGGTCGAAGGGGGGACTGGTCGCAGTGTCTAGCGACTGCTAGCTAGGGAGGATCGTATTTGCAGGGGGTTCGGAGTTCATATTAAGTCTGTGTCATGGCTCGCCTTTTTTCGGGAGGTGTGTCGACACGATTGGGGTTTGCGGGTCCCGTGCGTATATTGTAGTTCCAACGAGGTTCCCGATTTGTACTGCTTCAATGCGTCGACTATTGGGTGAAATTCGATATTTGAGCTTGGATCAGCCTGCTTTAGATTTTAGACAACTTAGAAAGCCACAGTTCTGGGGGGGGAGCGTGCCTTGCTTCTATTGCTTCTATCACGTGGCAAATTATTAGTTAGCTTTCTACTTCGTAGATTGGCTACAATATTCTTCAGTGCTCTAATATCATTATCTCCGAATGCATTGACATAGATTTTTGGGGGGTTATATATCGAGAAAGCAACACTGTTCTAATTTCAATGCAACATCATCTCGGATTCCTTTATCTTTCACGCTGGACGTACGGAGTACTCCGTATCTCCCAACTGCGACACTCCGCACTGAATGTGACCTCTCATATTTGGGGAACTGGACCATTGGCCTAATTTAAAATGTGGCATTCCACAGATAGCCAGTCAACTGCAAGCAACGTGGATCGTTTAAAATGAGAAGGCTTTTTTGCAGGGTCAAGCAAGACATTCGAACGAAGACCTGTCCAAGGCACTGAAAAGAAAACCAACATGTAAAATGGCTAAAATCAAAACGCTGAGGGCCGAATTTTGGTCAATGTTGATCTATCCAGCTGTTCAATCATGGTCTCCTTGTCAAATCCGCAAATCTCCGTGTCAGTTCATCCAGCTCGGGTATCCCACTGTTGTTACTCTTGTTCTTAGAGCCATTCTCCTTCGAGATGGCAGCGGACTTCCCCTCTGCACCGGGAAGCTTGACTCTGGGATGAGGATTGTCTGTTCTAGGAGCTGGCGGTGCAACGCTGACAGGACTTCGGCCCGCAGCGAGTCCACGTGGAGGCGTAGCTTTAGTCAATTCACTAGTCTCCGAGGCACGTCTTGCTTCAGAGAGGTTCGGCCTCGACGCTGAGTCTCCTTGCTGCTTGCTAGGAGTTTGCGGTAATTGGGGCTCTTCTGCGTCGCCATCACCATCACCAAGGTCATCCACAAATTCTGGCGCACTTCCCAGCTCTTCTTCGGCTTCATAACCTTCAACGCCGTATGCTTTGGCAATCTCTCGAAGGTAACTGTCAACAAGTTCCTGTCCTGGCGGGCGCACACGCAAGCCTCTGAGAAGTCGATCAGGAACCTTGACAGTATCGAGCTTATTATCTTGCGCCAGGGTCATAAACTCCTTGCCATATCGCTCGCCCAGCATGGTGCGAAGCATGGTGAATTCGCGCACCTCGTGCGGAAAGCGGTGCCACGCATAGAACACAACAGTAGCCGCCTCGTCGATCGCAGTATCCATGTATGGGTTATCCTCATCCGCAAGTCCATCACCAGAGTCATCCGCACCACCAGCTGTAATCGGCGCAGCCCGCTCAGCCTCCTTCTTTTGCGCTCCTCCTCCCAGCCAAGAGAACCCGAATCGCGAACCAGTGTTTTCCCCAGCGCCCTTGGCACCTGCGGTAATGGATGTGGTAGCTCCAGCTTGTTCCTGGGTGCGCTTCTTGAGCAATTCCTTGGCGCGAAGTCTGGCGCGGGTACCCTGGTCGCTGAAGGCCAACTGATCCAACACATTTGCGCGCGCCAGCAGCAACTCACAGTACAGTTCGACCATCTCCATTACCTCAACTGCGATATCTGTTGCGATGACATTTTCGACTCGGATGCGCGCTGATGCATCGCGGCCTTCGCTGAGGAGTTGGGAGAGTTCGCGGCGTTGGACGACTGAGGAGGCTGTGTCTTTCTTTTGTAGGAGGCGAAGACGGGGTATGAGCAGGCGGAGGGTTGAGACTAGTCTGGTCTTTGATTCCATTGTGTTAGTTTTGTTTCCGAGTCAACGCGCATGGGCGTTGCAGGGCAGATGTTATATAGTGCGGGGTAGCCTTGGGAGCTCTAGGTAGCAATGTTTAAGGGAAGTGGTTGGATCATGAAAGGTGTATGCAAAATCAGCGAAACAGAAGAGTAGATTATGACTTACCGTTTGAGCCGAGGGAGGCATTTTGGCGTGAGTTGTTGGAAGAGAGAATGTGAGGGGGGAAAGCCGGGGCCGAGAGATGTTGGGGTTCAGCTTATCGGCCCTTCGGTCTTCTCACATTTGAAAGTTGAAACTCCACAAAACTCAGACAATAGAATCATAGCATATTAATTCGGAAATTGAAATGCTCTCGGTGTTCTCAATGCTCTGGGTGTTCTCGGAGTCCTGGGAATTCTGAAAGTCCTAGGAGTCCTAGGGGTCCTGGGCCATCTCATAGCTTTGGTATCAGCACGTTGTTTCTTCAGTTTCTCCTGCAGCAGCATGTCGGCAATAGTCTTTTTGAAGTCCTTGGTGTATTGAAGCCATTTGTTGATCTCCTTGGTCTGTTTGTTGCAGCGAGCTGTGATCTCGTCTAACAACAAATTGAACACATTCGAGGTAGTCTTAACACTCTCAGTGGGGCGCTCTGGATATCATTAGTTTATAAGTCCTCAAAGTTTGAAGGTTGGATTACCCTGGACAGGGTCTTTCTCCATGGTGAAGAAGCGTGGGGTTCCAAGGGATGTGGTGAATGAGGAGATGGGACAGAGATGGAAGCGAAAGGTGGAATAGAGGAATGGGAAGAACATATAGCATCCATGCTAAGTTACCCTTGAAATGTTATCGTAACTGTAGTATGACCTTGACGACACTCATGGCTATCTCGGTCTTTACTACCATTTCTCTGAATCTCCTCAGACATTTTCTCGGCCTGAGTGTCCAAGTTCGACGGAGGAAAAAGACAGCAAAAAAACTTGAGATATGCAGACGACTTTTCGACATATATTGAATATAAAATTTCATATCTCTGGCAGATTCCGGATGTCTGTATGATTTTTTTCGTAGGGTTTTCTATACTTCAGTTGACTTCCGTTTTAGGAAGTTGATGGGAGTGGGTCTCGATCCCAAGTTGATAGAAGAGGTCAACCTTGAAGATATAAAAGCCCTCCAGTTTCTTTTCTTTCTGAGAATTTTCAATATTCCCAAAGCAAAATGGCCTTCCATAACGCCCATCCTTCCACCAAAGCATTGCATGCAGACGATGCCCTTAATCTGGTGACTGACGTCGCACCCCCAATCCATCTATCTACAATCTTCAGGTACCCCAATGATCCAGACCAGCTTGTCCCATCCGAGGATCCGGTAGTACGTATCAAGCGAACACACAAACAATATTCTCAACTAATGGCCCTATCAGGATGAGTTCAACGGCAAGAACTATGTCTATTCCCGCGAATTCGCACCAAACGCAACCCGTTTCGAAGCAGTGCTCTCATCACTCATAGGTGGGCAAGCAGTGAGCTACTCCACAGGCCTAGCTGCCCTACACGCTGCTCTCACCCTGCTCAATCCACGCCACATCTCCGTTGGCGAGGGATACCACGGCAGCCACGAAGTCATCGCAGTGATATCGCGTCTGTCCGGGCTACAGAAACTTGATCTCGACTGTCCGGCCGAAAGCCTAGGCCCCGGCGATGTCATTTTACTAGAGACACCCATCAACCCGCTAGGAACGGCATTCAGTATTGAGGAATACGCACGTAAGGCGCACTCCCGCGGCGCATTCCTCATTGTTGATAGTACATTTGCACCCCCTGGACTGCAGGATCCGTTCCTCTGGGGCGCGGATATTGTCATGCATTCCGGGTCAAAGTATTTCGGCGGACATAGCGATTTGCTCTGTGGTGTTCTTGCTACGAAGCGTGCTGATTGGACGAAGCGGTTGTTTGAGGATAGAATCGCGCTTGGGAGTGTGATGGGGAATATGGAGAGCTGGCTCGGGATCCGGAGTCTGCGCACGCTGGAGGTGCGGGTTCAGCGGGCTAGCCGGAATTCAGCTAGGTTGATCTCCTGGCTTCATGGTGCTATGCAAGCCGATTCCCCTGCTGTGGGTAGTGAGGAGATGGTTGTTCAGTCTGTTGTACAGAGGATTTATCATGCTAGTTTGCAGGATGAGCCGTGGTTGCAGAAGCAAATGCCTAATGGGTTTGGACCTGTCTTCTCCATGGTCTTGCACAATGAGCAGTTTGCGAAGGTTTTGCCAACCAAGCTTCACTTCTTCCAGCATGCTACCAGCCTAGGCGGAGTTGAATCTTTGATTGAGTGGCGAGCATTGTCGGATTCCAAGATTGACCGCAAGTTGCTGAGAGTTAGCGTTGGACTGGAGAACTGGGAGGATCTGAAGGATGATTTGCTCCAGGCATTCAAGTCGCTTTTGGTATGATAGTTCAATATTATGGTTTTGTGCTAGATCATATAAGAAATTTGGCTTATATTCTAGGCTTACTACGTTAAATCAGAAGACAGTCACGACCTAAGCGGCCAATATCAAAAATCCACCGCGACGAAGTCTCCAAGCCGTCTTCCTGGTCCCAGTAATCTTTCAGAATCTTTGCTGCAGTCATGACATTCGAACAGCTCGTATCAGTCCAGAACTTCTCCAAAGATTCGACCAAAAAGTCTTTCTGGGCCTGAGAACGACACTCCAAGCCCGCCACAAAGATAGCCCACAGAACACATTTGAAAAGTGCATCATCGTCTTTCAAACTAGCAATCAAACCCAACAGCTCGGAGACCAAATCATCCTGCTCTGTGATGGTTTCCGTGAGTGCATCAAGAACGCGTCTCCCATATATCAATGCCCCGGTTTTGAATGTCTGTGATAATTTGCAGAGATTACTGATTTCGTCTGTGGAAGGCTGCTTTGAACGTTGGAGACTCAGAGTCCAGGCGTAACAGTCAAACTTTTGTATGAGTTCCAGCATTGCGGTGGTATCTTGTATATGTGTTTGGAGAGCAGCACCGTCTGGTAGCTTTCCTGCGATGGCGTCCCTCTCGTTGGAGAGAAATTGTATCGCTGACAACAGGAACTCCGGACATCCAAGGAAAGATTGTTCAATTTCTTCTTGGGGTTGCGTTGATGCCTGGCCGTTAAACATAAATTCTGATAGTACTTTTGGTCGTAAAAATGTTGCTCCCAGCGTTTCAATTCTATTTTGTAACCAGTCAGTCTCTCGCGTGAATTTATACCATCCCCTTGGGTTTATTCGACTCACAGATGAATCTGATTGGAGATGAACCCCCAAATCTCCTGTACCGTCTGGCCAGGTCCATTATTAACTCCAGCCTGTGCCTCCAGCAGCGGCCGGTGTAATGCAATCAACCCCTTAGCACCCTCAAGGTGGAAATTCCAACCATCACTTCCAAACTCGAGTAGGTCCAGGAAAATCAGAAGGAATATGCTAGCAACGGTGGTGTCACTTTTCACTATTGTTTCGTCGCCAAGTACCCGGGAGAGAGCCTCCATAGCTTGGTGCTTGAAAAGTAGCGCATCACGATTGGCATTAACGAGACCATCGGATGTCGGAGCTTGAAGCTGATGGAACGACTGGCCTGTATTTGCACGGTGGCGTGCCGCCAGAGCAAGGATACCTTTCTGTAGGACGGGATCTTTCAATCCAAAGGAAATCAAACTCCGGAATGGATTTCTGTCGCTGTCGTATACAATGAACAATTTGCAGATACGTTCATTATCTGAATGCGATGTCAGTCTTCCCTGATTATAGAGCTTTGCATGCGAACATTACAGTAGTCTATATAATATTTCGAGGTTTGATCCAAGTTTGACATGGACGGGTCTTGCAAGGTAACCGGCAAGCATCTACTGCCAGCAGAAGCTTGGACCAGCGCGCGATGCGATTTCTTGGGTGTTGATGGTGCGGACTTGGTAATTCTAGAGTTGTGCACAGGAGAGCCATTCGATATACCCTCGTGCGTACGGCCTTGCATCTTGCCGCGAATCGCCACTCCTTTAACCCACCTAATAGGTCTTTTGTCGAAGCATTCCATGCCAGCCTTCTCGCACTTGGCGCATGGCGTTCCGGACTGGTCGCATTGGATGCGGCGGTTGCGACATGTCCAGCATGGATCGCATACTCTCTCCATTTGGATGTGGCATGGGGAATGTGGAATGTGGCGAGAAAGGTATAAGATTCGTAGTCCGGTCCTCGGGTACGGGCGTCGGGTCCAGTTGAGGATTTGCTGACCGAGCGGACTGCTTACGGTCGGGTTTTGCGGCCATTACGACAATGCGATGTTGAATCTCGGGTTTCTGATATTTTGTACATCAGCTTCAAGCTTCACAGATTCAATTGACATTTTATGTCTCTTTTCTTTGTTCTGCTCGAAGATGGGAGAAATAGAAGAAAATGTGGGGAGAAAGAAATCAGAAACTACCAGAACAGGCCCTGAAGTATATATTTTTTGAATATCCACACACCGGATATCAGGGATGATCTTCAGGTACGAGTTAGAGGCTAGTCAGCCCTTCAAAAAACCTAACTATTATTGGACTGAGATAAATGCTTGCTTTTTCTTTCACCCTAATTGACACTGATATGATCCGACCTCAGACAACATGGAGTTACCAATATGGTAATCCCATCTGATTGACCCAAGAATTCCTTCAAAGATCATATTGTGTAACACAATTTATGTCGTAGTGGATAGAACAAAATTCCAATCAAATTGGCTGAAAAGACCCATCTTTGAAGATGTAGCAGAAGCACAGATGGGCATGGCTGGGCTGAAAGTATTCACGCCAACGGCGGGCTTCCGAGTCGCAGTTGACAAGTCCTAAGATTAGCAGCCGAAGCGATGGAGTCAACTGAGACATGTAAGAAACCAACTACCATTGCGGTGCCAAATCGAATTGGGGCTCGAATTGCTAAGGCGGGCCCCGAGAGAACAGAAGTCGAGCCAATCAAGTACAACACACAACCAACTTGGACCAATAAAATGGTGGATATCCCACGACAAATAAGATCTAAATTGGGGCCAAAGGTCCGTGAGAAGAGAGAAGCTTACACTCTGGTCAAAGTGTCCCGTATGCATATTTAGAACAATTAGCCTATGTAGAGCAGATTTGATTGGTTGACCCGGGTGGACCCACCAGTCCCTGGATCCCGCTGATTGGTCCGCTCGGTTCCTGATGTCATTGGTCTGGGAATCTGCTGGGACTATGCCTATTTGGGAAGGAACATCAAGGATATGGTTGATTTTGACCAATTCCCTTCGTGTTTCAGCATTGCTGGGCTGTACAATAAGATAGAGAAAAGGCTTTAGCGTGGCAGGCTCTGCTTATATATATAGTCAGAATTCCCGCACTGAGAGTATCTGCTATTTTCCAGCTCTATAAACCAAATCCCCTCGCATTAGCTACTTCGGAGTGACTTTGCATCCCCAAGGAAGAATCTGACATCGATTCCTACTTACAGCCGTTGTACGTGACTATGCAGCCGCACATGATTCCCTATGTCCCACAACTAACTAGACCCTTTCTTCTACAGCCTCTTCAACACACAATGCCTATCATCCCACGCACAATAGAGTCAACACTCACACAACCATCCACAATGAATGACGCCACAGCCCTACTCAAGCGCAGCAGCATGTCCAATCCCGACAAATATCCACTCTACATCTTCCTCATCATCGCCGGCTGCATTGTATGCGGACTCATCGGGTTCAGTGTATACACTATGTTCTACGGTCTCGACGACTCCCAGACTGTCAAAGACATCCCGCACGAGCAACGAAGATACTTGCGCGAGGTTAGACAGCGGAATTTGAACACGTTGGCTATTGAGGCAAGGAGGCCTGATTTGATTGTCCCTATTAGGGAATTGGATGTATGAATTGCTTGGATCTGGCGTTTGGGATGAGGATGTCTGCATGTGGATTGAGGAAACGGACTTGGTTGTTCCCAGCTATTCTATCGGCGTTATATTTTGATGTAGATTAGATGTGAGTCTCTGATAGTAATGAGGCATGTACACGGCGTATGATATATCGGAGCTAGCACTCTTTTGATCTTTGTTTATATTCAATTCACTCAAGTATTTCCTAGACAGTGCGCTTGATCTGAAGGATCAATGCGAGAGTGGATAATGAGAGAGGGCTTTGTACAGTCTACAGAAATCTGTCTTAGAATTTTTGGGATCTTGATGGCAAGGCTTGACGAATAAAAAAATAAATATTGTTTTCCTATGTCCAACCAAAAAAACTGGGTTGGGTTGACCTCCAACCATCGTATATAACAAAAAAGCAATTTCCCCTGCATACCAGAAGCAATAATAAGGATTATCAACAAGGTGAAAGGAAAGAAGAGCGAAGCTGAGGAGCCAAGGGATATAAATGTCATGAAGCAGAGTAAAAAAAAGTCAACGTTGAGGATCGTGAAGAAAGGGCACCCCAGAGATGTGAAGAATCATAAGGGGGATTATGTAGAAAAAGAATTAAGAATGTGAAAGAATCAAAAGGTAATAGACGCCCGCGGAGTTTCAAGGTTGATTGCCGCAGGCAAATATAGGGCGGAAAAAGCATCCAAAGTCGGTGTTGTACACACCCTGTACATATATGCAATATTGTACAGTCGATATGACCTAATCAGTTGAAGTTGATCTAGATGCGCGCAGCCAGGGCGGCAATGGCGCCGAAGGCCAGAGTCAACATAGAGACGGTGGCGCTAGTAGCACCGCCAGTGGAAGATGTGGACGCAGCGGCTGCGGCTGCGGTCGCTGTAGAGGCCGCTTGGATATCAGCAGAACCGGTCAGCACGTGCGGCTGGTAGGTATAGCCTGCCGGGCTCGACTTGGGCAGATGGGCGGGGTTAGTGACGCTCGACACGTGAGTCGTGGAGGTGGAGCTAGCAGTAGAGCTTGAGGTAGAGGTACGAATCGAGGTTGAAGTTGACGAGCGAGTAGAGGTGGAGGTGGAAGTAGAGCTGGAGGTGGTAGAGGTGGAGGTTGGTTTCTCAGTAGTGCTGGTCGGAGGAGTAGTGGTCGTCGAGCTGCTGGTGCTGGTGCTGATGCTAGAGCTGGAGCTGGCACTGCTAGTGGATGTACGAGAGCTGGTGGAAATCTCGACGGTCTCGGACGAGGTGCTGCCATTGCTCTCCTTCTCGAAGACGATAATGTGCGCGGTCTCTCCCTTGGGGACGGTCACGACACAACCGGTGGCACCGCCAGCGCCAACGAAGGGCTTACCGATCATCTCGTTGACGTCGTTGACAGCAGGGTCAATCTTGCAGGGTAGGCCGTGGCAGCCGTTACCCTCACACTCAATCTCGACACCGAAGTCAGGCTTGACATTGCGGAAAGGCGTGGTGGTTTCGAGGTAGATAGGGTTCCAGCCAATCTTCAGGAAGGTGTTGCCATCACCATCGGTGTTGGCACCAGCGGTGTATGGGGACCAGTTACCGACGGGATTCTGAGAGCTACCCCAGACACAGCCCTCCTCCGCGGTGACGCCAGGAGCATTAATATAGTATTGGGCAGCAGTGGAGCACCAGTAGGACATGCCAGGCACGGCCAGGTCGGCCAGGTCCTCAACCATGGTGGGGATAAGCATGGCTTCATTTCCAGGCAGCACAGTCTGGCAGAAAGAGACAGCCTTGCCACACTTGTTGCGGGCCTTGAGCACACCAGCGGCCGACTCACAGTAGTCACGGTTGGGGAAGGGCTTATGGATCTTGCCATCGTCGTCGCAGTACAGACCACCTCTCATGGACATAGGATAAGTGTAGGAGGTCGCCTTAGGATCCCACTGCATAGACACCTCGCCGGGAGGGCAAGCGTAAGGGCAGTAGTTGCCAGGTTCGCAGGGCTCGTCAGGGCTCATAGCCCAACCGGCGTTTTTCCCATGTGGGGTGATCTCAACCAGGCCAGCGTCGGATGGAAACTTGCACTTTTCACCCCTCTTCTCCAAAGATACATCACGAGTCTCGTGGTGATGGCTGTGGCCATGGCTATGTTTGGCGGCTTCAGCGCTCGCAATGAGGGCAACAAGCGCCGCTGCGCGGAAGGATGCGATCTGGAACTTCATTGTGTCAGGGGGAAAAGATTTGGCAAATTGATAAATATCAATAAATGAATGAATGTATGAAGCGAATGGCTAAGTCAAACGAGTGACAAAAAATATACGGCCGATGGCCAAGGACAGACACAGAGCTCACAGATAACGAAGGTCAAGACGAGAGAAAGGAAAGAAACGGGGAAAAGCACCAAGAAAATGGACACGGCCTTGGGGGAGGGTCCCAGCTCAGGTCCACGAGTGTACTAGCCTGAAAAGGCGTTAGATCTGGGATGATGTGCGCGTAATTCCGGCACCAATTGCGGTGCAGAGCAGGGCAGCCCCAGCTTTCGCGAGCGGGTCGTCTGTGATTGCCCATAAATCTCATAATTGCTCCTCCAAACTGGAATTATGCGGGCAGCCTTGGACCCCCAAAAAGCATTCCCCCTGAAGCAAAGTCCGCTAGTGGACAGCCATATGGAGCCACTAGATACTTAGCGTCAGGGGCAGTCTTAGCCTGCAGCCAATGATGAACTGTATTACCCCGATGGTTCCTGCTTGGCAGGACGAACGCCAATAAGCTGAGAGATCTGATTTAGTGGAGTTATCTCCCGAACTCTTTCAACGGCAAAAGAAAAAACATGAAACAAATAATGAGGGTGGAGGAGGGTGGAGGAACACGTTGCTCGGCGCAACGTTAAGGAACCATTGGAGATATCTTATCACCTGACATCTCATTCATCTGAATTTGCAATCTTGCATGGAATATCAAATCCATATGCACATGAAATAGGAGAGAAACTCCACCGAAGCTCTTCTAGCCTGGGAGCCTGTCAATCCTAATCAAACTCTCAAACTCACGCTGCACCGGTCTAGGTCTGTTGATCATCATACAACCCAGTACATCTCCATTCCTGGGGCCAATAGAACCATGACTAGAAAAATCTCGGATTCTCGCTTCTTTTTGCCAGGCGTTCATCACATGGACAAGTGATCCGAAGCCCTAGAGTGTGTGGTCCCGACTACCGATATGTCGCATCGTGACCTGGTTGGAGGCTTGGCCTGGGAGACTACTCCGTATAGGGGGTTGGATAGCATAGCGAGAGATCAACAGGATCGCCACTGTGACCAAAGAGCCGCATTAAATGGGTCTATCGAGACTTGTACAAGACGCGCCGGAGTTGCGCGAATTGTAAAGTGCATCGTATCCAGGGGGATGAATGCAAGAAGCATGGAACTGATTTGATATGCGATGCAGTGTCAAAGGTCGGTGTGTTCGATGGCTTGGGCCAGTTGTGTCGAGTCATTCAAGTTTTCCAAGGCCAGGTTCTCCAGGACTACGTCAAGAACAAAGAACAAATGTTGTGTGGCTCTCTTTTGTACTGAACTTTTGATCTGTGGTGAGACATTTGTCAGATAGCTCAATAGCCCTAAGCGGTGATCCTTGCATCTCTGACCGAACCCTACTGCAACGGGTGCTAAACGCAAGTTAATGAACAATATGTCTCTTTTGACTTTGCTGTAAGGACCGTTGATTTTACTCGCATGGTGATTAACAACTCGGCCTACCCGTTGGTTTTGGCCATGCATTTGACAAAATATGACAGGTCGCATTTACACGGCCACACCGTGATGTCGCCATGATCAAACCATTTGACAATTGTAAGCCTCATAGACCTGCGCTTGGAGCAAAGTAAAGGTGTGGAGAATATGAACATCAATTTGCTCTGTATGTACTGCATCGTGTTGGACAGATTCCTCGGCCCCAACTGACGACTGATTTCGGATTGTCTTTTCAGACATGCATCATGACCTTTCGTTATATATAGAGCGGTATCATCAGACATCAAAAATTGACAAATGAGGCTACTCGCCTTGCTGAGCCTCTAAATCCTTCCACCCAGCAAACGCCGAGACATCCTCGCGGTCTCTCCATCCCCAAGCAATGCAATAATGCCGTGCAAGCAACTGCCACTCCTCCAGCTCATCGAGCATTTCTAGCCCAGCAACTCTTTCTTTTTCGTCTTCGTTCACCCACCGCTTCCAAATGAATTCAATATCAGCTACAGCCTGGCCATTCCCAAAGCCCTGCTCTCGGAAGCGGTCACGCTGCGCCCCAAGCGACGCATATCTTGGGAGAGTCTTGAGTTGAATGCCGCGCGCCGCAAGATTCGACACCATCGTGCGACCAAAAGCATCATTTGGTCTAATAGGCTCATAAAGAACCAACCCGAGTGGAGCAACATCTACCTGCGCTTCCTGCAAGCTGTCTCCATGCCCAGGCACTGCACGCCCATGACCAAAAAGACGTTGCGTGAAAAACGCAACCACCTGCTCCGCCTCGATAGGCGAGAGATAAACCAAACAGCACTCGGATATCAGCAAAGTCGGTAATCCCGTTTCCACACCTGGAAGTGCACTAGCAGGGTCGTTGCACGTCGACAGCGACCGCAGATCCACCGGATGGACATGGTACGAGGGCGAATGGAGCGCGTCCCCGGCCTCCGACACGGCAACGCGAGTATGCTTTTCAGACGAAACCTCCGATGAGCCAATCCCCAGCGCGCGCTGTAGTACAGGCGCCGATCTAATTGCGCGGATCTTATCCGCTGTGTTAACGGCGAAATCGAGCTCGTGATAAACGAAATCTGGGGTTTGGCGCGACGAGAGAAGCCGGAAGACGCGTGTGTCCGACCCGGCGCCTAGAGATATGATTTGCTTCTTTTGTGTATTTTCCGGTGAGTATGGGCCGAGAAAACGCGCCACGAGCTGGTCAATGGCTGTCGTGCGGGCGTAGGTTCCTAGTGTGCGGGGAGGTCTCCAGGTCAGCTATAGGGTCTCTTGTAATTAAAGTAACATAATTTGGGGATATTGGGCTCACCTCTGTTAATAATTGGCAATCTTCGCGTCGCTGACCCCGGAGGTGTCAATGCTGCCGCGTACACATCGTCCAGATATCCTAGCTCGACGGCGCTGAGGCGGGACACGCTTGCGTCATTGTCTGTGCCTTGAACGATGCGATCTTTTCCAGAAGGGATTCCGGTTTCTTCTGTGCGACCTAAGCCTCGACCTCGGCCTCGGCCTCGTCGGAGAGTGTTTAGGTTGGGAATATGAGAGGCCATGAGGAATGGAAGAAGCTTGGAGCTTGGAGCTTGGAGCTTCCGTGGTGGGGTAGCTGTCTGAGGGTCATCGCAATCGCCTCATAATTTCATCTCCGATTCCTTCCTGAAAATGCAACTTGATTTCTGAACAATCAATCTCTCGAGGCCAGTTTCTGGTTCATAGCTCTTTATCAGGCTTCGGTGCCTACAGCCTCATTTCTACAAAATGTCTTGTTTCTTGGAAGATCCAAAGGTTGACTCGGTGACTAAACGCTATTGTTCATTGGCTCAAGCTCGCACTGTTATACTCAACGGCGAAGACGATTGCATAAGTTATGTATAGTAAACATCGCAAAACGTCTCGAGTCCACCCTTTCCTGTAACAATATCCCTACTGTCAATACCACCGAGCTACCACAGGACTATCTAACCCTCCCAAGCACAATATCCTTGCTAATATCGGCAGAACTGACATTATATCTGCACCTAAGCCAACTTACCCTTGACAAAGGCGATAGCCTGTGCGCCATACTCAGCCCCATAGCCCTGGTGGGTCGCACCGTTATTGCCGTTGCAGCAATACGGGTCCGCAGCGTCGCAGTATGACTTAATCTTACTGGCCGACGGGCAAGAGAAGCCAGAAGGACGTGCGTCGAACTATATTTCCATCGTTAGATCCAAAGCTTCCAAGTTCAAGGGAAATTTAGGGAGGTCCATACGCCTCCAGCAGCACAAGTTCCAACATTGTACGGCAATCCTGCCACATACAGTGGATCACCCATAAAGATGGCTGCCTTTACCATATTCACAGCAGAGGCAGACAGCGGGACCCTAGTGTCGGTGTAGCCTTGGTTGGGGACACCGCCACCGCACAAGGCTGCGTCCATGATTTCACCACCCTGGAGCATCGTAAGTCGGTCTTTCGTCTTCAGTAGTCAAGGAGAGATCACCCACCTGAGAATATCCGACCAGTACAAGTTTGGTCGATGGGCACTGTGTGTTATAGGAGTTTACAGCCGAAGCGACAGCTGCGATGCCCTGGGCAACTGAGCTGGAGTAGCTCGCGCCGCCGCAGGATGATTGTCCACCGCAGGCAGGGTAAACGATGGCCTCAGCTGTAGAGCCTGGGTAGGCGCTGAGTAGGCCATTGACGACTGTGTTGGATGAGCCGTATCCGGGGGATGCGGTTGTCTCGCGCGCTCCAAAGATGTGGACGCCTGGGCAGGTAATACGTTTCTCGATGTCAACCTCAGCTGGGACAGCGAGGGCGCTGCCGGCAAGAAGGGATAATGTCAAGATATTGGGAATCATGGTGTCGATATATATCAATCAAAGTAAAAATGAGAGAGCTCTTGCGTTGAATATGCTCTTGTGTGCAATTCTTTGCGATATTTCAGACTGCGGAGAACACGGTTGCTTTATACACAAGAAGTAGATGAAGGGTTTCTCCTTGGTAATTAGAGTTGGAAGATCATGTATTTTTCCGCACAGTAGATTGTCGAGAAACCAAGTCAGTTCCTTTAGACCGAGGCATTTTGCCTAATGATCGTGGGAGTATGAAACCCCATGTGTGGCAGGATCGCCAGGTCCAGTCGTGAAGAAAGGGAACCAGAACCACACAATTAGGCTGAATCAACTGTGTATAGGCTTGATGAAGACTAAACTGGCTCATATATGACATACCATTGGGTATGGGATTGAAAAGTATGGCACACCTGCATATAAGAGCCAGTTCTCCGCATTATTATAGGCAATAAAATCAACAGATCTTTCCGGGGTATGCAACAAAGTACTCCCTTTACTTAGTTTAGGCGGGCTATTTTCTTCGGTAAATTTCAGCAAAAGAAATGCTATATCCATTCCCGGGGTTATAGGCAAATATAAAGAACTCATTGTGATCTTGTGATTACCCATAGTCTCAGTATGGACAGTGAAGAGGATCAACTTCCCAATCGAGTATGGTTCGAAACGTGCTGAGTACCTCCCTGTTCCATTGGTCTCAGATATATGACACAGTCTATATACGAGGTGACAAAGGTGGTTCATTGATCATATTGCTGATGGAGTGAGCAATACTGAAGATAGGATCTTAAAATGTTTCTTTCACGGATATCGAACTGAACCAAAGGGCCCTATCCTATGTTTGTCATGTCATGTCTGTTTTTTATGTACAAGTGAACTTAACAAAGCAACTAAACGTAAACAAAGTTGTTTCGGCAAAGAGGACAAGTGCTCTGGTTGCTGCTCTTGAACCAGCGGAAGAGACACACTGAGTGGAAGGTGTTCTTGCAAGTGGCACACCGCTTGTTTGGTGTCTGCATGTCTGTTGAGATGACAGAGTAGCAGATAGCACACTCGCTCTGGCCCTTGAGAGCACCTTGGACGTTTCGTCGGAAGGCCAACAATCCGTCAACCAGGTTGCCATTGGCAAACATGATAACACCCTGGATCGTCAGCAGCCAGCTCTTCCATTTCTTCTCGTCCACAAGCACACGACTGCGACCAACAACCAACGCAGGTTGAAGCGGATATGCGGGTGGGAGAGTGATAGAAATGGCAACTGGGGGCGACTCTTCGTCGACAGGAATGCTGGCAATGATTTCGCCTGTCTTCGGGGAAATCTTGACCTCTAATGCGCGCTCTTCATTTGCATCCTGGGTGGCAATCCAGTCGGTCACGCTTTTCAGTGCATCTTCAACGACGAGCGGGGAGATCTGGGGACAGTATTAGTTATGGTTCTCGTTTTAGAGGGCCGACCACCAAATATTGATTACTTACGTATCTTTCCGTCCAGGTTTCCACCGGGCCCTTGATGCGTTTTTTGGTGTCAATCCACCAATTCTTGGTCATGTTGGCAGAGTATCTCAGGCACAGGTAGTACAAATGTACCAAAAGCCACTGGGTCTCCTTTTCGGCACTTTCGGACTCATCTGGCTCAAATGATCGAATATCAAGTTTGGATGCATCGATCATCTTTCCGTGCGATTTTTGAAGGAAATCAAACGTGAACTCCAGCAATGGGATGAGGATATTGTTCTCTCTGATGCTCGCCGTGTAATACTCTTGAACAGGAAGCGACTGAGCAAATTGTAAGCAAGTCTGTCCGACAATTTGTTGCGGAAGGGTCAAAACTTACAGCATTTGAGAAATGGTCGAATACCACCTTCCAGCTGAGAAGATATGACCGCATACTGGTCCACATCTTATCATCTCCGTAGGCAGTAGAGACCATTTGCATTGTGGGGGGCTCAATCAATAGAGAGATGAGCTCGTCAGGAAGACTGACTGCAGTCTTTGATAAGGCAACCTCAAAAGACACCTTCTCTTGGGCATGGGGGATATAGTGATGAAGAATTGTGTAAGCAGCTCGCTGAACTGCTCGACTGTGGGCAGTCAGAAGATGGAACGTTTCGCTGACATCGTCCAAGTTGTCAACGGGGATGGTGTTAATCAGGCGTCGTAATAAATCAACGGCAACATCCCGAGGTTGGTGGAATGTGGTTGACGAATCTATATCTCGTTAGACAGTTGAGTGATAAAAGCAGCCTAAAGTGCTTACCAAACGTGTCAATGGTGGAGGCTAGGGCATTGAAAAGACCGGCCTTTCGATCTGACCAAGCATCTTGGACGTCGTCATTGCTGTCACTTTCTGAGATAGACTTCAGTCGTGCGAAGAGTCTGAAAGATGACACTAGTACTGGTAGAGCCTCCTCGCCTCCATTAGTTCCCTGCAATACAGAGTTGAGAATGGCCATGCTTTCTTCCCAATGAGACCCATATATTTCCCCGAGAGCTGGAAGGACAAGAGACAAGGTTTGGATGACTTCAGATTTCAAACCAAGAGACATTGAGTCGGACTGGAGACATTCAATCAAGTTCTTGGTGAGGAAGACCAATCTCTGTGTTGGAATGGTGGAGACAACATCTTCCTCGCCAGATAATAGGATGTTCAGCAGAGCCAGCTTCCGCAATCCTGCGCACAAGTTAGTACTGATCTATCTTGCCAATTTGGTATCAGATACTTACCAACATGGGAAGGATCCTGGGGCTTCAGTCCAGTGGAATCGGCGACTAGCTCATTACAAATTCTGTTGCCGATGGGATTTGAAAGTATGGAGCTTCGCAACACCGCAAACCAAGATGCTGAACGGATCAGATTTGCTGTCCGGGCCTCTCTACAGATCTTTGCGACGTCCTCCGATGATTTGGACTTTTGCAATGAATCCGCAACAGCCATTATTTTGGCGAACGCTTCACCAACCCTATAATCCAAGGGAGATGTGCCCTTTAGTTCCTCTAGTCTGGTCTCCCAGAACTCGGCGAACAAAGAGGAAACGGTCTTCTCGGGTGTGAAGCTAACTGGTTCATTGTCGCGAATCCAGTTACTGATCACCTTTCGACCCGCGAATACAATTTCCATGTACTCTTCTCGTTGGTCAGCCAGCTCGAGGCCTGAGATGCCGTTGCAATTCTCAATGCTCAAGTCATCATCGATAAGTTGAATCGCCAGGGGCAAGAAATGGAACAATGTCTCCAAGTCCTCTTGGTCCAGATTTTTCAATAAGTCCGATGTAGAAAGAATGCTGACGGTGAATGATGCCAGGCGGAATGCAGAAGAGCGATGCTCTGAATCACGAGGAATAGTCGGCCATAGAGCCTTGAAGGAGTCAGATAGCTCACGTTGAATCAAGTGAACAGCGCCTCCTAGAGGACTTGTGATAGCAGTGGAAGGACGAGGTGGAAGTTGGAGGAAGGGAGTCAGAGATTCCTCCCATGAACTACGAGAGGGTAGAATATCCTTCACAGTACCAGCTGCACCTTCGGCCGTAAGAGCTGGCAACAATTCATCTGCGATAGCAAGAAGTGATTCAATCCTGAAACAAAGTTAGCACAGCTCTCTGCAGTATGTGATGGCGATGGAGCACTCACGACAATGACTCTTCATCCACATGACTGAATCCATGTTGGAGAATTTCGATGCTCGACTTAGCACTCGTGTCGCCAACGCCAGATTCCTTCAATGATTTCAGTAGCGCTGATGCCAGGCTTGACACCTCTTCAGATGGTGATTCTGTGAGAAAAAGTAGCTTCCCTGCTAACTTCGATCCAAAAGCTCCAGTTTGGAACTCCCTGACTGAAGACGGGGCAGACTTTCCGATGTGAGAAAGCCCGTGCAAAGCATCAAAGACTTTATCATCTGAAGATAACGCCTCGATCAAAGATAAGAATATCTGATCCATCAATTCGCCGTGTGATGTTTTGTTTTGAAGGACTGCAGTTATAATAGGCCAATGGGCATGACTTCCTTGGCAAGCCTTGCCAAGAGCCCGCACAACAAGCGAGTTGAGCTTCTCTTTGTGCTCGGCATCATTGAAATCGAGAGAAGAAAGTAAGCTTTGGAGCACATGCACATTAGACTGCTCTAGATCCAGGGCCAAGGCTCGCTCAACAATGTTCTCGAAACTGGATGCAAATCCATCCCAATCCCGACACTCCAAGATGATTGCAATCAATCGATCAGCAGACGGTGAAAGCAAAAGCTCCGGTGCATCATTTTGCACGAAATTTTGGAGGTCTCGGGACTTTTCGGCGACAGACGGCAGGTTGCGAACACACTCCACCACCGTGGCGGCAGCTCCATATGGCTTCCCATTACGGGTGCGCAGGACTTCTAGACAACCTTTAAGAAGGGAAGTGCTTGTTCTTTCGACGACCTCTGACACTTGAGGCTCGACCTGAGTATCTGCGACGCGTGCAAGAACAGCAGACTTCAAAGTTAGAAGGCGTTTGGATTGGGCGCATATTGAGTCTTGAGATTCGCGGAAGTCCTTTGATTGTTCTGGAGACGATAGCTTCACAGCTTCCAGGAGGCCATCGGAAAGGGATGTACACAACGACTGCAGTTCGTGGGATTGCTCAATGGAAGCTAGAGTAGAAACGTAATCCACGCAAATTCCTTCGCCTGACTGCTCCGGAAGTGACCATTGTGTTAGCTCTGGGTCAGCTCGCACATAATGCAATACCAAAGGAGACATTCTCTTCGTGATGAATTCAAACTTCTGCTCCTGGGGGATCAGTGTTGCAAGCCATGTTCCTATCTGGATATATGATTTCCACCCGATGGCAAGGTTTGAACGCGGCTCTTCTCTCGAGGTCAGGCCCTCTTGCAAAGCCTCGGTCAACGCAATTGCGCTGGTACAAGTAACTCCATGATCAGCAGTAGCCTTGTCGGCACCTGCCAGTACTTCTTGGGGGATGATGCGGAGCAATTGGTCTAGATTTGACCAAAAGTTAGAATGCCCACCCTGAGA